GAAAACGTGAAGGAGAAGGTCATGACCATCTGTCAAAAAGTGGTTCCTGCGCTCGGACTGAAGACATCGGAGGGGATTGACGTAGTTCACAGGCTGGGAAGGCGTGATGCTAACAAGCCCAGAGGGGTCATCATTCTGTTCGCTCTCCGCTCATTAAGAGACGAGATCTGGAGAAGTGCAAAAAACAACAGCTACCTACGAGACAACAAGTTGCGCTTTGGAGAAGATTTAACTAAGGAAGACAAGGACGCCAGAGCGGCGCTATGGCCCATCATCGAGCAGGCCCGTAAAGATGGTAAGAAGGCATACTTCGTGGGACGTAGAGGATACGTGGAAGGCAAAGAAGTTCGACGCAGCGTTCCTTCCTGACTCTGAATGGCAAGACAAAGAAGATTGATTGAACTTGTCCTCACTGCGAATTTCTATTGCTACACTCAATGATGAAGTGTGGTAAGACTACATATTTATGTTCAATATAAATACATACACGTTCACTCATGTGTATGTACATTTGAGGTTTCAAATATGTTACCAGGAGTTGTGGTTTCAGTTAATGTCTTGAGAGGTTTGTAAAAGGTTCTGTAAAAAGTTATTTTGGATTTAACACTTTTGTCTGTTAATACAAGGGGTCTGCGCGATAATATTAAAAGAAAAGCTTTTTTTTTGTTCTCTAAAGAGGCTAAATCAGATTTTATCTTTCTTCAAGAATGTCACTCTAACTCAGAAGATGTTTCATTCTGGAAGAATCAGTGGGGGAAGGATTTATGGTTTGCACACGGCTCAAACAAATCAGCAGGAGTCATTATTTTAAAAGATAATTTTAAAGGAAAATGTTTAGATTCTATATCTGATAGCAAAGGTCATTGGATTATAATAGTAATTGAGTTGCACTCTTCCATTTTTTTGTTGGGGAATGTTTATGGCTATAATTCTGACTCTGCAAACTCAACTTTGTTGAATGAAATACAAGCCGTTGTTAATACTCTACACACAAAATATACTTCGGCAAAGTTGATCTTGGGAGGAGATTTCAATATGGTGTGGTCAAACCATGCTGATAGACATCCTTCAAAATCAAGACATGAAGACAAACATTTGATTGAATTTTCAAACCATCTAAACTTAATAGATATATGGAGGATTCGGCATCCTGATGAACGTCAATATACATGGAACAACAAAACATTTTCTTCCTTATCTAGAATTGACTTTTGGTTAATATCAAAGGAAATTGAGCAATGTGTATCAGAGGTAGAAATTTGTCCAGCTATATTAACTGATCATAGATCAATTTCCATAAAACTGAACTTGACATGTAAAGAAAACAGAAGAGTATATAACTTCTGGAAACTTAACAATTTGCTGTTAAAAACAATACTGATCTTACCTCTGTTATAAAGAAACTTATCAAACAATACTGGACTCTAGCAACAATCAATAATGAATTTGGAAAATATTGGGAGCTACTTAAATATGAAATTAGAAAATTTATTATCCACTTCAGTAAGAGACTAAATCAAAATAAAAAAAAGAATCTAGAACAACTGATTAAACGTATTTCAGAAATTACCACTCAGATTTTAGACGATAATAATAACGAATTACTCACACAATTACTTAAATGTCAAGAAGAATTAGATGGGATTTTTAGAGAAAGGGCTCAAGGAGCATTTGTCAGATCAAGATTGAAATGGATTGAAGAAGGGGAGAAAAACAGCAAATATTTTTTTGGTATTGAAAAAAGAAACTATGAAAGAAAGTCATTAACTAAATTGAGTATAAACAATGTATTGTCTGAAAATTTATACTACAATTTCTCAATATGTATCTGATTTTTACAGTAACCTTTATAAGAAAGATATCTGCATGGACAGTACATCGGTCCTCCATTCATTGAAAGATGTAAAAAAAGCAAACGAGACTTTTAAAGAAGATTGTGATGAATCCTTGTCTGTAGAAGAAACAAGAAGTGCAATCAAAAATTTAAAACCAAATAAGTCGCCAGGTAATGATGGGCTAACTTCAGAATTTTATCATCTATTTTCACATGAGATTTCTGAATTTCTTCTTGCAGTTTACAATGAATCTATTAACAATGAAGAGTTACCTACTTCAATGAAACAAGGTCTCATAACTTTAATACCAAAGCCACATAAAGACCCTTTGACTATTGATAATTGGCGAGGTATTACATTACTCAATAATGACTATAAAATTTTAGCATCCCTGTTGGCTAAAAGATTAAAATGTGGTTTAAACGATATTATTCATGAGTCTCAAAACGGATTCATGCCTGGGAGGCAAATAGCAGATAACATAAGATTAGTTTTAGATCTAGTTCATTATAGGGACTTATTGCCAGGTGATCCTTTGATTCTTTTTTTAGATTACCAAAAGGCTTTTGACACTGTAAGTCATACATTTATTTTTGATACATTACATTTTCTAAATTTTGGAAATTTCTTTATCAAAGCTCTTAAGACTCTTTATGGAACAACAACAGTGCTGTGAAATTGCTCTTTGGTACATCTTACAGATTTGATATCAACAAAGGTGTAAGACAAGGTTGTCCAGTTTCACCATATATTTTTTTACTTGTGGGACAGATTTTGAATTATTTGATTCGACAAAGTTCCTTTCAAGGGATTAAGGTTTTTGAGCAAGAAATTAAAATATCTCAATTAGCCGATGATACAACTATATTTCTTAAAAATGCTGAAGAAGTCCAATCAGCCTTGTCCACAATATCTACATTTTCAAACATTTCTGGGCTGAAACTTAATTTAAAAAAATGTGACATTCTAACTCTATATAATACTAATCTTAGAGATATCTGCAACATCCCTGTGAAGGATACGGTGACTTATTTAGGCATAAAAATATCTAAGGAGAGTAGAAATATGACAGAAAATGTTTTGTCTGTTACGGATGCTATAAAGAAGAAATTTAATAGCTGGTTGGGAAGAGATCTTTCTATTAATGGTCGAGTTTTGTTAAGCAAGGCAGAAGGAATGTCCAGAGCCTCTTACATATTCTCAACACTAGATGTCTCCAAAACGCTCTGCTCTAATCTTGATAAAATCTTATTCAAATTCCTGTGGAAAAACAAAGCTCATAAATTAAAACAAACAGTTCTCACCAATTCTTTAGCTGAAGGTGGATTGGACGTCTTAACTTTTACTGCTTTAAATCAGATTTTGAAAATTAATTGGATAAAACGATTTTTAAAAAATCCAAATTGTTTATGGAATATCTTCCCAAATTATTTTTTTGGAACGTTGGGAGGCCTGAATTTTCTTCTGCATTGTCCCTTTGCTGTTGGAAAACTTCCTGTGAAATTAGCCAAGTTTCATCAACAGGTTTTACTGTACTGGTCTTTACTTTACAAACACAACTATTCTCCTCACAATTGTATTTTATGGAACAATGCTTACATCCTGCATCGAAGGAAATCCTTATATTTAGAGAACTGGTTTGACAAAAATATAAATACTGTGAAACAACTTTTAGATGATAATGGTGATTTTTATGAGTATAAGGTTTTCATAGAAAAGTATGATCAAATACCTGAGCATGAGTTTGATGTGGTTGTAAAGTCAATACCTCAAAGTATAAGAACATTAGCGCAAAGTATTCATTTTATTGACTCACATTTCACGGATGTTTCCATTTTAGGTGTAAGCTTACAAGATAAAAAGTGCACAAACAAATATATTAGGGATAGTCTTATACAATTGGCCAATCCAGTATGTAAACATAGGTGGGGTTCATTTAACCGAAAATATTGGAATCAGGTTTTTTTGTTGCCCTACAAATATATAATCACAAATAAAGTCAAGGAATGTTTATTTAAAATTGTACACAGATATTACCCTGTAAAAGACAATATTTGTCGTTTTTTACCTAATCTAAGTAACCAATGTTCCTTTTGTCAATGTGATGGTGAAAGTATTGAACACTTATTTGTTGAATGTCCTATTATAGTTCGATTTTGGTCCAATGTGCAACACTATTTGGCTGGAATATTCCATAAAAATGTTAATATTTCCAAATTTCAAATTTTACTAATATATAATGATAAAAAATTCTCCTCTGATGAAATTTACATTATAAATCTAATACTGATCTTAGGAAAGTACTACATCCATAAAACTAAATTCTGTGAAAAAAAACCTTCCTTTTCTGCTTTTAAAGCTTCTGATCTGAAAACCTATCTAGCCTGTATTGAAAATTTAAAACTAAAAAATAAGAAATTAATTAGAACAATCACATTGATAAAAAAATTTAATGTATTAGTCGATTAGCAGACCCCTGTATGTAATGTATGTATGTATTTTATTTTATTTGATCAATATTAGTGCATCAATGTGTCTACGTTGTTGAGAAATGTACTTGTTTCTTGCACACTTGGAATAAAAAAAAAAAAAAAAAAAAAAAAAAAAAAAAAAAAAGAACCGGGAGGACCAGACGATGCCCAAATACAGGCGAGTTTCCCATAGATCTTTGCGAGTTTCAGGCAACTTCCGCTAATCTTTCAGCCCCCATGCTGTCACAAAGCGCCACTGAGCACAACCATTCATTTGAATAGGGCGCCATCTTGGATCGCCGGGGCTTGGTTATAATAGATCCATGCGCCTGACAGGCAGTGCAGGGCCACCTGTTTCTCTCTGGGTCCTGACTTCCTGACAGGCAGTGCAGGGCCACCTGTTTCCTCTCTGGGTCCTGACTTCCTGACAGGCAGTGCAGGGCCACCTGTTTCTCTCTGGGTCCTGACTTCCTGACAGGCAGTGCAGGGCCACCTGTTTCCTCTCTGGGTCCTGACTTCCTGACAGGCAGTGCAGGGCCACCTGTTTCTCTCTGGGTCCTGACTTCCTGACAGGCAGTTCAGAGGCCATCTGTTTTTCTATGGGTCCTGTTTCGACACGCCCTCTAGGTTCCTCTCTCACACGTGTGAGCTGCATTGCTGCTGGCGCAGACATTGCAGGTTTGTTGCTGTCGTTATGTCGGATCTACAGATGAAACTTCTGCGGAAGAAAATCCAGAAACGAAGCGACAAGAACAAGGAGCGGAAGCTGAAGCAGAAGCCCGAGGAGGAGGCCTCAGAGCCGGGTAAGTGTGCCGTGTGTCTGCTGCTAGCGCCGCTAGCCTTAGCATCACTTCTAGGCACATCTGTTTTTATCCACACACGAACACTTACAAACTAACAGGGTTTTTGTACAAATTAAACTATTGCCAGTGTTGAGGGTTTTAAAGTGGAATGAATTAAACTGTTAGTTTGGAACTTTCGAGTGAACTGTGACTCCATTGTGGTCTCTGCACTGATGTGGGTTTAATCCATGTCTCAGGTCATTTTTAATAATGTCACCATCATATTAGATACATGTTTCTATTGTCTCAAACGTTTCATGTGGTAAAAAGAATGGAACCCTTATTGGTGTCGTACTTTCGTCCAGTCATCGGTAAAGAGTCATCAATAGTGACTGTTTCAATTTGTTTTGGCAAATCCAGAAGTGTGCGGACGGACATCCAAACAAACGTCACCACAACACGGTGTTTCTTATTAGAAAACATCAAATCTTCTTTATACTGAGAGCTGATTGGCTGAGTCAAGGATGGTACTCTCCTCCTCAATGAAAAAGCTGATCTCCTGACGATGCAAAGGCCTAAACTAGTGATGGAACCAAACTGTAATGTTCTCTAGTTTTAATCTCAACTAAATTATGATTGAAGGTAATCCTAATTTATTCCTGGTCTGGCTCAGATCATCTGTTTGTGAAACGGGGGGATTCAGTGTTTTTATGTTATCTGCAAAAATATATCAGATGCTTCAAGAGTCTTTATGAATTATACAAACTACATTTGAGCAAGTATCACATTACAAGACCCCACCTCCGGACAAACGGCAAAGTGGCATTTAGGTTTTAGATTATGTTACAAGCCATAACTAATGTAAACTTTGGAATAGCAAAGTACTGAGGTTTTTTGAGCCCTTTTCCTAATGTATAACTCCCTCTGTTCTTTTTTTGCTGCCAGTGAATGGAGTGGAGCGAAAGGCTTGTGAAGAGGAGGCTCCAGCCCAGAAGCAGCCGCCGGCGCCCTCTGTACAGAACGATACTGAGGCTTTAGCCAAAAAGAAGAAAAAGAGAAAGCTGCAGAGAGATGACACGCCACAGGAAGCTCCAGGTGACGGACAAATATAGATCTGACACAGAACAATGTGTTTCAAAGTGATGCAAATGTCATGTTCTGTAAAGTATATCGGGGAAATTTCCTGAATGTCCTGCCTTTTTATTTGTCTTTTAAAATCTTTTCCTTTGGGTTTAGCCTGGTGTCTTGATTGTCTTTCTCATCTACATCTTTCACTGGTACAAACATCGACCTAAATGTTTCCTTTTAAAGTGTCAAGAACAGGTTTATATTTTGGTTCTAGAATGATTGACACCACAAAAAACACATCTCTCTAAACTGGTCATATTTAACGATGTACATCAGGGTCCGATGTACGTTGTAAACGTTCTACACAGATGCAGTTTCTAATCATGTGTGTAAATGTCAAGTGGAAGAAAAGTGTGAATGTTTTGCTTTTGTCTTTTCACACATACTTTGATGTTCGTGCAGTACTTTCTTTACTTGTTGTGTAATCTGACTGTTCATTGCAGATGAGAAGAAGACCAAACAAGTGGCAGTGGATGAAGATGACGAGGTGGAGGGAGAGAAGTCTGAGAAGGTTCCAGAGGATGAGGAAGAGGAGCAGCCAGAGCTGCTGTCTGGACTCACAGGTATCTTGTTTGTATGTCTGCCATGTCTCTAAAACTTGTTAAATTAAAGCTGAGTACCTACATTTTCCTTTGCATTAATACATATTAGTTCTGCTCAAACGTAAAATGTTGTGAACAAATCAGTCTGTCTTGTTTTTTAATATTTTTTTAGCAGTCATTAGACTTTTTAGGCTAACCGGGGGCCTAAAAATAAATAAAAATAAAATAAAATTCCACGGAAAAGCAAAACTGTTCAATGCACTTGAATTGCTTTTCAAAGGTTTGGAGTCAACATTTTGCAACATCGTTGATTAATTTTGTAAACATTTGGTTTCATTTTTAGTGCATTTATTTAAATCAAATAATTTCTAGAAAAATTTAAGTATTGAAGGATATAAATATTTTGTTTTGTTCTGGAGGAGTGTGCTATGAATGTGCTCTCGGTCTGTCCCTTACAGTGTCTCGAAGACCACAGTGTATGTGTTAGTGTATTTCAGTTCCATTTTACTTGGCATATTTAAATCGGATTTTGTATGTTTGTGAATTGTTCTTGATTCTTCCACGGTCGAATTGCAATTTATCTAAGAATCAGAAATGTCTCCAACCTCTACCTGTGATGCATGTGACTCTGGTGCTGTGTTCAGGAGCGTTCGAAGACACGTCCTTCGCGTCTCTCTCGGAGCTCATCGGGGACAGCACCCTGAAGGCCATTACTGAGATGGGCTTCGAACACATGACCGAGATCCAGCACAAGACCATCCGCCCCCTGCTGGAGGGCAGGTGTGTGTCTGTTTGTCTGTTAATAATGCTACATGTGTTGAATGTCCATCTGATGGCCTGGTCTCTGACCTGTCTGTCCACACAGGGACGTCCTGGCGGCTGCCCGCACAGGCAGTGGGAAGACCCTGGCCTTCCTCATCCCCTCCATAGAACTCATCTACAAACTCAAGTTCATGCCTCGCAACGGTGAGTGCTGTGTTCACCCTAAGTCACGCATTTCCATCTCACAGAAAAAAAAAATTGTGTTGAAATTTGAGTTTTCCTAACTTGACCCTGGGTCTTCTTTGAATCACTGTGGCCCGAGGGTTAGGTCCATGTTCTTAAATGAAGGGACTTTAAAGGATTTACTGGCAGGACCCTGTGTTTTGACTGTTTTATGGCCTCCTCCCGCAGGCACTGGGGTGGTGATCCTGTCTCCCACCAGAGAACTGGCTATGCAGACGTACGGCGTCCTGAAGGAGCTGATGACTCACCACGTCCACACGTACGGCCTCGTCATGGGGGGCAGCAACCGCTCTGCAGAGGCCCAGAAGCTGGCCAACGGAGTCAACATCCTGGTGGCCACTCCGGGAAGGCTGCTGGACCATCTTCAGGTCAGAGAGGCCTCATGTCTGAACTTAGAGAAGCAAAGTGGGACCTTTGATGGAGGCCAGTTATCAGGATTTATAGATAATTATGTAAAATAGGAATAAAGAGCTCAAAATATGTGAAAATGATAATTATTAAATTATAAAATGTGTATTAAATATTTGTATCTTGGTCAGAGAGTATTCCAATGCAAACTTACATGCAGTTTGAACAGTTAGAAGTAAAGTACAGGTTCCATATCTGCGGTGTCACCATCACACAGCATTGAGCCGCAGCGGATCATTAGTTTGGATTCTTAAGTTGTAAAGGTGGAGATTCTCATCATTACTGCTGAAGTGACTGTTTTGCACGTGTTTATAGTAAAATACTCATTAGCTGCGGCTTTAATTGACTCCATTACAAACTAATAAGTAGAGGTGCACCGATTGATCGGTAGACGATTATAATCGGCCGATCACAGCTTAATTTGCGTGATCGATGATCGGTGAAATGTGCAGATCACAAAGACCAATCAGATGACATGAGGGTTTGTGCGCACACGTTATGTTCTCTCGTCAAAACTGCGTAAACAAGCAACTCAGGCAGCTATCAGTGACGGAGATTCTACAGCAGCAACAACCACACAGTAATGACGCTAGAAACAACATGAAATATGCACGAAAGTTATAGAATTTATTCCCCTCTGGCACCAGTCCTTGTCTGTTGTGGAAAGCGCTGGGTTCAAACAGCTCATGTCCACTGCTTCAAAATGCCATCGCGGAGATATCTGACTGATGTCTGCCTGTCGCAGCTTTACCAAACTCTATATCCTCACATTGACACTCCAAGCCCAGCCAGAGCATGGATCTATTATAATAACGAGCCAGAGACACACCGCGCAGGCACAGCACATACACCGAACACACTCAGCAGCGAGGCACTGCCGTCAGGCAGAAACACCCCGTGTCAGGAGTTTGCATGTTATGTTCACAGAAATATTGAATTAGGATGAGTGTAGTGGTAGTATAGACAGTCCTACAGTGTCGCAGATTTAGCATTACTTACTACGTAGTTGCGCATTGGAGCAGACAGCCGCCTGTTTATTGGAAGGAAAATAAAAGCCGCTTCCGTTGTTTGGCCAAAGCAGCGTCTTTCCTCTGCTCCATGCACAAGTGCAGACAGTGAGAGTTTAGGGCAGCGGGACTATTCAGGATGATAAACGTAATAAACCCTTGCAAATGCTGAGATGCTAATATTACTGAAGAAAAAACATTGCCTTAACCATCTCTTCTTAATCAGTTTAGAAATGCAGCATGTACATTATTGCTGTATTTCATTGCATTTTTGTATGTATCTCAATGCTCTGTAACTTGTGGTTCCCAACCTTTTTGTCTCGAGTACTCTTATAGGCATTTTATTTATACCTAGTACCTTGATGGTTTTGAAAGATTAATTATAAAGTGAATAACTAGTCCTATTCATTTATCACTAATATTTTCAATATTTGATCGGTATCTGCAGATCAAAATTTTAATGATTGGTGATCGGCCAAAAAAATCCTGATCGGTGCACTTCTACTAATAAGCTCAGTCGCCTGTCCGGTTTTTGTAATAAATTGTTTGGTTTTCAATCCAAAATGTGGATGAAGGGGGTACAAATAGTTCAGTTAATGCTCCCATTCATTCTGCTACATTTCCTCTCGTGTGTTTCTCCAAACACTGATTAGAGCTGCAGCTATCGAATATTTTAGTAAGAGTATTCCCAATCGATATTACAAAACAAGCTTGGACTATGATTAAACAATGCAAATTATACAAAATCCTTGAGGCAGCGGAAATTGCTAGAATATTTTTTGTACTTTAATCATTTGAGGAATAATTTCAGCTCTAACTGTGAGGCAGATGAGTCTCGGATTCATGTTTGTGTAGATTCAGCAGAGACACAGCTGCTGTCTACAGGTGCATCATGGGTATTTCTGATTCTGCTCTTTTTATCGTTGTCATGGAGTGGAATCACTGTTAATTTGGATGAATTGCACGTCCACAGAGCCCAGTGTGGGACTGGGCTCGTTCTTAGAGCCTCATGCACTGAGCTGAAGGCAGTATGTGATTCTGTAGCCGACATTATTCTAATGCTCTGCAGGTTCATCTTTTCATATTAATTTTTAAGATAATATTTGTGAGATTTCATAACACTTTGAAGCAACTTTTGTTAAAGTTAAACTCATCATTCTATCAATGTGCAGAAGCCAGTACTTTTCCCTTGTTTTGTCTATCTGAAGGCCAAGCTACATGGCACACTGTGGCAGCTGCTGATTGGACGTCTCCATGCCTCTGCTCTGTATAATACACTTGCATTCTATTGTATCTGTGATCGTGTGCTTTGATCGTGCTGTCTCTACCATTGACAATAAAACATGTCTTCTGTCTGAATGAAAGACGCGATCCCAGACTTTGTCATCTTCTTCATGTTCTTTTAAGTTATTTTATATATTTGTTATTTGAATGTAATATTTAGCTTCTCGCCCCAGTCACTCCTGCACTGGTCTGAGGTGTCACAAAGTTGTTGAGATGAACTGAATGTGTGTTGTTCCAGAACACTCCTGGCTTCATGTTCAAGAACTTGCAGTGTCTGATCATCGACGAGGCCGACCGCATCCTGGAGGTGGGCTTCGAGGAGGAGCTCAAGCAGATCATCAAACTGCTGCCCAGTACGTCTGTCTCTGTTCTCTATACCCTTTAGTTTGTCTCACTGGTCTCTCCCTCGCTGGTCTCTCCCTCGCTGGTCTCTCCCTCGCTGGTCTCTCCCTCGCTGGTCTCTCCCTCGCTGGTCTCTCCCTCGCTGGTCTCTCCTTCGCTGGTCTCCCCTTCGCTGGTCTCCCCTTCGCTGGTCTCCCCTTCGCTGGTCTCTCCATCGCTGGTCTCTCCATCGCTGGTCTCTCCATCGCTGGTCTCTCTCTCTTTCTCCCTCTGGTCTCTCTCTCTGGTCTCTCTCTCTGGTCTCTCTCTCTGGTCTCTCTCTCTGGTCTCTCTCTCTGGTCTCTCTCTCTGGTCTCTCTCTCTGGTCTCTCAGTTAAAAGAATGAATGGAGGAGTGAAATGCGTCGGTGGTGTGTTCAGAGCGGAGGCAGACGATGCTGTTCTCGGCCACACAGACTCGCCGTGTGGAGGACCTGGCTCGTATCTCCCTGAAGAAGGAGCCTCTGTACGTGGGAGTGGACGACGACAAGGACCGGGCCACCGTGGACGGTCTGGAGCAGGTGCAGCTTCTACACTCTCTGCTTCACAAACACACCTGTGACAAAGCATTCAGCACTGAAAGGTCTTAACTAAACACACAATTTCATTTATTTTATACTGCCCTAAATCGCAACAGTAGTTATCACGCAGGACTTTACAAAGCTGTCAACTCACCTGCACCGATCAGAGAATCACAGGAAAGACAACGATGACACATAGAGCCATTGGTATTTAATGGCATGGCATTTTTCTTTGATTTTCAATTCATTGGTTTTAGATTTATTTTTTTGCATTTCTCGACATGTTTTCCTTTTCTGCATCAGATTCCATGTTTTATTTCTGCCAGTGTGGGGATTAATGTCTATAAGAATGCACCACACAGATCCTGGCAGAAAACCTCTAACTTTTGCATAATAATGAAGCAAGTATGAATCCTGTGTATTCTAGTGCAGACATATATAGTTGTATGTTTACGTCTGTACATGTCAGCAGCATGTGGTTCTATAATGGGCATTCTGACATATTTCAACTATGATGTCACAGATAAGTATGCACACCCTTGTATCCTTACTGGCCTGTTGCCTGTGTCTGTCTGACCCTCTGCCCGGTCTCCTCCAGGGCTACGTGGTGTGTCCGTCAGAGAAGCGATTCCTACTGCTCTTCACGTTCCTCAAGAAGAACCGCAAGAAGAAGCTGATGGTCTTCTTCTCCTCCTGCATGTCTGTCAAGTTCCACTACGAGCTGCTCAACTACATCGACCTCCCCGTCTTGGCCATCCACGTGAGCGCACCGTCCTCCACCCACACACACTAACACAGACACACACTGCTGTCACATCTGTTACGGTCTAAATTTAGTCGCCAAAAACTACGGAGACTTGTCCTGAGAACCCACTGCTACTGTCAGAATGTTTGCATGGATTTGGGACTGATCGCAGAACAGGCAGAGACAGAGGATGATCACGCACTATTGGATCAGGGCTAACATGATGCTAATGTTGGACCATTTTATAAAACGAATGGGTCATTTTAATCATTTGACACTATATTGCTTTTATTTGCTTCAATTACTTTGTGTATTGCCCTAAATCACACCAGTAGTTATCTCGAAAGACTTTACAAAGCTGTCGATTCGAACAGATCAGAGATGCAAACGGTTAAAACACAGGAAATGTATGTGATTAAAACACATAGTGCCATTGGTCCATAAGGGGCAAATGGATATGATTGGCTAAAAACTGGATACGTGTGATAGACATTTAGAGCGTCCAATCAGCTGTTCTGGACGATGGTAAGCCTCCGAGAAACTATCGGAGAAAACATCCCTGATATTTTATAGTTTTTGACTGATCGGGGATCGGCTAAACTGCCCGATCTCTACAGCTGTTGTTGTGAAGTCGCAGTTATGTACGGTAACTGCGCAAAAAATAGTGATCGGGACATTTCTCTGGGAAACTGAAGTGAAAAGATTCAATTAATGCTATCTGGCTTTTAAACGGCAAAATGTTTGGGACTATTTTCCTAAACATAAATGCTAAGCCCTTCTAACCATGAATGTTGTGTTTTTAGCCCATTCCAAAGTCCAGACCCGAACACGAATGTAAATGTGTGAAACTAAAACCCACTGTTGGACTGTTGCAGGGGAAGCAGAAGCAGACCAAACGCACCACCACCTTCTTCCAGTTCTGTAACGCAGACTCAGGCATCCTGTTGTGCACAGATGTGGCAGCACGAGGCCTGGACATCCCAGAGGTCGACTGGATCGTTCAGTATGACCCTCCAGACGACCCCAAGGTCTGCTCGCCCCCTTTCTCTCTCTTGTCTCTCTGTCTTTGTGTGGGCTCTGCCTAAAGCTGCTGTTTCCTGCAGTCAAACATTGTCCTTTTTTTCATACATATTTAACTGATTCTTTACCTCAGTGACAAATCACTCGTTAAGTTTGTGTGTGTTTGTGTCTAACAGGAGTACATCCACAGAGTGGGCAGAACAGCCAGAGGGATCCACGGTCGAGGCCACGCTCTGCTGATCCTACGACCCGAGGAGCTGGGATTTCTGCGCTTCCTCAAACAGGCCAAGGTACAACACTTTACACACAGGAAGTTGGGATGCACCGATACTGGTATCTGGTCGATACCATAGGCTTGTACCATAGGACCCGAGGCGGGGAACAGATACCCACATTTTTTATTTACATTTGCGGCATGACAGCAGACCGCTGTGTTGCCATGGTGATCTTCTAAAGTCTGCAGGGAGTCTCTTCCTATCAGTGTGAAGCAGAATTCACCAAGCGTTGGATTGTTCACCCACTAATGGGGAGCGTGAAACAGGTTAGTTTTACCTAACTGTTGCAATAGTATTCCTGCTTAGCGGAAAGCGGTAGTTGCATGTATAGCAGTTTTTTTTTTCTATACATTGAGGCTGGGAACGCATTTCAATGTCTCGAGCCGGGAGCGCAGACATGTCTGTTTATCTTTGACCAATTATCTTCATTGGTCAATTCTCTGGCCAATGAAATGAATCAGGATATACCAGGAATCTGCATTCCTACCTTTTTGTAGGAATTACCATTTCAAAGAAATGTCATTTCCGTGACATGTGTGACCGCGGGCTGTTGTTTTTTTGTACATACTCAAAAGGGATCCCACATCCCCCATTCTGACCCCGGGAGAAACTGTGGCCACTTTGACAACAGCGGAGGCGAAAGCACAGCTGTAACATGGTCATGTGTTGAGCACAGATCATAGACGCACGATCAGGCCCATCCCCAGCTTTTTGCATGTGCAATGTAAAAAATCATAATCATTCCAGTAACACTGAAGTGTCTCATGATTCTGTGCAGGTCCCACTGAGTGAGTTCGAGTTCTCCTGGACTAAGATCTCTGATATCCAATCACAGGTGACGTTTCTGCAGTTTATTCTAAAGCGCTGGTTTGTCACTGACCCCTGTCCTCTTGGTCCTGCAGCTGGAGAAGCTGATAGAGAAGAACTACTACCTGCACAAGTCTGCGCAGGAGGCCTACAAGTCGTACGTGCGCGCCTACGACTCTCACTCGCTGAAACAGATCTACAGCGTCAACACCCTGAACCTCCCCATGGTGGCGCAGTCCTTCGGCTTCAAGGTTCCTCCCTACGTCGACCTCAGTATCCTTTTTAACGTCACATGTGATGAATGAATGGAGGCGGTTTGGCCCTGGTCGTGTGGTTTGGTTTAATGCTTTGATGCAGTTAGTCGGGGTGTTGATAGGGCTAGTACCTGGTTTCCTCTGTACATGGGCTCGTTAGCTGATGTCCCTGTTGTTCTCCTTGACCTGGCGCCCTCAGACGTCCACAGCGGCAAAGGAGCCAAGCTACAGAAGCGCGGTGGCGGCGGAGGCTTTGGGTACCAGAAGAAGAACTTCCAGAAGGCGAAGATCTTCAAACACGTCAACAAAGGGAAGAGCGACCAGAGACAGTTCTCTCGCTAGGACCCTCCCCCTGGACTCAGACCTTCTTTCTTCTTGGACTCAGCGAATCCTCTGTCAGAGAATCCACTCTTACAATAATGTGCAAAATATCGATGTATCTCAACTGTTTTCTTACTGGATTTTCTGCTTCTAGGTCTTTGTGTTGGGTGTGAAACATTGATAGTTTTACATTTCATTTCACATTCAGGTTATTGTGGACAAAATAGATAAAATATTAAAAAACGTATTCAAATTTATAAATGGAAACAGGCCTAATTTATGTTTTTAATGTATTGAGACATATTTGCCTGATTTTAACATAAAATTGTAATGTTGGCACAAGTGAGTTATTTGTGGATTCAAATCAAAGGGGAAATGGGAACATTCCCTTTTACACACGTTACGACCAAAGAAAATATTGTGGGTTTTTCTTACATGAAAAGTCGGTCTGCATTTCCTGCTTTGCCTTTATCCAAAAACTGACTCAGTTCTTGACTTTTATCACAAATGCTGTTGAATAAAGCGGCACACGATTGACTGACATGTTTTAATCACTGTAGTCACTTCCAAAAGTCACAGAATAAATGGATTTACAACAAATTGATTAAAAATGATCTGTAAACACAATACTGCAACATTCCTGACTCGTGCTTAAACTGTACTGCAACAAAAAGTCTAAATTTGATTCTGATTGACCCATGATTCAATACTATTTAAAAATGCATTTGAAGTAACAAACATTGAACCTTTTGTTACCGGTGGAGGAAAACCTGCATTTATTCTTTAATCATATTTTCTTAACCCTTATGCCATCCTTGCCTCATTGATTAAAAACAATTCAAGTATTGTTTATTATCTAGTTGAATTTTAGGCCACACCTGCAGGTGAAAGCCAGATCCTGTCAGTCTTCTGAAGCTAAGCAGGGCTGGGTACTGTGATGGGAGACCTCTGGGAACAACTGCCGCAGTGGGGTGGCTGAAAAATGCCACTTCCCTCCACATTGGAATGTGTGTGTGGTTGGTGGTGGGAGGGGCCGATGGCACAGACTGAATGCCTTGCTTCTGTCAGTGTGCCCCAGGGCAGCTGTGGTTAGTGGTAGTTTAATCACCACTGTTTGGTGTGAAGCGTTTGAGTCCTAAAAAGCGCTGTATAAAAGTAATTTTTCATAACTTGACCAGCCCTGAGTCAGACCCTGATTAAGGTTCTAAAAAAAATAAAAAAATTTAATCACTGGCGGGCAAGTTGATCTGAAGGCAGCACAAGGGTTAAGAACAGTTACTTTAGATATTGTTAGGACTGTGGCCTGTGCTAAATGTGCAGAACTGTAGATAAAATATGCAAACAAAACAGGAGGGAAACCTGCAGCACAAACGTGTGGTTTAAAGGGGCCATATTTTGCTTTTCATTTTTCAGTCCATCCTGGGCACTTGTATGGTATATTATCCAAATTATTATCACACAACACTCAAAACCTGTCAAATTATAGCCATTTTGTGCGTAGGGGTGATGTCACCTCTAATGCACAGTGGCGTAGCCTCTCGCTAACAGAGCCCCATTATAATTATTTAGTTCATAGTGACGAGTGAGCGAGATGGTTTCGCTGCACTCAGACTCCTGTTAGCAGTTAGCGTCTTTATGTTGGAAATAACACCATGTTTCCAGATCAGCTTCTGAGTAGGTCCCGTTTCAAGATAAGCATAGTTCTAGGACAGTCTTTAGTGTCACCGCTACTCGCAAAGAAACATCTTCAATTTTTGTCGTGAATTTCAGACTAACGCATTCGAGGCAGATCCCCGTGAACAAAGTCGATCCACAATCTCCTCAGTCTTTGGGCCAAATACTGTCATCACATATTTACACCAAAAACATATTTTCTCCAAGTTAACATGAAGCTAACACAAAAAGCACAGACACATTTACTCTCCAAGACAGGAGAAACTGAACCAGCAAATGGTCCAATCACCTCTTGGAGGCGAGCTTTTGACATCACTGTTTAAATAGATTTGTTTCTGTACTTCACGAGAATGAAAAAGATTGTTCTGTAACCAATCTTCAATCACGTTTACACCAGAAAAAAGTCAAGTCTAATATGGGTCCTTTAAAGACTGGGTGTTGTTCAGAGACTGAGGTATAATCTACAGCGGCTACAGACACAAACTGGTTCCAGCCTGAACTCTGGGGATGGATGAAGCTGAGGCTCATAAACTTAATCATTCAACACAGATTTGGAACAAAATAATTATAAAACACAATTTAAAAAAAAAAAAACCTCACAGTAATGCATCTCAGTCAACTCTAAATCATTATGATCTGTTTGTGCAAAGTTCTCTTTCACAGTCTCCTCACTCAGACGAGCAGCGTGAGGCTCTGGACGGTCAGGACTGAGGTCTCTGCTGCAGCTGGTCACCTGAGACACACAACCATGAACATCCTCTGAAGAACACACACAACCTTTGCTTTTAAGAAGAAATTCTCAGCAAGAATGTTCTCGGTGCGTATCATGGAACAGGGCCTTTCTGAGTGGAGTTTGCATGTTCTCCCTGTGTCTGCGTAGGTTTCCTCCGGGTACTCCAGTTTCCCCTACTACTAAAAACATGTGCAATAGTTCAGGGTGAATGATGAGTGGTTTGTGAGTGAATGTGGGACAACGGATGCAAATTAGCCCATGGTGACAAGCCGTAGTGATGTGTTCATTAACATGTACTGTCCCAACTAAATAAACAATGAATAAAAATAAGTTTTAGACCACAAGTACGAGCCCAACCCAGACTATGGGTTGGGACTCACTGCCTGGGAGCTGCCTCAGTCCTGGATCTACAGCCTCAGTCATTGAGCCTGTCCGTTCGTGGGAGTAGATCCCTCACTCAATATGAGCCTAAGATTTCTCACTTTTCTCCCACTGGGTTTTTAGAGCTGTTCCTTTGATGCAGGACAGAGATGATCCAGGACACGCCACATTAAACAACACTTATGGACATTGGTCTCTGCCCCTTATGGACCAATGGCTCTATGTTATAATTGCATTTCCTGTGTTTGATTCTCTGATCTGTGTTGGTAAATTGACAGCTTTGTAAACTACTGTTGTGATTTAGGGTAGTACAAGAATAATATAAATTGATTTGAATGGAAAGAGTGGTACCGTTGCTGTGGCAGCCGGGCTCAGTGGTCTCCCAGTTCATGGCCTTCTGCACAGCCTTCTTCCACCGAGCAAAACGGAACTCGCTCTCTGAGGACAGAGCAGAGTCACACACTGCTCCTCTGGTGCACACACGTCACAGGACGCACAATTGTCTCTTAACGTTACACAATCAAAGTGCATAATCGTACCTCTAGAAGTGTACAAGCGGTGCGTGTGTGTGTGTACCTTGTGTGTTGATCCTGGGTGTGTGTGTGTGTTTGTACCTTGTGTGTTGATGCTGGATGTGTGTGTACCTTGTGTGTTGATGCTGGATGTGTGTGTGTGTGTACCTTGTGTGTTGATGCTGTGTGTACGTTTGTGTGTGTGTGAGTGTGTACCTTGTGTGTTGATCCTGGGTGTGTATGTGTCTGTCTGGATGTGTGGCAGCTCCTCTGGCCTCAGGCTCCACACCTGCACCCCCTCGGCTGCTCCCGCCGCCATAGCTGCCCCCAGCGCCGTGGTCTCTGCCATACAGGGCCTCACTACAACAAAGGACAGCACTGAGCAGCAGAACCTCCTCTAACCCAGCAGAGAACGGCCAATCACAGCTCACACACAGATTTAAAAACACTTCCTTCTCCCTCATTCTCATTGATCTTAGCTGGGTATAGACCAGACATGACAACCTGAGGCTCGAGGGCCAAATCCGGCCCGCAAGGCATCTTTTTGTGGATTTTAAATGATTATTTATTATTAACGTGCATTATTGATGGTTATGGGCTACCATGACATGTAATAAATACGTCATCTTTTTTGTCATGAAAACAACTATAGTTAGTTTATTCTGATATTTGAACCCAACACATCGATAGAAGTTAAATAGTTAAATCCTGGATGTAGAGCCTCAGTCCTGGATCTGCAGCCTCAGTCCTGGATCTGCAGCCTCAGTCCTGGATCTACAGCCTCAGTCCTGGATCTACAGCCTCAGTCCTGGATGTAGAGCCTCAGTCCTGGATCTGCAGCCTCAGTCCTGGATCTGCAGCCTCAGTCCTGGATCTACAGCCTCAGTCCTGGATCTACAGCCTCAGTCCTGGATCTACAGCCTCAGTCCTGGATCTACAGCCTCAGTCCTGGATCTACAGCCTCAGTCCTGGATCTACAGCCTCAGTCCTGGATCTACAGCTCGTTCGTCCGTGGGAACATTTTCTCATTTTCTCCCACTGTGTTTTTAGAGTTGTTCCTCTGATGCAGGAGGCTCTAAGGACACTGATGATCCAGGACACTCCACATTAAACAATAGTTATGGACATTTATGGATATCCTGTGTTTGAACTGTTTGATTCTCTGATCTGTGTTGGTGAATCAACAACTTTGTAAAGTCTTCTAAGATAACTACAGTTGTGATTGGGGGCTATACACAGATAAATTGAATTGAATTCAATAGAACAATAGATAAACGCTGATATAAGTGACTGACCCACAGGAGTGCACAGGATGTCCGCCTGCAGCTGCATGAGGAGACTGTTACAGGACATGCCTCCATCCACCTGCAGCAGACTCAGCTCCCCCCCACTGTCCAGGTTCATGGCATCTACGATCTGTCAGGACCACACGTCAGTAAATTATGATTATGAACTAATAACGGCTTGATTCAAGTGGTTTAATAAGCTGTTATTTCTATTACTGTTCAGCCTCAGTTCTGCTGCTAAACAGCGGCCCATGTCCAATGTGCCTGGCTCCTCTGGTCATTGTGGTCTGGCATAAATCCATTCCTCCTCTGGTGTAAAGCTCCCACAGACACTTCATTCCTCCTAACTGCAAAAGACTGCAATATATGATCTCAACGCTAGATGGGGGTAAAAACTACTGACTGTACCTTTAAGGAAGTCAGAATGTGCTCAGATAAAGATACATTTGCCACATTTTTGACTGATTTTTCATCAGTTTCAACACAGTTACTGCTGCAATTACTTTTGGGAGAAGTAATGAGTAAGTATAACTCATTTTTGAGGTAACTTTCCGAACACTGCTCATGAACAACCGAGGAGTTAAGCTCCAAAAAGCGTAAACTTCAACAATGTGTTTCAAATCATATTTTTTATTTGAGTAAGAATAATCACTGCAATGAAGATGTGAGCATCAAGAATAAGGGACAGAAGACAAAGGCACCTCTCTGGTTTGGAAGCAGACGGCCTCCAGAGCCGCGAAGGCCAAGTGGTTTCTGTTGGTGAACTGTGTGAGGCCACAGATGATCCTGTAACACACACAGCTGTGAGAGCGCTCCTACACAAAGACACACACACGCACAACTTTGAGAGTGCACACACTGGCTTGGAGCTGCACACACACACACACACAGCCTCACCCTCTGGCACTGGGCTCCCAGTACGGAGCATAGAGTCCGGAGAACGCCGGTACAAAGTAGCAGCCGTGGGAGGTTCCTACAGACGCTGCCAGCTTTTCTGAAATACAACAACACACACATGAACTTTGACATACATGAACCACACGGATGCTGGACTCACCGATGTCATCCGCAGACTGCACCATGCCCATGTTGTCCCGGAGCCAGCGCACCACTCCTCCTGCCATGGCCACAGAGCCCTGACACACACACTGCATGAGAACTGTCCTTTCTCTGGACTTTTGGACTTTTATGTCCTGGTTTCCGTTATGACAATGACTTTCTCAAACAGGAAGTGTGTTAGATCCTCCTGCAGGTAGCTCCTGTGGACTCACCACCTGCAGGAGGATCAGTGAGGGGCTGGTGCTCTGTGTACTGGGTGCAGCTCTGACTGCTACCCCCCCGACCCAGAAATATATTAAGGGGAAGAAAATGGATGGATGGATGCCCAAAGTAGTTTTTTCATTGATTTCCTCAAGCTTTAGATTGAGAGCAATCAATCTCCAGGGACACCAAAACCTCTACAGAAGCCCCAACTCCAGCAGGTAATTGACAGGTGAGAAATCAAAACAGCGAAGTATTGCGTACAGTCTTTCCCAGCGCATGGTCCCGCGTCGACCACATCAAGCTCTGCAGTTTTTCTGCTATTTTCAGCGACTAAAAGTGTTAGCGTCATGTGACTAAAGTGTTAGCATCATGTGACTAAAGTGTTAGCATCATGTGACTAAAGTGTTAGCATCATGTGACTAAAGTGTTAGCATCATGTGACTAAAGTGTTAGTATCATGCGACTAAAGTGTTAGCATCATGTGACTAAAGTGTTAGCATCATGTGACTAAAGTGTTAGCATCATGTGACTAAAGTGTTAGCGTCATGTGACTAAAGTGTTAGCATCATGTGACTAAAGTGTTAGCATCATGTGACTAAAGTGTTAGCATCATGTGACTAAAGTGTTAGCATCATGTGACTAAAGTGCTAGCATCATGTGACTAAAGTGTTAGCATCATGTGACTAAAGTGTTAGCATCATGTGACTAAAGTGTTAGCATCATGTGACTAAAGTGCTAGCATCATGTGACTAAAGTGTTAGCATCATGTGACTAAAGTGCTAGCATCATGTGACTAAAGTGCTAGCATCATGTGACTAAAGTGCTAGCATCATGTGACTAAAGTGTTAGCATCATGTGACTAAAGTGTTAGCATCATGTGACTAAAGTGTCAGTATCATGCGACTAAAGTGTTAGCATCATGTGACTAAAGTGTCAGCATCATGTGACTAAAGTGTTAGCATCATGTGACTAAAGTGTTAGCATCATGTGACTAAAGTGTCAGCATCATGTGACTAAAGTGTTAGCATCATGTGACTAAAGTGTCAGCATCATGTGACTAAAGTGTTAGCATCATGTGACTAAAGTGTTAGCATCATGTGACTAAAGTGCTAGCATCATGTGACTAAAGTGCTAGCATCATGTGACTAAAGTGTTAGCATCATGTGACTAAAGTGCTAGCATCATGTGACTAAAGTGTTAGCATCATGTGACTAAAGTGTTAGCATCATGTGACTAAAGTGTTAGCATCATGTGACTAAAGTGTTAGTATCATGCGACTAAAGTGTTAGCATCATGTGACTAAAGTGTCAGCATCATGTGACTAAAGTGTTAGCATCATGTGACTAAAGTGTCAGCATCATGTGACTAAAGTGTTAGCATCATGTGACTAAAGTGTCAGCATCATGTGACTAAAGTGTTAGCATCATGTGACTAAAGTGTCAGTATCATGCGACTAAAAGTGTTAGCATCATGTGACTAAAGTGTCAGCATCATGTGACTAAAGTGTTAGCATCATGTGACTAAAGTGTCAGCATCATGTGACTAAAGTGTCAGCATCATGTGACTAAAGTGTTAGTATCATGTGACTAAAGTGTCAGCATCATGTGACTAAAGTGTCAGCATCATGTGACTAAAGTGTCAGCATCATGTGACTAAAGTGTCAGCATCATGTGACTAAAGTGACTTAGAGAACCTTTATTTTTGGTGTAAATATGTGAAGACATTTTTGGCCCAAAGGTGAATAATGAGGCGAGTGTACCTGCACTTTCTATTCATAGGATCTGAATCTGAAATCCACGATGAATTGTTCATCTGTAAGTGACACTTCACTAAAGACGGTTCCAGAACTACAGCTACCATGAAACTGGACTCAAAAACTGATCTTTAAACATGGTGTAAAAGAGGCTAGCGAGGAGCATAGATGTGTACAGTGTGACTCACCTCCAGAGCGTAGTAGGTGGGCTGGTTCCGGCCCAGTTTGTAGGCCACTGTGGTGAGAAGGCCGTGCTCCGACATCACGGACTGCAACACATGCTTTGTTTAAAGCAGGGTTCTTTATTTTTCAGTTGAACTCAATGCATTTGTCAGAGGAGCTCAGAGTAGAGCTGCTGCTCCTCCAAGTGAAAGGCAGATATGTTCATTGGTTAAACAAAGTGGACCAATCAGGAGCAGAAGGCAGGAGCAAAACAACTTTCCTGGTATCTCATGGTTTAGCATAACGCCCACTTTTAATTTTCTTCCAGACGACAACAACCATGTATTTTGGGAAGACGTTTTAGAAACAGCGTCACAATAATGTGAAAACAGTCATCACACAGAGATGTGACAGAAGTCTGTGTGTGTGTGTGTGTGTGTGTGTGTGTGTTGATGTATGTTTGTCCTCTCAGTTCAATGGAGAAGGTCCTCCACACTCCTGACCTGTCCTCTCCAGACTGTGGTCTTTTGTGTTTCTCCCACAGACTTTGTAGGCCTATGTTTCAATACAGCACTTTCAGCTTCTTTGGTTTTGCCTTTTGAGGCTTATCTCTCCTTATAGAGGAGTCAGTGATTTTCTTCTGCACAGCTTTCACCTCACTTTGTCAGTGTTACTCTTCTGACCTATCAGCTGCAGTAGATCCAGGTGCCCCCGCCTTCAACCATAGTTATATTTTTCACTCTAGTTCATCTGTTTGTCTCTAAGGACCAATAGCTGTTTGAATCATTGATTTTCTAATTGTTTCTTAATCAACCATTTTGTTATGACTGTTATAACTGTTATGACTGTAGAGAAAGACATAGATTAGATAAGTGCAGTTCCTTGTTTACATACCTTAGTCCCAGTGTTCCGGAGCAGAAAGCAGCCGGTCCCATACCTGGAGGATCAGACGTGAGTTCAGTATCAGAAACACTCCACACACGGTGGCGTCTCTTACGTGTTCTTGGCCTGGCCGTCGCTGAAGCACATCTGACCCACCAGCGCCGCAGATTGGTCTCCCAGACACTGCATCAGGAAGGAGCTGATCAGGGATCTGATTGGTCAGTGATTATTGTTCATAAGTCAGAGCTCGGGGTAGAGCCCCTGGGGCAGGGGTGCTTGTTTGTGGCCAGTAATGACCATGTTGTCTTCAATCACATTTTCTTGGCAGAAAAAAATACTTTTCCAAGCGCAGATTTGGGACCGCTGTTTGTGGCGGAACTGGATTTCATTGATTACGAACTTTGATGGTAATATGTTAATGGTTAGTTGTTACCATGAAAATAATTTCTTCAAGAAAACAACCATCTGAGTTCCTTTATTCTAAACTTTGAAGCCAACATGTAAATATAGTTTAATAAAATAAATAAATAATTCGCCTCAGTTTAATAAAAAAAACTTTGGTCCATTTTTAGTTTAATCTAAACAAATGATAAAATAATACCCAAACTCTAGAGTGTCTTTAGTTGTGTTGGTACTTTCTTTCCTATCTGCATATGAAGGTGTGTCTTGTACTATCAAAAGGAGCTTGCAGACTGTGATTCAGATCTGATTTTGGAACCAGAGAGAGAGCAGCATTTTCTGCCGTCTCTAAATTACAGCATTAACACTTTAGATAAAAGTAGTGATATTGAAGGATCCTGGAGACGACTTACCCCAGAGATGGGCACTCCAGCCAGAGGACCAGCGCTCTGCAAACACACAGCAGGAAACAAGACAACGTTAAAACAGAGAAATAACATTTAATATCAGCATCAGACTTCACCTTCAGGAAGTCGACTAAGGATTAAACCAGGAGTGTTTGAATCCTTCGAGTGCGCAGAAAGCTGACGAACATCAGGATAATGCATGAAGAGAAAGTTGTGAATTCTCTGCTGCGATGACCTCACCACCTCCCTCACGCACACTTGGAAATGCGCAGTAGCCGAGAACAAACATATACAACAATGGCGGTGGGTCAACTAATGCTACGTGTGGCACGGAGGAGAATTCTACTCCTTCGTCCAAATGAAACCATGCAAAGCTCTAGTTAAAGCTGCGCCCACTTGAACATCAGTCAGAGCCAGAAAGTAAAGAAAGCCCTCAAAAAGACTTAGTTAAATTAAGTTTCTCTTTACTTTCCTTCAGATTAATATTTTGTCTGTGAGCAGACTTGGATGAATGAGACTAAAGCAGCAGAAAAGCTCCACATACCTCACAGTATCAGGGTGAGCATGAGGAGGGCTTTGATCTCACCATGTGGCCGTAGATCTCAGACGAGGTACGGACTGTGGGCAGTATCTCCATGGGAACGTCAAAGTACCTAAAACAGCAACACAGAGAAACAGATCTGACGGCAAGACAAGGAACCAGTTCACCCAGGGCTAATTCAGGTTATTCACATGTTCCAATGTGTGTGTCTGATTATTAGATAATTAGAACTACTGTATATAATAAAACAGTTCTCCTCTATCGTCGATGCAGCAGCTCGTCACTGTGGTCGCAGGTCTCTGGTGCTGGTCCTGGGCTCTGATAGTAAGGACTGCAGTCAGGCTGTAGAAGGAGTCCTACAAAGCTATGATGGATTGTGGGAATTTTTTTTTAAATAAACACAGGACTGGGAGGAGTTGGGAGAGTCCATGGTCTATCGGTCGGCCTGGATGAGATCCAGATGTTGTGAGACGGGCTTGGCTCTCAGCTCGTAGACAGTACCTTCAGAGTGGCAGACTTCCAGGGGGGACCAGAGGGTGTGTTCCAATTATCAAGGTCGACCTCAGCAGAGGGTCAACCTTGGGGAACAATAAGGAAGGACCAGGAAGGAGGTCTTTTTACCTATTGTGGAGGGAGGAACAACAGGTAGACTAGGACCATTAGGGCTGGATGTACCAGCCCCGAAGCTGACCTGCAGAGATCCTGGTCCCAACTGAGAGAGTGGATGTTGAAGAGCATGGTGCGGCTGGCGTTGGTCACGTCTGTGCAGTGGACGCCTCCATGACGTCCTCCGGTCAGACACTGAGGAAACACAAGATCTACAGCCTCAGTCCTGGGTCTACAGCCACAGTCCGGGGTCTACAGCCTCAGTCCAGGATCTACAGCCTCAGTCCTGGATCTACAGCCTCAGTCCTGGACCTACAGCCTCAGTCCTGGGTCTACAGCCTCAGTCCTGGATCTACAGCCTCAGTCCTGGATCTACAGCCTCAGTCCTGGATCTACAGCCTCAGTCCTGGGTCTACAGCCTCAGTCCTGGATCTACAGCCTCAGTCCTGGATCTACAGCCTCAGTCCTGGGTCTACAGCCTCAGTCCTGGATCTACAGCCTCAGTCCTGGATCTACAGCCTCAGTCCTGGATCTACAGCCTCAGTCCTGGATCTGCAGCCTGAGGTCTCTGGTGCTGGTCCTGGGCTCTGATAGTAAGGAATGCAGTCATGGTGTAGAAGGAGTCCTACCTAGCTATGATTGATTGTGGGTAAAAAATAAATAAATAAATACAAGACTGGGAGGAGTTGGGAAAGTCCATGGTCTATTGGTCAGCCTGGATGAGATTTGAGGCTCCGGATGTTGTGCGTCTACAGCCTGAGTCCTGGATCTACAGCATCAGTCCTGGATCTACAGCCTCCCTTACTGTATGTAATTTTTTTCATTGTGAGATCTATAAAGTTTCTCCCACTGGGGTTCCTCACAGATGGAGGACATCTACGGACATTGATCATCCCGCTCCTGATGGACTAATGGCTCCAACTGCATGTGTTTGTAATGGTGTTAGCAAATCAACAACTTTATAATGTTTGATTTAGGGCTATACAAAAAATACATTCAATTAATATGAATTGAATACAGGTTAAAAAAAATCCTATTTTCTTAGCATTTTGAACCTTTTTAAGATCCTTATTCTGAAGCCAATACTCAGAGGCACAGTCCTGTAGCAGTACTATCAGAGACCAGCAGGAGAACGTACCCAGATGATCCAGGAGTCCACAGTCCCGAACATGGCTCTGCCTCGCTCCACTGCTCTCTTCACCTCCTCCACATGGTCCAGGAGCCAGCGGAGCTTTACTGCACTGAAGTAGGTGCTGATGGGGAGCCCCGTCATGTGCTGCGGGAGGAACACCACCTCAGTACCGGCCCTTCACATGTATACTCTGAGTAAAATCTATACTCTAATAAAGATTAAATGAGCACTTGTTTTTTTTCTGTACAAAATAACCTCCACATGTTTTTTGTATTTTTGCTGTAGTTGAACTGTCTTCGATCAAGTCATCTCTGAAATGTGACTTTACCGTTTGCAGAATGGAGACTGAACAAAAGGTGAGGATTCAGGGTTCAGCAGTGGTACCTTCAGGTGGTTCTTGTTTCTCCCAGGTGCTTTGCTGATGAGGCTCTCCACAGTGGACTGAGTGCGTAGGTCCAGCCACACTACACACACACACACACACACAAAGAGACACACACAAAACCCATTATTAAGATCTGCATGTTTATCTGCACTGATTGAGCATGTGCCAAAGAGAAATATTTATGTTTCTGTTTGTCTTGATAAATGTAAGGAGACTATTCAAAGACTCTCTGTGCCGCTACATTGAAGCACGTTTGGCGTTGGACAAATATGACAAACTTAATCACATTTTACAAACGTGTCATTTGGGGCAACAGTGGCTCAGTTGGTAGAGCATTGGCCTTAGAGCAAGACCACAGGACCTTCTCCACCCACTGATGTCTGCTGTTGTTATGTCCTTGGGCAAGATAAAGGCTGCGTTGTCACTGATAGAGTAGCAACCTCCTGTGGACTCACGACCTACAGGAGGATCAGTGAGGAGCTGGTGCTCTGTGAATTGGGCGCAACTTATCGCCACCCCCAGACCCAGAAATGGAAAAAGCCGCATTCCACAGTCTCTGCTCGAGTCTTACATTATGTCCAAAAGTGACTCATAGAATACATCTGCTGAGATGAGTAGATACAATACCATCCCTCTCTTGTGGTACCCTGGTCTCCCCTGGTCTCCCCTAGTCTCCCCTGGTCTCCCCTGGTCTCCCCTAGTCTCCCCTAGTCTCCCCTAGTCTCCCCTAGTTCTCTGCTCTCTTCCCTGGTCTTCTGCTCTCTTCCATAGTCTTTTGCTCTCCCCTGGTCCCCTGCTCTCTCCCTCTTTGAGGAACACAAAATGTGAACTGTGGCTAAAACACAAAACCACTGAAAAGTGTGTGTGTGTCCGTAGTGTGTGTGTGTGTGTGTGTGTGTTACCGATGGCGTTGTAGAGGGGCTCCCCGGTCTCCTTGTCCCACACCACAGTGGTCTCTCTCTGGTTGGTAACTCCAACGGCTGAGGAGCACAATGAATTTACACTTAATTTATGATCATTGATGACTTACAAATGTGTTTCAAACATAATAATACAAATAATAATAATGTACTGGTTTTATATAGTGCTTTTGGACGCTCAAAGATGCTTCACATGTCATTATTCTTTCACTTAGAACACAGTGGTGATAAACTACTACTGTCGCCACAGCTGCCCAGGGGCACACTGACAGAAGCGAGACAAACCCTCTGTGCCGTCGGTCCCTCTGATCACCATCAACCATTCACGCACATAACAGACAGCTCTAATGAAGGGGAAGTGTCTTGCTTAAGGGCACTTTACAGCCGCCCCACTGTGGCACCTGGTGTTCCCAGAGGTCTCCCGTCACAGTACTAACCAGGCCCTGCCCCACTTAGCTTCAGCAGGTCTGACAGGATATGGCGGTCACCTGCAGGTATTTCCAGGCATACATTACATAAACATACGCACACATACACACCCATGTCTATCTCTCTATCTATGAAAACAGGTCAGAAAATAAATGTGTTTTTACGACTGTAGATACTGAGATGTTTGCAGACCTTTGATCCTGGAGAGGTCCACTCTGAGCTCCTGCAGCTTCTCACAGGTCGACTGCATGACCTGGTACACCGACTGCATGATCTCCTTGGGGTCCTCCTCCACCCAGCTGAAATATGTGGCACACATCAGGAACTTTCGAGCCCTCTCACTACTGTCTTCTTCACCTTCAGATCCTCTCCTCTCTCACTATTGTCTTCTTTACCTTCAGACCCTCTCCTCTCTCACTATTGTCTTCTTTACCTTCAGACCCTCTCCTCTCTCATTACTGTCTCCTTCACCTTCAGACCCTCTCCTCTCTCACTACCGTCTCCTTCACCTTCAGACCCTCTCCTCTCTCATTACTGTCTCCTTCACCTTCAGACCCTCTCCTCTCTCACTACCGTCTCCTTCACCTTCAGACCCTCTCCTCTCTCACTACCGTCTCCTTCACCTTCAGACCCTCTCCTCTCTCACTACTGTCTTCTTTACCTTCAGACCCTCTCCACCATTGCTAGTGTCTTGGAGCAGGTTAGAGGACCACAGTCAGACGTACCCTTCTCTGGGGAAGCTCTGTGTGATCTCCACCTGGTGATGAGCCACCACTTCTGCTGTGCGTGCATTGAACACCTGCAACAAAACAGCCAGGGTCACAGGGACTGGGAACCACAGGGGCTGGGAACCATGGGGGGAGGGGTGTTTGCCAGAATACAGACAGTGGAATATATGGCGTCAGTTTGCGTCAAGATCAATTCTAATTATGCTAATTTTAAGTATTTATTAACCAGGGAGTCGCCCGCTCAAACAGGACCCGTTGTGCTTGTGAGAGCTGCCCATGTCCTGTCTCCAGAAGATGTGTGAATTCGGACGTATGATGACAGGGCAGCTGTTCTGTTCTGGACATCAGCAGCTACGGAGATTCCCAAAGCCGTCTTCTGGATTACAAAGAAACTCCAGTGTGTTTGTACGTGCAGGATTACATCATCAGGACAACTCTTCTTAGCTGAGAGACAGAGGCTTCCTCCACCAGCAGCGGTGGAACGAGGGCAGTTACAGTTCCCCTGCGTTCAGAAGACTCTCCTCTCTGATGCACACTGCTTTTGCCGAGGCTTTATGATTCAGAGGGAAATGACCTTCACTTTAACACAGCGGCTACACCACCTCTTGTAGTGGCCTGACTGTTGTTAGCAACTTTTAGAATTATGTATTTATTGATGTTTGTATGGATGGATGTGTTTCTGAAGCTGGTCCCCTGAATAAAGTATTCATCTAATATTGTTATTGATCATTATTTGTGACTTTCCTCTCAGTGCATCAGCTGCAACTGCTTCTTATCTTCCTCGTCAAAACATGGACTCAAGAGACAACACAGCCTTGATCAGCACATACTAACCTTTAACACACACAAACATACTGACCTTAAACACACACACACACTCACATATATTAACCTTTAACACACACATACCCCAGCCCTCCTCCACTGTCTGACTCTCCTCCCCTTTTCTCAAACCCTCTATTAACAAATTCTGTCTCATAATAAACATAATACAGCATGAGTGAGTGCGTGCAAAATTCCATCTTTCAATCTTAAATATACAGAGTTTTTGATTGTTGCAGTAGTTGATTAAACATAGGCCTGATGTGTATCTCTTTGTACTGAGTCAGTGTCATGTGTTGGTTTCACATGCTGATGAGAGTATTGTGAAATCTGAAACAAAGATCATACTACAATGAAGCTACACTCAGAAGTAAGTGATTTTTGCAGATAGGTTTAGTTTAGTTTGGTTTTGTTTTGTTTTGTTTTCGGGCCAAAACAACATATATTACGTACATTTATCTGGTCTGAGTGGGACCATAAGTCCAGTCCAGGCAGATACAGATGCAGATAGTGGCACAGGCAAATATTAACTTTCTCACAGACTGTTAAACTCTCTATAACCGAGAACACATCACCTCACACACTTTACTGCCAATAAACCACACAATCAGCTTCAACATCTAAACAAAACTATGTGACAGTAAACAGATAATGGTTTAGACAGCGTCAGGTCAAGTTTACGTCCGTATACACCGTACATTCACTTTGTCGTTATCCTTTTGCACGATATGACTGGACTGTATGTGTCTGCCCTGTACTTATCTGTGCCAGTGCCTCAAATAAATGAATGAAATGAAAAAGAAAAGTGGCCTTTGTTGTTTTGTATGTGTGTTTGATCCTAAATCAGGTAAATGTAGCTTTCAGTGTTATTAAACTGTTCCTCAGCGATACCAAGTCCTGTAGCTTCAGTCACAGCTAAATCACAAACTTCAACACACTTTCCAAATGAGTCTTTAAAACCACAGAGCAGTGCAGCCCGGACCAGAGGATTATGGCGAGTTAATTATTCACTGTGGATTTTTACAGGTATTTTTACAAAAGTCTCGTCTTGTCTGATGAAAGGTCGTATTTGCCCGAAACGTCACATCTTGTGGTGCTAATACAATAATCCCTTGGGAGCTAAAGCTGTGCAGTCATTTTCATCAAACTATTTTGGACTTTTTGCACACGACTCAGATTTGCATGTGCGCATCAACCTCGCTCCTATTCTTTACAAAAGCCCTAATTCTGATGCAAGAGTAAGATACTTTCCACAGTGCCTTGCAAAAGTATTCATACAGCTTAAACTTCTGCAATCAATATTATACTGAAATACCACAACAAAAAGCAAAGTGAGATATGATTTTGAGACCTTGTTTTTTGAGACTGTATTTTTTGGATTAATGCATAATAGTAGACACGGGGAGAACATGCAAACTCCACTCAGAAAGGCCCTGGTCCAACCGGGATTCGAACCCAGGACCTTCTTGCTGAGAGGCGAGAGTGCTATCCACTCAGCCACCGTGCCGCCCAGTTGCATTTTTTGGTATTCAGCACCGGTATAAGTCTTCATTCTAGCTTAAGCGCTCAACTAGCCCGGGCTATTATTTGATATTTTACGGCAAATAAAGTATGAATTTTAAATATATAAATCTAATAATTTCACACATAAATCGGTCCAGAGTAATAATCACACCCCCGGCAAAACTATGAAATCCAAAAAAAATCCGATAAATACGGTAGGTAAAACGCAACACCCTAACCACAAAGAGACACAATAGATACAACAGATATTTATTTTATCTGCAGACTTGATAATTTTGAGCTTTGAGCTATGACTTTAGGCTGAGTTTAAACTGTCCCTGTGAGCTCCATCACAGACAGAGGTGAGTTAAGAACTAACAAAGCTCTGCGCACACGTTCCATTTGGCTTCAGAGTGCGACTGAGAGGCCCTTCATACGCTTGTGACGCTCAGGATTATTTATGTAGCGCTTTTTCATGACACTCAATGGTGTTTGTCATTCACTCTGTACACAGTGGTGGAAAAGTACTACTGTCCTGGGGCAGGTCGACAGAAGCGAGGCAACCGGTATGTGCCATCGACCCCTCAGATCACCACCAACCAATTTCAATGTCATCGTTGCACATTACAGATTAGAATAAAAGGAGAAAAGACTCAGGTCACGCACACGTCGAACAGGATCTATCATTTGCTAAGATATTAAATAATAAAATAAATCATACTCTGCAGTGTGCCTTGCCGCAGGACACCACAGCAGTTGGTCAGTTCAAAGCCGCCCACTGGAGCAGAGGTCTGGGAGAGACTAGATCAACAGGCGGGTTAATGTGTCATATTTACTCAGTATTCAAACATCTCCAGTTGTGACACGCTGCCAAACAAGGCAAAGGTCAATGACACAAGCCACCGGGTCACAGCTCAAACACATCACCAGCAGAGAAAACAGTCTGTAGGGTCCAGTCAGACAGACAAGAGAACATCTGTCATCATACAGTTTGCCCAAATCGGATAAAGAATTCCACCATTTTCTGTATCTAGAAAAACAATGTTTATCCCAGTGTGGTGTTCATCTGTCCTTGTAGGCTGCTGTTTGAGAATCTCTCTAATCAGGAGAAGTGAGGCAGCTTTTTCTTTTATTTCATAGTAAATGAAGGCAAGGTAACACTGTAAACAGCTTGGTTATTGAAAAGGAACTATTTGGGGTTTTTTTAGCTATAGGGCTTTATTTAGTTTAACTGTATTTAATACAGTTTATTCGGATACTTTAGCCCACTTCTTGAGCCAAAGTTCTTGACAAACTAACAGTGTGGGCAAGTGACTTCAAAAACACAATAAATGATCTTTTACTTACTGGGCGACAGTGGCTCAGTTGGTAGTGCATTGACCTTTGAGCCTGAAGGTCATGGGTTTGAGCCCATGACGAGACCTTCTCCATCGACTTCTACTGATGTCAATGTCAAGCTTATTTCTATAGCACATTTACAACAACAATCGCTGCCCAATGTGCTGCACAGTGTAATACACAATACAATAGAAAAAGGCTGATGTCTGCTGTTGTTGTGTCCTTGGGCAAGACACTTTGCCTGAAGCCCCCACTGACAGATCAAGGCTATGCTCTCACGGATAGAGCCGTGGTCTGTCTGCTCACAGGGCTCACCACCTGCAAGAGGATCCAGAAATGGACGAAGGGGAAGAAGCTGGATGGTGTTACACTGCATTATAACTATATTATTCACTCTTTAAACCTAATGTGCAAAGGTCAGTCCATTTCATCAATGACTCTTCCATTGATGAGATGTTCAGTCTGCAGCAAGTTTGTGACGGTGTTTAGAGATAATGAGTGACCAAAGATCAGTCACTCAGTAACTCTCTGAACTAAAGTCTGTTTGTAAACGTCACTGTCCTCAGAGGAACATGTGTCCTCTGCATTTGACCCGTCCTGCAGAGCCCTGCCCATCTCCACACGCTTCAGGAGGATGATACCTTTACAACACGGGGAGAACATGCAAAACTCTACTCAGAAAGTCTGTATACCGGGATTCTGACCCAGGACCGTCTGGCTGAGTGCTAACCACTTTCAGATCTTTCAATACTCCAGCTCATACTTGATGTTAATGAACAAAGTAACAGGAAAAGTACTGCAATAAGAATGATTCTGATTCTGAAAAGTGGATTCAAGTTCACTGATAACTACTAAACCAAATACATAAAGCTTTGCACAGAATATTTATTTGAGTGACTTTGGACAAACATTGCGTTAACAATTAGATGACATGTTTTTAAAGGTCATGAAAAACTGTCAAACCAGAACCACTCTACACATTTCAGGATTCAGCTCTTTCAACAAATGAGATCAAAGTCTCAGATGATCTCAGCAATTTTACTTTCTTCTTTCTTTCTTTCTTTACTTGAGAAAGACTGTAGAAGGTTCTCTCTTTTGCTGATTGCGACGACTCAAGATTTGAAGTGGATGGAAGCAAGTTTTATTGATACTTTGTTCTGATGTTTGTTGTTAGGTCGCGTTCCATAACTATATCATGGACATAAGGATAAAATAGAAGAAAACAAGGAAACAGCAGCACAAGTACAACCACAGTCAAAGTCAGATCTCCACAAAGAAAGAAACAAAATGTGACGCCAACAGGACTGATGATCACTTGTTAAAAAGACACATACTTTCATAAACCGTTCATGTAAATATGTTGCTGTCAGAGATCTGGCTGGTTTATTAAGCACAGAGTATGATGTTAACCAGGGATGTCAAAATCAAATACATCAGAGGCCAAAAAAACTAACTTTCTACAAGCCAGACTGGTTCAATGTTTATTAAAATATATTAAAATAATGCATAAAACCTATTGAACCAAGACCTACCACAGTGCACCGTATTTTGTTTACTGATTAAATTAATAATCCAATATTTTTGTACGGCTCTGTCTAGGGCTGGGCGATATGGTAAAAAAGTTAAATCTCAATTTTATTTCCTGCTTTGGACGATTTCAATTTAAAATCAATTTTTATCAAAGTCAAAGACAGACAGACTTTGCCCTTAAAAATATGTTTTGATCTTTCCGTTCAATATTCAAGTTGCAAAACTATTTTTAATTTGTTCCCCCCAATACGTATTATAAAAGTCTCGTACAGACTGTGCTGATATTGCAAGTATACTTCATGTGCTGCTGGAACTCTCACAATATCCTTCATTCAATTTCACGATTTTCACATTTTTCACAAATTTTGATTACTTGCCTAAATTCGATTAATTGCCCATCCTTAGCTCTGTCACTAATTTCAAGTGAAAACATTTCCCACAGGCTCAAAAACAAACTTACTTCAAAGAGAAAACACACGTCCTGAACATCAAAATGAATAATCCAATATTTTCTTCTGATATATCATGGTTGTTCTTGAGAAAAATAGCTTTAAAATGAGGTATAACGCCATTATAGCTCATAACATTACCATCAATGCTGCACGTTATAAGAAACATTGAAGATTCAGGGGCCACCAACAATGCGGGCCTTGTGTTTCATCCATGTGGGCGAGAGAATAGTACCATCCATCCTCTTGGGCCGAAGTCTTACGGAGACGCACAGACCTCCCTCTCCACCTCATCTGGGGGAATCCTGAGGTGTTCCATGGCCAGCTGAGCCCTCTGTGTCCTGGGGCAGACCTCTCTCTCACAGACAATGAAATATAAAAATAACTTCCAATAACTTTCACCACAGCTTCTCAGTAAGAGTGCAGATTTTCTCGGCGAAATTAATAATGAATAATGAATAATGAAATACGGTTTAAGCACTTTTTGGCAGAAATCTTGCTTTTTATGTGAAAAATATATAACACAACATGGGGTTTCCCTTTTTTTTAACAGTTTGTTTACGTCATAGAGGCTGTAGTCATCTCCGTCATGGCATTAACACGTATATATGTCAACAGTTCCAACTTTCCAAAACAATAAAAGTGTCTCGTCCTTCAGATACTCACCAGGAACCGGGTCGAGCTGGTGCCCTGGTCTATGGCGGCCACTAACGCCTCCATGTCCCGCTGTAGAGGCCCGGACAGAGTGGTGGAGACAGGGAACAGGACAGAGGACCTAATATTTACAGTGTGAGGACAGCGTGGGCTCCTCCTCGTGCCGCTGTCCCTTCAGCAGCTGCGCGTGCACATACATGAGACTAGAGCGCGCTGCTAGGGTCGTTGGCGGCCATCTTGCGTATTCACCTGATACTGGGCTAATTTATTAGGAACATGGTTAGACCGGCCATCTATAAGTGTTCCACAAACGTCTATAGCCGTGGTACAACTTTTGAGAAAACTCTGCAACCTCTATTAACAGTAGGACTAGCCACATGTATGAAACTACAAGAAATTCCAGAGACGTCATTTAGACTGCTTTCATTCAAACCAAGTTCTGAGAATATGCCTCAAAAAGTGTCACCAATTTCATTAAAAGTATGTAATTTATAAGGGTTTTCACTCACTTTTAATACATACTAAAACGGGTGAATATACAGTAACTTGAAATACGTAAAAACCAGTTTGTTGAAAGGCTCTTGCTCTAAAGACTAAATGCTAATGACTGACCGTAAGAAAACAACCAAAAACATTGCTACATTTTAATGTAGCAATCAAATGAATGGAGCAGTCAAAATGACAGCTGTGGGAGTTAAAGGTAGAACTACTCACATTGCAGAAATAAGACAATTACAGAAAAACAATCTCCTAGAAATAACTACACATAGAAGCAGAAAAAGTCACAGTTGTGAAGACCAAGAATGTACACGAGTTGAGTAATTACACATCTAAAACTAAAATTGGGAACTGGGTATTCTAGTATTAAGACAGAACATTTAAAAAAAGACACTTACAAAACCATGTCTTTCAATTCGATGATAGAAATATGTTGTGATCTCCCTAAATATACAGTTGTATCTATTCATTATAGTCAAGTATTGTAAAACTATGAATTTATAGTTGCAATAGCAAGAGTATAAAAAGATGTTTAGACTGAAAACAACAGTTAGTGATCAGTATCATGGATCAAAAATAACCCATAGAGAATGGAAGAAGAGATGACCACACGTGCTTCTCATGTTGAATAAAAAATGTTTTATTGTGGCGTCTGGATGCTGTCTTTTTGCCTCAAAATGGAACAAAGCAAATGTTTCAAACAATCTTTTACATAAAATTGGCAAATATGTGGCTGGTTCACTATGTACAAATGTTTCACAAAACAGAACCAGCTCTTTTTGTGTCGGTAATAAACACTTGAGCAGAGACAGAATGATAATAAAAAGGCTAAAGTCTTGTTTAGTCTTCTTTAATCAACATGCACTGCCACCATCCACCAGCAGATGGCGCCAGCGTCACAGGGTCATGAGAGTGAGGTCCTCAGAACGTCCCCAGCAGCTGAACTTTGTAGGCACCGATGAGGAGCTTCAGCTGAGTGAGTAAAGACAACAGAAGCATTAACAGAGGGACAGGGGGTCGCGGGGACAGGGGGCCATAGATAAAAATGTAATTGTTGCTGGTGCTGAGTTACCTTAGCTGCGGGAGAGTCGGCCAGCCGGATGTAGAGCTTGTTGATGCCCGGAACAGGACTAAACGAGTAAATGAAGTGACTGTCCTGGAACGAGACGGAGCAGAGGCACAGGTGACGACAGGTGAGGACAGAGGGGACAGGGGGAGAAAAAGAGGGGACAGAGGGAATCACTGTGTTTGTACTGCCAGAGAATAGGACCACTCATATAGGCAGGTTCAGGCCACTCATCTCAGTATACATTTAAAGCAAACTCACATGCAGCCTGGATGTACTACCGCCTAGATATGTCCTAGAGTAGAATGTTACCTTCACTCACACAGATATTAAATGTCCCTTAATTCTGGAACATTCCCAGTGCAGTCATCCGGCCCCTCCTTAAGAGAAGTCTGGATGTCACAATACAACTATCGTCCCATTTCCCTGTTATAGGAAGGGTCCTTGAAAAAGGTGTCTACCAACAGCTTAAGGCGCGTTCAGATCAAAAGCTTCAAAACGCTTTTGATGCGCATCAAGTGACGCTGGATTATTTTAGTCATTTTGGTGCTTGAAGCTCCGGACGCGCCTGATGCCCGGTGGGAGGAGCTTCTCTGATGTCGGTAGTCCAGAGGCAACGGTAGATTTCTATAGAGCAGTGAGCCTTTAGTTGTATAAAGCCAAACAACATTGTCATAGGGTTTCTACACAACGTGTTCTAGGTTCACCACAAACTTGAGAGGCTGCAGTGTTTGCAGTTTCACAATTTACTCCAGGAGCTGCGTACGGATGAGTTTCGCTTTCAGCGGTACTTCCGCATGTCACTTGCCCAGTGAGTACCCGCACCCCGCCCGCCTGGAGCTCGCATCAATTCCCGCAGAGGAGCGCCTGTCTATCAGTCTGCTGTGTCTGAGCCAGACTCAGCGTCAGCTTGTTCTTATATTAAATAAATTATGTTTACTTCCCAGCATGTGTACATTGATTTCGTTACAATACTACTAAATAATATTGCTAAAAACAATAATCACAATAAAACAGCAGCAGCTACATGACTTCTTTCCATGACCCGCTGCTGCTCAAGTGACGCGCGTAATGTAGGCCTGTCACGATTACAAATTTTGCTGGACGATTAATTGTCTTATCAATTGCGATAAGCGATAGTATTGTCGTTCTGAGATCATTTTCATCCAATACAATGATAATGATGCAGGTACACCTTTTCAAAGAGAAATACACTTTTATTTTTAAAGACCACCGCCAGAAGTGGCGGAAGTAAAAAGCCGCTAGCTTGATGCTATCTCCGTTAGCATCATGCTAGCGGCTTTTTGTGTAAAGTTCTTGCCAATAATGCAGCTCTGCAGCGTCTCTTTGTCCAGAGACCTTCCAGAGACTTTCTATAACAGCAGTATGTGTTCACGGAGGTGCGTCATAAGTTTATTTTATTATCAAACGGTGCTAACGCTAGTTGCGCTAGTTTAGTCACTACTAGAGCCTGAATGAGAACAACTACTGTGTCCCTCGTTGTCAATCCTGGTAAAGTCCTGGTCTAGTACTGGTTTAGGTCCTGTTTTGGCTGTATTTTGTATTTTTGAGTTATTTCAGTGTGCTCGCGTGACCACTGTGGCTGGCTTTAGACCCCACCACAGACTGAGACCGCTGTTGTCAAGGTAACAAACAATATCTGACTGAACACCAAGTTTGGCACGGTCAACCATGAGTCCTCCTACAGAGACTAGAGGACTGGGTACAGGCACTGTCCAAGGTTGGTTTAAGTTGGGACAGAGACAGACAGACAGTACCAGGAATATGGGCAGCTGGAACTTGTCGTTCAGGACCACGGCGTGCACCGCGCAGGGACCACAAAGACGAGCTGTGATCTCGTTCTGGAAGTTGGCGTGGAAAATGAACAGCATGATCCCGGATCCTGCACATACATATACACACACGTGTCAGTGTGCCCCAGGGCAGCTGTGGCTACAGTAGTTCATCACCACAGTGTATGGAGTGTTGGCCGTACCTTCAGCTTGTGGCTGCTGCTTGAACCCAAACTCCATGAAGTAGTCAGGCCCCTCACACAGTCTGTGACAGGCCAAAGGGAACAGAGGCTCCAGCACGGCCAGGCGGGACTCGAAGTATGTCCTGATCACATCGTCTGTCACACTGCACAGCCTGGACACACACACGGCATAAACACACAACACACGGCAAAGACACACAAACACTGCACAACCTGGACAGGTATTTAGACTACAATTATTTCTTTATGTCAACCTGAGTTTACGAACAAATCTTGTCTACTGTATTTTTGGACTGAACCAAAACTGGATCAAAGTTATAAGTTTGATGATTTATATTTCTAAATTATCAATTTATAATGACGAGTTGGGTTCAAATTTTCAAATACAATTAATTATGATTGTTTTCTTACAAAAACATTAAATTGAGGTACCACATGCCATCAAAACTCATTAACCCTCCCAATACTGCTGCAAGTTAATGGTAAAAATGTAAAATTATTTCAGGGGCAACTAAAGATGGTCTGGTGGGCCGCATTTGGCTCGTGGGCCTTGGGTTGGACACCCGGGCCTTACAGCATTCACCTGGAGCTTATTTCAAGTATTAGAAAACAGAGGTTGGTGTTCCTTCCCAGCTGGTTCAGAGTAAACGCAGTAGAGGAGACTCACATGGTGCTGTGGTCCTTGATGAGGTCGCACACCATCAGGTTGTTTCCCAGTTTTGCAAAGTACATGGCCGTGTTCTTCCCGTGTTTGGACATGATGTTACAGTCTGCTCCATACTCCAGCAGGAGGCGCACCACGTCCATGTTGGCCCTCTTACACGCCTGTACAGACACACACACACAGACACACACGGATTATGTTCCTGAGAAGAAAAGACTGAGCCTCTTACGACCAAAATATTTGCTAAATGCTAAGCTAGCCCCATAGCATCAGCTGCTCTCGCTCAGAGACAAAAACTGGATTCACACGAATCTGGACAGCCATGTTTTTAACTCCGTAGAATTATCTGTGCTATTTTTGGAAATCAGCATTCAATGACCACTTTTGGCAATGTAGCATATTAGCTACTTCATCGAGTCAATTAAGTTGTAATGGATGCTTTTCGTGATGGACAAATATCCATGGCCTCACCTTCATCAGTGCAGTCTCTCCTCCTAACGTCTGAGAGTTCACATAGGCCCCAGCCTCCAGCAGGATGGCCACTGTGGTCAGGAAGTTCTAAACAGGACAAAGCAAGATAAGAAAACAGTAATGCTACGGCGACACACGGTTGGGTGTGTCAAATATCTAAGACATGATTCACTTTGGAACAAGGGATTCAATATAAATGTCTCATTCACAAAACAGTAGACAGAAACTGCCTTCACAATCGTTTTACCGAAGTCATGAGATTTCCCGGGTCCTGTATCCTTTCTATTGGGTTGAGGTCCATAATTGAAACAAATGCAATATATCACATTATCAATATTTTCCACACCCCTAATATTCATACAAGCACTTAAAAAAGTATGCATGTATGTTTTGGTCATTACTTGATTAACAGCTTTTGTTGATCAAATTCAACAAAAGCTTATTGACAATCGTTTCCTGCACTTTATTTGTTTTACGTTCAAACTTTTAACCTTGTTTTATGCACTTGTCTTGTCAACACTGAGAATTCTTTGGTTTGGTTTTACTGCAAATGGCTAATAAAAGAATCTGAATCTGATCAATGTTTACACTCCCAGATACGTAATCATGACTCAGAGCTGGACAAGTGGATCTGTGTTGGATAAAGTGTGCTATACTTCTAGGAGAGTACCAATCTGCGGACACTTCCCCCACAGCAGACTCAGTAATACAAGAGGGAGTACCTTTTCAGCTGCAGACACAGTAGTGGAAGACACAGTACCTTCTCGGCTGCATGCATGAGAGCCGTGGTGCCGTTCTTCTGCCGCCCGTTCACTCTCACTCCTTTCCTGATCAGCAGCCTCAGAATGTCGTCCTGACCTCCAGCTGCAGCCAGCATGCTGAGGGACATGCCACTGCCATCCTGAGACACACACATCACACTCTGACTATTTGTATCTACCATCTCGTCCTTTCGGTTATTTCCCAAAGCTTGTAGATAGAGCTCTGACAGCAGATGCTGCTCCCACTTCACTGAATTGAAGTGGGAGCTGTCACTATATTGGACTGAACAGTCCAACACTGGGAACAGGTCTGAGAGTCATACAGGGAGTGAACATCCCTCAACAAACAGAATCCCGTACTTCGAAAGGACACCTCTCCTGAATCTGAGAGTCAAAGTGTCCTTTCCAATACCTAGAATACCCACAACAATTGATACGCCCCCTATGGTCCCGGACCACCACCCAGACTGCCACTTCAAAAGCCTCTGTCCTCGATCGCCACATGATGATATACAACAGTCCCACAACATCCAGAGACATCAGGGTCAGGGCAGCTCTCATTCCCAGTCTTACATGTGTCGGCTCAGCTGGAGGTATTGAGTAAGCCCACACTCGCCTGCCGCCTTTCCCTGTGGGAAAGACCAGAACAGTGGAGGTCCAACCGCTCGATGAGTGTGTGGAACTTTTATCTCACCTTTGCTCGACTTTGTTAAAGGATTTGTCAATTTAAAAAAAACTTACAAACACAAGGTATTTCACACTTGAATGAATAAACCACCTTTCTTAACAGCTGAATTAAAGCTGGGGCACCTATGTGATTGGTCTTAAAGCTGATTGGCTGAGGGATGGTGGTGGTCTACTCTTTATCACAGCTTTTAGATCGTTAGATGGATCATATTTGATACAGTTTTTGTTCTTTGGAAGTCAGGGAACCCAGCTTTAAACAAATGCAACTGTTAATTTCCTCACAATGATCAACCAATTAAAACAACTATATACTTTATTATGTTGATGATACTAGTGACTTTACTGAAGCCTGGAGAAAACAAATACACACAAACGACAGCATCAAAACATACAAACAAAGTTCATTTGGCTCCTGGGAAACACTGCGGACCAGCTTTGAAAATCTGAAATGTGTCCACTCTACGGCCACTTTGAAAGCTTTAAGTCAGGCAGACATGTAATGGAAGCATGGTCATTGTCACTATGGAACATGATTTTACGGTCCTTTCTAAACACACAACACTGACTGGCACTTGATAAAAGGTAATAATAATCCTCAACAGCCTGCTCATTAACCTCCTCCATAGAAATCATTTTGCCATCTCTGTTTTTTATGCGTCAGCTTGCAGTACAGTATTCATGGTTTTACACTGATCCAGACCAGAGCAGAGAGAATGGTCCCAACCAAACAGATTAAGCGGAAATCCACTGGATTCACTCTGAACCAGAGTGGAGAAAATGGTTTGAACCAAGCAGACTCTGCAAACATTAACCAGAGGAAGCAGCTCATTAGCAGCAGCTACACCACCTCTGGACTTAATTTCTATGTTTATCAGTTTTAGAATCGTAATCGTCTTGTTTGTAAAGATGCGTCTCTGCTGCTACCTGATTTTCTCCAAAGGATATGCGTATATACATACGCATTTTCCTTTTCTAATGTCATGTGCAATGTTCCCAGTAGATTGAAATAATCATTACAAAGAAAGTTGTGATTTGTGACACATTGAGGGAAACCTTTGCATTGTAAGTGCTAAATAAAGTATAGTCGTATGCCCATCCTCAAATGGCTGTGGCCATTGCTCAGGTCGAAAGGTCCCTGTGGCTCATGAAACAACAGAAAGGTAACAAATCTAAACTGAGAATACCTAAATCCACTAACAAATTAATAAATTATTACCATTAAAACACGTTTAAATAATCTGAACTCAGTATTTCTAGCAAAACGTAGTGTTTTTCAATTAATTAACCAAGCCATCTTTAAATAACACTTAGAACTAATGATTGCGGCCTATTCTTTCTGATATATTTCCAGGATTTCGGTCAGCTGTGTTTCACAGTAGGAGCAGTTAGCATTTAGCAGTTAGCTTATTAACTTATGGTGATGACGCCAAAGCAGTTTACTTGAGTTGGTTCAAACGACAGGTAGCAAAATGATCCTAAAGAAGAGGGCTGGTTCCCAGACTGAAGAGTGTCATCTACAGAGAAAGATACACAGGAGGATCCCACTCATGTTGTAAGGTCTGTGTGCACTGCCCAAGCAAAACAAAGTCCTTGGGATCATCCTCAGTCCCCCTCTGCTGCTCTGGCTGCAGCGAGAGCCTGTTCCAACATGCCTCCCTTTTGCCAGGCACTTTGACAAGATGGAGGTCTGCGAGCTGCCCTGGTGAGAAGTCGAGCTTCTCCTCACGACTTGTGCTTCCATTGTGAGCTGCAGAGTTTGTGGAGTAAACTGTGGACTGTTCAGAGGGAGCTGACAGAAAGTCTTCAGCTGGGGCCTGTGTGCAAGCCACGGGTGATAAAGGGGCAGTGCTAAAAAACGAGCTTGGGAAATCCAGCGTTCCAAACTCGTTTCTCTCGTTGGCTGTGGAGTAGGGAGGGAAGACGGCAGTGCTTAGAGTCGTGTAGGTCGGAAGCATGGAAGTGGTCGGACAATTGAGCGATGCATGAGAAGCAAGTGGCTCAATGTCTAGACCAAGGTCTACAAAAGGCAGGTCCACACTGGATGGATCCTGAAGTGATGTCAGATATCTGCTTTCGGGTGAATGGAGTGGTTGCATGGCTGTGTTTGTTCCCAGCTGAGCGAACGAAGGAACCACCTGCGCATCTAAAGTATTGAGTGATGTAGAGTTGCCGTAGCCCAAAGCGGCTTCAGCTGTGCAAAAGGGGACGTAACCGGGAGACGGATCTGCAGGGAAAGACGACGATTCCTCAGTCACAGTGTGGTTGTTGTTTGTCACTTCACAATGCTTCTTGGGGCTTTGGACGACAGGCTTTGGTTTTCTCGGCTTCACTGGGGTTCGTTCAGGCTTTACTTTCTCCGGCTGGTTCTGCCTCCTCTTTAGTGTTTGGAGAGTATTATGGACGTAGTTTTTGATGTCAGTCCAAGAGCGTCTGCACAGATCTGGCTCAGCTGCTAAACAGGCATTGCATTCTTTTTTACCAGGAACTTTCATTTTACTGATGAACTCTGAGAGGAAGCGCTTCACGGCAGCCTGCTCTTGTTCACTCCATGGTCTTCTCTTTGCAGGACACTTGGACTGGGCTCCTACAAAGACAGAAAAATAATTCTGTTTATATGGGTGTATATACTTTTCATCCAAGGCTAAAGTAAAATCATTTGAACTTGGATTTTTGTGAATATGAGAATACCTTTATAAACCATTGCTGAGCTTGTATGATCTGCATCTCAGAGAAACTAAATGACTCAAACATGTGTGACTAAGTAAGAGAGAAGTAGAACTGAGTCAAGGGCTGTGAAAAGTCAATTTTGCATGATATTTCCCTTTAAATGTCCCATATTAAGCTTTTTGACTTTTCTCTCTGCGTCGACCACCATCAAGCTCTGCTGATTGTCTGCTATTGTCACCAATTGTGCTATTGTGTTTTTGGTGTATATATGTGACGACACTATTTGGCCCAAAGAAAAAAACAAAGACGAGTGGCTCGACTTTCTATTCATGTTATGTGCCTCAGAAATCCGCAAACAAATCTCTTCATTTGCGACACAAGAGACACCAAAGACTGTTCCAGAACTACAGTTACCATGAAACTGGACTTACTCAAAAGCTGATCTTGAAACCTGGCTTTATTCCCACAATAAAAGACACCAACGACGAGCATGGATCTGTGAGTAAAGTGCTACCAACTCGCTGTATACTTCTGTTAACAAAATAATTAGGATTCGATTCTGAATCAAAGACATAGGGCTCTGTAATGGACGGCCTTGTTGGAAAAAGTTTATTCTCAACTTTATTCTTAGCTTTCATGCTGCCTTCTTTACCTCCAACTCAGCTGAGGCTACATCAAAGCGCAGATTTCACATGTTTGCACACTTCCGTCTTTTGCACAATCAGAGTGATGCTGCCAGATGTGACATGTATATTTCTCCAGTGTGCCATCAATAAAGTCTATATCAGCTTGTTTCAATTGAGGTGACATAACTTGAATAGTTTCACAAGTTTAGTGTGTTTTATGGGGTACCACCAAAAATGTGCTTAGGATGGATTGCGAGAAAAAAAGAAAAATATGGGACTATTAAAGTTGGAACATCATTAACACAGTCAAAACTATTATGAGCTAAATAGACTTGCATGTAGGGCTGAAACAACTAATCGATTAATCGACGACTAATCGATTATTGAAATAGTCGACAACTATTTTAGTAATCGATTAATCATTTTCTGGTCACACGGACTCAAACAGAGCAAAAATGACATGAAAATGTAGTATTTTTGATTAAAACAGACTTTGTTTTTATAATTTCATGAATATCTGTCTGTCTCATCCAATCAGAGCAGAATTAGCACAAAGAGCCTGTTACAAACATTTACTTTAAGTTTACGCCATCAATACGTCCTCGAGTGTTGCCACTTTAGCTTTTTGTGATGAAAAAATATTTTTTTTCTACACAATTCACAGCCAAGCGATTACTCGATTAATCGTAAAAATAATCGATAGATTAATCGATTACAAAATAATCGTTAGTTGCAGCTCTACTTGCATGGCAGTACTCACCCTCTTTTGGTGAGGCCATAGACACCAAGGACGGGGTCTGGTTCATCTGCAGCAGCTGCTTGGTCAACTCCTCCAACAGTGATGTATTCTGGGATAACTGACTACACTCCTGACTGCATCTGCCCATCAGCTGAGACACTCTGTCCAGGTCGCTCTCACAGAGACTGAGGAGCTGCCAGCCACTCGCCACCTGCTGTCTCAGCGACGGGCAGAGCAGAGCTTCTGGGTTCACCACGCCACACTCCACCGCGGCCCTGCGCAGACAGTCCAGTCCTCTGAGAGAAGACGGGCCTTCAGTGCGGGCAAACAGGTACAGGTTACTCTGCGATACTCCCAGCTGATCCCGATGCTCCACCAGGAGGTCGATTAATGACACCATCCTCTGGGTCAGCAGCACCAGCATGCTCCTACCAAACTGTCCTTCTAACTCCAGTCTGCTCATCTGCTCACCCAGCTCCAATTCTATTTTGGTGCTTTTCCGGATTTGCTCGGCAGAGGGCTCAAACACTCCAGTGCTCCTTTTAAAAGTGTAGGTTTCCAAGAGCAGGCGGCCGATGTTCCCCACACGGAGGCGGTTGAAGAGGCACACGTCTGCTAACGTGGCTTCTCCCAGTTTCTTCCATGTGGACAAAGTTGGCTTGTGCAGCATGTCCCTCCTGGCCTCCTCCTCCTCCTGGGAGATGAAGTGGTGGAGTTTGACCAAGTCTGGAATCACTGTGGAAGCATCCACTTTGAGGAGCATGTCTTTTACAGGTGAGGGAGTGTAGGGGGGAAAACTCGAGTACCATTTTGCATTTAGAAGGTCGATGAAAGACTTTATCTGGAGCTCAGATTCTTTGTCCTTCAGGTGATTTCCTTTCAAAGCCATTTCAGCAGCTCCTTTCAGAGAGGATCCCATCTTTGAGACCAGTGACGAGGATTTGCTGGTGCTCGAAGGCCTCTCAAAACACATAGTCTTTTTAGCCACATCCACAACCAGATCAAACTTGTTTTGGAGAAATAGATCCTGCAAAAACTGCACATTGCTGTCCAGTTCTTTGACGGCCAGAACAAACCTCCCGAGCTCTCTCATGGTCTGTGCTACATGTGGGAAGTGAGAGCGGTCGTGGTGGTGCTTGGCGGAGAGGGTCTGGCCGTATTCACAGATCAAGGCGTCGTTCTGGATGTGTCTCGAGACGTGGTCTTGGTTCATGCTGTGGATGATCTCCTCACACTCTGAGAGAAACTGTTGAGACAGGCTGCATCGATCATCACTTTGCTTTTTTGGGTGGGTTTCATCTTCCACACTTTTCAGAACATCAAAGTGATCTTTGCAAGTCGGTCTAGTTTTAGACTTCTTCACTACAGGTAAAGTACAAGCCACATCTTTTGGACCAGACCGTAGACTCCTAGTTGTGACTTGGTGCTGCCTTTTGTGATTCATCAAACCAACTGAACGCTGCAAAAAAAACAAAAAACAAAAACAAGTTAAAAATCCAACCTTTTATCTAGTAAAGCATTTGGCATTCTCAATCATCTTTTTCACGCAGTGATTCAACGGCACCTTGGCAAAGCCCCACCCACTGTCCAAGCTCATACAGACACAGCTCCAAACAAGCTCCAAACACATGATCAATACACAGAGGAATGCTTTTATTGCATATAACATCTTCTCACAACGCTTTCATTCAATTTCAATTCAATTTACTTTGTATAGCCCTAAATCACAACAGTAGTTATCTCGCAGGACTTTACAGAGCCGTTGATTCTCCAAGATCAGCAAATCAAACAAGTAGCTAACAAAGAAGGCTTTTTTGTTCATAAAAAGTGAAATGAGGAGTTAAATGTGATTGTGCGTCGAGTGTTTGCAGACTGCATGGTCAGACTAAAGCTCTGATGTCTTTGAGAAGTTGGGAGGAGTCAGTATGTACCTGCTTCAATAGTGGCTCCTCTTGTCAAGAGTCTGATTCCTCTTTTTTCACTGCAAAGAACAATACGTTTGAATTAATACTGCACTCCTTCAAGTTCAACAGAGTAAATGTATATGCAATGATCTAAATCTACCAGTGAGGGTAGCATTTAGTCGTGTTTTAAATATGTTAAGTGTTTTTCAAAAGGAGCCGTTTCTTACCTCTATGTGTTGCTGAAAAGTCTGCTTCAATGCTGATGTGGAGAAGATGAACGTCTACAAACGTAAAATCTACAATGTTTTCAGTTTAAATTCTGCTCGAGGTTCGAGTTGCTTTGAAAGCCGTCTCCTCACATTACATCATGTGCAAGAGCTTATCTCCACAGATCAAACATCCGACACACACACTCTGGGGCAGCCAAGGTGCGAAACACAGAAGACACCACCACAAGGACCGGGTCCCTGTCACTATCACCACAGAGGACCGGGCCCCTGTCACTATCACCACAGAGGACCGGGCCCCTGTCACTATCACCACAGAGGACCGGGCCCCTGTCACTATCACCACAGAGGACCGGGCACCTGTCACTATCACCACAGAGGACCGGGCCCCTGTCACTATCACCACAGAGGACCGGGCCCCTGTCACTATCACCACAGAGGACCGGGCCCCTGTCACTATCACCACAGGGGACCGGGTCCCCTATCACCGTTTAGACACAAACTTCCTTCAGCAAAACAGGAAGAACCTCTTTGTGGGAGGTCAGATGCAGACTGACCACTAAGTCTCAAAACACAAACTGACACGGCACAAAAACCCGGAGGACTGAGGAGACGACATACCTCTTGGTCCAGATTGTAGTCCTCTTTGGAGTTCAGAGCTAGCTTCACAGCCAGGTAATCTCCGCTCTTCACAGCATCTCGCAGTTCACCTACAGCAACAAGAGCACGAGTCAGAAAACAGGAGGAGACCTGGGCAACAGGCAACCCCTTTCACGTCTCTATCTGGACCCTGGACCAGGGACCCTCCATCTGTTACTTGTGTTATGATGCCCTTTGTGCTGCTGTATGGTACTGACTCAGAGTAGCACTGTTCTCAGACAGTGCCTGTATCCTCCTCCATTTTATATGTAAAAAAATAAAATTGAATCAATAGCAGTAGATACGTTTTTGCACTTCCTACTTTGCATCTTGAGTTTTTTTTTCACAACTTACAATACCTTACTCCTGTCACAAAGATGGCTTTGCTTGCAAAAAATGTATTCTTGCAAAATCGAATTAGGAGTATGGTTAATACAGTAACTTGTTACTTTGGTTATTATACTATAGTAATACACAGTGAACAAGAAGAGCAGGGCATGGGGAAAAGTGGAAGAACTGCAGCAGAAATACAGAGAATATTCTGAGGGAATATCAGCAGGTGGAGGAGGTGTGCGTCAGTATTAATAACACGCTGCAAACAGAGTCCTGGTGGCACGCAGCGACAGGATTAAAAGCCAGGCTTCACACTGTGCACACAGCTTTGAATTCATTAAGTTATGTGGTCATGTTTTTGTTGTTTTTTGTTGAAAATTAGCTTTAAAATGAGGTATAAAAGGCCATGGCAGCGATAATAACCTCCTCATATCAATGTTACAAGTTAATCCGTATAAATCACTTCAGATGCCACTGAAATGTTGTTGCACGTTTGACATTATACACTTTGATGTTGGTCATCAGATGTGCATGAGGCCATGCCCCCAGGTTCAGAAAGGAATTTAAACGACCTTTGATTTTTATGCATCCTCATAAGAAAGTAATGGACACACAATAGACAACAGTGAAAGTAAATAACGGGACAGAATAGCAGACTACTCACTTGGGGACAGTGGAGGTCCACTCAGGACTTCATCCTCTCCGTTCAAATGCTTTTGGAAATCCTCCAGAGTCATCCAGTCCAGGTTCAGATCCATCCCCAGACTCAGAGTGGCTTGGCTCTTCTCTGCAACGTCAACGAGACTTTTACATGCTCAGTCATCCATCATTTACAGTAATATTAACAATATCATTACAATATCTCCAAATACTAAAGCCCTGCTTTAACAGTTTGCCCTGTGTTCATTTCTAGCTGCATTTACAGACCGTGATACATTTTCATAACTGACTTTGGTTCAACACTCAGAGTTTATTACAATTGACTAAGTTCAATAATTTAATTTATTTATAATGTTTGACAAGTGATTGTTTTGTTTACAACTGAAGAATGTTACTGCATCCCTTTATGTCAGTTATATCAGTAAATAAACTGAGAAATGCTTGATCTACCTGATTATTTGTTATTTTGTTTGACACTCAACAAAATTTTATGGACAGTGGTCTCTGCCCCTTAAAAGGACAACTTAGCACCAAATCTACTTTTTTTAACTCATAAACTGCATAAATATGTTTCTTATAGTGCTCACGTCCAGGTATTTTCTTTTTACATTTTAGTACAAATTAGATAAAATCTCACTTTTGAGCCTAAAACCATCCATGTGGCGCCCTCTCTACATTTTCTATGGCACTACATTTGTATTTGGTGCCTGGCCTCTCCATTGGCTCTGGAGTGCAGTGTGATGTCACTTAGGCTGAGTTTACACGGAGACAATGTGGCAGTAAAACGGTATAGTTGGATGTCGGTTTCTACCAACCGTTCATACGAAGACTGTGTTCCAGGGGGGTGAAAATGTAAGTGTTCAGATCCAGCCTGCAAAGTGGGACGGCTCAGAAACGCTGCACAGCGGGGGCTCCCTTTCACACCCGCGAGAGGGAAAAAGGTGTGAAATCCCCCTCTGCTCTGACCCCCGCCTCCCCGCTGCTCCCCGCACGTAAATTTGGACATGCGCAGTAGCGGAGAACAAACATAAAAAACAATGGCGCCGCGCACACTAACTAGCTACGTGGGCTTCCAGCGCGGGACAGAGGATAATTCTAGAACTACATCTTTCAACCTCATGTGAACGCTGAGAAATTTGCATTAGGAGCCAGGTCGTTTCTGTTAATAGCCTGGAAATGTCTGCGCAGCGTCTCAGTATAAACAGGGCCTTAGTGCAGCCCGTCTCTCTGCAACTGTGGTATAAAAGCAGCCTAGTTTCACACAGCCTGTAGCGAGTTGGAGGAATCTGGCGACATCTAGTGGTTTACAATTTAATAACGTCAGTTGACAGCCGCTACTGCTGAGATAATGTTGTGGCTTTGGAGTACAGCTGTTTAGCTATACAATTATCTTACTGTGTAAACAAAGGTGGAATGAGAATTTCTGGTGTAAACTATTGCTTTAAGCAGCAATGACAACTGTTTGATTTTCATGTGGGCGGAGTAAGGCTGAGCACAGGCGTTTAGTTTACTTTTAAGGACAAATGGGTCTATGTGTTTTTATCATTGCATTTCCTGTGTTTGAATTATTTCATTCTCTGATCTGTGTTGGCGAATTCAATGGTTTTGTTAAGTACTCCGAGATAACTACTGTTGTGATTTAGGGTTATTATCATACTATTTTTCATCAAATTATCTTTGAAACTCCAACACGTTACAACAGCTTCAGCCTCATTCTTTTCTCTCATGTGTTTTAGGCTCGTTTCATTTGTTGCTAAAATGTGTTGAAATGTTCAAATGTTCAAAAGTGCACTCATTTGCACAGAATATTTTTTTTAATCCAATTGGAATCAGTGGATAAACTACCAGCCTTTTGTGAATGTATTTCTTGCTGTGTTGGTGTAGCGAGGGCAGATCAGCTGCTGTTACACACGCTCAGGCACACCTCTTTGCAGCACTTAATTGTGACTAATTTCTCTCCGATTTGCGACAAGATTCATGCCCCTGACAAAAGTTTTTATTGCTAATTTCCAGTATCACAAAGTTGAGTACTGAAAGATGAAGGCTAACACAGTTACGAGTAAAAGTGACTTCTATTGTGACAATGGCAGCGTGGTCTGTACCTGTGCGGTCAGGGGCCTCCTCCTGGCTCTCCATGGGCTCCTCACAGGCCATGAATAGTCTGGGCTCGCTGTCCTCTCTCCTGCGGGCCGTGGAGCTGTACCTGTCCCAGGCCGCCCCTCGCGGAGCCTCGTCAACCGGTCGGCCCCCTTCCAGCTCCTCACTGTCCAGGCTGAAGCCGTGGCTCTGGCTGGCTTTTGAGGGAGCTGAGGACAGACAGGGGTCTTTAGTGTGTGCTCCAGAGACAACAGAGTGAGGAGGATCATCCAATATTCAAGACACAATATCAGAGCTTCACGTTCGCTCAGGCCAAACTGTAAACGTATAATAATAATAATAATAGGAGATCTGTTTTGTATAGCGCTTTTTGGGACACTCAAAGATGCTTCACATGTCATTATTCTTTCACTCTATACTCGGTGGTTTATCACCACTGGTGTGTGGGTATGAATGTGAATCTGTGGTTATGTCCTGCCTAAAGACACAACCACAATTTTACAGCCGCCCCACTGTGGCTCCCATCACAGTGTTTCTTCTGATCTTTCAATTAATTCAGAGTTTTCCCCAAATACCTTTTCTTTTAGAATTCCATTGACTCCCAAAGAATGCCTCGTGGGATATTGGTAAGTTTATCATTTGAGTCCTTTAAGACAAAACAATCTTGTTCATTGGTCTTCATTGTCTTCTACGAGCCACAGCAGACAGTTTTATTGTATGTGTATGTGTTTTATATGTGACAGATTTATTGATCATTTTGCTGATTTTCACTGTTGCTTTCAGTTGTGTGTACAGACGTTGATGGTTTAATCATTAGAGGTGACTATAACAACTACAACACTCAGATCTATGTTTCACTGACTGTGACTCTGATCTGAATCCAACACATCGAATTCAGACAAAACAAAAATGATTGTCTTTGGTCCCAGAAACAGAGAGTCTTTCGTCTCCTTCAGTCGCTCTCCCTAAAACCTTTAAATCAGGTCAAGATTACTACTACAATCTGAAGCAAACTATCCATGCATTTGTCTACAGTAGGTTAGCACAGCAGTTAACTGCCACACCCCCCAACCCAGAAATGTTATTTATTAATAATAATTAATAACAGGGGTAGAAATCATGTTATTTATTAACATGATTTCTACCACTTAATCATGTTAATAAATAACATGATTAAGGGATAGAAAATGGATGGATGGAGGTTAGCACAGGGGCTGGCCTCCTGCTGGGACTCTAATGTATCTGAGTTCTGGAGCGACAGTCAGAAGTGAGGACTCAGATCTTAAAGAATGAGCCAAAAGGACAGAGAGCTATTGCGATTCTCGGCCTGTAAGATGCTACTTTTGTCAAGTGCTTTGAGGCCTGGGGCTTACACAGTGATGAGGCCAATGTATGTATTTGTTTTGGGTTAGAGCGCCCTCTGGAGGCTCCTACATACAGCTCATCAGCTGATGATCCCAAGAACACAGGTGCTTTACCTTCTAAAGTCTGTATAAAAGCACAGGTGCTTTACCTTCTGTGTGCTTCAGCTTGTCACTCCTCTCCCCCTCTCTCTGCCCAGGAGACTCTTTGGACGCTTTGGTGATCTTCTCTATTTTCCCAATTATCTAGAGTTGGAAAAGCACAAACACATTTCTTTATTTGAAAACTTTTGTAAAGACTTAAATCAAAATGTGTCCAAAACACTACATTCAAATGGTGAGGTCTGTGTCAGAGAAAACCCCACCCCCACAGAAAGCCCTGGAAAGTATCGTTGGCTTCAAATGGAAGCATATGGATCATTCTGAAAGAGTGTCGTTACTCCTACAGTGGTTTTGCTGTAGAATAAGCAGGTTTCCAAAAGGTTATACTACCATTCTCAGACCTATACAGACAGACATTCATTTACTTCTCAAACAACTTCTGCTTAGATTGTTGCTTGCAGTCTGTGTCTGTTGTGTTCTGACCTCTTTGTTTCAGTTATGTAAATTCAAGTAATAGTGCTCAACAAATCAAACTTTTGAGGTGAATGCAGAGAAATTGCATTAAGTTACTCCACATTAAGATTTCAAGGGATATCTTAATGTTAAGGTGATATTTCAAAATTCATAAATTCAATGCTTTGACAACATTTCCAGACCCTGTGAGAACCCCGCAGGACTGAGGCTGGAGAACGTGCTCAGGTGTGTGTGGACCTTTTGGGGCTTGCTGGCGGTCTTCTCGGGGGCTGCCAGGTGAGAGGCAGGTCTCCGCGGAGCTCTGTCCTTGGCCTCACCACAGTTGAGCAGAAACTTCTCAAATAGGTTTGTGCTGGAGTCCTTCTGAGCTGGAGCAGAGTCCTCTTTGGCCCGGTCCTCTCGGCTCCTCTCCTCTTTGGCTCTCTCCTCTTTGAGCTTGGTGCTAGTGGCAGCTGTAGGGGTCCGCTCTTTGCTCTTGCTCTTCCTATGTCAGCATGAAGAATAAAGAATGATATAGTTTACTCTTCTTAAAGGGGACAAAACAGGCTCCTCTGACCGCCCCCACGAGCCGCCCATACTTCCTTTGTTACCGGTGATTTATTTGGCCAAATTGAAGTATTTTGTTTCAGTATAGAGTTATTGTTTATTTATATTGTGTGCTCCTCATTCTACCGTTCTGTAACTTGTGATCCAACACTGACATTTTCCCACTGTGGAGAGGGCTAACTCAATGAATGTCTAAGCGGAGAATGCAGGGCCGAGGATGTGACCACAGTCCTATTACTTCGCTTTAGCTCAATGTTCCACTGCTGTAGGATGTAGAATAGTGAGCCACAGGTGTCAGCAGTGATCACTGGGGAACAGACTGAAGCATGGTACATCTTCTTTAAACAAGATGACCTTGACAGCGTCACTAAACAATCACTCGTGCAAAAAGGGACTGGGCAATACATAATAAATTCCTTCCTCTAGCTACAGTGTGCTGTAAGAAAAGGAACAGAATCAAGAGTCAAATCCAATAGTGACCCTAAAATTTAAAATCAAATCAAACTCGAAATCGAAACTTGACAGTGCTCGGGAGGCAGAAAGTGCAAAGCCATATGTTTGTTGTGACTCTCAGTCATTCATGAAAAACAATTCTGTTCAATATGATAAGAGCTCCATCTTCACTCCATCCCTGGAAATTAAAGCTGCACTAACTGACTTTATTTTTGTATTCATTACTAAAATGCTATCCATGTCCATGTAGTGCATTGAGATATATGTCCTTTTGAAGAAAAAGTAGCGCAGGTTTATATTATAAATTATATTTATATTTTAGATCGAGTTTTGATGAAACAAGGAAGAGAATGTGTTTCGGGTCGCAGATTGTGACCAATCACAGCGCACCACTAGCCCCCACTTTCGTGAGAAAGCCACAGGTCCGTTAGCATAGACGGCTGAGTTAGCACAACAAGCCGAGGAGCTAACCTGAAGCTTCCTCGTCTTCGTCACCGGTTACTGCTTACACAGCGAGACAGCCATCCAAAAGAAAGTCCCGTTCCTCCGCGCTTCCCGGTTCTATCGTTCTATGGTCACGCCATCCACGTGCAAATCCATATCCATGTATTATCCATATTGCGAGACGCTAGCTACGTCCCAACAGTGGGTGTGTGTGGGGGGCAATAGCTTCGTGGGTGCGGGGAGGGGAGCAGAAAGAGCGAGGCCAGCGAGTCTGCTGCTTCAAAATTCCAAAGTCAGTTAGTGCAGCTTTAATAACAAATATACAGGAAACGTTTAAATTGGAAAACACAGACGCCTATGGCTGTAAATTGGGATATTCTCTACCCGACTACAGAGCACACCAATGTTTCATGTCCAAGCAAAACTACATAAAGCTTAATATAAGGAGGACAAGAGCCGATATGAGCCATCGAGCTCAAAACTGGACTTATTTCAGACTAAATCAGCCCTCTCAGATTGCACTGTGAATGTGATCTGAACGGCTATCAACATAAGCCACTTTCTAGGAAAGCCTGTGTGGAAGTGAATGCAGATTTCTCATGGAGCACCTGCACCGCACCAGAAGAGACAACGATTTTACTATTGATATTTACATGTTTTGTGCAAAGTTAGAAAGTGAATAGATCACTGTTGCGGGTCATTTTGACCTGAACGGAGCTCATGAGTTAGAGGTAATCGGTTATTAAGTAAACTGTGTGCAATAGTGGGGGAGATTAAGGAACTCCTGATTTCCCTATGCTCCTGTCTTTGCTGTGTCTTTGAAGAACAGCGATCTGGAGCAGTAACACCTGTTTCCACTTGGTGGTGTGCTTACCTGTGAGCAGTGGAGCTGTCGCTGGAGTCGGAGGCCAGCTCTTCTTTGGCCTTGGTCGTGAGGCTCTTGAGCTTCTGGAGGCTGCTATCTTTGGGGGAGGCACTGGGCTTCTTGCTCTCCTTCTTCTGGATCAGGTCTTTGAATCCCTGCAGCTTCACCTCCCACTTTCCCTTCTTCTCCTTGAACTTGTCGTCCAGGTAGATGCGCTGGGCAGTGCGCAGGACATCGGTAGAAGAGTCCTCAGCCGCGGTCTCCTGGTCCTCGCTGATGTCCTCTTCTATAGGAGCCGTATCATCACCAGAGGTGTCGGCCTTCACCTCTGCTCGCCTCTTCTTCTTGGCCTCCTGGCTCTTGATTTTGCTCTTGTCCTTCTTGTGTTTCTTGGCTGGAGCAGGCTCTGGTTCAGGTTCAAGCTTGGGTTTGGGTTCAGGCTCGTCCTCATCACTGTCTGCGACTGCTGCAACACACACATGCAACAAGGTCACACTTAAAGGGTGTGTTCACACTGGAGTTCCAAGTGAACCAGAGTTCATTATTTCACCATGTGAAATAATTAGGGCATTGTTCATATTAAACATGTGAAGTAAAGCCATGAATGCAAAGTGATAATGATGCACTAGTGGCTCATGACCAGGAGAGTCTCCATGATCGATTGCTTTGGTCTCGCCATCTACAGCCCACCCCTTCATTTGCATTTGGCCAAAAGAAATCAAGAATTATGTTGGTTTTAAAATAAAGAGCCGTTTAATAATAGAAGTACAGTTGGTTTTGTTTGTAACCCAGTGAGTCACTATTGGACTCTGAGAACTGATTGGCTGGTTCTCTCATGTTCACTTTTCTGTCTGAGAAAGCGGATCTAAAGATGTGACAGAGAAGAATTGTTATACTTTGTGCATAAAAATAACTGCATTATCGACCTGTGGATGGTGATCTCGGTGACGGTTTTACCCTAAAACCAGACTAGAGCAGAGGATGCACGGTCCCATCCAAGCAGATTCAGCGGATATCTATGAAATTCATTCTGAAAATGGTCAGAACCAAGCAGACTCTACAGACATAAACCAGAGGAAGCAGCGTATCACCAGCGGCTGCACCCCCTCTGCTGTAGCCTTGTCTTACAGCAGCTTGTCCTTTGGGCGCCATGCAGACTCTGTTTTTAAAAAGTCACAACAGCGCCTCCATCTCCTCAGGAAACTGAGAACTTTTAATGTTAGCAAAGGAATTTTATCAACTGTGTATATCTCACTCATTGAATCCATCCTCACGTACAGTATCTCCACCTGGCTCAATTTCCTCACTCTCAAACACAGGACAAAACTCAATAGTGTAGTAAAGCAGGCCAGCAAAATCACTCAAACACCACAAACTCTGCTCTGTGAGCTGTACAGCCAGTCAGTGCTGAGGAAGGCCACTCTCATCACTGAGGAGGCCATACACCCGCTGTATGGCTCCTTCTCTCTGCTGCCATCAGGAAGGAGATACAGAACCCCGCTGGCCCAAAAATGTATCTACAAGAGATCCACACAACCAGTGCATAAACTATTAACTGTTGTGTCTTTGCTAAATGTATTTTAAGTGTGTTTTATGAATGATTTTTAAATGTGCCGTGTGAAAGACAAATCTATGCTCAATTTGAACAGTCAATAAAGATCTATTCTGTTCTATTCTACCAAACCATCGTACTATAATCTGGATTTTCTCAATTGAGCGCCGTCTACAGGTGAGAGGGGTTAACGCCTTTTGCAGATTGAAGGCGCGTTCAGACCAAAAGCTTCAAAATGCTTTTGACGCGCTTCAACTGACGCCGGGATAGTTTTGTCATGTTGGTGCTTGACGCTTTTGACGTGCCTGACGCCGGTGGGAGGAGCTTCTCTGTTGCCTGTAGTCAGGACAGCGGTGGATTTTTCAATGAGCAGCGAGCCTTTATTTGTTATATAAAGCAAAATAACGTTGTTGTAGGGCTTCAACAAAACATGTTCTGGGTTCACCACAGACTTGAGAGGCTGCAGTGTTTGCAGAGTTCCGTCATTTACTCCAGGAGCTGCGTACGGAGGAGTTTCGCTTTCAGCGGTACTTCCGCATGTCACTCGCCCAGTCTGAGTTCTCAAACCCCGGAGCTCGCCTCTCCCCGCCTCGCTCTCGCCTCTCCCCGGCTCTCTCTGCCTCTCACTGCCTCTCCCCGCCTCTCCCCGGCTCTCGCCCGCCTCTCCCCGGCTCTCGCCCTCCTCTCCCTGCCTCTCCCCGGCTCTCGCCCTCCTCTCCCTGCCTCTCCCCGGCTCTCGCTCGCCTCTCCCTGCCTCTCCCCGGCTCTCGCCCGCCCGGAGCTGCCTTGCTCTGAGCCAGACTCATCGTCAGCCTGTTCTTATATTAAATAAACTACGTTTACTACACAGCATGTGTACAATGATTTTTGTTACTCAGAACGTTATTACTCATACACATAATATTACTAATAACAATAATGACAATAAAACAGCAGCAGCAGATACATGACTTCTCTTCATGACAGAGACAGACCCTCTGCTGCTGCTGCTCCTCGTCTCCTGATTGGTTGAAGCCCGCGTCAAAGCTTCAAAAGCTCAGCTTTGCTCAGCTTCGGCGTCAAAGGGATTGTTTTGATACGCGAGCGTTTCGCGCGTCAAGTGACGCCGGGCCCTTTGGCTTCACCTGACGCGCTTCACCATTCACTTTCAATGCAAACCTGACGCTTTTGACGCCGAAGTTAAGTCCGGTGTGAACGCCCCTAACAATTGGATCTGAGTTTACCGTGACGTATGTAATGCGCCCGAGGGAGTGGGGCATTTACCATGAGGAGGGGTTAACTCCTTTTGCAGATTGAAACAATTTGATCTGAGTATGTAATGCGCACGAGTGAGTGAGCCATTTTGCTAAACATTCCTCTTACTCCGGCTTCAATTTCTGGGAATTTGGGACTCGAACCAGAACTTACTTTACCATCGCATTCGCCACCATTGACAAACTCTTGACGTCACTGACACCTCCTTACAACACCCAACTCTCCCGCTCACTGAATGGTTTGATGGGATACAACCAAGGTAACGGCAGCCACTAGGATCAGACCCAGACGTACATGTAGGGAAATGATAATTGACCGAAGTTTACAGATGGCTAAGTCCAGATTACCTCTGCTGCTTATGCACTTTATTACTATTCTTAGAAACTTTTAGAATGATGAATGTATTTGTATGTGTGGATGGATGTGTTTCTGCTGTTGGAAACCTGCATTTCTATTCAATAAAGTATCTATCTAACGTGTTATGGTAGTAGCTGCACACTCACCGTCTCTCTTGGGGGAGGAGGCGGGAGTGGTGGGCGGGCCTTCCTCCTCGTCGGTCTCAGGGGCGGGCAGAGGTCTGATGTCCTCCTGACGCCGCTCCTTCTTCTTCTTCTTCTTCTTCTTCTTGCGGTCTTTGGGCGGTGGCTCTTCCACACGCTGCTGCTGCGGGGGCTGCTGCTGCTGATGATGCTTCTTCTTCTTCTTGACGGGAACGGCGGCCGGGCGCTCTCTATCGCTGTCACTGGTGGAGTCTGCGTCGTACAGCTCGCTCTTTGTGGGGAGGACCTTCTGAGCAGCAGAGAGAAGCACGAGCTAACAACAGCAAGTATGAGGAGCATGATGCCGGAACATTCATCAGAGCGTCACACATTTTAAAGTGAGCAGAAAGTTTGAGGGCTGTGTTTGAGGGCTGTGTTTGAGGGCTGTGTTTGTGTGCGATTCCAGTTTCTGTGTGAGCGGTTGGCAAATCAATGCAATTGAATTTATTTTTGTATCGCCCAACAAGGATGTTTATTTGCTAGATCCAGGACTCTAGATCCAGGACTCTAGATCCAGGACTCTAGATCCAGGACTCTAGATCCAGGACTCGAGATCCAGGACTCGAGATCCAGGACTCGAGATCCAGGACTCGAGATCCAGGACTCGAGATCCAGGACTCGAGATCCAGGACTCGAGATCCAGGACTCGAGATCCAGGACTCGAGATCCAGGACTCGAGATCCAGGACTCGAGATCCAGGACTCGAGATCCAGGACTCGAGATCCAGGACTCGAGATCCAGGACTCGAGATCCAGGACTCGAGATCCAGGACTCGAGATCCAGGACTCGAGATCCAGGACTCGCGCTCTAGATCCAGGACTCGCGCTCTAGATCCAGGACTCGCGCTCTAGATCCAGGACTCGCGCTCTAGATCCAGGACTCGCGCTCTAGATCCAGGACTCGCGCTCTAGATCCAGGGCTCGCGCTCTAGATCCAGGGCTCGCGCTCTAGATCCAGGGCTCGCGCTCTAGATCCAGGGCTCGCGCTCTAGATCCAGGACTCGCGCTCTAGATCCAGGACTCGCGCTCTAGATCCAGGACTCGCGCTCTAGATCCAGGACTCGCGCTCTAGATCCAGGACTCGCGCTCTAGATCCAGGACTCGCGCTCTAGATCCAGGACTCGCGCTCTAGATCCAGGACTCGCGCTCTAGATCCAGGACTCGCGCTCGAGATCCAGGACTCGCGCTCGAGATCCAGGACTCGCGCTCGAGATCCAGGACTCGCGCTCTATATCCAGGACTCGCGCTCTAGATCCAGGACTCGCGCTCTATATCCAGGACTCGCGCTCTAGATCCAGGACTCGCGCTCTAGATCCAGGACTCGCGCTCTAGATCCAGGACTCGCGCTCTAGATCCAGGACTCGCGCTCTAGATCCAGGACTCGCGCTCTAGATCCAGGACTCACGCTCTAGATCCAGGACTCACGCTCTAGATCCAGGACTCACGCTCTAGATCCAGGACTCACGCCACGCAATGCAGGCTACTTAATGCATCCAAATACATAGATAAGCATGTGACGCACCAGAGTCTTCTTGGCCTCGGCTTCCTTCTTGGACTCTGCAATCTTCTTCTTGAAGTTCACCAGGACCTCTCGACAGTCTTCCAGGTGGGCCTCGGGTTCCCATGTGTCGTCATCTGAGCAGTAGTTCTTCCATCGCACGCGGTACAGGACCTCCCCCTGGAACACCAACAGAGAAGAAGACTGAGCACTATGTGGCAAGTGTGTGTAGATCAAGTCCAACATATTCATTCATAGTATCAATGCCATTTCTCAAAGTATTTTAAATGATATGTCATCATTTACCACACCAGGTGCCACAGTGGGGTGGCTGTAAAGGGCCAAACTGTGGTTTTGTCCTTAGGCAACCATACCAAGACACTTCAACCACATTAGAATGAGTCTGTGTGTGTGTGTGTGTGTGAATGGTTGGTGGTGGGAGGGGCTGATGACACAGACTGGTTGCCTCGCTTCTGTCAGTGTGCCCAAGGGCAGCTGTGGCTACAGTAGTAGTTTATCACCACTGTGTTTGGAGTGAATTAATAATGTCATATGAAGTATCTTTGAGTGTCTAGTAAAATGCTGTATAAAACCGATGCATTATTATATACTGAATCTAACAGATTTGTTTGTCTCCATGTCTAAGGCACATTCAGAACTGGAAAGGTTCATATGGTGAATCTGCATGAAGATGTGCAACATTTAGATATAGTTTTCATAATCTCATCAAAATATCTAATTGTGCTGACAACATGTTATCGTCCTGGTCAGGATAAATTGCACGTGTTTGCATCATTTATTATGACTGATATATTTTGATTTTCAGAAACATAAGATAAGATAGACTTTAATGATCTCACACTGGAAACATTTACAAGAGGCTGTTTCTGTATACTTTCTAACACTGTCCACGTTATTTCAATATTCAGTGTACATTTCAGATGTTACAAATGCAGACCCACTTTTGACTCATTCATAACATTTTATTTCAAAGATCACGATAACATAATTTGGATTGTATTATTTATTTTTTGAGGCGAGGAACTAAACAGATGTGAGTTTAAACATATGACCCATAGTCCATAATGGCTTAAGATGGATGAAATATAACAGTAACTAGACGCCAGGCAGAGAGGGGGGTCTGGCTGGACTAGAGCATTCTTTGGCCGGGTCTGTCCTTGGCCTCAGCGGGGATCAGGTTAGCTCAACGGGAAACGCACAACATAGACCACCCCACTAAAGTCAGACTCAGTCACACATGTGTTGAAATGTACATAACGAAATTCACCACAGTAACGATCGCGTAGTTTCAAAGGGTCTTTTATATTTTCAAGAAGCATTAGCCATGTTAAAACTAGCCACGAATCAAGAGAGATTACACACCTGAGCGATGTTTAAACTACATTAAATATGCCTATATAAACGCAAACTGTGATTTGTTGAAACACATGATAGTTCTTGTGGTTTAAGCTGAAGTAAATCGTTAAAAATCGTAACAAACTCATGCAATGTTGTATTATGGCTTTGTTTACGTGTGCGATCTCCCCCTGTTCCACACTCTCCGCTTCATTAGTGCTGCTGCTAATGCTAACATGCTAACCTCCTCCACTCGCATGTCGATGATCCGCTCCACCTCGTACACGTCCTCCACCTCATCCTCACTCTCCCCCGGCTCTACTCGCTCCGCATCCTCCGCCATGGTGCAGGCTGTCGCGGGAAAGGTGCTGGGGTCGGCGCGGGGCGAGGGGGCTCTGGTTTGGGGCTGCTTTACGGGGCTGAGGCGGGCTGTCTGCGGGAACAGCGCTGTCCTGCCGCTGTCATGGAAGACTAGACTGTGGTGTGAGTGAGATCTGTGGCGGCCATATTGGGTTTCCAGAATAACATACTGTACTGTAACATTTACAGCTGGGGAACCTCACTGTGGAGCCCCAACTTATTGATTTCCAATTTCAATGAAGGGCCCAAAATTCACATTTCCTTAAACTACCTGAGCAGTCAATTTAGCAGGTTTTAGTTTCGGAAGTTTAAAAGTGGACACTGCATTCAACTGCCCCCAGCCCCAACCACCTGCCCCACCTCTGACAGTACACCTTGACCCTGGTCGCCCCACTCTCCATCACCAGGTGTGGAGGGAGCTGAAGCGACTGAAGCAGAGGAAATCCACAGGACGGTATCAGTCCCAGGCCGTCGAGGACCTGTGCAGACCAGCTCTCTGAGGTCCTCAGCGGCATCTACAACCTGAGCCTCAGCCTGGAGAAGGTCCCGGTTCCGAAAACAGAGCATGCGGAGAGCTGGACTCTGTGGAGGAGGTGAGGGACAGGAGGGTGCTAGTCAAAGCCACCTCCATCATGAACAATACCTCCCACTGCACAGGACTGTAGAGGAGCTGAGGAGTTCTCTCAGTGGAAGACTGAGGCACCCTCAGTGTAAGAAGGAGCGCTACCACAGGGCCTATTTCCCCACCGCTGTCAGACTGTACAATAAGTCACTTTGAGTCACCTGCACTAGGACTGAAAATCTGCACTACTACTTTCTTGATCGCCACTTTTGAATTGCCACTTTTTTATTGAACATAATATATCCTGCATTTAACATGTTTGCACATTTCTTTCTTCTGCACAATCTTGAGTGTTTCTATCCATGCCAGATGTGACATTTACATTTCTTCTGTGTGAGATCAATAAAGTCTATCTTATCTTATCTTATGTACTGAGCAGTCTGTTACCTTCACTCACGCAGATAGGGTTAACTTAACTATCGTCCCACCTCAAATCTCCCACAGGAACATCCAAACCCTAACCCTATTTCAAGGGTTAACCAAATTTCCCCTAATTAACAGCTCATATGTTCCAGTCCGGCGTTAGGCAACACTGAAATGATTGTCTTTGGTCCCCCAGAAACAAAGGGAGTGTTTTCTGTAACCTTCAGTCTCTCTTACTAAAATATCAGTTCATAAATCTAGGGTAGATAATATAGTGTCTAAAGCACACTTGGAGATCGTAATCCTTTGGTCTTCAGTGTTATGCTGTAGCTCGAGCCCTGACATTAACCAGGAAGATCCATCACATTAGTCCAGTTCTCAGGTCTATGTACATAAGTGACATGTTAGTGCCACAGGAACCAACTCTTGGACTCTGAGGAGCACAGGGACTGGCCTTTATTGTAATTTCTTAACAAGCAATTTGAGTTTCCTTGAATATGAACTGTGCTAAACAAGTAGACGGTGGCTTGCCTCTCATTCAAGCGTATACAGTACAACACCTCAACCTAGTGGTCAGAGCTGTACAAGAATACGGCACACTCTAGTACTTAAAACAAATCCAAAATCCTCAGTTTAGTCTTTGGAACATATAGATCTATAGATCTCTGACTCACTGCGGGGAGCCTCTGCTGAATCTGAGGTCTTTGTTTTTGTCCGTTCCTTGGTTTTTCAGTCTTGTTTAAATAACAATAAATAATCATTCTAATATCTAATACCGAAACATGCTGTAATTTTCCTCGGACACATTCATAACATTTAGAATGATTTTATTGCTTCTATAGTAAATGTATAAAAACATTTTTTCTCAGAAGTTACGTTTTTTACCATCTCTTTTACATCATCACCCCGCGCCGGCCAGTGGCATTGTTTTTTAATCGTAGGTGGGTTTAGCCCTCAGCCAATCAGAAAGCGAGCATCTCACGATTTACATACTCATGCGCGCGTCCCTACCCTCGTCCTGCACGCGTTTTGTGGAAAATTATACAAAATTATACAAATGAGCAATTCTTCACGTTGTGACACACAATTTTCACAACTTAAGGTAAAAACCTCACGATAATGAAGGTGTATTATTCACGAATAGATAGTTATAATTGAGTTATAACCATAGACTGTAAATGTTATAACGTTTTTCTGTGTTCTTTTCAGTGTGTTCCGCCTCTCGCGTCATCACCGATATTGTTCACAGAGAATGGAACCACATCTGAACTCTGAACAATGAAAGTGATCTTGGTCAGTAATAATGCGCTATATAAATAAAGATTACTTACAAGATGGGAGAAGAACAGCAATGAATTAACATTAAATGTATATTTATGGATTATGGTAAAACGTATGTGAACGAACCATTAAGGAATGCCCATGATGTTTACTGTGTACATACCAGGTCACAGCAACTGCTGTCGCCAAAAGGCTGCACTTAGAAGTCACATGGATCAAGCTGGGTCTAGAGCATAGACTGTATATAAACTGTAATATTTACAGTCTACGGTAGACTCTAGAGTAGATTAGAGGAAGAGCGACAAGAGGAGCATCTACCAGAAGGCAGCCCTCAAAGGAAAAGCAACAGTTGACCTGAAACGTGGACTAGTCCCAAGCAGAAGTTTCACAGTGACCAATAGCACTTTTGGTGGGTTGTGTTTTTGCTGTGTTTTCTGACTGGCACTGTTCAATAGTGTATTGAATAGTGTATTAATGGTATTGTATTTTAATTTGTTAAATAAATGATTTACTGATTCACTGTTCACTCTTGCACAAACTCACCAAGTGACCATCTCAACTAAAGCTTTGTAGATGATTTGGCCAACAATGTGTCATGTTAAAGGAAAATGTATGCTGTTCTACAGCCTTCGTAGGTGTAAGAACAATGACATGTCTTAAATACATTTCATTTCAATGTGAGGTGTTTCTGGCCATAATCAATGATCAGATAGTAGATAAACATTGTTTATTATTATTGTGATTATACATAGGTGTATGTAACACAGTACGTACATTTCACCTGTAAATCAATTAATATGCTTATTAGAAAACCACGAATCAAGACAGAAAACAAAATATAATTATTTATTGTGGTATCTAGTATTGTGTAAGGTGAGTACTGGTTTCTTCCATAATAGGTTTTGCTTACAGCCATGGGAAGAATGCGTGATAGGGGACAATATAATACACATGTATCGATTATGATAACACAAATGTTAATTCACCGTCGACTGCCGGCGCGCTGAACGCGTCACTTGTGACAAGCTTTCTGATTGGCTGAGAATGGACACTGGCTACACTCACCTACGAGAAAAATCTTGCCGTCGACCACCTCACGCGTTGTATGTTGGTATATGTTTGAACTTTTTTGTAATCCACAAACTTGATACTGTTGTAATCCTTCACGTTAGGGTTTATGCTTCATGTAACAGTTAATGTATCTGCCTCGCACTGTCGCCCTGTGACGTCCATGCGTTCCTCTGATCATCAAGAACTTGTCTTCACATCGGTCTCACTCGTGTCTCTTTGAAGCACGGTATCTGTTCAAATCTAGCCTCATGTGATAGCTAGATCCCGTCAAACTGCAGAAGCTAAGCTGGGCAGGACTTGGTAGTTACTGTAATGGGAGATCTTTGGGAACACCAGGTGCCACGTGCTGTCATTGTGTCTTTAGGCAAGACACTTCACCCATGTTGTTCAGAATGGATGTGGTGTGTGCGTGAATAGTTGGTGGTTGTGGAAGGGGCTGTTGGCACATGCTAGTTGTCTTGGTTATGTTAGTCTGCTCCAGGGCATCTGTGGCTACAGTAGTAGTTGTATCACTGTGTTTAAAGAGTGAAGCATCTTTCAAAAGACGACATTAAATCATAGAGAAACATAATCCTCAGATAGAAATGACCAAAGGAAACTCAGAGGAGACAGATCATTATTATATGTGATGAAGCTCCTCTGAGTGAGAGCAGATGAAGCCACCCTGAAAACCCTGAACAACATCTGGAAGGACAGCTCCTCTCCTTCATAGCACCGCTGCCTTCTATTGGACACAACCAGAGACACTGCAGACACTTATTTTTTATACCAAGCAAGACAGGTAAAAAACTAGGTAATATTGGGCTCTTAAATTTATATTATTAGGCAGATCAATTTTCAGTGACATCTAATCTGATCCCAACAGCCAGATGCTGTGTGTGTAGACTGGGTCTCCAAGGTCTCCGCCTTCAACTGCTGCCCAGTCCTCTCTGCACCAATGCCAGAGAGGCAGTGAGACTGACAGGCGGATTGGTGCAGCTTGTGCACTGATGTGCTCGCTGTATCGGACCGTTGTGGTAAAGAGGGAGCTGAGCCGAAAGGCAAAGCTCTCAATTTACCGGCCAATCTTCGTTCCCTCCCTCACCTATGGTCATGAGCTTTGGGTAATGACAGAAAGAACGAGATCGCGGATACAAGCGGTCGAAATGAGCTTCCTCCGCAGAGTGGCTGGGCGCTCCCTTAGAGATAGGGTGAGGAGCTCAGTCACACGGGAGGAGCTCGGAGTAGAGCCGCTGCTCCTCCACGTTGAGAGGAACCAGTTGAGGTGGCTCGGGCATCTGTTCAGGATGCCTCCTGGACGCCTCCCTGGGGAGTTGTTCCGGGCACGTCCCACTGGGAGGAGGCCCCGGGGAAGACCGAGGACATAATGGAGGGACTGTAGTCTCTCAGCTGGGCTGGGAACGCCTTTGGGGTGCCCCCGGATGAGCTGGAGGAAGTGTGTGTGGATAGGGAAGTCTGGGGGTCTCTGCTGCCCCTGCGACCCCGCAATGGATGAAGCGGAAGAAAATGGATGGATGGATGGATCTAATCTTATCTCAATATTCCCCAGATCATGTTTAAAGCACTGCTGATGCTGTGTGGCAGGTGGGCGGTACTTTGAGGTCTCTGTGGCGTGTGATTGGCTGGTGTCAGCATGAGTGACAGTGAGGATGAGGTGCCAGCGCTGTCGGCCCACACTCTGGCTGCGCTTCAGGAGTTCTACGCAGAGAGCCAGGCCCTCCAGAGCACAGAGACCACCGGGGCGATCACTGTGGGGGCTGTGGAGGAAGACTGGGTAAGGGCCTCCTTTTCCTCACACACTGAGACTCGGACCAAAAGCGCCAGAAGGATAAGTATGGGGTAAGGTTACTGTCAATAAAGACGTGCATGTCTAAAAAAAATCCGTGCATATTTATTGGTATTTGTGCATACAAATATTTTATTAATTCATGATTAGGTTAATACAAACTAAAAAGACATGGAATTTTGTAATTAAGAATAATAAAATATAAAACTGTATGTGTGATTTTGTACTTGTGAATGCGATTTTTTTTTGTGTGCTTGCTTTTTCTTTTTGAGAATACGAATTTCACCAGTCAGCAAACTGTCAATAATACGTCACTGCTCACAGACATTAACAATCGATCCTGCGCAGAGTTGATCATGGCAGAGGGCAACAACATTGACAATTTGGCTCAAAATCAGGTAAATAACTATATTTGATCATTTTGGTCGTAAATAAATGTGTACGAAATATTAATTCCATAAAATGTGTTCATAAGATGTTTCTTGCCCATCTCTAGAAACGTTTTTTTAGGCAGTGTTTAGATAAGGCTAGCTTCAATGCCAGTTTTACAGCTTACCATGTTATTTTAAAACTAGCATTGGAGCTAACAACACTGCCAAAAAAACCTTTAGAGGGACAAGAAACATCTTATGAACACGTTTATGGAATTAATATTTCTTACACATTCATTTACGACCAAAATGATAAAATATAGTTATATACCTGATTTTGAGCCACTTTATTTATGTTGTGTCCCTCTGCTATGTTTAGTTTTTAGGCAATGAAGTTGATCAACTCTGCGCAGGCTCGATTGTTAATGTCTGTGAGCAGTGACGTATTATTGACAGTTTGCTCACTGCTGAAATTTGTATTCTCAAAAAGAAAATGCAAGCACAAAAAAAAAAAAAATCGCATTCACAAGTACAAAATCACACATACAGTATTATATATTTTTATTAATTACGAAATTCCATGTCTTTTTAGTTTGTATTATCTTAATCATGAATTAATAAAATATTTGTATGCACAAATACCAATAAATATGCACAGATTTTTTTTAGACATGCACCTCTTTATTGACAGTAACCTTACCCCATAGATAAGTAAAAAGAAATTGTGTATAACCCTAAATGACAGCAGCAGTTTTCTTTGAAGACTTTACCAGGCTGTTGATTCGCCAACACAGATCAGAGAATCAAACAGTTCAAACACAGGAAATGCAATGATAAAAAAAACACATAGAGCGTTAATTAAGTCCACCACTGTCGTCTGCCAAATGTCACACTTGTGTCAAGTGAACCATGTTGTGGTTGTTGTGTGACACTGATGGTTGCTGTGGTTGTGTTGTAGGGCCTGAGTCAGTTCTGGTACAGTGAGGACACGGCCCGACGGTTGGCCCAGGAGCTGGTGCAGCAGGCTGGACCCGGGGGCAGGTACCTCTCTATTATTGTGGTATAGTATAAGTCTGGTCCAGATAGTGGCGCTAATCCTAACTTCAGCGACTACCTAGGTCCGTGTTACATTCTCGTTTCTCTTCCTGTTTACTCTTGACTACTGTACCAGCTCGAGCATGGATCACGTTATTTTGCTCAAGTTGTTGATTCTGTTTCTGATTGCTTTTCAATCAATTGAGAGTCAATTTTTACAAGTGTTATGAGATGGTTCTTTCTCCAATGTGCAGCAACTTAGCTCGACCACGGTCCGGGGGAGCTCAGGAAAGGTGTAACACAAGCAAGGGAGAGTAGAATACGAAAGTATGCGACTGCCAGTTTAGATACACGTGTGAAAATTCACGTCACAGCATCAGACTATCGTTTTACTGTCGCAGCGTCTCCATGAGGCTATGCTCGCACTCAGAGAGCAGCCGTCCTCCTGTGGACTCACCACCTGCAGAGGGTCAGTGAGGGGCTGGTGCTATGAGACTTGGGTGGCATCTCTGATTGCCACCCCCCTGACCCAGAAATGGATTAAAGGGTAGAAAATGGATGGATGGATGGAGCGTCTCCATGTAAACGTTGCTTTAATCTTAAACTCCAAAAATCTCATAATTACATGTGTGTGTGTGTTTGTCAGAGTGGCATGTGTGAGTGCGCCCAGTGTGTACCAGGCTCTGAAGCAGGGCGTGGTGGAAGGTTCGGCCGCGCTTACAGTTTTCCTGTTTGAGTTTGATCGACGCTTCGCTTCGTACGGAGACGACTTCATCTTCTACGACTACAACCTGCCGCTGGCCCTTCCCCCGCATGTGTGTGAGGGCAGCTTCGACGTGGTGCTGGCTGACCCGCCCTACCTGTCCCACGAGTGCCTCAGCAAAGTGGCCCAGACCGTGCGCTACCTCACCACGGGGAAAGTGCTGCTGTGTACTGGTGAGATCCAGGACTGAGGCTGTAGATCCAGGTTTACATGGCTCCTAGTTTAATTTAATTAGATTGACCAGTAAAAAACATGTAAACCATAGCAGATAACATGAACTGTTAATGAGTCTTGGAGCCTGTGTGTGAAGGTTTCCGAGAGTCACAATTAAATATAAAATTACACTGTTAAATTATGAATTAAATAATCCGTTAATTTATATTTTATTGTTTTGATCTAATTATCATTAATTCAATAATTGAAGTCAATAGTGGGTTTATATAATGATTAGGGTTAATGTCACTTTACCTCTGTGTGTCCTCTGACCTCTGACCTCTGACCTGTAGGAGCAGTGATGAAGAGCGCGGCCAAAGAGCTGCTGAACCTGGACATGTGCAGCTTCCGACCGCAGCATCACCGCAACCTGTCCAATGACTTTTGCTGCTACAGCAACTACACCTCAGGCCTGTGACCCCGCCAATCTGAGGGGCAGAGGAACCCTAACCTCTCTGACTAAACAGTCTGCTCTGTGAGTCTGGTCTCTCCGGGACAGACCCTCTGATGTTGTTGTTTGTGATGTGGAACAAAGAAGAATGAGTCCTTTTAGAACTAAAATGCTGTAGTTTAAGGACCACAATCACCCACGGTTTCCACTAGAGACGTTGGTTCATTCTTGTCATCTCTTTTTTCATGTTCATCCATATTTTACACTTCAGAAATTATTTGTTGATATCGTGTTTCATGAGAAGAAAAAACTGCTCTTTCTGGAACAGCTGTGAAACACTGGCACCTGGTGGACAGATGTAATCACCGCAACTCCTGCGTTTGCCTGTTCAGTTTGCTGTGTTTATCTGAGCACACTCTGAGATTTCTGATGCTGATGTCACTGAGCTCTTCTCGCCTCACCTCTGCACATGTTCTATTGCATGGTTACATGTTCACAAAACACTTAGCTATACAACTGAAATACACTCAATTACATTATTTCTCATCATTACTCTGGGACGCTGTCCTTTCAGTGTTGCACTCATCTTTGACCTAACACCATGGCCTGTGAATGATGCTAATATAGATCTGTCAAACAGAAGAGATAGAACAGCTTTACTAACGGCTGTATTTGGACATTCTTAGTGTCTGCTACATGAAAGCAGCGCGCTGACTCTGCCTCTGAGGTGGTTTGTTAAACAGTCTAATTTAAATACAAATGTAACTAATGTTTATTAGCTGGAATATCTTCCTTTATTTTTGTAAATCATACCCCTTCAATAAATGATAAGATTACCACTGTTGTTGGTGTAGAACTCCCAGAACAGTCAATTTCTCAAGACTCAGCTCATGTAAATGTTTTCGTCTTCATAACTTCGTGACTTGTGTACTTTATTTCCATGTCATTATTATTAATGAAATTACCATTTACTTTAGTGAGTGTAGTTCTACCTTCTAGAGCGGCAAGTGCTCGTTACCATAACAACACACTGTTTACAATTGCTGGGTTGGTTGCATCTGGTTTACTGTATGCATTTAACCTTTAACAAACTAGGTTTAATTTATATTCACCAGTTTTGGAACGTATTAAAAGAGATCGAAGGTTAAAATACTCATTTTTAATAAATCAGCTGAAAAACATTTTAGGGGTCATTTTTCAGAATTCGAACGGGAGAAGTCCAAATGACGAGAGTCCTAGTGTTAAACAGATGCATCCTTTTCATCTGCTTTTAATCATTCAAATGACAACAAATTCTGTCGTAAGTAATACAGCGTAATCAAAGTTTATATCGGGACCAGTGTCGTTGATACAGACTTGGATCATAAAGAGTTCCCAAAACCACTATGGCCTGAGACTTGAACGCAGCAAAACAGCGTTTCTGTGGTATCCAAGCAACCAAAGAGTTATCCAATGGCTCCACGTAATGTCATGACTTACTTTACGACGAGCCAATCAGCTGTAAGAAAATGACCTGTGTCCCTCCTTCTTCACATGGGCTGTGCGAACACACGAGCTAACATGCTAACAAGATACAGAGCAGAGTGAAGTGGTCAAAGCTGAAGCAGAACTCCGACCCGAGCTCTTTCCCGAATGGAGAACGTGCACTTAGCCGTGGAGGACGACCTATACTCGGGTTATAATGACTACAACCTGGCCTTTGACCAGGAGGTGGGTTTTCGGAGCTGGATCAGGATTAGCCCCATCCTGCAAGAGCCAATAGACAATACTCGTTTCTCTAATCTATAAATTACATATTTATACTATTTTAGCAGGGATACCAAATCTATACTAGAGACACGCTCTTTCGATTCTAATTGAGAAAGTTACATTTTTTGTTATATTAAAGTTCGGGTACCTAACATACTGCTTTTATAGCAGGGATGTTAAAACTTTTGACAGGCCCGCGGGTCAATTGCGACCCTCTGCAATTTAGTTTGGCCCTCTGCCGCCAACACAAAGTAGATTTTGAAATCATAAACACAAGTTCATAGTGTCATCCAGCCAATTTCTGTCTGAAAAAGGTGATCTGAAAATGTGACAAGAGAGAAACTGTTTTGAGAGCGAGGAACTATCAATGTCATTATATGGTTTGATCTTTCAGCCCCCGCTGAAAGATCAAGGCTCCTGTGGACTCACCACCTGCAGGAGGATCAGTGGATCTGGGTGCAACTCTGACTGCCACCCCCCGAATCAGAAATGGATTAAGGGGAAGAAGATGGATGGATGGATGGATAGTTTGAATGCTTGGAACTCAAAGTTGACCTTTTCTTTGGGTCTCCAACAGTTTCTTCCCAGAGAGACTATTAAAAATCAATAAAAATGGCAGAAAGATATTCAACCAAATTGAATTAGTTGGTTCACAAAGTCAGAATAGTAATGCACTCTGGAGTTAATAGCTATAATATGGTATTATAACTACTTATGTTCTTGATTTTAAAATGTATATGTAGTGGCAGTAGAGTCATGAAAAATTTAGTTGCTCAAGTACAGTTGCATGTTTACATTTGCTCAATATCTATTAGGGCTGGGAATCGGCAAAAATGTGAAGATTCAATAGTACTGCAAAATTTGGGCCGCAGTTCAATATGATTTTGATTCTTAACATATTGAGAAGTATTGTGATTAGATTCAGTGATATATTTCGATTCATGTTCCTCATATTATTTAAAGACATAACAAACAAGAAGGAAAATAAGACTCAAATGTCACATTTGTTATGGTCTGCACATTAATTAACTGAAGCAAACACTGAGGAGGGTAGTGCAAAAACGTTATCCCAGTTGAACATTCAGGACACAGGACTTTATTACAGGACAAGAAATCATTGTTCTCTGAATAGACGACCTCTCACATGAATGATGAGCTCCCAGCTCATCACTTACATTACTCAAATACAACAGACTAGAGTCACAAAAAAGTAGACATCATAGAGGAACAGAAATCTCAGATGGAAATGACCAGAGGAAACTGAGACAAAATACTTAAGTGAATAAATCACTATTTATAATAATACTTTGTCAGTGTAATGAAGCTTTGCCAAACTGTAGTTTTACAACAGAGCCACAAGAGCAGTGATTCTACATGTCTCTAATCCCTGCACCTTTGACTAAATCTATTCAAATCTTTATTATTCATTGTGCTATACAAATACACTTACCTTGCAAGCTTGTGTCTGCGTTGATAAGAGTCATGTAACCCACAGGAGCTGGACAATGATGTGGGCTTCCAGCAGGCGGTGAGGACCAGCCATGGCAGAAGACCTCCGGTGAGTGTCTCTCTCTCTCTGTCCTCTGAGGCTGTGGATCAGAACGAGCTGATTCTTTTGTGTTCCAGATCACGGCCAAGTTCCCAGGCACGGCCATCGGCTCACGCCCCCTGGTGTCCTCACTTGGGGTAAGACCATGTTTTACACTTTGTTTTGATTTGATTTATTAATGTCAAGCTTATAAACAGGAATAAATCATGGAATTTACAGCACTTACATTTTATGCATGATAGAGACAGATGTACTTGAACATACATTCAGACATCTAAGGGTTAACTTTCCTGTTTTCTCTGTCATTTACATTTGGGGCAGACCTGGGCATGTATTCTTTTGATCCATCTATTATTTCTAATATTAACTTATTAACTTGTTGCAGCCCTAGTTATTTAATAGATTTAGTGTCAGGCCACAATTTAAAATAGTGTTGGGGGCTGGTGGAAACGGGGAAAAAGATACACATACAATACAATACAAGGAAGCATCTGCTCTATGATTCATATAAAATCACTTTTCATCATTGTTCCATGTCGATAACCGGATGAAAAGATAATCAAAGATTGCCACATTTAATTGTATCCGGTTGGAGACATAAAAGTCATCAGTAACAATAAATGATGTTATTTGTGTCTGGAGGCTCGGGTCCCGTTGGCCTCCTCGCTGGGTCGCCCCATGACCGGAGCTGTGCAGGTGAGGGGATATTCACTTCTATTTTCAGAGACTAAGCACAGATGCAGTAATGGAAGGAAAGGAAAGCTCAAACTACATTACATAAACTTTGAAGGTTCTTACAATAAGGCACAAGTGTAAAGAAGCTAGTTCTGATTAATTCCTTCATGTTTCTGAGGTAGACTTCAGCCTTCGACCGAGGAGACAAGGGATGGTGTGACGTGTCAGTCGTGTCCGGAAAGCCCCCACTCACCGGGGCTTTCCGGACACGCCCCCCTGTGGCCAATTCCAATGTGTTTTCTATCATGGAATTTCTTGTGTTTGAACTGTTTCATTCTATGATCTGTTGATGGCGAATTCAATGGTTTTGTAAAGTCCTCTGAGATAACTACTGTTGTGATTTAGGGCTATACAAGAATAAGTTGAATTGAATTGGAGAAGTGTGAGCCAAGTGTGAGCCAAGCTGGTGAAGGCCCCCTCGTCTCTGTTGATAGTGCACCCCGTCTCCTGATTTTAATCGCCTCTCCTCTCCATCTTTTGTATTTATGTTTTCTGTTCCTTCTATTTTTGCATTGTCCCAGTCCATTATGTGTGGACAGTGAGCGGTACTAGCTTCTTTACACTTTTTGTCTTATTGAAAGAACCTTCTGAGCCCGAAACATAAAAGACATAATGAACTTTTTACAGTCAATATTTGAAAACTACTTTGTATAAATCCCAGTAGCACATAATTTCATCCTAGAGATTTTTACTCTTCTAGTACTGTGTGTAGCAGCAGTAGTAGCAGTAGTACTGTCTTGTTGTGCAGGACGGAGCTCGGCCCATGACCGCGACTCGAGCAGCAGGCTTCTCTTCAGGCCTGAGTCGAGGTGAGCGCTCCTCCCACTATACACTCAGCTGTACCTTTCATATCCTGAAACATGGGTACATTTCCTTTAAAGAGTATATGAAGTCAAACCACAATGCTGTCTTATTGTACACCTTGTTATCTTTTTTTGTTCTTACCACTATTCGACTCTTTGGGCTGAGAGCTGATTGGTTGAGAGACGGTGGAGGAACCTCTCGTCACTTTTCTGTCTGAAAAAGCTGATCTGAAGATGTGACAGAGGCTAAAACACATGATGTAAAAACTAGATCAGAGCAAACTGTTTTAGAGGTTGACATAGATTTGATTGGAGTTCTATTTCTTTTGTGTGGTTTCAAAAGTAGCCACTAATTCAGACTGCAACGTCCAGGAGACCCACTCCAGCAGGTCAGCATGAAGGTGTCAGCGGGAAATGAATGTAGGAATTGTAAGTTCCTCCGCATGCTCCAGTTTTCCCTGCTTTCCCTAAAACCAGGTAGTCCTGAGTCTCCTGACCAAGCCGATCATCTGGAGAGGGCCCCAGCTGTCAGCCGCCTGAATCTAATGTTTTTAAACGTACCGTGATGCACCTCTGCCCAAGAGCAAAATTAATAAAGTTTATTGTGGAACAGATTGACTGTGTTCTTTCTCATGTGTGTGTTTTTCAGGCAGCACCTTCGATCCCCTCGGTCAGTCCAGAGGTCCGGCTCCTCCCTTAGAGGCCAAGCATGATGACCTGTGAGTGACTGTGTGGATGGGGACTGTCTGAGAAACCATTTAAAAACTGCAAACATTATTGAAGACTCCAGGAATCAGAAAAAATAAAAACAGAAAAATTAAAAAAAGATCACAGGGCTGAGGAGGGAGCAGTGTAAGAGATCATAAATGCATGAGAACAGAACCTGCGAACAAATCAATTCAAATGTTGCTCCTTGCCTCAGGTTTGGTCGAGAAAAAAGTCCATGAGATATTGATAAAACGGCCAAATGCTTTCTCTATTTCTCTGATTAATTCTAGACCGGGCCAGAGCCGGCGGCGGTGCCCAGAGCATAGGAACCCCATGGCACCCCAAAAGATTCTCCTGTCACTTCATGTTATACTATAAAGTGAATTACCGGTAAATGAATCATCAATAGTGCATACGCCAGTGCCTCAGCCTAAACGTAAAAAATACATAAAGTAAATATAATAATAAACACATTTAAATATACAAGTTTTCCACCATTAGATGTATGAAAAATAGTGAAACAATTATGATGTATGAAGTAAAAACAATACAAGTTGAATACAAACAGTAAACTACCAGTTATCCAACACAAAAATAAAAATAAAAACATTAAAACGGATAAAACGGGTAAAACAGAGGACCACACAACGATATAAAATTGAGTTGAGTTGGTGGTGACCTGGCGCAGACTGAGGCTGTTGTTGTGTCTCAGGCCGGAGGAGAAGATGAAGCTTCTGGAGAAGAGAGTGAACGAACTGATTGAGGAGAGCTGCATGGCCCACAGCGTCGGATCGTTACAACTGGTACAGCTTTGGCTTTGAGATGGAAAGGAGGCTCCTAGAGAAAGTGCACACTGCAAAATATGATAAAATATTAGATAATAATTGCTTGAATCAATTGGTTTTTATATTAATTCTGACTGTGTTAAAACAAGATTCACCAATGGGACAAAGCCTTTTAGTCTAGTTTCAAAAACTGTTGCTGTATTTTCCCATTCCAATCTTTTTAAAACATTTTGCTTTGTCCCATTGGCAAATCTTGTTTTAAGACAGTGTGGGTTTTCATGTGTTCTCATGGACAGTGAACATTTTTTTTTTTTTTTTTTAAAGTTGTTAAAAGTGTATGTGAGTTACTATAAATTGCTTAAGCTTATATTGAGTTGTGTGTCTCCTGCACAAGGCTCTGGAAAAAGCAAAAGAAGCAGGAAGGAAGGAGCGCGCCCTGGTCAGACAGAGGGAGCAGGCGGGCAGCACCGAGCAGACCAACCTAGACCTCACCTACTCGGTGAGTGTGAGTGTGAGTGTGTGTGTGTGTGTGTGTCTGTGGTCTGTGTCTGTGTGCGGCTGTATCTGTGTGGGCGTGTGTGTGTGCCTTTCTGGTTGACAATATTCATGTCAACCATACAGAAATGTTTAATAAGGGTATAAAACATTACTTTATTGTCGGGGGAGTTTTGAAAGATACTTGATGCACACAGAGCTGGGGTTTGTGTGTTGAGAGCCCAATATAGGGAGTACAGTCTGTGTTGTGGGTTTATCTGCGATTCTCGGTGTGTTTCCTCAGGTGCTGCTGAATCTGGCCAATCAGCACGCTCATAATGAGATGTACACAGAGGCGCTGACCACCTACCAGGTCCTGGTCAAGAACAAGATGTTCAGCAACGCAGGTGACAGACGCCTCCTCCATCAACATCAGGACATTCATGTCTATGTTTGTGTTGGGTTTGGCTCTACTCCACTGTACAGATATTTGCATAAAAACAGTTTGTATGCGCCTCCCATTGTTAGCAGCCATCAGTATTGGGACAAATTAATAATCAACTCCTGCATTTAATCTTCAGTTATGTCTCCAGCAGTAAAATGAGGTATGAGGGAGTTAAGCCCAGCACACATCTGAAGGTCCCTGAAGGTCCCTGAGGTTAGAGGCCAAGTCAGTGGTCCTATCCAATCAGGAAGCCTGCAAGTGGAATCAAATAAGAAATCATAAAAAACTTGTCGTCCGCAACGGACCAAAGAAGAAATATTCAGCATAACACAGAATACAAGTAGAGTGAGGGAAGACCAGAAGGAGCAACACTCTCACCTGGTTTGAAACTGGTCTAACATGGTAGTATAATGTGCCATGTTAGATTGAGAAGGATCTACTGTATATGAAGGCACACATTTGGAATCTGGTGACGTTTTGGGCAAATTTATGACTGTTTTCAGTGGTTTGAATGGAAACAGTCATAATGATAGCTGGGAGTTATGATGCAGTTTGATGGTAAAAGAGCCTAAAACCTAGTGATAGAGATGCCCCAAATGCCCTAAAGATTTTAGTTTTGTTGAGTAGATATAGAGACTCAGAAAGTGATCCACCAAACAGTTGAGGAAACCATTAAGGGTTAAACGTGTGTCCGACAGGCCGTCTGAAGGTCAACATGGCCAACATCTACGTGAAGCAGAAGAACTACCCCAAAGCCATCAAGTTCTACCGCATGGCTCTGGACCAGATCTCCAACGCCCACAAAGAGGTGCGCATGAAGATCCTGCAGAACATCGGCCTGGTGTTCGTGCTGATGGGCCAGTACGCCGACGCCATCACCTCCTACCAGCACGTCATGAGCGAGTGTCCCAACGTGAAGGCCGGCTACAACCTCCTTCTCTGCTACTTCGCCATCGGAGACAGAGACCGCATGAAGTCTGCCTTCCAGAAGCTCATCGCTGTGCCCCTCAATGTCGACGACGAGGACAAGTACATCCCACACAGTGTGAGTGGGTCAGCACACACACACACGCACGCACACACTTGCATACACATACATACCATACACACACACATACCCTAAATGCACACATACCATACACACACACATACCATAAATGCACACGATCAACACAGCAAAAATTTGGGATCCAAACTGTAATCAGTGGTTAAATTATACCTATGTTTTGCCTATGTGACAAAAGAGCAGGATCAATGAGACAAAAGTCTGTTTTCTCTTTTCAAGAGAGGCCTTTGTCCTTTTCTCATTTTAGATAAAACAACATTTTCTAAGTCTAAACTGCTGTGTAAATGTTGTGTTCCAGGATGACCCCACCTCCAACATGGTCATTGAGGCCATAAAGAACGACCGGCTTCATCAGATGGAGAGGAGTCTGTGAGTGACAGGAAGCTGGCTGTTAGCATGCTAACAGAACTGCTGCTTCAAGTTGCTGCTTCTGCTTTCTCTACAGGAAACTTCAAGCTGAAAAGTATATTATGACCGCGGCCAAACTCATCGCTCCAGCCATCGAGTCGTCTTTCGCTGTGGGCTTCGACTGGTGAGCTCCACACTCGCTACAAGTCCCAAATGCTTTAAAGGTCCCACCTGCACACGTAAAATGTGGCAGCCGTCACCACCATGCGTCACCTGCCAGAGCAGTGGGCAGTCCTGCTCGGCCTGCTCCCCCTCTCCTGCTGATGCAGCAGTAGGTCTCCCCTGTATGTTTCCTCTGCTTAGTTTATGAATGGATGATTGTGTGTGAGTGCAGGTGTGTGGAGATGGTTAAGAACTCTCAGTATGTGGAGCTGGCCAACGACCTGGAGATCAGCAAGGCCATCACGTATCTGCGACAGAAGGACTTCAACAAGGTGAGATTGACGTCCAGTCATACTCCCCCTCACTGTCTGCATCTGTGTGTCCAAACAATAGGAGTGTGCACAAAAGCATAAATAAATCACTACATTTTCATAATTTTCACTCATTGCATTGGGCTTTTTGTCTGGAAATTACGGTACATTACGGTTTGTTCTACTTTTACACAAAATCTACAATCGACCGCACAGATCTTCCTGGGCTGGAAAGTGCACAGAGGAACACGGCTGCGTTCTGACTAATCAGCGAGCTGCTGATCAGAGTGGAGCTAGAGCAGGAAAGAAACGAGCAGAGTTTGTTGCGCTAAATCGTGGATTTATAGAAAACCGACGGAATAAACAAGAAAAAAGTTCAGGATCACTAGGATCAATAAAATCCCCACTGAATCCTTCTTCACGAAAGCTGTAGTTTCTCTGTTAGTTGAGGTAATGCTGTTTTAGTATACTTTGAGTTCTACAGGGTGGGACATTTTTCTGGGTAGCCCACAAGAATTTAGTCTGCAGTAGCGGGGGTGCCCCCTTGGCCATAGGTGGGACAGCTATAAGCTATTATATTCCGCACTGCTATTATTTCAAGCACAGCTGCATGGTGCTGTTCTGGGACTGCATCCTGTTGGGCTTCAGTGGTACAGTGTCTGGTTTTCTGACTTCAATTCAATTTATTTGTGTATAGCCCTGAAATCACAACAGCAGTTATCTCAGAGGACTTTACAAGCTGTTGATTCACCAACACAGAGAATCAATCAGTTCAAACACAGGGCATGCAATGGTAAAAACATATAGAGCCATTGGTCCCTAAGGGGCAGATACCAATGTCCCTCGTTCACAATGAGATTTTGTGATTGGAGTTCATCTCAGAATGTAACATAAGTGGGATCTAACTTTACTTTGATGGTTAAGTAAGTTGTCTTTATTTACTGTAGTTGTTTTCATGAATCCTCTTGGGGGCTGCACAAAGGCCCCCAAAAGCTCAGCTGTGGCCCTGTCTCTCACTGCACATTACTTCTCCTTGTGTTTCATTTTCCTGCTGCATGCCTCAGGTTAAAGAGCAGGTATGTGCTTTTCACAGTCTGTTCTACCCTTCATCGTTCCCTGTAGCTGCTATCACCCCGATATACACAGCTTTTCTATGTTTTTATGTTAAACAAAAGTATTAAGAGATCCTTTGATTGTCCCACAGTGGGGGAAATGTCAGTGTTGCTAAATCTCTATTTTTATAAAGAAGCAAGTACAAAATCTCTAACTTTTAGCATAATAAAGATACAAGTGTAAAACCTTTGCTCAGTTTTGTGCTAAAACTGGTGATTATAATTGAAATACAGCCAAAAAAATGCTATTGCTAACCTCTGGCATTAAACAGTGTATTGTTATTGTAACAGTAAACAGTGTGTTGTTATGGTAACGAACACTTGACAAAGGTAGAACTACTTACATTTCAAAAGTAAAAGTAAGTAAAATTTCTGAAAAAATAATGACATAGAAACAAACTACGTAAAGATACAGAAAAAAGTCACAAAGTTATGAAGACCAAGAATGCACATGAGCCGTCAAATGGACTGCTCTAGGAGTTCTAGTGTTAAGGAGGTCTGTGGAGGAGAGGACCCCCCTGACTGGTCACTAGTCCCTTGCACTGGTGCATCAACCTTTAGGAAAGATCTGATGTGGTGCTAGAGGTTTAAACACAGCTCACACTAACCCCTAAATAATCCTATGGGGTAGTAATATACAATCCTGACTTTATATTTTTAGAGAAACCTTCACAGGAAATGGGTTAATCCAGCAATGGTTCCTCCTGAGTGAAAAGGGTCAAAAATATGGATGTGGAGTCGTTAGGTAATAAGAAATGAAGTTGTTGCAAATCTGTAATGTCTGCCTGGAGAGGGTTAAAAACGTTAATTCATGGCGAGGTAAATGTATTTCACCTTCTCTCTCTATCTCTGTCTTTGGTCTTCCTCTCTGGTCTCTCTCTGATCTCTCTGGTCTCTCTCTTTCTCTTTGTCTCTCTGTTTCTCACTGTCTCTCTCTCTGGTCTCCATATCTCTCTCTCTCTCTGGTCTCTATCTCTCTCTCTCTATCTCCCTCTCTTTAGTATACTGTCCCTGGCCCAGAGCTTAGTGCCTTGTGCCCCCAGTGGTGATGTCGCAGCACTGTGCTTTTCGAATCTTCTTAAATCTTTGCGTTGGTGTTCCAGGCCGTGGAGACTCTGAAGATGTTTGAAAAGAAGGACAGTCGGGTCAAGAGCGCTGCAGCCACCAACCTCTCTGGCCTCTACTTCCTGGTTTGTTCTCACTCTGGGCTTAATGCTAGTATGAAAATCTTTGACTTTAGCTTAATAAAGAAGCAAGTATGAAATCTCTAACTTTTAGTATAATAAAGAAGCAGGTATAGAATCTCTAACTTTAGTATAGTAATAGTATAAATGTGTGTCATCAGGAGAAGGACTTTGAGCAGGCGGACCGCTACGCTGACCTGGCCATGACCGCCGACCGCTACAACTCCGCTGCCCTGGTCAACAAGGGCAACAGTGTGTTCCACCTGCAGGACTATGAGAAGGCTGCCGAGTTCTACAAGGAGGCTCTGAGGAACGACTCCTGCTGTACTGACGCACTCTACAACCTGGGTATACACAGACACCTACACACGCCTACACACACCTACACACATACACATACACAAACAACATACAGACACCTACATACACATACACACACATCTACACACGCCTACACACACCTACACACGCCTACACACGCCTACACACACCTACACACACATACACATACAGACACCTACATACACATCCACATACAGACACTTGCATACACATACACACACCTACACACGCATACACACACATATACATACAGACACCTACATACACACATACACATGCATAGACACACACGAGTACACACACATTGCCCGGTCCACCTGTTTTATAATAGTATGTAGAAAAATAAATACATTAAATTCAAAATCAAAATCCAATTTGAGTCGTTTTCTGATATTTGTTCTGGAAACATAGTACTGGGGGATACTGGGGAGTGTTGAGTTCCTTCAACTGGTTTATGTGAAAGTGTCAGGACCATGTGCCAGGACCATGGATGGGACCATAACAGTGTTAACATGTTAATACTGTCTTGGCAGATTTGCGTGAATAATCTTCCATAAATGCTGTATTGCTTCACTGTGAGGGGGAGGTTCACCTGTGCTCTCTTCATGCTCAGGGCTGACGTACAAGCGTCTGAAGCGGCCGGAGGAGGCGCTGGACTGCTTCCACAAGCTGCACGCCATTCTGAGGAGCTCCCCACAGGTCATGTTCCAGCTCGCCTCTCTGTATCCTTCTCACACACTAAATATTATAGACTGGAGGTGTGCCAAAACATCAATATTGTTATACATCGCATGATTTTGTGTCACAGTCAGTGATAATGTAATAAAATACTTATTCCATGTATCAATATGTTTATGAACCTCTGAACACACGCAAGGCCTGCCGGAGGTTCCTATTAAATGAACTGGACCCAACAAAATCTTGCAGCTTAGTCTGAGCTCCATGGGTTGTTATACCTCATGGTAAAGCATGTGCTCTTTGGCCGTCATACACATTCTCAAAGTAGATTTTTCATTGATTCCCTCAATCTTTAGTTAAAAAGTGATCATTCTCTTTCATACTGGAGATGCAGCTAAACGCCTCGCTTCAATTTAATGATGCGACACCTCTTTGATGACACAGCACTAGTTGGAGAGGCACTCAGCAGTGATTGACAAGGGAGAAATCAAAACAGACACGCCCACGAACGTGCCTGTCTCCCAGCTCTCATGTGTGGAGTGAGAGACGAATGCCCACAACAAATTATAAAGCCTTATATGACTCTGGTCTGTGAAAGGCGCTGTATGAATAAAGATAGGAGGAAGGAGGCGGGCTGAGGATAGACTGAAACATTAAGAGTGAAATATGGGACCTTTAAAGATGATTCTCTGCCACATCCTATTTTTCTCTAAAGCAGAGGTCTCCAACCTGTAGCTTGGGAGCTATTAGTAGCTCCCCAAAGGATACAAGAGTTTAACACATGATCCTGAATTATTTTAACTATAAATCTGTTCATGAATGCAGGGGTCCTGTCTGATAGTGGTATATTATACATGTGTGCTCTCCATGTTTGGCTGTAGTTATTATGTAGACTACAATTTTATTAAAACTACTAAAGGAGTAGCTCTCTGCCATTTCAGTTTTCTAAAAGTAGCTCTCCAATGGAAAATCCTGGAGGCCCATGTTCTACAGATTAAACAGAATAAGGAATGGGTGATAATTACGTATGAAAATCAGTCCACAAACCCATCCTTCTCCCCCAGTCCTGTTCCATCCAAGCTTTCAGATGATTGTCCTTTAAAGGTGATCAGTCGCACCACACTTAGAAGTCTGGGCCTTAACAGTGTGTTTCAGTATGGAGCTGCTGGAGGAGCGAGCCCAGGCCATGGACTGGCTCATGCAGGTGCTCAGCGTGGTGCCCACTGATGCCAAGGCACTGGCCAAACTGGGAGAGCTCTATGATGCAGAGGGAGACAAGAGCCAGGCCTACCACTACTACTACGAGGTACTGCAGCCCTGGGACTCCTTAGACTTATCTATCAAGTGTTTGCGTCTCACAGAAACCCCACACTTCGCTTATGAATGAATGAAAGCTTTAGCAATAAGCAGCAGTAAAATTTGACTGCACAGACTCTTACAAAGGCTATGTGCTCCAAAAGGAAATCTATATCTTACAAAAATCTGGCATAAAAAGTCAATGTAGACTGTTAAAATACACCTTCCTGCAACAAGTTTGTCTGTTTGTGTCTGTCTGTCTGTGTGTGTCTGTGTGTGTGTGTCAGTCGTATAGGTACTATCCGTCCAACATGGCGGTGATCGAGTGGTTGGCAGCGTACCACATCGACCTGCGCTTCTTCGAGAAGGCCATCCAGTACTTTGAACGAGGCGCACTCATTCAGTAAGTCTCCAGCACACATCTGCTCTGCTAATGTGGAAATCAGGGGCCGTATTCCTAAAGATTCTGAGAGTCCTCTCAGAGAGCTCTTATCTTAACCTAAAAACTCCTAGCTAGGAGTCTTAGCTTAAAAGTTATTCCAGAACACTCTTAGAGAACTCTGAGCAAGGAATTGACAACAACTTTTATCTTAGTGAGGAGGCATGGCCGACCCCGTTGCTAGGTATGAGTCATCATTTCAGACGCTGTGATTGGTTGATCCTAAAAGTTAGAAAAACATATTTTTGATGATAATAGGCAAAATAAGGGCCCTAAAATGGACAAACTCAATCATGGAATCTAATTTTAGGAACACTGTGTTATTGTAAATAATAACCAAAAGCTATAAAGTCAGATATATCAATGGTACATAAATACTGTGAATAGTAAAGTTAGACTTATACACCACATCATCAGAGCTTGCTCAGCACCAATTTATCACACATAGTACGTATATATCATGAGCACTTATAATTTTATATATATATATATATATATATATATATATATATATATACATATAATTTAAATATTACTCTATATATAATATACATGATAAAGAAAATTATTATTATAAAATATTATATGGATAAATGATGATAATGATAACGTTAGGATTAGTAAAGGCTGTGATATTTATAGACTTATAAGGAAGTAAGGAAACAATATTAATATAAACATATTATACATACACTGTACAAATCAAGTACAAGGGAGTTTAAAAGTCTTATCCTCTCCCACTCCTTTTTGAGCTGGATTGTTGTTAATAAAACAAAACTGTATATTTGTACTTGTATTCTGTTGTTGTTTTGTTTGTTTTTGTCCTTTTTTCTTGTTTGCCATGGCTCAAAATAAAGTATTCATTCATTTGTAATGAATGTGTGACAATTTAGGACCACTTTTTCCTCTCTTTCAACTTTTACCATTTCTACTTACTTTTGTGTAACAAAGGTAAAATGGATGAGGTGTTATTGCTGACCAGCCAATAAGAAGCTGGTCACATGATTGACTTTTAAATATACCACAAACATGATTCCTGCTTGAATCTGTAGCGTTTCACTGTCATCCAGTGTATAGAATATTTCTCCTGTCTCCACCGTCCACCATTTTGTGCTCTTAGGGAACTTTTAAGTCGCTAAAAGTCCTCCTCTCAACTCTTAAGGGATCTCCCCTTAAGAGCACTCTTAAGAGCTAGGATTTTTTAGGAATAGCTTTTATCTTAACTAGGAGCTACTCCTCACTTTTAGGGGAAATTCTAAGAGTTGGTCAAGATTCTAAGAAAATTCTTAGAATTTGGCCACTAGGAGCAACTTTTAGCAGTAAGAATCTTTAGGAATACGGCCCCAGATGTTTGGGTGTTCTCCACATCTCTGGGTGGTTTTCCTCTGAGCGCTCCAGTTTTCCACACCACCCAAAACATACACCTCCTTCATTGTAGCGAGATTTTATTTTAATATAGAGCTATGGTTTGTTTATCTTGTGCTGTGGGCTTGTCATTCCTACTGTTCTGCCACTGATGCAACACTGACATTTCTCTTCATCTTCAAAAAAAAAAGTACATCAAAAATTCATTGCAACGGGGAAAACGTGTGCAAGCGGCTCCTCGGTATGGAGGACCGTGGCTGCCAAAACAATGAATATATACAGAAATAAATAAATAAATTTTAAAAAGATAACATTTGCAAAGAAATGCATGCAATTATGAGAATAAGTGCATTTATTTCTGTATTTATTTATTTATATATTTATTTATTTCTGTATTTCTGTATTTATATATTTATTTATTTATTTTTGTATTTATTCATACATTTATTTTTCTTTCTGTATTTATTTTTTTATTTGTTTATTTTTCATTTCTATTTATTTATTTCGTTATTTATGTATTTATTTCTCTATTTATTTATTTATTTTAGCATTTATTTATTTATTTCTCTATATTTCATTTCTCTATTTATTCATTTCTCTATTTATTTATTTATTTCGCTATTTATTTATTTATTTCTCTATTTATTTATTTTTGCATTTATGTATTTATTTCTCTATTTATTTATATATTTTTGCATTTATTTATTTATTTTTGCATTTATTTATTTATTTCTCTATTTATTTATTTTATTTATTTATTTATTTATTTCCGTATTTCTCTTAATGATATGCAAATCATGGGGTGGGCCGGGATGCCTCTGCTGTAAGCTCATTGGTTAATCTTTTTCCTTGCTCCATAGCTTGTCCAGCATAGGCGGTCATGTTGAGATCACTGTGTTCTCGCTATAGCCATGTCAGAACGAAAAAATAAAAATGAAAATCTCAAGCATTCTTCCATATGCAACAATTGCATTGTGTGTGTGTGTGTGTGTTTTTTTTGTCCGGCTAGTGAGAGGCTTATGAAGAAGTCTGTGCAGAATACTGAACAATAAATACAGAAATAGAGAAATAAATAAATAAATAAATAGAGAAATAAATAAATAAATACAAAAATAAATACAGAAATAGAGAAATAAATGTATAAATGCAGAAATAAATGTATGAATAAATACAAAAATAAATAAATATATAAATAAATTAAACAAATACATAAATATATAAATAAATATATATATAAATAAATACAGAAATAAATGCACTTATTCTCATAATTGCATCCATTTCTTTGGAAATTTTATCTTTTTAATTTTTTTTAATGTATTTATTTATTTATTTTTGTATATATTTATTGTTTTGGCAGCCACGGTCCTCCATACCTCGGCCCTTGCATCAGTCTCTGACGCACAATGGGAGCTTTATCACATGGCAAAGTGTTACCGCTGGTTCTTACAGGGAATTTACACAGTAGTACGCGTTGACTGCGCGCATGTGTGCGTAACATTATTTGGGTGTATCTACACTGGCCGTGCGCGCAGGTCCGCGGCTTCTGATGCTGTCCCTGTGTAGTCTATGGAGAAGTGTGGAGGACAGCACGGGTCAGAGGACTGATGTAGAGCATCACAAATCACATGCATGTGTTTGTCTTCATGGTCTCTGTGCGCTGGTTTGGCCAGACGCGAGACTTTATGAAAGAAAAAAAAACTATGTCTAGAATCACTGGAAAACTTGCTGCTCCTCCTGCTGATGTTTAGATACAAGTGCTGTGTGTGTGTAGATGTGATCTAAAGCCAAGGGCCACTATAAAATCATGTTTCACGTGTTTTCAATGGGAGACGCGTTGCTGTGCGCACAAAATTTGTAATCCATCCTAAATTAGGCGCAGCCTTGCGTCAATACGTCCGTCATACGCGCGTATAACACTAGTAGTGTAAGTATCCCCATTGGTTAACATGGAAACATTTTACGCGCGTCTGCTGCGCGTATAACGCGTACGTGCTGTAACGCCTCCTGTGTAAATTAGCAGTGACACATCTTACCTGGACAAATACACAACAGACAGAGTTTAATAACACAATTCAGACAGAGCTTAGTTAGTTACTTGCTTACAGCGAGGAGAGCCTGCAAAGCCTTTGGCCCTCAACCTCTGCAGCTTCAGGAGCTCCTTTTTTTGAATTGAACGACAGAAACACACACATTCTTATGTGGGTGAAGTGTCTTGCCTAAGGACACGACCACAGTTTGGCACTTTACAGCCGCCCCACTGTGGCACCTGGTGTTCCCAGAGGTCTCCCATCACAGTACTAACTAGGCCCTTCCCTGCACAGCTTCAGAGGTCTGACAGGATCTGGAATGGCCACAGAAAATTGTACTGACCCAACACATTTACTGTAATCTAACCACACAGTTACTTTATAAACCTATTCCTTAAACTACATCATAACAAAACAAAATGACACTAACATAAAGTCTCTCATTAGCCACTTGGCACAAGAGGAAACATCTCCACAACGGATAACATCCAAATGAGAGACACAAGGGGGGATAAGGGGGGTCGAAGGATGGGACCGAGGGTATGTCCCCATCCACATGATAACAGTCACATCTCATCTTAAAACCACTCTGTGTAATTTTTACAGTTTCTCCAAATGAAAAAACATGTAACCCAATAACAAATGTGACCTTTTTTAAGAATATTCACCTCCACCATGTTTTTGAATTGTTTTCATAGGCTTAGAAATTGAATTACAAATGTCCATGAGAGCTGGAGGACTCTACATGTCGATGCACCATCTTGAAATACAGTGGTTAAAAAGGGACAAAAAGGAGTTTGACCGGGAGTTGGAGACCACTGTCAAAGACCGTCATACCATAAATTACAATATATGATCTCAATGCTAGATGGGACTAAAACTACACAGTGTACCTTTTAATAAGCATTTCCTAATTCCTTTGTGCCATAAAATTGAGGCCCCGAGACCATTTTTTATTCATCACACTATGCTTTAGTCATTTCTGCCATCACGCCAGAGTTGGATTAGAAGGATGGGCCAAAAGACACATTTTCCTTCCTCGACCAGGCAGAAAGCATTCGCTGTTGGGAATGTAGTGATGTGAATTAGACCAGAACCAGATCTGATTATAAGGATAACAATTATCTTTATTCATTGCCTTTCATGACACTCAAGAACATTTTACTGGGATGATAAAAAACACAAACGCATTGATCCAGATTTTAAAAAAGCAAAACATGGACTGTGAAATCGAGGGTAAAAGGATTTGAGAGTGAGAGAAAAAAGGGAGTAGTCAGTGCATGGAGGACTATTGAGAAAGGCCGAGGCTAGAGGACGGTGAAAGAGGGGAGAAGCAGAGCCCTGTGAGTCACTCTTAGGGCTGAGAGCTGATTGGCTGAGCAGAATTGGTCCTCTCTCTGCTTAAGAAAATGTGTGAAAGATGTGACAGAGGCCAAAAAATACATGCATTTGAGAAGTACAGAACCAAACTGTATCAAGCCATTGTCTGTGTTTGGAAAGTTTCCCCTGATGTGGTGTAAAAACTCTCAGATTACAGTTAAAGCCACAGAACTGATATTAATAAAATCCATCTGTGGTTGAAGCAGATTTTCCGATGGTCAAAAACTAAAGTCCTGTTCACTTTCAGGCCGACTGAAGTGCGATGGCAGCTCATGGTGGCAACGTGCTTCAGAAGAAGTGGTGAGGCGTGTGTGTGTTTGTGCGTGTGTTAATATTGTGTGTTGCATTGATCACTGATAAACGTGATGTGTCTGCAGGAAACTACCAGAAGTCCCTGGACACGTACAGAAGAATCCACAGCAGGTTCCCAGAACATGTGGAATGTAGGTCCAGCCCTTTTCTTCTTTTCCTGCTCACAAACCTCTGTCTCCAACCTGTCTCCAACCCCTGTCTCCAACCTCTGTCTCCAACCCCTGTCTCCAAGCCCTGTCTCCAACCTCTGTCTCCGACCCCTGTCTCCAACCCCTGTCTCCAACCCCTGTCTCCAACCCCTTTCTCCAACCCCTGTCTCCAACCCCTGTCTCCAACCCCTGTCTCCAACCCCTGTCTCCAACCCCTGTCTCCAACCCCTGTCTCCAACCCCTGTCTCCAACCCCTGTCTCCAACCTCTGTCTCCAACCTCTGTCTCCAACCTCTGTCTCCAACCTCTGTCTCCAACCCCTGTCTCCAACCTCTGTCTCCAACCTCTGTCTCCAAGCTCTGTCTCCAAGCTCTGTCTCCGACCCCTGTCTCCAACCCCTGTCTCCAACCCCTGTCTCCAACCTCTGTCTCCAACCTCTGTCTCCAACCCCTGTCTCCAACCTCTGTCTCCAATCTCTGTCTCTAACCTCTGTCTCCGACCCCTGTTTCCGACCCCTGTCTCCGACCCCTGTCTCCAACCTCTGTCTCCAACCTCTGTCTCCAACCCCTGTCTCCAACCCCTGTCTCCAACCCCTGTCTCCAACCCCTGTCTCCAACCTCTGTCTCCAACCTCTGTCTCCAACCTCTGTCTCCAACCTCTGTCTCCAACCCCTGTCTCCAACCTTTGTCTCCAACCTTTGTCTCCAACCTCTATCTCCAACCTCTGTCTCCAACCTCTGTCTCCAACCTCTGTCTCCAACCTCTGTCTCCAACCTCTGTCTCCAACCTCTGTCTCCAAACTCTGTCTCCAACCCCTGTCACCAACCTCTGTCTCCAACCTCTGTCTCCAACCTCTGTCTCCAACCTCTGTCTCCAAGCTCTGTCACAAATGTTCAATATGACCTCTAAATTGTGTACTGTGGACCTCTGTTAGATCTGTATTACTGCTAAACATTATTATCTGAAGAACTGAATGTATTTGTTCCGCCTCATTGTTACTGCAGTATCTACAGTGGGGCAAACAAGTATTTAGTCAGCCACCAATTGTGCAAGTTCTCCCACTTAAAAAGATGAGCGAGGCCTGTAATTTTGATCATAGGTATACCTCAACTATGAAAGACAAAATTAGACTTTTTTTTCAGATTTTTAAAGAATGTATTTGCAAATTACGGTGGAAAATAAGTATTTGATCAATAACAGAAGTGAATCTCAATACCTTGGTATATACCCATTGTTGGCAATGACGGCGCTGAAATGTTTTCCGTAAGTCTTCACAAGGTTTTCACACACTGTTGCAGGTATTTTGAGCAGTGATGTCTGTCGCTGGGCAACACAGACTTTTATCTAGTTCCAAAGATTTTCTATGGGGTTGAGATCTGGAGACTGACTAGGCCACTCCATGACCTTGAAATGCTTCTTACACAGCCACTCCTTCGTTGCCCGGCGGTTTGGGTTAGGTGCTTAATCTTGTCTCCATTTCACAACACAAACCTCGGCTCAAAAACCTCTTCAGAAACTGAGACTGTACTGTCCCAACCAAACAAACAATACATAAGATCAACCTGGGATCTAGTTTTAAATCTGGAATGAAATGTTTGTGACAAGAATAGATTTATTTGCTTATGTTAGTTAATAACTTGGAAATGGCAGGATTCCATTAGTTTATTTTCAACAAACACATGTTTTGTTTGAGTCTTAATTTAATAATTCAGGATCCTCTGCAATAAACACGTCCCCCTGCTCCTTCAGTCTAAATGCTCTGTTTTCAAACTTGTTTCACTATTATCAGTTTAATTACCCGTAAAGAATTTAGGAGCATTCAAGTGTGTGAATGCTGCGTGTGTGTCTGTGTCCTTGTGTGTGTGTGTGTGTGTGTGTGTGTGTGTGTGTGTGTGTGTGTAGGTCTGCGGTTCCTGGTGCGTCTCTGCACCGACATGGGCCTGGCAGACGTACATGAATACAGCAGCAAACTCAAGAAGCTCGACAAGATGAGGGAACTCAGAGAACAGGTACACTACACACACATACACACACTCTCTACACACACACTCACTGCGCACATACAGACACACACTCACTGCGCACACACAGACACACACTCACTGCGCACACTAATCCTCCAAACGCCAAACAATCCTAGGATTGCCCAGGGTTCAGTTCAATTTATTTTTGTATCGCCTTAAATCACAACAGTAGTTATCTCGGAGGACTTTACAAAGTTGTCAATTCACCAACATAGATGAGCGAAACAGACAGTTCAAACACAGCAAATGCAATAATATAAAAACACATAGAGCCATTGGTCCATAAGGGGCAGAAGTCCAATGTCCATAAATGTTGACACATGCTTGATGCAAAACCAATTTCTTCTCCTGTGACAAAGCATTGAACGTAAACAAACAGATTCTCACTCTCGTAAGTGCAGTCTGTCACAAAGATTTCTTGTTTAAAAAAGCTTCTTGTTTCGCGGAAGTTTCAGATGGAGTCCAGGGGCCCATAAAACTCTGAGATCTGGATCCAAATGTCTGCTCCACAAATGTTGGAACTGGCTCATTCTTTGTTTGGATGGACTCCACACACGTATCTCATGGTTTAGAGCCCTTTCCCTGAAAACAGTCACGTGTGGAGAGACTTGACACGTCAGAGAACTTTTCACTGGTTCTCAGTATTTCTGCCTTCAGTTCTCACACAGGGGAAGAGCCCAGGAGCCCACACAAAGGTTTAGTTTGAGTGTGAATTCTCCTGCTGCTGCACTGGACTCGGCTGTCATTCACACCATATTTATTCACCTCCAAATGATATGTGAGCTGAACCCGACCTGTGCCCTGGACTGGGGTGAGCCAGAGGTGGCATTTGGTGCTGGTCATGTTGTTGGGGACTGGGGTAGATCTACCAACACCTTCACCACTGTAGTATTTCTGAGTTCTAAACTGAACCATCAAATGAACTGTTGTAATTTATGATTTTATAGCCTTGTATGAATGTTTCTTTCTTGGTTGTTAAGCACTTTTAGTTGCCTTGTGTATGAACTGTGCTATCAGTCATACTAAAGCAATTACTGTCCATAAAAAATGTTAATATAGTAATATGATAGCAAATAACAAATCCTCATGTAAATTGGAGGACCACCGTTATGTAAAAGAACGACCCCAACAAGAAAAGTCTAGAAAAATCTAGAAACCGGCGTCATACCAGCAAACGTGTGAACATCATAAACCACACGCACCAAAAGTCTGAGTCAAAACAACTTTTTTCACACCGACAGTAATGACAACGAACGAGGTAGAATTTTCAATTCTCAGGATGTTCTGACCCGGAGCGAGTGAAGGAGTGAGTCCACTGGTCCATGTTCTCCTGCAGTCAGTGAGACATAGATCTGAGTGTCGTCTGCATAGTTGTGATAGGACACGTTGTTACTGCGTATTAACTGACCTAACGGCAGCATGTAGAGATTGAACAGAAGAGGTCCCAGGATCGACCCCTGTGGTGCTCCACAGGTCAGGGCCATATGATCTGAGACACAGTTTCCAATCTCCACAAAGTACTTCCCGCCTTCAAGGTGACAGCGACACAAAACCAGTCCTATAGTCTCTGTAAGAGGATCTCATGGTCAACTGTGTCAAAGGCAGCACTTACATGTAGATCTAACAGGATTAGGATTGAGACTTTGCCTGCGTCAGTGTTCAGCCGGATGTCGTTTGTAACTTTGACGAGAGCAGTCTCAGTGCTGTGGTGGGGTCTAAAGCCGGACTGAAACATATCAAATGAGTTGTTGATTATAAGAAATCTAGTAAGCTGTAGGTAGACAACTTTTTCAAGGACTTTCTCCATAAATGGCAGATTTGAGATCAGAATCAGAATAATTTTTATTGCCATGTAAGTAACAGGAAGTCACAGACTAGGAAATTGCTTTGGCTCTCAGTGGGACAATAGTTAAGTACTGTTTAATTGCCACAGTAAATAGTATGTACTGTATCATCCAGACTGCTCTTTTTTAGAAAGGGCCTGATACTGCAGTTTTTAGTATCACACTATCTATGTGCGTGAAGGTAACAGACTGCTCAGAACAGACTTCAGAAATCTAGTGGGTAGTACATCCAGGCTGCATGTGGAAGAGCTCAGACTGGAGATTATCTCTTGGATAGTTTTATCATCCTCAGGTGCAAAGTGAGTTAGCTCAGAGAGCCTTTCTGGCTGTTGGATTGTTATCTGTGGATTGGAGACAATGGTGTTTTTGATGCCTTCAATTTGTCATTGAAAAAAATTGTAAAATCATTACATTTATGTTTGAAAGTTAGCGATGGTGTCCAGAACATTCAAACACTAGAGGTGACAGAGTGAAACAGTTAATCTACAATAGAACACGATGCATTCTGAAGGTTTGGTGGTTCACTAGTGAAACACAATAATGATCCGACAGAGAAGTTAAGATATATTTTGCCATCCATCCATTTTCTTTCCCATAATCCATTTCTGGATTAGGAAGTGGCAGACAGAATTGTACTAATTCACAGAGCACCAGCTCCTCCTGCAGGTGGTGAGTCCACTTCTTGGTAGAGAAGGTCTCGTGGTGGGCTTGAACCCATGACCTTCATGCTGAAAGGCCAATGTTGTACCAAACTTTTGGCAAAATGTCGGCCACATTTCGTTGAAAGCTTTGGTGATTTTGGTAGTTGTTGACTTATTTCTAGTCACTTTTTGCAGTGTAGAGGTGGTGTAGCCACTGGTGATGAGCTGCTTCCTCTGGTTGATGTCTGCAGGTAGTTTCTCTGCTCTGGAGTGAAATTCTCAATGCTTTATTATAATTTGTTAAGCATTCCTCCTGTGGTTTTCCGCTTGATCTGCTTGGTTGGGATCATCCACTCTGCTCTGGTCTGGATCAGTGTAAAACCATGAACTCTGTACTGCAGTAACATTTACAATGAGAAAAACACAAAAGGACAACTGTTTCAGAGATACTGAGGACATTCGTTACAGTTTCCAGCATTCAAAAGAAGCAATTTATGCGTTTATGACAGGAGCATATAAATAGAAAACTAAATGGGACCTAAAATAGAACCTTGCGGCACACCACATGAGGGAGGTTGGGTTTGAGACTGGTGCCTCGCTGAGTGACGTGTTTTTGTTTATCTGCTTCAGAGGGTGAAGTCGGGACAGGAGGGCAGTGCTAAGACCCGGAGAGAAGGCAGCGCTGGGAGCTCAGGTGAGTCCTCAAACAATAACAGAAAAGTCTGTGTTTTCCTTCTGTCTCTTTTCTTTTATTAGTCTTAACTCTAAACTATATGTATTATAATATTACATGTTCTATTAGTTTGTTGGGATTAGATCTAAATAACACCAGAGGAATGTTCATCTATACTGGGTTTTTAATCACCAAAGTGCTTTACAGTTTAAAACAGAACTAGGGTTGCACAATGATGGAAAATTTTCAAAGATGGGAACTTTTGGGAAATTATGGGAATTTATGGGAATTAACAGAGAATTTTCTAATCTAAAGGCTCGGTCTTCATATGGAACTTAAATATATCTTATTTTATCAGAATCTCCACTAAAACAAACAGACGCCTGTCAATACACTGATTATCTATGGCATACCTCACATAGCACGCTGCCCAGTCACTACTGAGACCACGCTCCCTACTGGCCCTGTGCCTCCGTCACATGTACAGGAGGTTTCTATAAAAATAGACCACATTTTTGAGCCCAAAGCACAAGATTGTTTAGTCCACAGGCTCATATCTGGGGATCTTGTTCTACTTAAAAATAGATCTGTTGTTGACATTTAGCTTGGATGTTTTCTTATGACTTCTGTTTAGATTTATGTTTGGACAATCAAATTACATTACAATTAATTCCCAGTTATGGAATATTTCAAAAGCTTCCCCAGCTTAACTTCCCATGGAAATATACAAGAACATTTACCAGAAACGTTTCTCCCCCTTGGCACAAATTAATGACTAGAATTTAAGATCAGAGTAGATATGGTGCCAATGGATCCTAGACAGACACTTCCTGCTGTACTCCTGATGGCTCATTTAGGCCCCTGCCCCTGCCCTTGTCCCTGCCCTGTCCCCCTGAGTCCCTGGTGGTCCAGTCTCTCCCGTGACCAGTTCTGTTTCAATCCCACTCCCCAGGATGCCTTGACTCCCATCCAGGCATCATGTCTGTCTCTATAAACTTGGTCTCAAAAACGTGAAACTTGCTCTGGGAGTGAAGCAGACACACTGACTGAGGAGCAGGTGTGGAATTTATGTCCTCGCTCTGAAAGTTGCAACTGCGGCCTGTGTGTGTGTGTTGCAGACTCTGGACACAGCAGTGGCAGCAGAGGAGAACGCCTAAGCTCCAGACTCCGCTCTTTACCCGGGAACAACCAGCCCTATGAGAGCAGTGCCCCCAAAGAACTGGGTGAGGAGGGGGAGGTGGGAGGTGGGAGGTGGGAGGTAGGAGGGAGGAGGTAGGAGGGAGGAGGGAGGAGAGTAGATTTGGGTAAGTTCTTGGTGCATTTACAAGTCACTAGTCAGACCTCTGTCTCTCTCTAATTTAATTATAATATATAAGGTACATTATAATAAATGTATCAATTATTTTTTTGAATATAAAAAGTGTACAGTGTATAAGAGACATAGAATGTTCAAACCCTCAGGTCGTTGTTGCAGCCTCTGAACACGGATCATGATGTTTCTGTTTATTCCGTTGCTGCTGCAGTTCTTCCTCTTTGCAGATCATGAAATATTTGATTCTCTGATCTATTGTTGGTGAATCGAAACGTCATTACATTTTGTTCTGTTCAGTCTCACGCACGTGTCCAAGAGAACAGTGTTAGGGCTAGCCACGTTAGCAGTGCATCTTTGGATTTCTCGTTCTATAACTACGTATGTGTGTGTGTCTGCGTTTGTGTGTGTCTGTGTCTGCGTTTGTGTGTGTGTTCAGATGCGTCCTATGTTGACCCCCTGGGGCCGCAGATGGAGCGGCCGAAAACCGGAGTCAAAAAGAGACAAGAGGACGACTTTGAAGATGAGGAGCTGGGGGACGATCTGCTGCCAGAGTAGAACCTGACCACAGGGACCACTGACCACAGGGACCACTGACCACAGGGACCACTGACCACAGGGACCACTGACCACAGGGACCACTGACCACAGGGACCACTGACCACAGGGACCACTGACATTCTTAGTAGAAATACAGATGAATGATAGAAGACCCAGTTTTGCCTGAGGGACAGAGAACTTGAAAGACGTTTGCTGAAAAGTATGGATTTACCATAATATATCTGTCTAAAAGAGAATGTTTTTGTTTTAAAAGTAGAGTTTTATCTGCCTTAAACACCCTGTGTGTGTGTGTGTGTGTGTGTGTGTGTGTGTGTGTGTGTGTGTGTGTGTGTGTGTGTGTGTGTGTGTGTGTGTGTGTGTGTGTGTGTGTGTGTGTGTGTGTGTGTGTGTGTGTGTGTGTGTGTGTGTGTGTGTGTGTGTGTGTGTGTGTGTGTGTGTGTGTGTGTGTGTGTGTGTGTGTGTGTGTGTGTGTGTGTGTGTGTGTGTGTGTGTGTGTGTGTGACTCCCACACAAACACATGAGTTATATTTACATTTTTCATCTGATAAAAATACAATAACGTGTTTCTTTTGTCGTCTACTGTTTTAGTTACACAATAGTGGTAATTGTTCTTCTATGTCTGTGGGGCCCCTGGATCCTAAACCACTGGACTGACTTCCACAGGCCATGTCCCTGGGATCATTCTTATTTAATGTTTTTGATACATGTGTCAAGCTGCAGTCACTTAAGCCTTAAACCTCAGTCTGAAATAAACACATGGCCTCTCAATATCTCTGCTTTTTCATTATTGTTGTTAACGTTCATCCAGAGGATCCACACTGTCTCCTTTTACTGCAGCTGTCTGTGAACATCCACTTTCACTTCACTGGTCCGATCTCTGAAGTGAAACAGTTCAGGGTCAAACCGTGTGTATTCTGTAATGTGCGGGAAGTGTCTTGCTTAAGGATACAACAAATATTTCCTCAGCGTCCCACTGTGGTACCTGCTGTTCCCTCAGGTCTTCTGTGGTACCTGCTGTTCCCTCAGGTCTTCTGTGGTACCTGCTGTTCCCTCAGGTCTTCTGTAGTACCTGTCTGCTCATGTCTACGTAGGTTTCCTCCAGGTGCTCCAGTTTCCCCATCACTAAATGTATAAGCAATGGTTCCGAGTGAATGAGACAACAGATGCAAATTAGTCCTAGACTAAAATCTGGAGAGATGTTCATTATCATTCACTGTTGCCAGAGCTGCCCTGGGGCAGAGTGATGAAAGATCTTGTTTGGTGTGTATTCATTATTCATGGGTCAGTTTTGACTCACTCAAATATATTGTTCACAATATTAATCCTTCTGTATGGAGGGGCCCCAACTCAGATTCGCCACGGGCCCCCAGGATGCTTGATCCACCACTGCATGCAAAGTTATTCAACAGTTTCGCATCCAAACTCTCCTCTCATCCTCCTCCCCCTGGCTGCATCAGGCTCCATGATGGCCGCTGTCCGCTCCACACAGACGCGTCTGGGGCATGGACTGTAAATATCAGATATTATTAGATCAATATTAAATATTGTCTGGAGCCCGCAGTGAGCGACCCGCAACCCCGTCACGGTAAGCGCCGCAATAACACTCATGGTTTGGAACTATGTGATAGATTTATTTTATTAGAGCTGAAATATGTCCCGGAGTTGAAGACCGCGCAATCAGAAGGTTTCTGCTTGAAACAATGGGCTGATAATAATGCATCGGTTTTATATAGCGCTTTTTTGGACACTCAAAGACGCTTCACATGTGTCATTATTCATTCACTCCATACACGGTGGTGATAAACTACTAATGTAGCCACAGCTGCCCTGGGGCACACTGACAGAAGCGAGGCAACCAGTATGTGCCATCGGCCCCTCTGACCACCACCAACCATTCACACACACACACCAGACTCATTCTAGGCAATGGGGGTGAAGTGTCTTGCCTAAGGACACAACGGCAGTTTGGCACTTTACAGCCGCAGCCGCCCCACTGTGGCTGGTAATAATTGCCCAAAACGCATGTTGAAAAGAGTAATATATTCTAAACAATGTGAAAGTACTCAGGTCAGACTTTGTGCTGGACTGTTCCACACTGGCTTTAAACTGGGAGACGTCATATCTGTGGAGAGGCGAGTCATCAGTTTCAACAGATTTCTAAAGTTGAAAATATGAGACTAAATCTGCTCAATGCAGAAATTATTTTATGTCAAATTCTAAAACGGGTAAAACTGGGGTACATCACTTTTAGTTTGTCCCAACAAAAAGAGAGGGACTAAAGTGTAGTGAGGTTCATCTCTGCAGACTCGGTCCAGGGGCTGAGAGGCTGCTCCTCTCACTTTATGACTGAAAAATTAGAGTCAGAGCTGCACCCAGATCACAGAGCTCCAGCTCCTCTCTGATCCTCAGGATGGCTGCTCTTTCAGTGACAACACAGCCTTGATATTTCAGTGTGGGCTTCAGGCACAGTGGGGATAAGTGTCTTGCCCAAGGACACAACAACAGCAGACATTAGTGGGAGTCGGTGGAGAAGGTCTTGTGGTGGACTGGAACTGTTGGCGGTATTCCCTCTGTTGCTCAGTGCTGCTCCCTGGTGTTCGGACAGATGTCTGCAAAGTGTACAGCACCGCTGCCTGTTTAGGCCTAGCTGGTTCTTATAATCACGTGTTCCTGTGTCCTCAGAGTGGTGATGGCCTATGAACCTCGGGCCCCTGTGCTGTGGCCCCTGCTGGTCCCTCTCCTGTGCCTGGCCCCTGGTCCCGCTCTGTGTGTTGCCAGCCCCCGGGGAAAGGGTCCTCGACGCAGCTGTCTGCCTCTGCCTGAGGAGCTGCTGCAGCAGATGTACGGCCGCCTCACTGTGGGGGTTCTGAGTGCTTACAACCACGCTCTGGAGCTGGAGAGTCCTGCCCAAGAGCAGAACCTCAGCTGCCCCTCCAGCGCTGCATGGGCCTCAGGGGCCTCAGAGGCCCAGCTCCCTTTGAACCTGCTCAGCATCTCTCCCTGGGCTTACAGGTAAACTGTTTTTAAACAAATTAAAACCCATCCACCTATCCATTTTCTTCCGCTTTTTCTGTTGCCGGGTTGCGGGGGCAGTAGTCTGAGCAGAGACACAGACCTCCCTCTCCACACACACACTCCCTCCAGCTCATCTGAGGGAATATGAGGTGTTCCCAGGCCAGCTGAGAAACACGGTCCCTCTGTGTCCTGGGTCTTCCTTGGGGTCTCCTCCTGGTGGGACATGCCCAGAACAACTCCCTGAGCCACCTCAACTGGTTTCTCTCGACGTGGAAAGGCAATGGCTCTACTCTGAGCTCCCAGCCACTCTGCTGAGGAAGCTCATTTCGACCACTTGTATTTGCGATCTCATCCTTTCGGTCATTACCCAAAGATCATGATAATAGGTGAAGGTGAGAACAAAGATTGAATGGTAAATCCAGAGCTTTGTCTTTCGGCTCATCTCTCTTCACCGTCGGCAGTCAGATAGAGCTCTGACTGCAGACGCTGCTCCCTCTCCACCACAACAGTCTGACACAGCGACTGCATCACTGCACCATTCTGATTGTCAATCTCACGCTCCATCCTTCCCTCACTCGTGAACAAGAGGACCCCAAGATACTTGAACTCCTCCATTTGAGGAAGCTGTCCACCTGGAGAGGCCCAGGACCTGAAGAAGGCAAGGCACCTTTTATCCGGTCGAGCACCATGGCCTCGGTTTTGGAGGTGCTGATTCAGTTATTTAGTGAGAGAGGTAGTGTGTGCGTGTGCGTCCTTGCACCAGGCTGCAGAGAATATGGGGCCCATGTGTCCCGTTAAGTGCATAGTCTGAGCCCAGATGGCCCACTCTGATGTTTTCAGGAGGTGACTGAGGTCTTGCATCCTGTGTACGTGGATGGAGCTAAACACGGCCGCAGCTCTGATGACCTGGAGATCCTCATGAACCTTTTTTGTGTCCTCAGGATGTCACATGACCCTGGCCGGTTCCCGCGCTCGCTCCCGGAGGCGTACTGTCTGTGCGGTGGCTGTCTGATCGGAGCGTACGGCCAGGAGAGCGCAGACTTCCGCAGTGTCCCGGTGTTGGCCCCTGCTGTGGTGCTGAGGAGGACCGGCCACTGTTTGGGGGGCCGCTACACTTACGCAGAGCACTACATCTCTGTGGCCGTGGGCTGCACCTGTGTCCCCAGCATGGAGCCAGAGGAGGGGCCCGAGCCGGGGCCCGGAGAGCCGCACGGGAATGCCATTGACTAAACTGGAGGACCCTTTGGCCAAAAAGTGTCATGTTTTTAACACTAACTCCCAGAGCAGTCTATTTGACGGCTTTTTGTTTTGGAAGTGTAATTCCTCAGCAAGAATTTACATTTTGGTCTTTATAAAATTTTCTGCTTCTGTGTAGTTTAGTTGTCATTATTTTCATGAAATTATCTTTTTTTATGTGAGGAGTTCTACCTTTAAACAGTGATTTTGACAGGTAAATTTGAACTTTAAATTCAAATAAATATATCTAGTTTTGGTTGCTTGGCATTCTGGTCTGGGACTGGGGTTCAGAGCAATCTCAGCTTGGAGCAAGTGTTTGTTACTATAAAAACACACCATTTAGCAAATAGCACTTAGCCTTTCAACAAACGGTTTTGCTGTATTTGAAGTCATAGGAACTGGCTTTAGCACTTATCAAGAATAAAAACTATATAAATAACTTAGTGAAAAACTGTTTTTTGTATTTTTTTCAGAATTCCATTGAGTTGAATGAGAGCTGTCAAAATGATGAATGAGTACGAATGAACCAGACTAGTTTTGTGATTTCTTTATCACAGCAACAAGTGTGTTCTGCAGGGAATCACCGCGACCTTGGACCGGTCCTGGTAGACCCGGTCTAAAGACCCACTGAGCGGGGCGAACAGGTCACAGCAGTTTTGCTCGGATCTTTGCTCTGGTTCAGAGTGAAATTCTGAGTACTTTATTATCATTCCTCCAGTGGATTTCTGCTTGGTTTGGTCTGGATCAGTGTAAAACCATGAACACTAATGCAGTAACATTTACAGATTGACAATTTATTTATTTTTTCCTTTGTTCTAACACACAACTGCAACTATCTCAGAAAGACTTTGGACTTAGGATCCAAAAAACTTCAACATAGAAATTACTTTTGAGTACTTTGCTTTTGGAGTAAGACCAATGGTCTTTGGAATAATTTGGATGAAAGGTGCTTCCAGAAGGAGCTCTAGTCCCAGGTTTGGACAACCAGGTGTGATTGAGTGTGCGTCCAAACAACTCAACAACAACACACGCACAATAGTATTTTTATACAACTTTATTCCATGGATGAAAAACAGCTTCTGAGTCCAGTGTCTGTTCCACACATGTGATCCTTCATCTCCTCAGCGGACCATATAAAAACATCTCAAAAACACGTTTCAATAATACATATGTACAACTTTAGTGTCTTTGGTTGGAGAGGGGCTTCAGAAGGCACTGCGGGGGCCACTCTGCGGGGACCGCTCATTGGGGGCCACTCTGCGGGAACCGCTCGGCTCAAACAAAGGCATTGATTTGACACTTGCAGATTAGAAACACAATATTATATCGTTTGTCTTTTCAGATTCTCACTGAGATGAAGGCGTCTCAGACTGTGACAGGTCACTCACGTTACGCACATGTGGAGTCTCAATATTCATCTAAAACAATGCCATAAAAGAAGATTCTGCACACGGCTGTAAGCAGGCCCTGCAGGCTCCGCTCGGACCACACATCCACACCACACCAGGAAATGGGTAAAAGAGTAAGAACAGTGAGGACAGAAATGACTGCGACACGACACCACTGACCTTAATACTGACCTGACCCCTGACCCCTTGTACGTTGCTTCTGTAAATGAACACAGTCAGGTGTGCAGCCAGTACAGTCATGTGCAGTCAGTTTTCAGTCATGGTTGATTTGTTAAAATAATAGTAATGGCTATAGTCCACTAATGATGTCACACACTGATGATGTCATACACTGATGATGTCACACACTGATGATGTCACACACTGATGATGTCATACACTGATGATGTCACACACTGATGATGTCATGCCCCTCTACATCAGCGTTTTAGAATGAGAAATACTTTCCTGGAAAATGATGAATAAATTGAGTACGATGACTGGAACTGAGCTCCCATCACCAACACTCCCATCGAGGGGAAGAAGTGGGGAATTACATTCTGCTAGATTTGGACCAAAAGTCAACATGGCGTGGTGTAACTGAAGGCACACTTCTGATTGGCTCCATCATCAAACTGAAGCAGTGATGAAGACTGACAGAAGGGTCGGGGGGACATGTTTGTGGCAGTTCCTGATAACAGAGTGGATAGATGTGTGTAATGAGGACATGGTGAAAAAGACAAATGTGCATAATGTCCTTTAAACAGAATACTTCAGCACAAGTCTCAGCAGCAGAGTCCCCCTCGTGTCTTTATAGCATTAGAAAAATAAACTCTCCTCCAACACAGGCAGCTCAGCCCCATGGGGGCCCAGTGTCCTGAGGGGGCCCCAGTGTCCAGAGGGGGCTGTGCAGGAGCCACGCTGCCCTTGCCCTGGTCCTGAGACAGTCCTGGTCCTGTCTTCAGGGGGCTACTTTACGCACAGCAGGCCCCCCACGTTCGCCACAAACTCCTCCAGGCTCTTGAGGAAGGCCAGCTTGTGCTTGCGGTCCTGGGAGGGGGGTGCGCTGCTGGCCTGGAGCTGGCGAAAGGCTTCGGACAATCGCTGGTAAACCATGGCGTCCCGCTGCGAGGACAGCAGCGCCTGCACCAGCTCAGAGTACTCCACCTGCAGGCCACAAGGAGAACCACACCAGTGAGAAACCATCAATTTGGCTTTTCATCTTTCTATCGTCGAGTCATGACTTAAAAAGCATGTGTACACTCTGATTCTAAGCACCGATTACAGATGGACACCACCTGCAGGAGTTTAACTACAAACTCTGTATTACGCACCACATCTGTTTCACTTGAATTAATGTCTGGTGCCATTTATTGTTTGTTAATGCTCTTATTAAAAACCGATTTTTATCTTCCAAAGAGGAAAATAAAAAGAAGGAAATATATGGATAAATAAGTTTGATAACAACGTATAGACACAAGTCTGGGGTTAAAACAGGTCCAGCTCGAGTTCTGATGAGGGATAACATAAACAAATAGCGCCCCCTACACTATCTGCTTTCACGTGTGGGTCACTCACCTGGTGCAGACACACGAGGGAGTAAAAGGCTTCTCCTGCTGCCACCGTTAGCTCTATGCTGTGCTTCTGCAGCAGCAACATGTCAAACACCAGCTGAAACGCACACACATGTATACTGAGACAGAGGTCTGCATGTATACTGAGACAGAGGTCTGTATGTATACTGAGACAGAGGTCTGTATGTATACTGAGACAGAGGTCTGCATGTATACTGAGACAGAGGTCTGCATGTATACTGAGACAGAGGTCTGCATGTATACTGAGAAAAGAGGTCTGTATGTATACTGAGACAGAGGTCTGCATGTATACTGAGACAGAGGTCTGCATGTATACTGAGACAGAGGTCTGAGTCTGCAGTGATCGTGTGGCTCTCACCTTGAGAAAGTGCTGTGTGGCGTGGGACAGGGGGGAGTCTTTGTCGGGACACTTGGAGCAGTGTTCTGCCAGAGGGGACAGCGCCTCCAGACACAGCTGACTGATCTCTGAGCTCATGCTGCACCTGTCGTCAAGGAATCCTACAAACACCTGTAAAACCTGCTGATCCTGGAGGAAGCTCACAGCACTTTAGTAAAACCCGCTGATCCTGGAGGAAGCTCACAGCACTTTAGTAAAACCCCAAAGAATTTAGAAATAAATATATTCAGCTGGATATTTAAAATTGTATCAATAGTCCATTAGTCCAGGGACATTAGTGTTTTGAGACTCAATTACAATATTATTTGCAATTGTTAGAGTACTTTATGATTTTCAAACAATTACCAAATGTCACTTTACATGTAACGAGTCGAAATATTTTAATTGGCTTCACATTTTTTGATGATATTCTGATATTCCAGAGTTTCACCTGTAGGTCATCTGTGTGTTTATGAGTGCATGTGTGTGTGTGTTTATGTGCATGTGTCTGTGTGTTTATGTACAAGCAGATCAAGGGAAATCCACTGGAGGAATGCAATTTGTTTTGAAAAATGCTACAAAAACCTTCAGCGTTTCACTCTGGACCAGAGCAGAGAAAATGGTCAGAACCAAGTGGCTCCACCTCTGCTGCTGTGAGCAGTAGTGCTGTTGGACTTTATTACTATTACTATTATTACTATTATTATTAGAAACTTTTGTGTGGAAGGATGTGTTTCTGCTGCTACTGGACACCTGAGTTTCTCAGGGATCAATAAAGTATCTATCTATGTGCGTGTTTGCAGGTGTGATCGCATGTACAGTACGCGTGTGTTTGTGCCGAAGGATACGCAGTCATGCCCAGCTCCAGTGAGAACATGAGGCTCTTGAACAGTTCCTCCGGCAGCAGAGGGATCTTCTCTGGGAAGATCTCACAGATGAACGTGATGAGCTTGTAATACTGGTTACACAGGGACGGGAACTGTGGAGAGAGAGAGAGAGAGAGGTCAGGGGCCGAGACCAGGGGCCGAGACCAGGGGCCGACACCAGGGGCCGAGAGGAGCGACAGTTCAGGGGTCAAGACCAGTGGCCGAGACCAGGGGCCGAGAGGGGCGAGAGGTCAGGGATTGAGGTCAGAGGCCCAGGGGAGAGAGAGGTCAGGGCCCAAGACCAGGGGCCGAGAGGAGCGAGAAGTCAGTCACTGTGCACTCGAGCCGAGGGGACCGAGGCCAACAGGACCAGGGGCCTCATTCAGCCAGACTCAGCACAGAACACACCGGGTCGAACCATCTGAACTGCTCTGACCAACTCAACTTGAATTTCCATCATTGCAAAGAGCCAATCAGTGCGCCCGCTTGATACCCCTCCCCCTTGGTCATACCAGATGGCCTCAGCTCGGCCCCCTCGCCCCTCAGCCCCGCCCCCTCTGGGTCGTACCTTGAGCAGGTCCTGGGACATCAGCGGCAGAACGATGTTGACTCCGTACAGAACCACGTCGGCTGCAGAAACGTTACGTCCACTGGAGGCTCCGCCCTGTTCCTGACTGCGGAACACTTCATCTGGAAGAACACACACAGTCATTAACACCAACACACAACCACTGTCACTATAACACACACACACACCATCACCAACACACCAAACCAACACACACACACCAACATACACACACAGTCACCAACACTAACACACACTGTCACCAACACACACACACACACACAGGCCACACCCATATCAGGACCCCAGACACACACACACACACTCCGACTTCACTGGAGTCTTGAGGAGGTGCTGAAGTGATTTCATTTTTCAATAAAAGATGAACATCAGGAATCTTAACAACAAGAAGTCACAGGTCAAAGTCACGGGTCACAGGTCAGAGCCACGGGTCACGGGTCAGAGCCACGGGTCACGGGTCAGAGCCACGGCTCAAAGCCACGGTTCATGGGTCATGGAAATGGGTCATGTAATTGGAAAAAACTAAATTTAAATGCGTGTGGGACCTGTGTCGCTGAAGTCGATGAACTCCTTGGACAGGAGGTTGGTGAGCAGCTCCATGATGAGCAGGAGGTCCTGGTACTGGTCCTCCTCCGCAGAGGGGTCTCTCCTCTTTCTGCTCTGGTTGTTCTTAGAGTAAACCTGCAGCAGCGTCAGACACGCCTCGTACAGCTTCATGCACTTACTCTGCAGAGAGAGGTCAGAGAGAAGGAGGTCAGAGACAAGCAGTAACACACTGACCCTTGTTACAGACACTCACTGTGACTCAAGTTTTTTATATTCTATGACATTATCTACGTCTGAGACGCCTTTGATTCTTGTTACTGACTGTGGAATGTATGGTCAGTGCCATTGGACCTGTGTCTGTGTCCGTGTGTCTGCGTGCGTGTGTCTGCGTGCGTGTGTCTGTGTCTGCGTGCGTGTGTCTGTGTGTCTGCGTGCGTGTGTCTGCGTCCTTGTGTCTGCGTGCGTGTGTCTGCGTGCGTGTGTCTGCGTGCGTGTGTCTGCGTGCGTGTGTCTGCGTCCTTGTGTCTGCGTGCGTGTGTCTGCGTCCTTGTGTCTGCGTGCGTGTGTCTGCGTCCTTGTGTCTGCGTGCGTGTGTCTGTGTGTCTGCGTGCGTGTGTCTGTGTGTCTGCGTGCGTGTGTCTGCGTCCTTGTGTCTGCGTGCGTGTGTCTGTGTGCGTGTGTTGTATTACATCATCAGTAGTAGTGTGTGTTGTATTAAAGTAAGTATTTACTGAATTGGTATGGAATGGTATTGTGTTGTCTTTGTGTGTATGTGCGTCCGCTTCACCCAACCCCTTCTCAGACCTGTGCTTTTGTGGTGTATGTGAATTGTGCAGGTTTGAAATAAAACAATCAAATCTTTTTATGACAGCATCAAGTTAGTTGTTGATGCTAGCTTGATGCGGTCTGAGCGGAGCCTGTGGGGCCTTCGATGTGACCTCACACAAAAGGGGCAGAGAGCAGAGCGGTGCAGAGGGCCTGCTTATGGATGAGCACTGACATTTTATTTCCTTTCAGATACATTTTTTGATTTCAAATGTGCTGAATATAAATAGTGATCTTCTATGACAGCAGTGGCTAAAGGTGACACATGTGTGCATCAGGGCGGTGTACCTCTCCCAGGTAACAGATCTGCTTATGGGCCACCTCCACAAACACCTCGATGATCAGGTTGATGGTCTCTGGCGTGTTACTGTACACCTGCGAACGGACGCAGAGGTTAGGAGGCTCTTAACACGCTTCTATGTTCTCATTTACACAACGTTCTCATCCTGTCATCACATTTCTCTAATTAAAAACTAATTTGATATGTTCCCGTCCTGCTCTTGTCAAGGTTACCACGATGTCCGGCTGGGCACTGACAAGAGTCTCAGTCTTAAGCTTTCTCCATCTGACAGAGATTGAAAACTGTGTCTCAGGATTGACCCCTGTGGCAGCCCACAGGCCATATGATCGTTTTTTAATGTGCAGTAATTACTGGTAAATTAAATTAATTTTAGTCAAGGCCTTATTCATATCAGCTTGGACCGCTGGGAGTCTGAAGAGCACAGGGACTGGCCTCCGCTGGTCCCAGAGTCAGGACAAAACATGGGGAGTAAGCATTTCAGATTTATGCAGCTAAAATATGGAAGTCTTCCTGAAAATGTGAGACAGGCTTCTTCTCTGTGTTCAAATCCAGGTTTTAAACAGATCAGATTAGCTGTGCAAACAACAGGGATTTTATATCTACTCTTTGTAATGAACTGTGATTTTTTTTTTTTAATGCCCTGGAATGTTTCTATTTTGTTTTGTTAAACACTTTGAGTTGCTTTGTGTATGAACTGTGCTATACAAATAAACTTGCCCTGCCATGTGGATAATGGAAAACCATTCCCAAGAGCAATTCAACAACTGTTCAGTAAACCAACTCAAAAGTTGATTTTTTTAATAGATTCAGACCTATTAAAAACAATTCAGACCCACACAAAGTCCCACACTGTGTGGGACTGAGAAGGTCCGGAGGCTCCATACCTCCATGAGCCCTATGCAGCTGGACAGGAAGTCCATGAGGAAGGAGAAGAGCGAGGCCACGTTGTCCATCTGCGTGGCCTCTGCGATCCCGCACAGAGCCTCCAGAGTGGCGATGATCTCCTGCTTCACCGCCTCCTCTTGGCTCATCTGGGCAAAGTTCTCCTGGTTGATAAGGTTCTGGAAGCGCTGCTGCAGTGGGTGGAGGACCTGCTCACACACACACACACACACACAGAGACATGAGGCCAAAGAGAAGGGAACGTGAAGCTCCACACCTGCCACGAGGAGCTCACCTCAGCCCAGTACTGCTGCTTGGTGTCTGCGTCCATGTTGGCAAAGCCCCCCAGCACCAGGGCCTTCATGAGGCTCCTCTGCACCGGGCTGGACAGCAAGTGGAGGGGGGGGCTGCGGCTGGCAAACTGCTTGGCCAACCTCCACCAGCCTTCACACTGCACCACCAGGTTCGCCCTGTGAACCCACGCTCAAGTTAACGTACAAATATGATGAGGCATTGATTTTAGCATTTAAAAACAATCTTGACAATCTTTACATAATGTCTTAAAGTAAAAAATATACACAAAAACAACGTGGAGATGACCAATATGTGTAAGACTCCCATTTGGTGAAGACATGGGAGATTATGTTCTGCTTTGCTAATCAAACAAGGCATATCTTCCAAACCAGTAGAGCACCACTACTTCAGGCCGGGCTCAGAGGGTAGAGCGGGGCAGTCTCCCGAGGGCTCTACGTCTGTAATGCTTCCCATGGCATCCTATAGAAAGTAAATGTGCTGTGTTCCCCTGTCATGCTGTAGAAAGTAAACGTTTTTGCACTACCCTCCTCGGTGTTTGCTTCAGTTCATGTCCAGACCATAATAAATATCAGAGAAAAGTTGAATCTTAGTTTCCTCCATGTTTGTACTGTCTTTGAACGATATGAGGGACATGAATCGCAATAAATCACAGAATTTGAATTCCAATACTTATCGCAATAATATCAAATCATCACACTATTACCACTTCCCACCACTAGGGCGCATCACATTCACAGCTCTTGCTCCCACCTCTCGCGTCGCTCCACCAGAGTGACCAGCAGCTCCACGGTGTCGGTGGCCAGCTCCCCCTCAGCGCTCCAGGCCGACAGGTTACTGATCACCTTCTCCAGCAGGTATCCCACAATCCACTTGGAGCCCTCTGTGTCTGCTCCGAAGGCGGTGCTCAGGGGGAGGCTGATCTGTGGAGGGAGAAGGAGGGTAGCGTCAGGACTAAAGCTGGGTCTGAATTGGGTCAAAAGAATTTTGTTTCAAGCTTGTTTCGTTCCCCTGTAATCCCCATTCGAGTAGAGGGAAGTTTTACAGAAATCACCAGTCTCAGACAAAAAGCTCAGAAAAAGTGGCGCAACAAGTGCATCCTGTTTTCAAAACATCCAGAGGCAGCGCTGGTGCCACCTGCTGGCTCGATAAAATATGCTCTAAAGCTAATCCACATACATATCAGATACAATAGACATCTCGGAATAGGAAAATTGCGATCGATGTAATAAAACGTCAATGGCACACAAGCTTACTATTTGGTTTGACGTATTTGTGCGTCCAACTGGACACTTGAGTTTCATAGTTCATATCTTATTTTTCCATCGTGACACTTACAGACACGCGTCATTTTCCCAACATCAAAACGCCATTACAAAATGCTTTAAACACTGGCCACAGGATTTGTAATCATTTACTGGAGACAAATGAGCTATGTACTGCAATCGCTTCAATACTGGACAATACATTGGAATAAAAGTTTTAAGGATTTTGTGATTTATTCTTGTTTTAAAACATCTTAACTCTTTTTGAACAAAACAGTTTATGATGATTTGGGCTGAGTGAAAACTAGGTGCAGAATGACCAGTTTGAGAGGGACTAATTCGATTACATAGTTATTTTATGTAGTGATGGCAATATGAAGCCCCATGAAGCCTTGAGGGATCGCAGCCTATTACTCGGCCCATGAGTCGAAGGCTCGAGGTGAATCATGCTCCACTACGCCATCATGTGGACAAAGAAATACATAACACTCAAGTGCTTACAATGAATGGTGAGATCTAATGTTAAAATGTATATTTACAATCTATGGTCTAACGTGTTGTGTTTGAAATAATGCTTCATGAACTATGAACTATTTGAGTCTTTCAGTCAATTGTGTTGATACAACAAACACATCCAAAGTAATACAGTTCTACAGAAAGTGATTAATGGAGGAAAAACTACCAAGAGGTGGATTAATTAAACACAACAAACCATTTATTCCCAATAAATAAATACATTTACTTTGCAACACAAAATGTATTATGGGTAGACCAGGATTCGAACGCTATATCTTCTACTTCGGAGTCCGTCATATACCGACTGCGCCACACAGCTGTTGTGAAATGTATTATCCAGCGTATTATTACTAATAACTTGAAGCCTTGATATATGAGGATTTACTAAAGTGAAACGTTTTTAATTGTATTTCATATGAAGTAGTTTCTCTATACTTAGTACAGGACTGCTCCACATCACGCACACACACGTACGCACACAGAGGCAGACGGGGACAGCCAATACAGTCTATGGTACAGCCGCGGATCACAAAGCACCTGTCAAAGCAATGCACTCTCCGAACGATATGAAGCACTATATGAACCGTCACGTGGTGCGGCCGCTACGCGAGGCTTCGAACGTCACCAACACACGCCTCGAACCACGCTACAAAAAATACGCCCCTTTTTTACTCGGTACACGCTTCGAAGACCCGGCACGCTCAGCACATCACTAATTTTATGTGCTATCCCAGCTTTAGAGCAAAAAAACCTAACTTTTTGCCTCATTCCCGATTGCTTACAGACATGGCCCAGGTACTAAAACACCTACATCAGCGTCAGGATCTGAGAGTGGCTCTGCTGTACCTGCTCGTACAGCTTCTCCTCCAGCAGCAGATAGCTCTTGGTCCAGCGCCGCAGGAACCACATGATGTCCTTCCCCATCTGAGGACTGAGCAGCGAGGTCAGGCTGGCTCTGGTGGCTCTGGACTCCACTTCAGACGTCCGCAACACTGCAGACAGCAGCCTGAGAGGGACAGGGACTATGGTTATAGAATAATGATGAGGCATTCTATAGCAACATTAGTCAAAGGTTTATAAAGCAAGTAAACAAAACACGATCATTTAATGGCTGTAATCAGACTTTTAAAACATGTTTGTTTGATTGTGGTTGAAGTGCTTAAGATCATATAAGGTCAGTGAACACACAGTTATTATAACACATTTCCATTTCACTCTGCACTATCTTCACTGCATGTTTTAGTTTGTGGTTCAAAAACCAGGTGGGCCTGGACCATGGATCCATGATATTAACTGGATAGGGTAATACTAGCTTATAGTTGAAGGACCCATGGGTATTTACGTGGACTACCCAGAATATGCTTTAACTAAACTAAAACATATATAGAACCTACAGCTTTCATAAAGGAGGATTTTTTGGGGGACTTTAGTGTCCCTTGTCATCCTGAACTTGTCAAATCCTTCGGTTGTTTTCTTCCCGCTCTACCTCCGCTCTGATCCTCAGCTCTGATTGGTCAGAACGCTGCCGTGCTCCTCTGTGCACGTGCTTGAGCACCACACACACATGCTCGTTAGTATATGGCGCAAAGCATGTACACCATGTCAGAACCAGAAGATGCCCAAATATGGGCAGGTTCCGCTAATATTTATTTTGGTCGCTTCATGCGCCACAGAGCACAAGCCATAGATTTGAATATGCCGCCATCTTTGATCGCCTGACCTTGTTCTGGATGAGTTCATGGCTGTGAGCCAAGAGGAAGCGATCTCTGTGGTCGCATCCTCTAAAACTTCAACTTGCATTTTGGATTGAATCCCAGCGAGGCTCTTCAAAGACACTCCCCTTTAATAATAGAGCCTCATCTTAAAGGTGTACAGAATCATTCTGGTGATATAATAAATACATCTATAGAAAGTGTCCCACAAGCTTTTAAAACCACGGTAAACAAACCTCTTCTAAAAAAATCTAATCTCCTTGAATTAATTACAAATTACAGACCAATCTCAAACCTTATTTCTATATCTAAAATCCTTGAGAATCTTATTGCTACACAACCATGCTGCCACCTGCAGGAAATATATTGAAATCTTTCAGTCCAGATTCAGAGCACATCGTAGCACTGTAACAGCACTAGTTAACGTCACAAATGACTGTGTTGGTTCTACTGGACACAATAGACCACAACATTCTACTGTGGAGGCTAGAATGTAACGTGCATGTGTATGTGTGGCGTGTGTGTACTGGGAGTGTGGTGTATGTGTGGCGCGTGTGTGTATAGTGTGTACCCACCGGACCACACAGTCAGTGCGGTGGAAGCCGGGGATGGAGGAGGCCTTCTCCCCTGGAGAACCCAGCACCTGCAGCGTGGTGTTCATGTCCACCTCTGTGGAGTGTTTGATGGAGAACTCCATGACCTCAGAGGGGATGAGGGGGGTCTCTCCCTGGGGGTCGTCTGTCAGGACGTAACCTGGACACATTACACACAATTACTCATGATCCAACCTACTTTTGCAGAACGTGCTTTGCCCTGATTCTATCCAGGCAGAACTGGTACTACGGTGCTCTCATGATTGGAGTGCTGCTGGAAGCCATGGTTTCCAAGTGCAATGGAAACACAACCAGGTAGAGTAGGGCCGAGCAGGGCTGGTGGGAACAGGGCTAAAGAGTGGATTATAATGTACTCTTATTTGTCAGAAATTAATTTTAAGAAAGTGGGGAAACGTTTGCAGGAAGCCAGGTTGCTGAATAGTTTACAATACTTGAGGCCCCTTGACATTGGTTCAACTGTTCTCCAGAAAATCTTAAAGTGATAGTCTGTAACTCTAAATGAATTACAAATTTTAGGAAATTTGTTAAATTGACCTCCTGGCCTTAAATGTTGATGAAAAATAAGTCATTTTATGAATTCTAATATTACAGGTAAGTCCCGCCTTCCTGAGCTATAGCTCAGAATCCACGATGCCGTCCACGTTAACCAATCGAGTCATGCCAAGGGCTGTCAATCATCAGCGCTGATGCTCGCAGCTGCGCATGCTCAGTTGTTTGTTTTTGCGGAGCCTCCGAATCAAGCCTTTATAGGCTCTGGAACTACAAGAAAACTGATCAAATAATTCTGAACATCCGCGCTGAGTTACTCATTTATATACTGAACCTATATCCATGATCATTTACAGTGCCTTGCGAAAGTATTCGGCCCCCTTGAACCTTTCAACATTTCGCCACATTTCAGGCTTCAAACATAAAGATATAAAATTTTAATTTTTTGTCATGAATCAACAACAAGTGGGACACAATTGTGAAGTGGAATGAAATTTGTTGGATAATTTAAACTTTTTTAACAAATAAATATTCGGCCCCTTTACTTTCAGTGCAGCAAACTCACTCCAGAAGGTCAGTGAGGATCTTTGAATGATCCAATGTTGTCCTAAATGACTGATGATGATAAATAGAATGCATCTGTGTGTAATCAAGTCTCCGTATAAATGCACCTGCTCTTTGATAGTCTCAGGGTTCTGTTTAAAGCGCAGAGAGAACCATGAAGACAAAGGAACACACCAGGCAGGTCCGAGATACTGTTGTGGAGAAGTTTAAAGCCGGATTTGGATACAAAAAGATTTTCCAAGCTTTAAACATCTCAAGGAGCACTGTGCAAGCAATTATATTGAAATGGAAGGAGTATCAGACCACTGCAAATCTACCAAGACCCAGCCGTCCCTCCAAACTTTCATCTCAAACAAGGAGAAGACTGATCAGAGATGCAGCCAAGAGGCCCATGATCACTCTGGATGAACTGCAGATAACTAATAATCCATAATAATTTATATACTGAACCTATATCCATAATCAGATATCTGCAGTTGTTCCTATAATGTGCAATTCATGATAATAGCACTTCTGGGTTTGCCGTGATCGCTTTTTTGTGAATTAAAACATTATTTTTTTCATTAAAACGTTAACAAATAATTCTGAAAACCTCTGTGCATGTGTATTAATGATGTATGTGTATAATGTGTTCTCAGATTAACGTTGAAAAGTGTTGCGGAAACGTAGGTGTAGACCAATCAGAAAGGAAGGGGGAGGGAGCTTGCGTCGTTTTTTTTAAATCAAGTACCTCTCTGTCTCTCTTTCTGATAAACTTCAGACAATCACTTTAATGGTCTTTGTTAGAAAGTGGATGGATGAGTGGTTATTGTTGAAAAATACTTACTGTACAAGATTATACATTACATTCATTTAAATGAATAACAATTAAAGTAGCTGGCGTCACGTTAATAGAATCTGTATCTTACAAAGTTTACACACAAAAGATAAACTCTAAAGAACTGCAGAAACCTTTAGTAACACAATAAAGTTACAAAGTTGTTTCAGCATTTCACTTAAACATGATGCTGAGGAAGACTTCAGAGGACGAGAACTGACCTGAGACCAGCAGGAGCCAGTGGATGTCCTCGTACAGGTCGTCCAGGACTTTCCGGTCCACGGTTCCCAGGTCAGAGGCGGCCATAAGGTTCTGCTGGGTCCTCTGCAGCTGGCCATGGAGCCGGCTCAGCCGCTCCTCTAACAAGCTACACACACACACACACACCAACAAAAACACTGGTGTTAAAGGGGCTGTACCTGGTGTTAAAGGGGCTGTACCTAGTGTTAAAGGGGCAGTACCTGGTGTTAAAGGGGCTGTGCCAGGTGTTAAAGGGGCTGTACCTGGTGTTAAAGGGGCTGTACCTGGTGTTAAAGGGGCTGTACCTGGTGTTAAAGGGGCAGTACCTGGTGTTAAAGGGGCTGTACCTAGTGTTAAAGGGGCTGTACCAGGTGTTAAAGGGGCTGTACCAGGTGTTAAAGGGGCAGTACCTGGTGTTAAAGGGGCTGTACCTACTGTTAAAGGGGCAGTACCTGGTGTTAAAGGGGCTGTACCTACTGTTAAAGGGGCAGTACCTGGTGTTAAAGGGGCTGTACCTGGTGTTAAAGGGGCTGTACCAGGTGTTAAAGGGGCTGTACCAGGTGTTAAAGGGGCAGTACCAGGTGTTAAAGGGGCTGTACCAGGTGTTAAAGGGGCAGTACCAGGTGTTAAAGGGGCTGTACCTGGTGTTTAAGGGGCAGTAACTGGTGTTAAAGGGGCAGTAACTGGTGTAAAGGGGCAGTACCTGGTGTTTAAGGAGCAGTAACTGGTGTTAAAGGGGCAGTAACTGGTGTTAAAGGGGCAGTAACTGGTGTTAAAGGGGCAGTAACTGGTGTAAAGGGGCAGTACCTGGTGTTTAAGGTGCAGTACCTGGTGTTAAAGGGGCAGTACCTGGTGTTAAAGGGGCGGTACCTGGTGTTAAAGGGGCTGTATCTGGTGTTAAAGGGGCAGTACCTGGTGTTTAAGGGGCAGTACCTGGTGTTTAAGGGGCAGTACCTGGTGTTAAAGGGGCAGTACCTGGTGAGCAGGGGGATGCAGTGGTCCGCTGCCACACGGCCCATCATACCGATGCTACTCAGCTGATCTGAGAACAGCTCGCGGTCGTCCTCCTGCAGCTCGTTGATCTCGTCCTCTTCGTGTGATGTCACACCATTGGTCGACTGAGGAGAGTGATAGTGTGAGGGCAATAGAAGGAGAAACATGTCATAGATGTTTGTGTGCAATAGAGGACTGTGTGCAATAAATGTCCTGCATAATTTTGCCAAGAAAGAAATCTGAAATGTATTTACAAAGACCATATCAAGCTTGAGAGTACCACCATGTTGTGTGTGTTTGTGGGTGTATGGCGGGGTCCTGGCTTGTGCGTGTGTCTCACCATGTTGCGTGTGCCGTCGGGAGCCGCCAAGTGACACTGGATGTATCCGTTGAAGACCTGAACAGCGGGCTGCAGGAAGGCGCCACGGGGAAAGTGCTGCTCGTCTCGCACCAGAGTGAGCCACGACTCTAACAGACGATCGTAGGCCTCCATGTACACCATGTCATCTTTGTCCAGCTACACACACACACAGAGACACACACAAGTTATACATCATAAAGCTAATGCAAATACCTGAAAACTGCTTTATTGTATTCTCCGTCAAAGTCAGGATTTATCAAACACATGTCACTGCACATTGTGTGTGGTAATAACTTTATTTGGTTGAGGACCTAATAAATAATGCATATTGCGTTCTGGCCCCTGAACCTCTTTTCTCCAGCAGCAGTGGCCACTTTACTATTGCTGGTCACTTTTAGAATGATGTATTTATTTGTTTGTTTGTATGGATGGATGTGTTTCTGCTGCTGGACACCTGCATTTCTCTTGCCGGGATCAATAGTATCTATCTATCCAGCTTCAGGCAGTACTGACCGTCTCCTCCAGGGCGGCGTTGCGTCCGAATGAGCAGGTGAGGAGGGTGAGGCAGTTGATGAAGGAGGTGAAGAGGTCGGGGGGCAGCGCGGTGAGGGTGGTGCGCGGGAACATGCTAATGAGGTTGGACACGATGTTAGCGATGCCCATGGCCTCAGAGTCCTCCATCTCCATCCTGCGAGAGCCACAACACGTCAACCACAACCACAGTGCAAGACAGCCCAGAAGTCACAACTGGTAAATGTCTATTGTGTGTATGTATGTATTCGAATGTTTGATTTTTATTCATGCCAATACATCTCTTTTTTTCTGTCCTGCACCATATGCCAAATTCATAGTTTGTGACTTCCTGTTACCTGAATACTGAAAAAGAAAAGCAAACAAAGCGCACAAATCGAACTTGTCTTAAAATTGATTAATCACTATCCATAAACGCACTATGTAATCAGCTCTAATCACTGACCAGCGCATTAGCACCAGCCCTGATTATTTTCAGAATGTTCACTCTCTGTCCACCATCCATCCCTCTCTTTTGGCAAAATGAGTTTTACATTTTTCACTCATATTTGCTGCAGTTATTCTCCATTCTGCTGCATAGACACGAGGCTGTCACAATAAAACAGCTTTATCACTGACAGCAGTCTCCTGCTGCCACATAGCTGTGTAGTGAGCAATGGAAAAAAGAGCTGAAAATAGGAGATTACAGCCGTCCATTACTCACAGCACATGTCTTTATTTAAATACGAGCCTCGTCCAGCCACATCTGTGATCTGAAGCTCTGTCAGTTTGAGGAAAGTGTGGTTTCAAACAAAACATGGCATGTTTTTGAGTAGTATTTTTGTTTTGTGTACAAAACACATAGAGAGAGGACTCGAGCGAGACACTGCTTCCTTCTAGTGGTAGAAGTGGGTAGAAAATAAAACAAAATCCATAACCATCTTGTTTTATGTATACTGCATGTTCTCTACCCTTTTAAACCTCAGCAGTTGCTTTCATAGTTTCATTATTGAAATATTATTGGTCATCACTATGACTTTGGCTATAAACCTGAGTGCGGGGCGTGGGTGAGACTGACCCGTTGATCATGGCTAGCAGCCCCTCCACCATGTGGGCCAGGTAGGACACCTGGGCGCTCTCGTCAGGGAAGATTGGGCCGTGCATGGAGGCCAACTGGGACAGACACTGGAGCGAGTCCTGGGCCATGTCCGAGTCCTCACGCACCTTTGTATGCACCTGCAGACACACGGGAACATACAGGGTCAGAGGTCTCACTGTGGACGCAATGCATATTTATCCTTCTTTCAAAACACAAAATATCAAACTGTAATAAAGTCTATATCTCTAGTTCCAGCTCAAAAACAGTTTGCTTTGATCATATGTGACTGAGGCCAAAAACACATATTTACAGCAGCATTGAATACGATTCAATGTATTTTTGTCTCGCCCTAAATCACAACAGCAGTCGCCTCGAAGGACTTGTTGATTCACCAACAACAGATCAGAGAATCAAACCGTTTGAACACAGTAAATCCAATAACAAAAAAACCACAAAGGAGCTATTGGTCCATAAATGTCCCGGATCATCCTCCTTTTCAGAGAGACAACTGTAAAAGAGAGGATCACCCTCACTCAGCCAATCAGCTCTCAGTCCAAAGAGTCAAAAAGTGACTCATAGATATTTTTCTTACCAATAAGATGAAGATGGCATGTTGTGGTCTGATTCGTTCACAGATAAATCCTTTTCCACTTTGTGTTGTGATAAACACAGCGCATAATCGATGGGAAAGAATCCAGGTACCCCAGCTTTAACTGGATGTTAAATCTGATAACGGCTTGAACTATTGTCACGACCAAAAAAAACTATGATTTTACTTAAAGACCACAACAAAGTAACAACTGAATTATTATAATCACGTCTTCAAAAAAAGCACACATCTTGTGTCTGAATCAAAGAACACACTAAACTAAGGAGTTAACAGATGTGGAATCTCAAACAGTGTTCATTCAAACACTATCCTCTCTTTGGCTTTATCCACTTTGCCCGTCTATCCTGACACTCTTCCCTGTCCCTGCTGCAGAAAAGCAGCCCCACAGCATGATGCTGCCACTTCCATATTTGGCTCTGGGGATGGTGACCTGGGGGTGATGAGCAGTATTCATCATGTTTGTCTGAAAGGTTCAATGATGGTATCAGCTCAGAACATTCTTACACAGGTTTATTGTGTGCCTTCTTTGCGACTTGCGGCTTTGTTTTAACATTTCCCGTTCATCCATTTGTGTAGAGTGTGACGGACATTTGCCCCATGGTCCCCTGGTGAGCGAGTCTGGTGCTCCTCCAGAGTCATCCTGGGCACACGGTTGCATTTCTGATCCGTGTTGTCCTTGACGGGCTTGTTGATGTAGACGGGCTTGTTGACGTGGACGGGCTTGTTGACGTGGACAGGCTTGTTGACGTGGACGGCCGTGTCTTGGTAGATTTGCAGTGGTGCCATACGAGATTCAGTAGTGTTCTGTGAATTGTTGGGAAATGTTTAACTTAACTTAACTAAACTCCACAGCTAACCTCTGGGGAGCTTCTTTTTCAGATTTAGATTTTTTTTTTTTAAAGAACATTTTGCTTTCCCTTCACAGTTGTGTTACTCTGTTGAGGTCTTTCAGTAAAAAAAACAAAATTAAATTAAATTAAATTAAATGCATTTGTATATCGTCCTCATTCACAACACTGGTCGTCTCTGGGAAATTAGAGTTGTTGATTTGCCGACACAGATGAGAGAATCAAACCGTTCAAACACAGGAGCTCAAACCTATGTCTTCTCTGGTGGACAGACAGGAGGGAGCAGCAGCTGATCTCAGAGCTTTGCTGGGCGTTTGATTCTCTGATCTGTGTTGGAGAATCGACGGCTTTGTGAAGTGAATGGAATTGAATGGAAAAGTGGAGGTGTGGTCTGTATGTTGCGTCATTTACAGTCGGGTTTAAAATTACGGTCGTGCTTGTAAGATTATAGCCCCTACATTGTATGAAATGATAACACCTGAAACTCCTCTCCTAACCCTGATCAGAAGTCTCCATCCCCCAGTTCTCAATAGTTCCCCTTTAACATCTCTGAAGCTTGGAGGATGAGGTTTTTTCCTCTGATGGTAAAGCTGCCCATTCATCATAAGCCTCCAGAGCCAGTAATTTCCTGGGCTGCCTCTCATGAACTTGACCAGATTGGCTCAATGATGCTATTAATTGAAAGCCACCAAAAACAATGACATCACAGTGATTTCAGAATTATTTGGAGATAACACAATATGTAGTAGCCACATGTATTTCTCTTAATATTTATAGCGTTGGTAAAGAAACAATCCGATTTTGAATGAAGAGCGAAGAGGAGGCACTGCAGGACGGGTACTTACTATGAACAAACCGATTTCACCAGCTCAACGACCAGGATCAGCAGCTGGAGGCTCTAGTCTGAGCTCCACACATGACTCCAGCCACCAGGGCGATTCAGGTGGGGTCTGCGTTTGCGTTTCCCGGAGTCAGGACCATTCCAAACTGTATACGACTCAGGGTCTACTGCGCCGCTGTGACACTAGCAACTCGTGCGGCAGCGTCAGTTAGCCCACGTTCCGAAGAAATCACAACATCCCATGGACAATAGTGAGAGAGGTTTGGATCAGGTTAAAAATCCACTCCCGCTGCTTTCATGAGGCTCCTAACGCCTGGACCCAAAGCCCTCTGCTCATATGCGGCCTGGTCAGTCAGAGCCGCTGTCCGAGGAGCATGGAGTCCTGCCCTGGGACATGGGGAGAGTGCAAGGCCAAAGAGGCGCGTTGCTATGAAAAAGCAGCTGGCCAGAGCAGAGTGCCACCTCGGATATGTCAGAGAGACTATAGTTAGAGGGGTTTGGGCGGCGTATGTGCAGGAAGGGCGCGTGTCCCCTTTAAACATCTCAACTATGTGTGGATCTTCTGCCGCACAGGCCGGCTCCCAAACACAGGTCAAGGCCGTGCAGTCTGACAGCTATGCCTCAGTAATTAAAGCATATTTAGGTTGTCAATTATTCAGCCAATCATCATCAACTCAGTGCTTTTGTAAAGGAAGTCACAAGAGACCAAAGAACAAAACTTAAAACAAAAGCCTCCTCATAGGGTTGTGTCCACATTGCGTATGAATGAGTTTTATTGAATGTCAGAGGCTGAAGAGTTTACATCAGGGGTCTCAAACATGCGGCCCACGAGCCATTTGCGGCCCATGAAAAGGTATTGTGCGGCCCCATATAATAATAATGCATCAGTTTCATACAGCACTTTTCAGGACACTCAAAGACGCTTCACATGTCATCATTCTTTTACTCCAAACACAGTGGTGATAAACTACCACTGTCGCCAAAGCTGCCCTGGGGCACTCTCACAGAAGCGAGGAAAACAGTCTGTGCCATCAACCCATCACCACCAACCATTCACACACACACCAGACTCATTCTAATGTGGGTGAGGTGTCTTGCCTAAAGACACCACCACAGTTTGGCACTTTACAGCCGCAGCAGCAAGTAATTATTTGGTGAAAGGAAAAAAAGTCATAGATGCAAATGATGAGCGATGAACTACTTAAAATAATCAATTGGTTTTCCTGTTTTCAGCTCAAGCACAAACCCATACTTCCTCTACTTTTATTGATAAAGAAGATCAGTTTGAAAAGACCAGTTATTTTTTTATCAAACCAGGAGATAAACTGCGTGTGAAAAGTACGATAGCTTGAGCAGTTTTAGTGACTGAATTCTGTATTTAGCTGATCTCATTGTGAGACACCTGGTTTACATGTTTAGGAGCAAGAATTGACATGACGACGGAAATGTGACTTCTAACATTTAGTTTCACTTTCATATTGACTGCATTATGGATGTGTGATAAAAAAAAATCCCATGTTGCCCAGAAAAAGCTATAAATATAAGAATGTGGCACAGGTCTCACAACTGAGCCACTGCCCAGGTCAACAAACCCCCAGGTCTCCCTTCTCTCCTCTGGAAGACCCTCAAACTAAGGCTGAGACAACAGGGAAACATGGGGCCACACGGACGGACAGGCCACCGCCGCCTACAGTCAGTGGAAATTATCATCAGTGGATTTTTAAACAGGAAGAAAATCCATCAAGTCCATTAGAATGGCTACAAATATAGGTTTAAATTTAGCTTGATAAAGACATTGCAAGAGTTACAAATTCAGCAATGTAAAACTAATGACACTCATGTTTGATTTGTTAAAAACAAAATTCAAAAAACACCAAAACAATACAACTTTTAATGTTCCAAGTTAAATGTTTTAACTCAGAACAAGTGCAGAGGTAAAGTGATCACCAGCGTTTGTCTGTTAGCCACATAACGTCATGGGAGGACTTGGAGTTTGGCAGATGTGTGTGAGGAGTGGTCCACAGGCAGCAGCTGGAGCAGAGCCGGGACCCCCCCTCCCTCACTGTGGGACCATACCCAACACATGAGACACTGCAAATACCACAGACACAAAGCCACACGCCGCGCTTCGAATGGCCACATCGAGGACCAGGAATGTTGAAGGCAGCAGCATGAAATGTAGAGCTGTAATAATCCACTTCTAATGTCGAGAGCCATTTGGAGACTAGCAAATACTCCAGATCTGTTTCCAACCAGACTACTTTAGAATCACCTCTTGGATTGACACAAAATACAGCAGAATTAAGCAATATTTAGCCTAAGTGACTTATTCAAGCATCTAGGGATCCAATGTTATTGAGTTACCACATGCAAACACGTATAAATGATCCGGCCACCAATTCCCTCCAAGATTCATCAGAATATCAGCCCTACTCTCTCCGCTGTCAAAACACTAGACTTCTGGTAGATCCTAATGTGTCAAGGCAAAGGCAAAGAGAATAGCTACCAAGCTCCTACACTGTGGAACCATCCCCATCCATGACAAGGAGGCAGACACTCTCCACATTCAAGGACAGGCTGAAAAGTGGAGTTTCTTTAATTTTGCATATGGCTCTGTAGGTAATACTAATCAGTAACTACAAAGAAGAGCACTGTTCCACTGTCTGTTTCACGGTATGATGATGGGACACCTGAACTCATGGCCAAACCACTTCCCTGCCTGGCAGCCTCTGCAGGGATCTACAGCCTCAGTCTTGGATCCACATTGCCCGTGGGAGCAGATCCCTCTCTCTGGATCTCCAATGCTCCTCTTTTCCCTTTGGGTTTGTGAGTGGCTCCTCTGTGATGCAGGAGGGTCTGAGGACAGTGAAGATCCGGGCCGTGGTTATCCCGCCCTATGGACCAATGGCTCCTATGTGTTTGTTATGGGCCGTTTATCGCAGCTCACACGTTTGTGAAGGAGAATTTTGTGGCTTTTGGTTTATTTGATAAGAGCGCCATCTACACTTGATCCTTCGAAAGGAAAATTATAAAAACGGCTGACAGACATAGAAGATACAAATACACTGAATGAGTATGTGACTGTAGGAAATAAGCCAAAATATTGAAAGACTTGACATCTAAAGAAATTCACAAAATAAATAACTAACAACATAAAATCCAAATACTAGCATTGAGTAAACTTCACAAGGTTATGTCCAGATGTCGCTTTAGAAGAAGGGAAATATTTGTCTTGGGTTAGATGACACAATGCAGAGATGTGTGTGTGATACTCACGGTGAAGAAGAGGTCCATGACGCGCGTGTCCAGCAGCGCCTCTCTCCACGACTCACTGGGCTTCAGCATCACATTCTGCGTGGCCTCGAACATGGCGAGGTAGTGTCGGCCCAGTGCAGAGCGCACGGTTAAGGACAACAGCGGCATGTCACTGGTGTGACTGGTGTCACTGGTGTGTCTGGTGTGCAGTGTATGGCGCTCACAACAACAGCACATGGTCTGGTGTCCAGGCCAGCTGCTTCTGGAGACTCCTCCACAGATCAAGGGCCCCTCCCTCCTTGTTCTATCCCTGTCTCTGTTCCAGGATTCTTAAACCTCTGAACTGTGAAAAAGCTTGTAGAAATCTGGAAACTCACAGCAACTCACAGCTGTCTGGTTTAGAAGAAGCAAATAACTTTATATCACAGGATTATCCCTCAGACCTGAGCCCTTATGGCTCCTGTCACATCAAAGGAAAAACCTCGGCTCCATGTGACGCTTGGATGACAAACACATATGTAGATGCTTTAGTAGGAAGTAGGAAATTAGCGAATGAATCTTGCCTGGGCTTTTTCACCTGAGCCAGTGTTTCATTTATGAATATATTTTTGTCTGAATAAAACAGTCCGTGGATGCCACTTGGTTAAAAAGCAGTTTTTTTCACTTGTCGTTTGACCCATTAACGCTGATAAAAGACAGCATTTACACCAAGAAGTTCAGTGCAAACATTTAAAAACCTTCTTTAAAAAGTGTTGATGCTAAATATAATATTGATTCCTAGTGCATTTATAATGTTAAGAAAAAAGGGGAGGTAGGAGGTGCTTTAGTTGAATTTGGATGCAGCCACGTCTTTATGGTCTCTGCGACTGTGAGGCAAGAAAATGTTTCAAATGATCCTTATGTCTGTGTCACCATTTGAAATCTTACGGGACAAAAACACCCATAGTCTGTAGCCATGTGGTTAGGTCGGTAAGACTCAGGGAAGACTTAGAAATACTTAGAATATAGTTAGAGTTTTTGAAGAAGTTGGACGCAGATCCTTTCAGTTCAAGGCTCCATCAGACTGGAATAAACTCTCCACATCCATACGATCTATTTTGTCTTTGGTTTATTTAAGTTTGAATTATTTAGGTTCCTTCAAACTCCTTGTTTATTTCCCTAATGTACTGTATTCTGTATGTTTCATTGTTGTTTATTTTTACTTTGTCTTTTCTAAATGTTTAATTTTAGCAGAGGGGAGGAGTGGGGTGCGAAGGAGCATTTGTTTTGTGTGTTCATCCTCAATTTGCTGTAAATTGTTTTTGTGTGTGTATGTTTACATGTTTGTATTTATGTTTAGGACCCCCTCGAAAATGAGATGATTCATCTCAAGGGGTTATCCTTAGAAAACAAACTTAAATACAACCTTAAGTGTAAAAACACACATTATCATGATGCTGTATGTAGGGATGAGCCACTTTGCAGAAGTATGGAAACAACACTATCTTCTTTATCTGTCATCATTATGACTTCGACTGTAGTCTGTTCATTGCTATTCACCTGCTGTCCCATTGTCTGTTTCAGGGCGTGATGGTGGGACTGTCGTCCCCAGCCCGGACTCATGGGCTGCACCCCCTCCTTGCCTGGGAGTCGCCTCAGCCCTCATTCTACAGCCTGAATGTGGGCCTCCTCGAGGGCCTCTATGTGTGTTTTACCATTGCCCTGGGTTGCATTCAGTTTGAACAGTTTTATTCTCTGATCAGTGTTGGCGAATACAGCTCTGTAAAGTCCTCAGAGATCACTTGCTGTTGTGATTTAGGGCCATACAAAAAATAGTTAAACACATCAGAAATTCTGTGTAATACTGAAATGTTCCTCTTTCCTCCACAAAGGGATGATTTAATTTCTAAGACACCACTAGTTTTTATGATTTTTTTGTGTGTTGTATTTTGTCAGTTATAACGTGTAGAACAGTAGTTTTGTGAGACAGAAGTCTGTCAGCAGCAAAGACTGTTGTCTCTTAAAGAGCTATGAAGCTGGAGTGACTGAGACAAGTGGCTGTGGACGCCAGGGGGCTTTAAACAGCTTCACCTGCTGACCTCTGACCCCTCTTTACACACACACACACGCGCACACACGCGCTGTCAGCTCTGGTCTCAGAGACAGACAAAAGGGTTTTACAAATCTGTTTTAATATCCATATAGTTGTATTTTTACATGATGCAACATTCTTCAAACTAAAAAACTAAACTCAAACACAGACCTGTTTCTTCACAAACACGTCCTGTCAATATGCTGCTCCAAACTCAAGCTTTACCTCCACATTTGTTTGGAGAAAAACAAGAACCTGCCTTTAATTAGATTGTAGAGTTTGATCTGTTGAAGGTGGCACAAAGACATTTCTTAAACCACAAAAAGGGGAGTTGTTGCTGTATCCTAACAATCTCATGTTTGTCCATTTATTCTGTGCTTTAGAAGTTGTTTCACATTCTAAAGCATGAAACGCCAAAGCACAAAGTTCCTCATCAAGCAGACGCCGTCAAACTCTTGACATCGTGGTTCTCTCTTAAAGCCGTTTTCGCATCATTCGTAAGCCTCACCAGCAGAAACTTTGGCTCTACATGTTTTTCCATCTGCTTCATTAGGAGTTTGCACACTGGTTTTAAAAGTATAAAAATGGTCTTGACTTTTATCCAAACAAAACATTGTGGACGTTTTTAGCGTATCCTGAAAACATCCACAATGGAGTTTAGAGAAGTCCACAATGAGAGGCACAAAGCAGAGGATTAGCACCTTCTCGCTGCTCCTTAACGGCTCTGGGGAAGTGTGTGTGCGTGTGTGTGTGTGTGTGTGTGTGCGTGTGCGTAGCCTCGGCCTCCTGTGCCGGCGTGTGCTGGGGTTTAAGTCTGCTCCATGTGAAATAACAAACCAAGGCTGTGCACACGGCCACACACTCCTTTATGAACCTACAGCCTTCTACAAGTGCCACATTATTGCCTCGTCTGTGCTGAGCCACTTCAGAACTCCCAGTTATTTTTCTAATAAGTAAAGCTATGTCTCCCAGAAGGACAGAGCCTAAAGTGAATTATCTACTCATCTAACTAATCCTGAGCCAAGAGGAGCTACTTCACTCTACCATGATCTGCATTTACTAATCAAAAAATACAGAGTACAATCGAAACCACACTCAAATCAATGGAATTATAAAACAGGTCTGAAGACTATTGGTCCTGTCTTTGTGGAACTTGCGGATAATTCAATTCAATATATTATTGTATAGCCCTAAATCACAAACACCTGAAGATGCTTTCAAAGGCAGCAGTAAATAAAACTGCCATAATAAAAACATCGTAATCAAACTAATGTAACCACACCAAAGGTTCACCCTGGCTCAGCGGCCGCAGAAATCAATTCTCAAAATGCCTTTTGATAATAAGGCTTCCTTATAGTGGAGGGAATAGATTCTGTTCAGTATCGCAATATTTTGCACACAAAATACAGTAGAGCAAAGTAGTTTAATTATCCATTTTACTTTCATGTTTTCTCTGGGTTTACTCCGGTAATTTCCATCTGAGGCTTCTGTGACTATGACGTCTGCTTGTTGTGATATTTGTTTATTAGTGCCCTCATAAACACTAGCATTGGTTCAAATCTGACTGTGTGAACCCTGGAGGAGCCCCTGACACACTGGGGGTGAGGCGCTGACAGGCTCCCCGGGGCCCCCCGGAGGACCAGCGCCTCAGTGTATTCAGCTGTTCACTGTGCGTGTTCACAAAGGGTTCAGACACATTCAGCTTCAGCTCACAGCCTGCCCCCCCCGAGCTCAGTTCCATTCAATTCCATTTATTTTTGTATCACCCAAAATCACAACAGTAGTTATCTCTGAGGACTTTAGAAAACTGTCAATTCGGCAACACAGATCAGAAAATCAAAGCGTTCAAAAAACAGGAAATGCAGTGATAACAAACACATCCCTCTGACCGCAGCCTGAGAGAGAAGACCAGTTTAAGTTCAGGCCTCTTCAATGTTTGTGTAATATGGGAAAGTTACGAAACGCCTTTGAAAGCGTCCTGTCTGGAGCCTTTAGTGCAGAAGTCTGCAAACCTGTGGCTCGGAAGCTACCAGTAGCTCGCCAGCCCCTTTCAGGTAGCTCAAAGGATTTAGGATTTACATGATCTTGACCACATACATTTTTATCCATTACATAACACATATATAACACATATACGCAAGTATAAATATAGGGTTATACAGTATTAAGGTATATTTTGAATGTTTTATACGTGTTCTCCATGTTTTGTTGCAATTATTAGATAGATTTTTAGTACGACTGCAAAAGTAGTGGCTCTGTGCCTCCTCTTTTCTATAAAAGTAGCTCTCTGATTGAATAAAAGTTAGAGACCCCTGCTTTAGTGGCTTCACCAAAGTCCATATATGTTAGCAAGAGCATTATTGGACATTGGTCATCTGCGCCTTATGGACCGATGTGTTTTTATCATTGCATTTCCTGCGTTGAAAGTGTCGAGAGGCCTTCTGTGACAAATCAGTCAGGAATGGTCGACCAAACAAAGTGCTAAGTGATCTGTGTCGCTGAAGGCTTCACTCTACACTTTCTTACAACTGTGAGATTATAAAACTATCCATTGTGACCTGGAAGTTCAGTTCTTTTTAGTTCTGCCTTTGGGTTGAAGTGCTTCATCCATCTTTGATTCACTCATTAGTTAATATTGATTCATAACTCTGGTTTCTATAACACCTGCCTGTATTTCACAAGTTCTCAGCGACCTCCGAAGCCGTTTGTGGCTTTTGCTGCTCATACTTTGTCAAAATTAAACTAAGCACATTCTGAAAAAAACAAGACTTGCCAATGGGACAAAGCGAAAATGAGAAAATGAAGCCACATTTCTTGAAATAAGACTAAATGACTATGTCCTGTTGGAAAATCTTATTTTAACAGCTCAGATTAAGATAACACTTGATTCAAGCATTTATTACCTCATATTTTATCATTCTTTGCAGTGTAATTCTTTGCAGTGTAATTCTTTGCGAAAATCCCGTAGGGCCGGCGTTCATGGCTCACCAGCTCCATTGCTAGCCAGTGAGGAGAGTGAGAGGAGAGAGAGGAGAGAGAGATGGACTAATCATGACTAAAAAAAATTTTGTTTGGACCATGGCACCACTTCTATAGACTAGACTAGAATCCATCCATCCATCCATTTTCTTCCCCTTAATCCATTTCTGGGTCGGGGGGGGGTGGCAGTCAGAGCTGCACCCAGTACACTAAGCACCAGCCCCTCACTGATCCTCCTGCAGGTGGTGAGTCCACAGGAGCTAAGATCTTTCAGTGGGAGCTTCAGGCAAAGTGGGGTTAAGTGTCTTGCCCAAGGACACAACGACAGTAGTCATCAGTGGGAGTTATGAAGTAGGTCTTATGGTGGGCTCGAACCCACAACCTTCAGGCTCAAAGGCCAATGCTCTACCAACTGAGCCACTGTCGCCCCACCCCTATATAGACTAGACTAGAATCCTTGATCTCTTGATATCATCTCTATTAGGTATAAAGAGTCATTAGAAGTATTTTTAGACTTCACAAGCAAACATTGGTCCACAAGCCTCTGGTTTAGGCTGCAGAGAACATCAAGCTGTCAACAAGCCAACTCCAGCTGGCTGTAAGTCTGCAGCTGACAAACACATGTCCTTATCCAGCCCAAACTCACCAACGATGCTACATTTAGGGATACACCATCAAATTGAGAGATTTTTTATTTTTTAGAAACATGTGAATTTTAACTAGTTTGGACCAAATGTTGATGAATATAAATGCTGCTGAACTTGAACTAACAAAATCTTCATGTTGATTTGAAAAAGCGTCAATTGATCTACAATTTAGATCAGGGGTCTCAAACTTACCAGTAGCTCTCCACCCCCTTTCAGGTAGCTCCCTGAAGGCTTTGACACATGATCCTGAATGACTACAATAGGAATCGTTGCATACGTAATTTACCATGTTTTCATCATTCACTGATGTGGAGTTTACAGTAATTCAGTACATTCTAATTTATAAAACGTCCATGATTATCCGCAGTTATTGCATAGACAACAAAAAAGAATAGCTCTCTGCCTTTTCTGTTGCGCACAACCAAAACATTTTGTAGCCCCCGTTTTACATAATTATTCAGATTGAGACAAAACTGTGATCCAAGATTTTCTCTCCTAGCATCTTGTGTTCCTTTAGTTTGAACTGTTTGATTCTCTGATCTGTGTTGGTGAATCGACAGCTGTGTAAAGTCCTCCAAGACTTTGTGATTTAGGGTGATACAAATACATTGAATTGAATTGATAAGTAAAAATTATGATGCAATGTACTGTATCACAACAAAAAAGAAAATTCCCCTACGTCACTGTCAACAATACATAGCCTGGACTCCCAGAGAGCACCCACAGAACCCCCCAGAGAGCTCCCACAGAGCACTCACAGAGCACCCACAGAACCCCCCAGAGAGCACCCACAGAGCACCCACAGAACCCCCCAGAGAGCACCCACAGAACCCCCAGAGAGCTCCCACAGAGCACTCACAGAGCACCCACAGAACCCCCAGAGAGCACTCACAGAGCACCCACAGAGTATCCACAGAGCACCCACAGAACCCCCCAGAGAGCTCCCACAGAGCACCCACAGAGCATCCACAGAGCACCCACAGAGCACCCACAGAGCACTCAGAGCACCCACAGAGCACCAAGGCCGTCTCTCCTTCTCTACACTCTCCCCTCAGTCCGATCATTCTCCACAAAGTTTTTCAATTTCACACTTATGCCGACGACACTCAGTAGTTTGAAGTAGCAATTTGTAAGATTTTCATGTCAAGTCATCATTAAATGGCCCTAATCTGTCAAAAGTCATTAATAAAACATGCTTTTTTTAAATACTTCTTTAAATGATAACAGTAGTTCAGCGGAATTTCAAAATTAGTTTTACAACCCCTAATTCTTGTTATTGTTTTCATTTCGATGTCCCGCCCTCCACTGTTTCATCAATCAGAAAGTCTGATCTGGATTGCCAAAACTCACTTTCACGTCAAGCTAATCTCACAGGTAAAGTAACATGTGGCCGCAGCACTAAAGCCGGTCTTGTTATGATTCTCAAATCATTAATGAAAAACAAGGAAGAAAATGAGGATTTCTAAAGATTAGATTGAATTTCCAGGATTACTGAGGGAGATGAGACTTCATTATTCAAGCACTCAAACAGAAAGTGAAATTTACCAACCACCAATACCCGTGCAGCGGTTGCAAACACGCAAAAGTCTGTCTCTATCCAAAATCACAAGGCGATACGAGGGAAATCTGTTATCTTTTAGTTGACAATAGTCTGTAGGTTTTGTTCTCACACAATTCGTTTTCCAATGCCAATACAGTTTTATATTCCAGTCATCACACATGTTCTGGCATTCTCCTCCTTCTGAGTGCATCTCATCCAGACTCCATTATTGCAATGGTCTCCTTTACCCTCTTCCTTGCCTCAAAAATCTTCACCCAAGCCCGCAGCAGTGAGCGCCCGAGCCCAACCCAGTCATTCAACAGCTCCATTAAACAATTATAATTATTATATTATATTATATTAGTTTATCTTTGCTTAAATTTGTGGGACTGTGTCTTAAACTGCACATTTGAGATCTCTTCAGGTGTGTAAACAGTGGCCGAGTTGATAGCACTCTCGCTCCTTAGCAAGAAGGTCCTGGGTTCGAATGGGGACGAACCCAGAACAGGGTCTTTCTGAGTGGAGGCTGTATGTTCTCCCCGTGTCTGCATAGAGACGTGTCTGGGTGCTCCGGTTTACCCTACCGCTAAAAACATGTACAATAGGTCTGTACTGACGACCTCACTCCCTTCTCTGTGTGGAGTGAGAGACAAATACCCACAATTGTAAAAATCTTTGTGACTTACTTACTTACTGTAAATGCTAATATTGAAGCATTTACAGCTAGCTAAGAAACACAGCAGCTACTTATACTGTATATTTTGTGTGTTCCCTGTGTGCTCTTACTACTGTCCTGTAAGTGCACTGCAACACTGAAATTTTGTAACTCATTCCAAACATTTTTTCTGCCGGTGGAATGTTGAGAGCTGAAGAATGAGGCAGAGGTGAAGTTGTGGATAATGACTGTGATTAAAGTTCCTCGCTGCTTGTTTTGTTTCCAAAAATACGGCGCATCGTTTTAAATGGGATTAGTCGCTCCTGATCCCGCCGTGATCCCGGGTCCTAGAGGTCTGGCCGAGCGTCTGCCCGTGTCTGTCTGCCCCGGCACGAGCCAGGCATTCCCCACGGAGCGAGGACCCTTTACCCCGAGCCTTTGAAAGTGATCTGACCGCTCGCTGGAGCCGCCGTAAGCCACACTCCGCCACACGCTCCCAGCAGCAACTGCGGCAGGACATGTGTCTGGTGTCATTCAGCGGGAGGTGGGATTCCTCTGTGCGCCGCGGGATCAATGAACAGCAAGAACTACAGCAGAGCTATAGACGAGAGGGACAGAAGAGAGCGAGCTACAGCAGAGCTACAGAAGAGAACGAGCTACAGCAGAGAGCTACAGAAGAGAGCCACAGAAGAGAAAGAGAGCTACAGCAGAAAGACACTACAGCAGAGAGAAACTACAGTAGAGAGATAGCTACAGCAGATAGCTACGGCAGAGAGTTACAGCAGAAAAAGCGCTTCGGCAGAGAGCTAAAGCAGAAAAAGTGCTACAGAAGAGATATAGCTCCAGCAAAGAGGCTACAGCAGAGAGAGCTACAGCAGAGAGAGGCTACAGCAGAAAGAGCTACAGCAGAGAGGCTACAGAAGAAAGAGAGCTACAGCAGAGAGGCTACAGAAGAAAGAGAGCTACAGCTGAGCTACAGAAGAGAGCTACAGCAGAGAGCTAAAGCAGAAAAAGCGCTACAGAAGAGATAGCTACAGCAAAGAGGCTACAGCAGAGAGAGCTAAAGCAGAGAGAGGCTAAAGCAGAGAGAGCTAAAGCAGAGAGAGGCTACAGCAGAGAGAAACGGGATTACTATTTCAACAACACAATCAGATTTTGTTGCAGATGCAGGAGAGTCCGTGGGTGAGCAGTTATTACAGGGAAAGAAACAGAATGTGGAGGGCCAGGTCAAAGTGGTGAACTGAAATATACATAAATACTAGTGAAATACTAATACTATAAGAATAATAATACAATGATTATTAGCGAACATGCTTAGTGAATATACCAAAAGGAAACTACAATATTGTCTTTGTTCTCCTAACATCACACAATATGCTGCATTGTCACTGAACTCAAAGAAATTAAGTGTCCCAGTTTACTGCTAGTTTGTTCCTTTACACTTTTATAATCTAACCTCATGTGGTGTTCTTAAGATCCTTCTCACCGTTCACATTGACAGCAAGACTTGCTTAAATGTTCTTTTTTTCAGGGAATATAAGTTTAGCAGAGTCCAACACTGTTAAACTCCCCCCCTGCGGTTTACTGTTTTTAGTGATTGTGTGAATATTGTTGGTTTTCACATATGACGGGGGTAGGCCGCAAATGCACCGCTACTCAAGAAAGATCGTGCCACCGCTGCGTCAAATCGGTGCAGAAAATGTTGGAAAAAGTGTTGCTCTTATGGAAAATGAGTCCTTTTTTGTTAAATTATGAAGTCAAATCTGCACTATATTCTCTGCTGCAAACCTGCTCAACCACACCTGCTCCAGAGACCACATCACCCCCATCCTCAAACAACTGCACGGGCTGCCTGTCTCATACTCTTTGCAATGTAAGGTCCTCCTCATCACATACAAGTCCCTTAATATTTCACCAACCTCCACCACCGAGCCTTCTGAACCCCGAGAAAAGAGCCTGCTGAACCCGAAGGACCCGCTATTGAACAGGTTTGAAGCTCAGCACATGGCAGAAGCATGGGAAAGAGATGGCCCTGGTCAGGAGGACTTTGTGACACACATCACACGTCCTGTGTGATGGGCTGCCGTGTTCGTCTCAGAAAGGATATAGTTTGGTGGCAGGAAGTTCCAGCTGAGCACCTGATTGGCCAGAGCCAGGTAGCGCTGAAAGACAGAGGACATGTGTGCACTCAGGTTGTTCCTGCGGCTGAACTCCTGCAGCACCTCCATGGTCATGACAAAGATCTGCCGGAGAGCGTCCTCCTGCGCAGATAAACACACACAAACACACACAAGCACGCACAAAGAGAGACACACACACACAGTCAGTCAGTGTTTCAGAAATAGATCATTTCTATGAGGTGTCCAGAACAACACACTTATTTGACAAATCTGTTTCCTGTTGTGCCTCAGGCTCAAACAAAGTTAAGTAAAAGAAATGACACATTGCATGTGTCTTTTCTTTCCCTTTCAATATATGTTCTATAACAGCCTCAACGTTTATCAGCTCCCAGAAACGGCCTATACGGTGTTCTTCTCAATGGAGAATCGACACAGTCCATGTCTGAGGACGATGTGAGAGTACAGTCCATGTCTGAGGACGATGTGAGAGTACAGTCCATGTCTGAGGACGATGTGAGAGTACAGTCCATGTCTGAGGACGATGTGAGAGTACAGTCCATGTCTGAGGTCAATGTGAGAGTACAGTCCATGTCTGAGGTCAATATGAGAGTACAGTCCATGTCTGAGGTCGATGTGAGAGTACAGTCCATGTCTGAGGTCCTTCTGGTCAGACCTGGAAGAGACGCTTGCAGCTCCCATGGAACTCCATGCTGAGGCCGATGCTGCTGGTTTTACTGGAGCTGGAGAACTCGCTGAGCAGAGCGGTGAGGATGGAGCAGGCCAGAGTTTGCTGCAGACAGAGTCAAAGACTTCAGATAATCCACACTTCAACATATGTGTGCACTCTGAGATGCTGTACATTCATTGTGTGTGTGTGCGAATGCGTGTGCGTGTATGTGTCACCTGAGGACAGTCTGAGGTTCGGGGTCAGTGTGAAGAATCTCATAAAAGCCTTAATAACGGTGTTAACACAAACCCATTTTAACAGTGATTTTTATTATTGCACCGTTAACGCACACACAAAAATATTTACTTGTCCTTGTAAAATCTATGGCGAAGTGTACAGGACAGAACAGGACAAAGGAGTGTGTGTCAGAACCGCTCCTCCTACTGTTTAAGTGTTCTGGACGTGTGGAGCATCATCAGCACAAGTGTAGCATGTATGTGACATCAGCTCCTCTGCCTCCTACATGCACCGCTACAAGAGCCTTTGCACTTCTAAAGACACTGTCAGGACTAAAGCTACAGCAGGAGAAAACAGTCGGGTGAAGCACTCACAGCGGCTGGGTTCCCGCTGCTGATCAGCTGGCCCACTTCATGCAGCACACTCTTGCAGCTGATGGACTTGTCCAGAGATCCTCTCTTCACGATGACCGCCACGGCCAGCAGGATCTGCTCCCGCACGTACTTCTGCAGACTGAACACCAGGAAGAAGAAGTCAGGGCACCAGGAAGAGGAAGTAAGGCCACCAGGAAGAGGAAGTCAGGGCACCAGGAAGAGGAAGTCAGGGCACCAGGAAGAGAAAGTCAAGGCACCAGGAAGAGAAAGTCAGTGCACCAGGAAGAGGAAGTCAGGGCACCAGGAAGAGAAAGTCAGGGCACCAGGAAGAGAAAGTCAGTGCACCAGGAAGAGGAAGTAAGGCCACCAGGAAGAGGAAGTCAGGGCACCGGGAAGAGGAAGTCAGGGCACCAGGAAGAGAAAGTCAGTGCACCAGGAAGAGAAAGTCAGTGCACCAGGAAGAGGAAGTCAGGGCACCAGGAAGAGGAAGCAGAGCACCAGGAGGAGGTCAGGGCACCAGGAGGAGGTCAGAGCACCAGGAGGAGGTCAGGGCACCAGGAGGAGGTCAGAGCACCAGGAGGAGGTCAGGGCACCAGGAGGAGGTCAGAGCACCAGGAGGAGGTCAGAGCACCAGGAGGAGGTCAGAGCACCAGGAGGAGGTCAGAGCACCAGGAGGAGGTCAGAGCACCAGGAGGAGGTCAGGGCACCAGGAGGAGGTCAGAGCACCAGGAGGAGGTCAGGGCACCAGGAGGAGGTCAGGGCACCAGGAGGAGGTCAGAGCACCAGGAGGAGGTCAGGGCACCAGGAGGAGGTCAGAGCACCAGGAGGAGGTCAAAGCACAAACACAACAAAGCTACAGAGTTAAAGCTGTGAACATAAGTCTTTAAGTTGACCCTGCCCTATATGTGTATAACTGCACTATAAACTGTATATAGATATTTTGAAAAAGATTCATATTGAAGCATTTACAGCCAAGAAACATAAGATACTACTTCTGTACATGTGTGTGCTCCCTGTGTGCTCTTACTACGGTCCTGTATGTGCGCTGCAACATTGACATTTCCCCACTGTGGGACAAATGTATTTATTTATACAGCTTGAACTTTTGTCATGTTTACACTATAAACAAAGATTTTACTTTACTGAAAGTTCACACACAAGCTACAGACGACTGAAGTGGAACATAAGATTGTGTTGTTTTTTTTCCAAACAAAGAAAACTAAAGGTTGGGTGTGCACCAGCATTTATACAGCAGGAGTTAATACTGTTAATACTATGTGGAACCCCCTTTTGCTGCAATAACAGTACAGTCTTTGGGGATGATTTCTGCACATCAAGAGACAGAAGGTTTAGCCCACTCCTCTTTACAAAACAACAGGACCTCTGTCAGATCAGATGGACAGCGTTTGTGAACAGCAGTTTTCAGGTCTTTCCACAGATTTTCTATTGGATTCAGGTCTGGACTTTCCTTCCTTCTCTTTGGAATCAGAAACTGCTGTTTGGCAAGTTGAAAGTCAGCAAGAAACAGCACTTACGCCATCTAGTGGAGAGGAGAGCAAACTGCCACTTTGCAAACAACGATGTAAAAGTACTTTATCAATCTTTGAAAATGACGGACAGCCTTCAACGTTTACTGTAGCCTTGCTCCACTCCCGTGTTTCGACACCTCATGCATGTTATTTGTTTCCTTGCATACTGGTACATTATGTTATATCATGGTATATTGGTACATTTGCATTTATAGTCTATGTAGGACGACTGGGTGACAACTAGGGATGAGCTAATCAGGTCTGAGTCATTTGATTATGATACAGAGTTCAAATCCAATAATTTAACAAAATAAATACAAGTCATAATTAATCTATTTATCAAGAGAATTTGCAAATTTCACAAACCAGGTTTAAAACAATGAATCAAGTAATGAATCCATCAAGAAACGGAAACCAGTTGAATAAATATTATAAATTAAACTAATCATAAACAAGGACAGAGCCTCAGTCTGTTTGTGCAGTAACCCTCCTCCTCCCTGTCGCTTCAGTGGAGAATCGTCATGTTATTAGCTCAGCTCCTTTACCATCAGGGTTTAGACCCAAGGGGGAGGGGCACATTTGGGATAACAGTATTGAGAATGAGGAGTCACGTGATAATTTGGGCGGGGTCTAATCCGGTCGGCCATGTTGATAGGATCCTCTATCGGTTGCCAGGGGCAACGCCACTAACGCTCAATATATAGCTACAGTCTATGCTAACGCTCCAGAGGTCTTTAACTTGAGCGGCCGTTTATTATTTCGGCAGTAGATAAATCTACGATTACAACACTAGCAAGACAGTTAATGGAGAAAGTGAAGGCGAAAGGAAATGGACCGTACAGGGAAAAGCAAAACAACGTTATTTGGAGAAGCTCTCAGACATACAACAGGTAGACCCATACGAGCTTCCTGCAGCGGAGTGGCAAAAATACCTTGACTTTTTGCCTCCGTGCACGTACATGGATATAGTGAATTACCTTGTTTTCGGTGTTAGTTATTATACAATGCAGGAGTTTAGAAGTCACAAGTCACTGGAGAGTTACGAGGCTTTCTGCTGTGGTTGGGTGCAGGACATGGCCATCTACAAGCCTCCAGGCGGTGAAAACACTGTTGTACTTGCACTAACAGCAGTGTTACTATTTTATTATTATGTTGTCCCGTCTTTTCATGCTGAAATATTTATATGTTGACTGCACACGTTCTTTTGCACTGTTAACTGTTAATATTGCTTTGCCACATGAAGTTGTTTCAAACATTTATTTCAAAGAAATTAAAAAGGCAAGGCAAGTTTATTTGTACAGCACAATTCATGTTACACAACAATTCAAAGTACTTTAAATAAAAAATTAAGAAGCATTACAGCTGGGTGCAGAAGAAGCATTAAAAAGTAACAGAATAAAAAGCATGATTTAAAATTAAAAACAAAAATTCATAAGAAAAAGATAACAGATAAGTAATTCCAGCTTAAAAGAAGCCGTGCAGATTTGTACATTAGAATAAAACATATTCAAAAGCAGCTGAGAACAGGTGGGTCTTTAACCTGGATGTAAACAAACTGAGTGTTTCAGCTGATCTGAGGCTTTCTGGGAGTTTGTTCCAGACATGTGGAGCATAGAAGCTGAATGCAGCTTCTCCGTGTCTGGTTCTGACTCTGGACTCGGATCCAGATGACATGAGGGGTTCTGGTTGGTTCATAAGTTATGAACAAGGCACTCAAACAACACTTTTGCACATGTTCGTTAAGGCACAGCAAACAGTGACAATCTTATCTAAAGGCATTAGGTTTTCACCCTCACATTTGAGAAGCATATGCACAGGTACAGTTGAATGTAAGAATTTGAATTTGTTGCGCACAACACCAATCACCCTCTCAACGTGAATTCTGAGATGGAAGGTCTAATCTGAGGCGCATTACAGTCAATAGGACAAGCTGGAAGGGTGAGAGCTTCCTCATCCTTCCTTGAGGCAGCTGCTGGGCCGGCGATGGGGGCTGCTGGGCTTGGGCTGGCGATGGAGGCTGCTGGGCTTGGGCTGGCGATGGAGGCTGCTGGGCTTGGGCTGGCGATGGAGGCTGCTGGGCTTGGGCTGGCGATGGAGGCTGCTGGGCTTGGGCTGGCGATGGAGGCTGCTGGGCTTGGGCTTGCGATGGAGGCTGCTGGGCTTGGGCTGGCGATGGGAGCTGCTGGGCTTGGGCTGGCGATGGAGGCTGCTGGGCTTGGGCTGGCGATGGGAGCTGCTGGGCTTGGGCTGGCGATGGAGGTTGCTGGGCTTGGGCTGGCATTGGAGGCTGCTGGGCTTGGGCTGGCGATGGAGGCTGCTGGGCTTGGGCTGGCGATGGAGGCTGCTGGGCTTGGGCTGGCATTGGAGGCTGCTGGGCTTGGGCTGGCATTGGAGGCTGCTGGGCTTGGGCTGGCGATGGAGGCTGCTGGGCTGGCGATGGAGGCTGCTGGGCTTGGGCTGGCGATGGAGGCTGCTGGGCTTGGGCTGGCGATGGAGGCTGCTGGGCTTGGGCTGGCGATGGAGGCTGCTGGGCTGGCGATGGAGGCTGCTGGGCTTGGGCTGGCGATGGAGGCTGCTGGGCTTGGGCTGGCGATGGAGGCTGCTGGGCTTGGGCTGGCGATGGAGGCTGCTGGGCTTGGGCTGGCGATGGAGGCTGCTGGGCTTGGGCTGGCGATGGAGGCTGCTGGGCTTGGGCTGGCGATGGAGGCTGCTGGGCTTGGGCTGGCGATGGAGGCTGCTGGGCTTGGGCTGGCGATGGAGGCTGCTGGGCTTGGGCTGGCGATGGAGGCTGCTGGGCTTGGGCTGGGAGTGATGACTGCTCCAGATGCTGGGTCCTGCGCTTTACTTGCCGCTGATATCGCGCTCCATCTGTTTCTTTAACATTATTGTGGCCTAACCGCAAGGATGGTGTCCAGTCAGGGTGATTCTCCAACATCTCATATGATGGTTTACCTAGAACAGAATAATCTATGTAGTCAATGCTTTAAACTGGCAACAAGGTAGCATAATGTCATGAACAGAATCTCAACTATTTTTAGCAATCTCATATAATGGTTTACTTACATCAGATTAATAAGATTATTAAACAATCTGGAATCTAAAGAAATATTAAACAAGAAGGTAACGCTATTCATGGTTTCATAAAAGGGCTCAGGGGGTAGTGGCAACACAAGACAAAAAAAAAAGTATGGGCACCACTGGTTTAGAGAACATAAGAGACAGAGACAAACGCACTTTGAGTGCCCATATTCCACCAACAAGGTAGGATAATGAGCAGAAACTTAAATATTCTTAGTTAGCATTAATGGTTGGCCATTAAGCATTTTCATAGAGGCAACAGTTTGTTAGATAGTTAGCTAGGCAGCTAACTTAAGATGCACTTCAGAGTTTGCAACATTAACAGCTAGGTAACCTACACTTCTTAACTTTAAAAAAACAACATAAAGACATTTTAGGACGTACCCGAGTGAAAATGCAGAGAACACACTCTCATCGACTGGGGGGTGAGATCGAAAGTAAGGTCCTTTCTTCTTATTGCAGCCAACCAAGCCATCCGGCGTCTCTTCGTCAGGTCAGACACTTGCGCTCCCTGATGTTGTATCCATTTTGGTGGCCTAAACAATTATAAACCGTTGTTCCTACGTTTTCCTTTCTTATTGTGTGAGGTACTGGAGCAGTTTTTAACACAGCAATGAGCTCCAGGCATGGTAAAACAGAAATAGCGACGACCTCCTTTGCTACCGAGTTAACAACAACAAGTGTTTGCCGCTGGGATCCTACCAACATGGCGGAGACGGGGAGGGGCTCTGTGCTATGACGACAACTCCTCACTCTCAATATTATGGAGGATAGGTTACAGGAAGTAACTAGAAATGTACTTTGGCTCGAGGTCTAAGAGTAAAATGTCTTGAAATTACTACTACATACAGGAACTAAAACACTACTTTAATTAAACAAGTTTCCATTCTTTTAAATAGTTTGCAAATGGGAAAAGGTCAGAGGGCCACATGGAAGCGTTGTTTGGGCCGTATGTTGTCCTCGGGCCACACTTTTCTCAGGTCTGGTTTAAGTAAGTAAGTATTTATACACTGCCTTTCACAGACCAGAGTCACAAAGCGGTTTACAATTGTTATTTTTGGGCATTTGTCCTCTCGCTCCACACAGAGATGGGAGCGGTTAAGCCCCAGGTTCACACTCATCTCCATTTAAACTCCCTCAGCAGACGTCAGTGTTTCTGCCAGGGTCTAATCACCAATTCTTGATAAACAATAATATATTAGTACCTCATCATGTCTGCTGGGTCTAACTGATTGAATAAAGATTGTAGTCCTGGCTAGAACCAGGAAGTACGACCACATTAGTCCAGTTCTCAGGTCTCTGCACTGGCTTCCTGTGGCTCAGAGAATAGACTTTAAAAAAGCTCTGCTTGTGTACAAGTCTCTCCATGGCCTCGCACCAAAATATATTAGTGACATGTTAGTACCATATGAACCAGCCCGGACTCTGAGGAGCACAGGGACTGGACTCCTGTTAGTGCCCAGAGTCAGAACTAAACATGGGGAGGCTGTTTTTCAGATTCATGCTGCTAAAATCTGGAACAATCTTCCTGAAGATGTGAGACAGGCCTCCTCTCTGACAATGTTTAAAACCAGGTTAAAGACAGTTCTGTTTAGCTGTGCATACAACTGAGGGATTTTATATTTTTAGCTTTCTTTTTAATGTTGTGTGATTATTTATGATTTTAATGCTTTCTTGTTTTGTTCAGCACTTTGAGTTGCCTTGTGTATGAATTGTGCTATATAAATAAACTTGCCTTGCCTAGTTCAAGCGCCGTGAGATCACTCAATACACATGCCATAGTGCCACTAAGTCACCAAAACTACTCAATAGGGGAATTGGGGTTATGAGGAATGGTAAGTGTAGGATGGGGGTTGTTTTTTGGGGGTTTATTTGGTGGGGTATGTTTGATGAGGGATTTAGGATGGATGGGGAGGTGGGTGTTGGTGATGGGGGTGTTTGGTGGTTTGTGGGTGGTAGGGTGGGTGGGGGGTTGAGGTTGTATGTTGTTATGTGGGGGTGGGTGTGGTGTGTGGGGTGTTTAGGGTGGTATGTTTTGGTGGTGTATGGTTTGAGGATGGGGTTGTTTTTGTTGTGGTTTGTTGTTGGTAAGGTTTTGGGGGTGGTTGTATTGAGGGGGTTGAGTGTTGGGGTTGGGGAGGGGGATTAATTAAAATAGATTTAATGGTTATGTTAAAGTGAGGATGTTGTGGTATTGAGATGGTTGGGGTTTTTTTTTGTTTTGGTTAATGTTTGTTGGGGGGGGAGGGATTTGGTTGTGTGTTGTAGATGGGTGGTTGTGGGGGAAGGGTGTGGAGGGTGTGTGTGTGGGGGGTGAAGAGGGATAGGGGATTTATTTGGTGGTGGTAAATTTTGTAAAAATGATTTGGTATGATTTTTGTGTGTGGGGGGGGATGAAGATGTTGTTATGGGTATTAGGTAAAATGTTGTTGTGTGTATTATGGTGAAATGTTTGTGTATGTTTTTGGGGAGGTATTTTGTTTTGTTGGTTGTTTTGTTGGGAGTAGTAGATGATATGGGGGATTTGGGGTTTTTTGGTATTTTTGTTTGGTGATAGTTGTGTTTGTTTTGGTGTGTAGTGGATGAGGGTTTGTTTTTGTGTTTGGGTGTTTTTGTTGTATTGAGATTTTAAGTTGTTGTTTTATTGGAAGGTTTTTTTTAGAGGTGGTAAGGTATATGATTTGAAGATGGTAGTTGTATTTATATTATTTATTTTATTTTGAATTTTTTGTTGATTTGAGGGTTTTGAGGTTTAGGTAGGTGGAGGATTGGTATTTTTTGTTTGGTTAATGGGGTTTGAAAGGTAATTTATTTTTGTGTGATTGGTTAGTGGATTGGATTTGGAGTTGTTAGTAGGATAGTGTTTTGGTTGTGTTATTTGTGTTTGTGTTAATTTTGTTTTTATTTATGGTTATGTTTTGGGTATGTAGGGTTTGGTTGATGGGGATATTTGTTGTTGGTGTATTTATAGTTTTTGTTGGGTGGTAGATTATGGGTTTATTTGGTTTATTGTGGGTGTGGGATTTTGTTTATTGGGTTGTTGGATTGGATGGTTGATTGGGTTGATTTTGTTTGTTGTTGGAATTTGATGTTTGGTTGGTGGTAGATGATATGTTGGTGTTTTTGGTTGTGGATTTTGGGGTATAGGGTTTGTTTTGGGGGTTTGTTTAGTGTTTTTTTGGGGGTAGGGTGTTGTTTTATTGGGTGTTTGGTGTGTTTTGTAGTTTGTTTTGAGGGTATGATTTGATGGGAATATTGATAGTTGATAATTAGTGAGTATGATATTTGATTTGTAATTTTTGATTAATTAGGGATGATGGTGTAGGGATTTATGTTGTGTAGGGTTTATTGTTTGGGGTTTATTGTAGTGGGTTGGATGGTGGATGGTTGTTTTGGTGATTGTGTAATATTGGGGTTTGGGAGGTTAGTTTTGGTAGTGGGTGTTATTTTTTAGTGTATTTGGTTTGGGGGGTTGGGTTGGGGTTGGGTTTGGGTTAAGTATTGATTTTTGGTAGTGTTATAGTAGTTGGTTTGGGTATAATTATGTTAGGTTTGGTGTTTGGAGGGTAGTGGTAGTGGATATGGATTAGGGGTGGTGGGTTTGTAGTTTTGTATAGTGTTAGGGTTTGGGGTGTGTTTGGTAAAATAGTGTTTGGGGTTTTTGTGAGTTGATTATTTGTTTGGGTAGGATTTTATTTGGGGTGGTGTGGTAATGGGATTTAGTGGGAGAAGGATGATAGGTTGTTAAATAAAAATTTATGGGGGGGTTGGTGTGAATAGTGGTGTAGTTTAGTGTAGGTGTGGTGGGTATTTTTTTGGGGGGTTGGGGTTGGATGTGTTGTGGGAGGAGGGTAGGTGTATTAGAGAATATGATAATATATATAGTATTATAGTATTTTATATTTATGATGGTATGAATTGAGATTATTAGGATTTATTGGAAGAGAATTAGGGGTTAGTGTGGTGGGTTAAGATAGGGAAATGTAAGTAGATTGAATGATTATAGTAATTGTATAAAGAGTAAATATGGGTTTTTTTAAAAAAAATTGGTAGTGAAAATAAGGATTTAGAGTAAAATGTTTGAATAGTTGGGGTTAGAGGGTGGGAATGGTGTTATTAGGGGATTTGATGAAGATGGAAAGGGTTAGGGGGGAATTTAGTGTGGAGGGAGAGTGAGTGAGTGGATGAGGTAAAAGGAAAGGGGAAGAGAAATAGGGTAGGGGGGAGAGATAGGTTAGGTGGATAATGGGATGGATGTGTGGGTTGTTTGGTGGTAGGGAGGATAGATAGGGTTTGTTTTTGTTATTGTTTTAATTTGAGAGAGAAGATATGGATTGAAGGAGAGTGATGGGGTGGGTAAGATTTGTTGAGGGGAGATTTGAGGGTGGAAGATTTGGTTGATGGGGAAGGTATGGGATGTTAATGGGTATGAAATTAAAGGGTAGGGAGTGTGAGGAGAGAGGGTTAGGGGAGAGAGTTGGGGAGAAGAGATGAGAGGGGTGTGAGTGGGTGGAGATAGGGGTGGTGTTTTGTGGGGGAGTGATGGATGGTGTGGGTTTGTGTGGGGTGTTTGGTGAGATGTAGGGGTGTGTGTGGGGAGAGTGAGGAGAGAATATGAGAGAGGGGAAGTGTGTGTGTGTTGTGGGGGTGATGTGTGTGTTGTGTGTGTGGGAGAAATAGGGGTTTTTGGGTATTGGTGATGTGGAAGTTTTTTGGGGGGGGGTTTTGTTTTAGGGGTGTTGTTTGGGTGTGATGGGTTGTTGTAGTTTTTTTGGGGGTATTGGATTTGTGTGGGGGTTTTTATAGAGTTTTTTTGATTTGTTAAGAGATTTGGAGAGGTAGGTGGGGGAAAGGGGTGGTTTTTTTTTTGTGTGATGTGGTTGGTTTAGTGTTTTTAGGGATTTTGGTTTTAGGGGTGAGTTGGTTTAGGTTGGATTGGGAGTATTATGAAGTGGTTTTGAGTTTAATTGAGTATTGGTGGGATTTTGGTGAGTGTTTGGTTTGATTTGATTGGTAATTTTGTTGTTGTTTGAGTTAGTTTGTGGTATTGTGTATGTATTATGATGTTTGTGTGAGTGGGGGTATTTTGGATTGTGTAGTGGGGTTGTGTGGTGTGGATGTATTTTTTTGATTGTGGATTGTTTTTGGAGGGGGTGGTTTTTTGTGGTGTTTTTTTTGTGGTGGGGGGTGGGGGGTTTTTGTGGGGTTGGGTTTGGTTTGGTGGTTAGTTAGGGGTTTTGGGGTTTGGGTTTTTGTTGGGGGTGTGTGGGGTGGGTTGGTTTGGTTTTTGGGTTGTGGTTGGTAGATTTTATAGGTTTGGGTTGTGGTTGTTTGGGTTTTTTGGGTTGTGGTTATTTTTTTGGGTTGTTAGTTGGGGGTGAATTTTGGGGATTTTATTTATAGGTTTGGAGTTTGATGTGTATTATTTATGGTGTTTAGTATGTTAGATTTTATTGTGTTATGGGGATAGGGTGATTTTGTTGATATTATATATTTTATTTATATGGGGTAGTTTAGAGGTTGTGAGAGAGATTATTATTATTTATGTTTTTTTGTGTGTGTTGATTGATTGTTTGGGGGGGGGGGTTGAGGGGTAAGAGGGTTGATAATAAGGTTTGGGAAGAGGGGGGGGTTGGGTGAGGATGATGGATAAGGAGGGGGTGGGGTAAGGGTGGGGGGGGGGGTATTTGGGGAGTTGATTTTTGAATGGGGAATTTATGGGGTGGGGGGGGGAGTATTTAATGATAAAGTTGTTGGTTGTGTAGGTATGGTATAGGATTTGTGGAAAATAGGTTAAGGTTTATGGGGGGAAGATGGATTAGGATTGAGTTTTTGTGTTAGGGTATGGGGGGGGATTTTGATATTGATATTGAGTTTTATTTGGGTGGTGTTGGGTTTTTAGGGGGGGTTATTTTATGTTTATTTATGGAAATTGTGTGGAAAAAAGGATAAGTTTAATTGGAAATAAGGGAGATTGGTATAATTAAGGGTGGTAGTATGGATATGTTTAAGGTTGGAGGTTTATGAGATAGGTGTGTTAGGGGGGTTATATGATGATTAGAGGAATATTGGAGATGGTGATTGAGTTGGGTAGGGAATGGTGTTTATTAGGTTAGGAGTTGGGTTAATGGAATGGGTGGGGAGGGTGGGGGATGGGATAGGGTTTGTTTGAAAGAATAATGGGGGGTTTTGTAAATTATGGAGGTATTTTGGATGGGGGGAGTATGAATGTGATAGGATTGGTATATTGGAAAGGGATAAGTGTGTTTTATAATTTGGATGTAGTTGTATATTGGGGTATGTTGGTGGTGGGGGTGGGGTTTTTTTTTTAGGTTAGGGGGTTGGGTTTTTTGGGTGGGGGATGAGTTTGTGATAAGGGAGGAATATGGGGGGAGATGATTGGAGGATTTTAGGGGTTATTGAGGGGGTGTGTGGAGGTTTTGGTGGGAGGAGGAGGTATATTATTGGTTAATTGATTTAGAGTATTATTGTTATAGGTATTGTTTTTGTATGTTATATTATTTTTTATTATTGTAGATTTTTTTATATGTATTTTATATGTGATTTATATTATTTTATAGTTTATTTTTGGTATTGAATAGTATATTATTGTTATAGTAGTTATTGTTATAGTATATTTATATGTATGTGTTATATTGATTGTAGATGTTATATTATGTTTAATGTATTATATTATTTTATATTTAATTATAAGAGTAGGGGGTTATGGAAGAGGTTTGTTTGTTTTGATAAGGTATGTTGTTTAAAGTTTTGGGTTGGTTATATAGGTTGGTATTTGTTTATGGTATTTTGGGGGTAAGGGTTATAGTAAGGTGGGAGGGTGAGGGGGGGTTTGGTTTTTTTGAATTAATGGATAGGGTGGGTATTTGATAGTTGTTGGGTTATTTGAGTTATGAGTTTGTTTAGGTTGTTTATTTTAGAGTGAGTAGTTGGATGGTAGGAAGTAAAAGATATTTATAGATTGAGATATTTATTTGGTTTGAGTTGAAAAGGTTTTAAGTAGTTATTAGATGGGTGTAGTTTTGGGGTTTGTGTGGATAATTGAAGTTTTGTTAGTTGTAATTGGGAGGGGGTGGGTGTAGTGGAGAGGTGTAGTATTGAAGAAGTTGAAAATAATAGTAGGGATGTGATGGTTTAGGTTGTGGTGTGTGTGTGGTGTTTTGGTTTTGTGGTGGAGGTAATGTAGAGGGTGGTAGGGGTGGTGGGGGTTAGTTGGTATTGGTGTTGGTGTTGGTTGGGATTGGTTGGGAGGGATAGGGTGTTGGAAGAGTTTTTAATTGGTGGTGGTTGTTGTAAGTGTTGTATGGGGATTTTATTAGAATTTGGGGTTTAGAATTATTTGTGTGTAGGATTGAAGGAAGTAATTTGGTTGGGGGGGATGTGGTGGTGTGGGTAGTGGAGGGATTGTAGAATAGTATAGTAGTGGTGGGTTGGTAGGTTGTTGGAGTGGTTGGTGTGGTGTTTATTTTGTAAGTTGTGAGATTTTTGTGTTGTGTGTTAATTGGGGTAGTGGATGAGTTATTTTGATGGTATAGTGAGATGTAAGGAGGTTGTGATGAGATTAGTGTGTAGGAGTGGTGTTTGGATATGGTTATTGTTATTGGGGGTATTGTGGTGGTTGGGTAAAGGGGGAGGTTGTAAATGTGTTTGGGGTGGGTTTATTTGTTGGATTTGGTGGAATTTTGAGGTAGTGGAATTGGATGTATGAATGGATGGATGATGGGATGGGGTAAGATTAGGTAGATGTGTATTAGAATGTGGATGGGTGGAATTAAGGTAATGAGGGTTAATTGGGGGATGAAGAGTTGGGTAAGAGAATGAAAGAAAGGTAGGGTTATTGGAAGGTTTGGTTTTGAGAAGGAATAGGGGAAGGGTATTATTGTTAGAAGGGAAGATGTTAGGAGAAAGAAGAAGTAGGTGTTTTTAATTGTATATGTGGATAGGTAGTAATTGTATGTGTAGGATGGGTTTTAGGTGATTTATGGGGGGGGGGTTTAGGGTAGGAGGTATTGGTTAGGTGATGTGAGAATGATTAAGAGGGGGATGGAAAATTAGGGAATGGATGGGTAGTTGAGGTTATTGAGGATTTGAGATTATGGGGTTATGAGGAGGGGGGTGAGTATTGTGGGGAGGGTGGGTTAGGGAGGTTTGTATAATTGTAATTGAGAGAAGGTTAGATGGGAGGAAAGGTATGTATGAATAGGGATTGTTTAGGGAGGGAATTATGGGGGTTATGGGTAGAGTATGGGAGAGGGGGTGGGAGGAGGAATGGTAAGTGGATGTAGGAGGAGTGGGTATAGGGAGGGTGATAGTTGGTAGGGTAGGGGGTTTGATAGTGGGGTGGGAGGGATGAGGTGGTGTTTTGGGGAGGGTTTTAGGGAGGTTGAAGGTGTAATGGAATATTTTGGATTAAAATGATTTGAGAGGATATGGGAGGTTTGAGGTGGATGGAGAGAGAAGTGTGTGTGAAAGGATTAAGAAAGAGGGATAGATTTGGGTAGAAGGTATATGTGTTATATGGAGGAAGGGTATGTGGGGAGAAGTGGTAGGTTAAGGAGAGAATGGAGGTAGGAGAGATGATATTGTAGGTGAGAATTTAGGGTTGTTAGATATGTTAGGAGGAGGAGGTAGGAGGGTTGAGGATAGGAAAGAGAGATAAGAGAGGTTTGGAAGAAGGATGAAAATGATAAGATGGGAAATGTGGGTGGGAAAATGGATGTTGGGAAGGAGAAAGAGTTATATTGAGGGATGAGAAAGAAGAATGAAAGGATAAAGTGTAGGGTGAATAGGTGTAGGTGTTTAGGTTATTTTGGAATATAGTTTTTATAATTAGATATGAGAGGGGGTAAAATTGTATAATGTAATAAAGATGGGTGGGTAGTTTTATAGGAGGGTATGGTTGGTTATTATATATATATGTGTGTTGTGTAATTGTAGTATTATTATTGTAAGTGGGTTTGGGGAGTGTGAGGGTGTTGTATTTTTATGAGGTGGGGGGTGTTAGTGGGGGAATGAAGAAATGGAATTGGGGTATTGAATAATTGTTGAAGGGGGAATTGGAGGGAGAGAGATAAAAGAGAGAGAGAGAGATTTTGAGTTGGATTATGGGAATTGGTTATTTTGAGGGAGGGTGTATTGGGGAAATAGGATGGGGAGGGGGTTTGTGTTGGGGGGATAGAGATTTGAATTTATATAGGGGGGGGTGGTGGGTTTTGTTTGGGAGTTTGGAGAGGGAATAATTAGTTTTTAGTTGTGGTATGTATAGTGTATATTGGTATTTTTGTTTTGTTTTTGGTGTTTGGGTGGTTTTGGTGATTTTGTGAGGTTAGATATTTGTAATTTATTAAGGAAATTTTTAGGGTTTTTGGAATGGTTATTGGATAGGGTGGGGGGTTTTTGATGAGGGTGGATTTATGTTATGTTGTTGATAGTTGGTTTTGTGTTTTTTTTTGTTATTTGTGAAGGGGGGTTAAAAATGGAAGAAGATATGGGTTAGATTTAGAAATAGAAGAGAAATGGGGATGTGTTAGGGGATTAGGTTGGGGTGGAAGTGGGTGGGTTGGATATGGGGGATGGGGATTTGAGGTATTTATAAAGTTATTGAAGGGGGGTTTTTATTGTTGTTGGGTGAGATTGTTTTTTGAAGAATAGGGGTATTTAGATTGAGATATAAATGTTGTAGATTTTGTGAATTGGTTTGGGATTGTTGAGGTTTTTGATTTGTTTTTGGAGGATGGGTTTGGTTTGGTTAGTTTATGTTATTTTATGGTTGTATTGTTTAATGTTTGTTTAAAAGGAGGTTATGGTTGTAGGGGATTGGATTTGGTGGGGGTGGATGGTGAAGAAAGAGGTAGGAGGTAGGTTATGAGGTTTTTTTTGGTAATGATTTAAGTATTAGTTTTAAAGGGAAATAAAATTTAAAGTTGAAAGTGGGTTGAGGGTTGTTGTTGGTTATATAGGGGTTATTTAATAGGGGAGGTAAGTTAAATATAGATAAGGGTTTTTGTTGGGAGATGTGTTTTATGGATATTGATGGTTTGGTGGTAGGGGGAAGTAAGGAGGGATGGGAAAGGAAGATATTATGGGTGGGTTTTGGATGTGGTTGTGGGGGAGTTTTGGGGGGGTGGGGGGGTAGTTGGAGGTATGGTGTTGGGTTATGGGGGGTATGGTGTAGGTTGTGTGTGGTTGTTGTTAATTTAGTTATAGTTTTAATTAAAGGAAAGTTTAATTTGTGTGTGATGGGATGGTTTGGGGGTGGTGGGGGGTGGGGGGGTGGGGGGGGGTGGGTTGGGGGGTGGGGTGGGTGGGGGGGGGTGGGGGGGTGGGTTTTTGGTATGGTTGTTAGTAGTGGGGGGATATGTGGTTTGTGTGGTGTGATGTGTGTTTGGGAGATGTTGTTGAGTGGGTGTAGTATTGTAGGTAGGGGGTATTTTGTGTGGTTAGGGTTGGGGGATTTTTTGTTTTTTGGTTGTTGGGGTTTGGGATTGTTATTGGGGGGGGTATGTTTTTTTAGAGGTAGTATGGGGATTTAGATTTGGATAGTTGGTTGGTTGGTTTATGATGTAATTAGATAGAGGTTATTTGTTATATGTTGGGGTTAGGGAAGAGATTAGAAGATTATTGATTTGAAGAATGTAGTTGGGGTGAAGAGAGTAAATTAATTTTTGTGGTTGTTATGTGGTTTGGGGGTGGGGGAGATGTTGGTAATTGGGTGATGTTTGTTGTTGGGTAAGGTTATGAGTGAAATTTTTTAGAGTATATTTTAATGGTTGATTGTTTTGTTGGTTGTGGTTGGGGGGGTATATGGGGAGTTTGTTTGATGGTGTGGGTGTGGGGAGGTAATGGAGTTGTGTTGGTTTGTGGTGGTTGTTGTGGTGGGGTTTGGGATTTTTTGTGGGGTGTTTTTAGTGAGTTTGGGTGTTGAGGATGTGTAGGGTATGGTTGAGGTAGATAGTGGATGTGGTAGAATTTGTTTTTTTGGGAGTATGGAATTATTGGATGATAGGGAGTTGGTGTTGGTTTTATGGGGGGTGGGTGGGGGTGTTATTAAGTGGGAATGGTGAGGGATATATTTGTTTTAGTTGTAGATTATGGAGATATAGATTTTTTGTAATGGTAAATAGAAAAAGAGTGTTATAGGATGTGGTGAATTTTATAGGTAGATAGTTTTAGTATTTAGTTTGTGGAGGGGAAATTTTATTTTTAGTAGGATAAAAAGAGGAGTGAAAGTTTTTAAGATTTATTATTGGATGTTGTATAGATGTAGGTTGGGTTTAATATGATGTGATGTTATGATGATAGGGGTAGAGTTTATTTATGGAATTGGTGTTATTGAGATGTGTAGTAGATGTTTGATAATAGAATTTATAGGTTTTAGGAGATGTATGGATTTTATTTTGATGATAGTTTAATTTGTATTAAGATGGAATGAAGAGGTGAAAGGAGTAGATGAAGAGATTTTGTAGGTTTTATGAGAGGGGTATTTGAATGAATGGGGAAAGATGATTTATTTTGTGTGGTGTATGGGTGAATGTGTGAATGAAATAGAGTTGATATTAGTTAAGGGGGTAAATTGATTTATTTTTGTATGGGATTGGAAGGTGTTTTGAGGTTATTGAAAAGGATTGGTTATAAGAAGAGTGTATGGGTTTTTTATTTGTTTTTATGGAGGGGTGTGTGAGAAGTTTTTAGTGGGTTGGGGTGTGGGAGGGGGTTGGGTAGATGGTGGGTAGTGGGGGTTGAGGGAGGTGTAATGGTTGGGGTGTGTAGTTTTTTAGAAGATGGAAGTTTATGTTGGTTTTATGGGAGTAAATGTTTTATGGATTTTGTGAGTGTATGGGGTATATGGAAGTAGAGTTGGGTTTATTAAGTATAGAGTTAATGGGTGTAAATATTATATATGTTAGGGATAGGGGTTTTGTTGGGTAGTAGAATTTAGAAGTGTATAGTGTAGAAGAAGAGTTGTGGTGGGAGTTGGGGGAAATGATTAAGAAGAAATGGTTTTGAGATGGGTTATGTGGGAGGGAGAAGGGGAGAGATTGAATGAGATAGATAATGTAGGTGTTTTATGGTGATTTAATAATGGTATTGGAGAGATGATGATAGAAAAAGTAGGAAGATTAGAGGAATGTGTAGTATAGTATGATATTGAAAATAAGATATTAAATGTTGTAGATTTTTGGTATAAGATGATTAAGGTTAATAGGGGTTTGAAAGTAGGGTTGGAAAGGGTGATGTATATATGAGGGAAAGAAAGTTTTTAATAGTGTGGGGGAAGGTGGATAGTGTTGGGGGGAGAAGGAGATAGGTGTATGGAGGATGTTATGATTAGGGGGATGGGGAGAGGAAAAGGGAGTATTGAATGGTGTTAGAATGAAGTTTTTGTTTTGGGTATTAGGATGTGATATATGATGTTGGATAAGGTATAGGGGGTTAGAGGGGAATGGGTAATAGTTGTAGATTGGTGGGGGGGGAGTGGGGATGGGTAATTGGAATGGTGGAGTTGTGTGGGTGGAAGGTTTGGGGGTTGATAATATGATATATGAGTGGGGGGTGTGATGGGTTGATAGGTTGGGAAGATGGGGAGTTTGGGGGGTGGATGGTTTAGGAGAGATGTATTGATAGTGTATGTTGGGGGGAAAATTTTATAGGTTGATTTTGGAGGGGGTGGGTGTATGAATGGAGGGATTTGAGGGGGGTGGAATGATGTGTAGATTTGTGTTGAGTTTTTGATGTTTAATGATTTTAGAGATTGTTAAAGGAGTTGTTAAGATGGAGTATTAAGTGGTGGGGTGGGATGGATTTTATTTTGTAAATGGAGAAGGTGGGGGTTGAGGTTTATGGTGTTGGTTTGTATGAGTATGGATGTGATGTTAGGGTGAAGAGATTATTATGATTAGTGGTTTTTGGGTTGTTTTATTTGAATATAGGATGGTAGGATGGATAGGGTGGGTATTTGGTTAGGGGGTTTAATGGATTGTGTTTATTTAGTAGGGAGGGGGGGGTTGGTTTGTAATATTTTTGTTGTATTGTATGGTGGAAGGGAGATTTATGGTAGAATGTGTATATGGGGTGTTGGGGTTGGGGGATTAGTGTTTGGGTAGTGTAATTGAATTTAAATATTGGAGTTTTTGTAGGTGATTATAATTTTTTGGGGGGGAGTAGGGGAGGTGATTAAAATTGATAATGAGTGATGTTGATTGGGGTAGTTGATATTTTGATTTTTTTATATATTGTTGATGATTAGGGGGATTTATTGAATGAAGGGAGATATAAGAGTGAGTGGTTTTGAGAGATTATTGAAAATGTATGTGTGTGTTGTATGTGTTAGGTTTTTGTTTAATTGGGAAGTGTGAGATTATTTATTATGGTTATTATTATGGTTTGGAGATATAGGTAATTGTGGAGTGAGGAGAGTGAAAGTAGATGTATGAGAGTATGAAGGTGTTTTATAATTGAATTATGTTTAGGGGTGGGAAGTTGTTAAAAGTGAGATATGAGGATTTGGTGTTTTGTGTGGGAAATGTATATGATTGTTGGGATGAGTGTATTTGTTAAGAGGAATGAATAATATGTGGGTATATGTAGTTATAAGGTAGGTAGTGGTGGGGATGTGATATAAAGTGAATGAAAAGAGTGAGGAAAGGGGGGGAGGGGATGTTTATGTAAATTTAGGGTTTTGATAGGTTTGAAGAGAGAAGAAGAGTTGGGTGTGTATGATGGGGGGGGATTGATGATTAATTTAAAGTTTTAGATGGGTTTATGTTGGGATTGGGTGTAATGGGAGAAGAAATTTTGGTGTTTGATTGAAGTTTGGTAATAAAAGAATAGGAAATGTAAAGAGGTGTATGGTTTTGTGAATATGGGTAATGGTATTGGTGGGATAGAAGTGTTAGTATAGGTTAAGATGGTTTGGTATGGATTATGAAAGAATGGAAAGATTAAAATGGGAAGGAATGGAGGGAGGAATTTGGGGGATAGGGGGGGGGTGATTATTGATGGGGGTGGGGTTGATATTGGATAGTGGTGTTTTTAGGGTTATTGATGTTTGTGAATGTATGGTTGTTGTTTTGTTTTTGTGTTTTTTGAAGATGGGTGATATATTTATGTTAGGGTTAAGGGGGGTTTATGGATTTGTAAGTAGATATTAGGGATGTGTGGGGAATTGGGGTATATGGTTGGATTTTGATAAGAAAATGGGGTGGGAGGTAGAGAAGTTATTGTGAATAAAGGAGAAGATTGGAAAGAGGGGATGTGTTAGTTATGGGATATTGTGTGGGGGGGAGGAATGTTTAGGGGTTATTATGTAGGGTTTGGAGTGGAGAGTAATATTTTAAGGGATTGTAAGTTAGGAAGTTGGGAGAGAAGGGATGATGTAGAGAGGAGAGGGGTTGGTAGGAATAGGGGGGTATAAGGGGGTATTAAGGTATGAATGGGATGTGAGGGATTGGGGGGTGAAGTGTTGGGGGGGGTTAGTTTTTAGATGGGTAGGGTGGGTGGAGTGGTATTGTTTTGGAGTGAATGTGGTAAAAGTTGTGAGAAGGGGGTTGGTGGTTGTTGTAGTGGTATTGTAAAGAGGGGGAGGTAATTTTATTGATGGGAGGGGGGAGGGTAGGTGGGGTGGGGGGGGAGAATAGATAGTGAGGGTGTATGTTTGTGGAATTGGATTGAGAAGAGTTTTATGTTGAGTGTGGTGGGTAGTGGGGGGATGAATTTGTGTTGGTTGGTTATAATTGGGTTGGGTTGTTGTGTTTTGTTGGGGGTAAAAGGGAGATATGGGTTAATTGTTGATTGGGGGGTTTATGGGGTATGGGTCGGAGTTGAGTGTGTAGGTTGGTGTTAGAGTAGTTTTGGGTTTTGTGAGTTGGATGGTGTAATGGTTGTAGGGTGGTGTATTTAGGGGGGGGTAAATTGGATTTTTGTTTAGTGGGTGTTGATTGATGGGGATTGGATGTGAGTTAGAGGTTTGGATATTATGTGTAGTTGTGGTTTGGGTTTAGTGAGTTTTATTGATGTGATTAAGTGTGGGGGGGGTGTTGGGGGTGGGGGTTAGATTTGAGGGTTATGATGTGAGGATTAGATGATATGTAATTGGTTGTTTGTTATGTTTTTTTTTTTGGAGGAAGGGGGGGGTGGGAAGGTGATTATTAGAATATATAGAAGAATATTGATGTTGAATAGGGAATTATAGTTTAGATGATAGAATTATGGAAAAGGGAAGGAAATAATTGTTGTTGTGTTGTTTTGGTAAGTAGTGAATATATGTGGATGATTAGGTTTGTATTATAAAGATTTTTTTATTTTTGTATAGGGATGTGTGTGGGGGGGGGGGGTTTATTTGTTTGGTTATGTTGTTTGTGTGATGTTTGTTTTATTGTGTATGTAGTATATTTGTTATTAAATTGTTATGGTAATGGTTTGTTAAAAAGAGTTTGGTGTTTTATAGTTGTGTTGAATAGGGATATGGGGAGAGATTTAAGTGTATTAAAGATAGGTGTTAAAATTAATTTGTATTTTATTTTGTTTTTAAAATAGGTATTTAATTTTAATTGTAATAGATATTTTGTTTAATGTAAGTTTTAAAGGTTTTAAATGAAGAAAAAAGAAGTGGTGAAAGGGGGATGAAATTAGGGTAGAGAAGGAAAATGATAGAGGGGAAGGATGTATAAGTAAAGGATATTTTTTTGTTATTTAGAAGATATATAATGGATAGATAAATTATAAAGTATGGATAAGGGATATATTTTAGAGTTTTATGTTTTAGGAGGTTGGATATTATTGTGAATTTGGTGTTGGTATGGAATGTTTATTAAATAAAGGAATGTTAATTAATATTATATATATATTTATAGTAAAAATTGTTTAGGGAAGGTAGGTTGTTGGAGTGTTAGGGTGGGGTGTGAGTTTTGGTTGTTGATGGGGTGTGTGTTGAAGGGGGGAGATTGTGTGGTGTTGTTGTTTTGTTTAGGGTGGATTGTGGGTTATTTTTGTGGTGTGTGGGGGGGGGTTGGGTAGGGATGTATTTGTATTGTTTTGTATGTAGTTTTGTTTTGTTTGATATTTAGGGGTTGGTGTGATTATGTTTTATAGGATTAGTTTTTTTTTGTGGGTTGGGTGGGTTGTGTTGGGTGTTGGTGGGGGTTGGTTTTTTGGTGTTGTTGTTTGGTTAGGTTTTGTGGAGTGTTTGTGTTTGGGTGGTGTGGGTGGGGTTTTGTGTGTGGGGGGGGGGGGGGGGGTTTGGTGGGTGTGTATGGTTGGTGGGGTTGTTGTGGTGTGTGGGGTGTGTTGGTTGGGGGGGGGTTTGGTTGTGGTTTTTGATGTTTGGTTGTTAGTATTGTTGGTTATGTATGGTGATAGGTAGATGTTGGAGGAGATTTAGTTGGTTGTGGATGGGTAGTATGATTGTGGGATTTTATGATGTGGAGGTGTGGGGGGGGATATAGGGGTTTGGGTGGATTGGTAAGTGTGGTTGGGGTGGTTGTGGTGTGGGTGGTATTTGTTGTTTGGGGTTGAGGTGGGGTTGGTGATGTTTGGGTGGGTTAGGTTGGTTAGTGGGGAAGTATGGGTTGGTATTTGGGGTTGTATGGGGGTGGGTTGGGGGTTGGGTGTAGTTTGTTGAGTAAGGGGGTGGGTAGTGGGTTTTTTGGGTTTGTGTGGTTGTTTTGTGTTTTATTGTTGGGTAGGGGTGGGGTGTGGTGGTTGTGTGGGTGTGTTTGGTATGTTTTGGTGGGTTTTTGTGGGGGTGTTTTTTTGGTTTGTGTGAGGGAGTATTGATTTTTTTTTTTGGGGGTTTGGTTTGTTGTGGGTTGTGTGGTTTTATGTTTTTTAGTGTTGTGTGTTGGTTTGTTGTTGGGGTGGGTTTATGTGGGTTGGTGTTTTTGGGGGGGGTTGGGGTTGGGTTGTGGGGGGGGGGGGGGGGGGTGTGTTGAGTTGTTATTGGTATTTGGTGTGGTTTTGGGGTGGGTTGATGTTGGTGGGGGTTTGGGGGTGGTGGGGGGGTTGTTGGTTGTTGGTGGGGGTTTTGGGGTTTTTTGTGTGGTTTGTTTTGGGTGGATTAGGTGGTTTGGTTTGGGGGTGGTTGTGTGTTGTGTGGGGTTTGGGTTTTGTTGGAGTTGTTGTTTGTTTGGTTTTGGGGTTTTTTATGGGTTGGTGGTTTGTGGTGGTGTTTTGGGTGTGTTTTGTTGGTGTGTGGTGTTGTTTTGTGTGATGGTTTTTGGGTTTTTGTTTTGATGGGGTGGTGTGTTGTTTGGTGTTTGTTTGGTTGGGGGGGGGGGTTGGGTTTTTGTGTTTGGTGTGGATGTTGGGTGGTGGTGGTGTGGTTGTGTGGGGTTTTTTGTTTTTGTGTGTTGGGTTGGGTGTGTGTTGTGTGGGTAGTGTGTGTTTGGTTGGTTTGGGTTTTGTTGTTGTGTGGTTTTGGTTTGGTGGGTGGGAGGGTTGTGTGGTTTTTGGGTAGGGGTTGTTGTGGTGTGTGGGGTGTTATTTGGTGGTTGTTTGTTTTGGTTGTTGGGGGTGTTGTTGTGGGTGTGGTGGTTTGGTTGGTGTTGATTTTTGGTGTTTGGTTGGGGGGTAGTTGTTGGTTTTTATGTTGGTGTTTGGTTTGGTGTGGTGGTTTGGGGGTTGGTTGGGTGGGTGGGGTTGGTGGTGGTTTGTTGTGGGTAAGGTGATTGAGGTGGTGGGTGTTCTTGTTGATGTTGTTTTGTGGTTGTGGGGAATTTGGGGTAGGTGGGTATATGTTGTTAGGTGTTTAGTGTGTGTGGGAATGTTTTGTTAATTGGATTTGTTTAGTTTTTATGGTTTATTTAGTTATGGGTGTATTGTTGTGTTGATTAGGTAGATTTTTTATTGTAATTTTTTATGAGATGGAATTTTATTTTTTGGGTTATTTGGGTATTGTTTTGATGGTTGTTGTAAGGGGTGTAATGTTTGGTTTTAGGGTTGTGGTGGTTTTTGGTTGTGTGGTTTGATTGTTTGGGGTTGTGGGGTGGGTGGGATTTTGTGTTTGGTTGGGGGTTGTATGTTTGTTGGGTTGGGGTTGGGGGGGGTGGTGGGTATTTTTTTTTTATTTGTTTATGGTTTTGTTGTTTTGGTTTGATTTAGGAGGTAGGATTGGTTTTTTATGGTGTGGTAGTTTGAGGTTTGGTTTTTAGTGTTGTTTAGGGGGTGGGTGGTTTTGTTTTGTATGGTTTTTGTTGGGGGAGGTTTGGTTTTTTGTGTTGGTGTGTTTGATTGAGTATGTTTGTATGGGGTGGATGTTTGTGTGGGTGTTGTTTAGGGTTTATGTTGTGGTTGGATAGTGTTGTGGGTTTTAAATTATATGGGGGTTGGTGGTGTATTTGTGTGGTAGGGTTAGGGTGATGGGTGTGGGGTTGTTGGTTGGGGGGTTGTGGGTTGTGGTGGTGGGGAGAGTGTAGTGTATAGAGAATATGATGTATTTTTTTTAATTTTTTATTTTATAATTTATGAGTGGGTATATTGATGTGTTTGATATGGTTTTATTGATTGAGAATTAGTGTTATAGTGTTTTTAAGATAGGGAAAAGTAATTAGAGGTAGTTGATATATAGGTAAGTTATAGATAAATATAGATGTTTTTATTAAAGTGTTGTGGTATAGAGGATTTGAAATGAGTTATTTGATAGTTGTTTTAGATGGGTGGGAATAGTTAGTAGGAGGTGTGATAGGAGATGGTTTTGGGTTTGGGGGGTTTTTGAGTGGTGGTGGGTTGTGGTTTTTGGTGTGTGGTATGTAGGGGTTGTGTATTGTTGGGGTGTGTTGGTTGGTGGTTTTTGGTGGGTTGGGGTGGGGTTTGTTTGTGGGTGGGGTAGGTTGTATAGTTTTTTGGTTGTATGTTTTGAATTGATAGAAGATATGGATGTAGATAGGGAGGGGGGGGGGGTTGATTTGGTAGGGATGTTTGGAGGGGGTAAGGATTTGGGTTGATTGGGGAATGTTTTGGGATTGGTTAATGGGATGATTGGAGATAGGGGAGGGAGAGAATGAGAGGAGAGGGAGAGAGTGGGAGGAAAGAGTGAGGGGGGAGATGAGTGGGTGGTGAGGGGTGGTTTGGTGTTGGGGGTGTGAGATGGTGTGAGAGGGGTGATTGTGGGGTGTGTTGGGTGTGTGTGTGGGGTAGTGTGGGGTTGGTTGGTGTGTTGGGTTAGTGTGTGTTTGTTGTTGTTGTGGGATGGTGTGTAGTGTGTGAGTGAGGGGTGAGTGAGGTGGTTGTTTGGAGTTATTTGTATGTTTGTTGTGGGGGGTTTTTTTTTTTTTGTTTTGTGTTGTTTTGTGTTGAGATGGTTGTGTTTTGTGTTTTGGGGGTTTTTGATGTTATGTGGGGGGTGTTATATTTGTTTTTTTGGTTTTTATTTTTTGGATTGTTTGGATATATTGTGGATGAGGTGGTATGTATGTTTGTGAGGTTTGGGGTTTGTGGGTTATTTGGTTTATTTAGGTTTTGTTTGGTGTAGTTGTTTTTGTTAGTTTTGGGTGAGTTTTTTTGTGTTGGGTTTGGTTTTGTTAGTGTTGGGGTATTGTTGTTTGTGTAGGGGTTTGTTTTGATGTGATTTTTTTGTATGTTTTGTGGGGTTTTTGTTTTTGTTGTGTGGGATATTTTATTTATGTTTAAGATAGTTGTGAGGGGGGGATTTTTTTAGAGATTGATTGTTTTGTTGTTGTATTAGTGAGAGGTTGTGGATGATTTTGAAGTATGTGTGGGTGATTAAATTGTGTGGATAAAAATAGGGGATGGGGGTGGGGGTTTTTTGGTGTGGTGTATTGTTTGGATGAAGAGTGTTGGGGATTTTTGGGGTGTGGTGTTTTTGGTGGGGGATGGGTGTGTTAGGGTGGTTTGGGGTTTGGGATGTTTGAGGTGGTGTTTTTGGTTTTGTTGTGGTATGTGGGTTTGTGGTTAGTGGGTTTTTTTTATTTTGTTGTTGGTTGTTGGGGTGGGTTGTGATGGGGTGTTGGTATTGGGTGGTTGTTGTTGTTTTATTTTTTTGTGTTTAGTTTGGGGGTTTTGGTGTTTTGATTGGTTTGGGTTTGGTGGTATTGTGGTTTTGGTTTGGTTTGGGTTGGGGGTGGTTGGGGTGGTGTGATGTATTTTTGTTGTAGTTTTTGGGGTTGTGGGTTGTGTTGGTTTGGGGGGGGGGGGTGAGGGGTATGATGGGGGTTATTGTTTGGGGTTGTGGGGGGGGGTTGGGTAGAAGAGGGGATGGAGGTGGGTGGGTAAGGTGGTGGGGGTATTTGTGGGGAGTTGATTTTTTATGGTGGATATATGGGTGGGGGGGAGTTATTGATGGATAGTTGTGGTGGGGTTAGGGGGGTATGGTTTGAGTGTTTGTGGATAAAAAGTTAAGGATTATGGGGGAATATGGGATTAGATTGATGTTTTGTTTTATGGTAGGGGGGAATTGTGGATTTTGGGTATGATTGAGTTTGTAGTTGGGGGTTTGGTTTAGGGGGGTTATTTGTTTTTAGTTTTGAGGATTGTGGTGGAGAAAAAGGTATAGTTTGTAGAGGTAGGAATATTTGGGGAGAAATTGTATGAGGAGTGAAGGGTTGAGAGTGATGGAGAGGGGTTTATTGATGGGTTGATTAGTGTGAGATTGTGGGGGGGTGTTAGGGGGGTTATATTAGATTAGGATATTGGAGATGGTGGATGAGTTGTGTAGGAAGGAGTATTAGTGTAGTAGGGGGTTATAGAATGGGTTTGGGAGGGTGGGGGGGGTTGGGAAAGGGTTTGTTGATGGTATGTGTTGTAGGGAGTAATGTTTGGGATGGTATGGGTTGTGGGTGTATTTGTTTTGTTTGGGGATGGTGTATGGGAATAGAGTGGTTTTAATATTTATTGAGTTTTTTAATGGGGGGGTATGGGGGGTTTGTTTGGTGGGGTTTTATTTTTTGTTGGGTTGGGGGTTTTTTGGGTGGGGGGTGTGTTTTTTTTTGTGTATTGGGGTGAGTGGGGGGTGGGTTTTAGGGGTTTTTGGGGTGTTGGTGTTTGGAGGGGGAGGTTTTTTTTGTTTTAGTTTTTTTTATTTGTGGTTTTTGTTGTTGTTGATTTATTTTATTTTGTTTGTTTGTTTTTTGTTTTTGGTTTTTTTTTTTTAGTTTATTTTTTAGTATTGTTTTATGTGTTAGATTATTTTTGGATATTTTTGTTATATTAGGTTTATTGTAGATTGTGTTTTTTATGATTTTATAGTATGGTTTATTTATTTTTTTTGAGTTGATTGGATTTGATTTTATTTTTTAGTATAAGAGTTGGTTTGTATGGTTTGTTGTTTTGTTAAGGTTTGGGTTTGGTTTAAAGTTTGGGTGGGTTTAGGAGGTGGGTGTTTGTGTGTGTTTTGTGGGGTGTTGGGTTATTGTGATGTTTGGGTGTGGGGGGGGTAGGGGGTTTGGGTTTTGTTGTAGTTGGTTTGTGGTTGGGTTTGGTGTTGGGTTGTGGTTTTTGGTTTTTATGTGTTTTTTTGATTAGTGTTTTTTGGTTGGTTTGTTTTATTTTTGGTGTGTGTGGATTGTTATTTGGTGTTGGGGTTTGTTATTTAGATATGTTGATGTGGTTTGTGGGGGGGTGGGTGTATGTAGGTGGAGGGTGTAATGTGTTGGGATGGTGGGTGTGGGGGTTTGTGGGGTTTGGATATGTTTTGGTATTTATGAGTTGGGTTGGTGAGTTGTGTGGGTGTGTTGGGAGGGTTGGGGTGGGGGTGATTTGGTTTTGGTTGGTGAGGTTTAGTGTTGTGAGGAGGGGTGGGGGGTTGGTTGGTGGGGTGGTTTGTGAGGTTGTGTTTGTTGGGAGGGTAGGGTTTGGGTGTTTTTTTGGTTTTTGTGTTTGGGGGTCTAGTGGTTGTTGTTGTGTTTGGGGGTTTGTGAGGGTTGGTTGTTGTATGTTTGTTTGGTTGTTGTTTGGTATGTGTGGATTTGTTTTTGGGGGTGTTGGGTGGGGTTTGGTGGGGATTAGGTTTGTGTGTGTTGTGTTGGGTGTGTGTTGGGTTTGGGTTTGGGTGGGATTTTTTTTATTGGGTAGTTGGTAGAGGTTTTAGTGTTTTAGGTTAAAAGGGAAGAGGATTGTAAATGAGTTATGGGGGGATAGTAGGGTTAGAAGAGGGGAGAGAGAATAAATTAGAGGGGGGTGTTTAGGGAAGGGTTATATATTGGTATGTGGAGTTGGGAAGGTTGAGGATATGAATTTGTTATGGGGAGTGGTGTATTGAGTATGTTGGGTTTGAATTTGGAGGAATTGGGGATGGTGATGTATGAATGGATGATTGATTGATGGGGGTAAGATTATAGATGTGTATTAGGAATTGGATGGGTGGGTTTTATGGTAATGGAGGGGTGTTTGGGGGATGAAGGAGTTGGGGTAGAGATATGGTGTTGGATGTAGGTTTGGATGGGGGGTTGTTGGTGTAGATTAGGTATTGGGTATTGAGGGTAAGTAGAGGATAGTTGTTTAAGGTGGATTAGAAAGTGGTAATATATAGTGAAGAGAGTATAAAATAGATTGTTTAGGGGAAGGGTTATGTGTTTTGTTGGGGGTTTAGGGTTGGTAGGTATGGGGTTTAAAGGGTGATAATTATGAAGAGAGGGGTTAAAATTATGGAATGATGGGTAGGGTTGATTTGTAGTGAGGATTTGTTTTATTGGTATGAGAGGGGGGGGTGATTTGGGGGAGTGTGTAGGGTTGTGTGTTATATTGTGTTTTTTTTTTATATTATTATTTTATTTTTTATAAATATATAATATATATTTAAATTATTTTTTATTTATAATAAAAAAAAAAAAAAAAAAAAAAAAAAAAAAAAAGAGAAGGTTTAGATGAGATAAGGAGATGAAGTATGGATAGGATTGTGTAGGGAGGAATATGGGGTTATGGTGAGAGTATGGGTGAGGGTGGAGAGGAAGGTAGATGAGATGTAGGGGGTAGGAGTGGGTAAGGGGTAGGGTGAGTTTAAGGTAGGAGGGTTAAATTGGTGGGTGGGGGATTGAGTTGTGTTGTTGAGGGGTTAGGGATTTTTTGGGGGTATTGTATATTGTTTATGTAGAGTGGTGTGGGTTATTGGAGGTTTTAGGTGATGGTGAGGGTGTGGGTGTTGTGGTTTTTGTGAATGTGATGTGGAGTTTGTGGGGTTAGAGTTAGTATATTGTGTGTTGGATGGGATTGGTTTTGTGTGATGTGGGGTGTGGTGTATGGTGAGGATAGGGTGTAGAGTGAGTTGTTATGGTTAGATAGGGATTAGTTAGGTTTTTTTAGTATGTGGTGGTGGTTGGAGTTTTGATTGTAGGTATAGGAGAGTATAGTGGGGTTTGTGATAGGATAATTGGTTATTTGGGGTATTTTGGTGGATAAATTTGGTGGGGGATGGGGTGGTATAAGGATTTGATGGTTGGATAGTAATTTTTTGTGATTGGTTTGGGGTGTATAATATGTTATGGTGTTTGTTGTTTTGGTATTTTGTAGTAGGGGTATTTGTAATATTAAATATGAAAGGGTTATGAGTTGAGATAATGTAATATATAGATGGGGTATTTTTAGAGATGGGGTGATAGGTTGGTTTTTTATATAGATTTTGTGTGTGGGTATATTGTTAGGATATCCTTTTTTGTTTGGGGTTGGGGGGGAGTGGAGGGGTTTTAATTTTTATGATGGGGTGTTAGTGGTTATGGAGATAGTATGGTATTGGTTTGGGAATAGAGGGTTTTGATGGGTTGAAGATGAGATAAGATAAATAAGTAGGTTAGTGTGTAAGTGTGGAGTATGGGGTTGTTTATTTTGTGGGTGTTGTTTGTGGGATTTAAGTATTGGGGAGGGGTGGTGGGGGGTGATTAATTGATTTTGATATTTTTGGGGGGGGGGTGTTGGGGGTGGGGTTGGGATTGGAGAGGGAAAAATGTGTTTTTTGGTGGTGTGTATGGTATAGTGTAATGTTATTTTTGTGTTGGTTTTTGTGGTTGGTGGTGGTTTTGTATTTTTGTTGGTTGATTTGTTGTATGTTGGTATTATGAAATTTTTAGTTGTTGAATGGGTATGGATTGTGGTGGGGGGGTTTATGAGGGGTGGTGTTGATGTTGATGTTGGATATATTGTTTTGTGTTTTTGGGTTATGTGAAGGGGGGTTTAAAAGGATGGAGAAGATATGGGGTGAATTGTAGTATATAGAGGAGAATGGGGATGGGTTGTTTGGGATGTTGAGGTTGGTGGGGAGAGTGGGGGGGTGTTTGGGTTGGGTTTTTGTATTATGAAAGTGTATGAAGGGGGGGTTTTTGTTTTGGGTATATTGTTTTGTGGTAGTATTGTAGTTATTTTGGAGTATTAATTTTGTTGATAATTTTGAATGGGAGTTTGGTAGTGTTGTGGTGGGAGGTTGGTTTTGTGGTATGGGGTTTGTGTGTTGGGTTTTTTTTTTTGTTTTTGGTGGTGATTGTTTTATTTTTGTTTATTGTGGTTAGGTGTTGTGAGTTGTTGGGGGGGGGTTGTGGGTTTGTGGTTTGGTGGGGTTGTGTGGTGGTGGGTTTTGTTGTTTTATATTTTTGGTTTTTTTTTGAATTTGTATTGGTGGTGGTTGTTGTAGTTTAGATAGGGGATTTTTTAATGGTGTTAGTTAATTTTTGTTTGGGGTTAGGAGTTGGTTATGGTGGTTTTGTGTTGTGGTATGGTGTGGGGTGTTAGGGGGGGTAGTTGGGGGTGGATAAGTGGATGTTGATTATTTTGTTGGGTGGTGGAATGTGTGTGGGGTAGGTGTGGGTGGGGTGGGGGGTTTTTGGATGGAGGGGGGTTTTGGGTATAGGGAGAGGGAATGGTGTAGGTGGTATTTTGTAGGTTTTTTTGTTTAAAGGAAAGTTATTTTATGTTGTAGTGTGTTGGGTTAGGTTGAGGGGTGGGGGGGTGGGGTGGGGGTTTGGGGGGAGTGGGAGGGTGGGGGGGGGTGTGTGGGGTGGGTATTGGGGTAGGGTTGAAGGATGAGTGGGGGGTGATGGGTTGGGTGGGTTTGGAGATGGAGAGAATAGGGAGAGTGTAGTATATGGTGAAGATATTGTAGGGTGTTGGGTAGGGTGGTGGGGTTAGGTTGGGGTATGTTTTAGTTTTTTTTGGTTGTGGGTTTTGTTAAAGATAAAGGGGGGGAAATAAAAAATAAAGAAAGTAAGGTTGAGTATAAGTTGGTAGGTTGGGTTAGTGAGGAATATAATTTGATAGAGGTTGATTGTTGGATATTAGGGTGTAGGGTGAGAAGAAGATTAAGATTATAATAGTGTTATTTGGTTGGAGTTTTAGTTTTATGTGTTTGGTTAGTGGGTGGGGGTGGGGGGAGATGGTGGGGTAATTGGGTGATGTTTGTTGTTATGGTTGTGAGGTGGAAATTTTTAAAGAGTAATGTATTGTTGTTGTTGTTAGTTGTGGTAATGGGGGTGATAGTGGGATAGTGGGTTGGTTGTTGGGTGAGGGGTAGGTAATGGAGGTTGTTGGGGGTTTGGGGGTGGTGGTAGTTTGTGGTGGGGGTTGGGATTTTTTGTGTTTGTTTATGATGGTTTGGGTGGTTGTAGGATGTGAGGGTTAGGGTGTGTGAGGGAGTTTGTTGATGTGTAGATTTGTTTTGTTGGGAGTATTTTGAATTTATTTGATATAGGGATGTTTTGTTGTTAATGGGGGGGTGGGGGTGGGGGTGTTAAAGGTGGGAATGGTGTGGATATTTTTGGGGGGTTTAGTTGATATTTAGTGGATTGTTTGGAGATTTTATGGTAGAGGTTGATAAAGGTATAGGTGTATTATTGAGTTTATTTTAGTAGGATGGATTGATTTATTAGTTTATTGTGAGGGAAAATGTTTTTTTTTTTATGTGTTTAAGATATGAGAAGAATGTTTTAAATTATTGATTTTGTGTGGTTTGTAGTAGAGTAGGTGTGGGTTGTTATAGTGTTTGATTGTTTGTTATAGGGGTGTTAGGAGTTTGTTTTGGAATTGGTGTTTATGAGAGTTAGGAGGATTGAAGAGGAGGGTATGAGGTATTTGAGGTTTTTTTGATTATGGATTTTGATATTGATGAAGTTTTTAATTTGTAGTTTATATGGTGAATGGTATAGGAGAGATAGAGGAAGGGAGATTTTGTTATAGGGGTTTTATAGAGAGGTATGAGTGAATGGAAGAGATTAATTTGGGGGTGGTAGGGGTGAATTGTGTTATATGAAATATAGTTTAGAGGTGTTGAGGGGGTGATATTGATTTTTGTGTAAAAGGTTTTATGTAGGGGGTTGTGGTGGTAGGCGGTTTAGTGATTTGTTTGGTTATAAGAAGAGTGGGGTTTGTAGTTTATTGGTTTTTAGGAGGGGTAGGAGTTTGTGTGGGGGTGGGGGGTGAGGGAGGGTGGGAGATGGTGGTTGGGTTGTGGAATAGGGTATGGTGGGGTGTGTTTTTTGTGGTAAGGGAAGGAAGTTTATTTTGGGGTTATGTAGGGTTTAGTTTTTGGTATTTTGTGAGTTTGGGTTATTTGTTATGGTGTTTGTGGTTTTGGGTTTGAGTATTGTGTAATATATTTATTATGTGAGGGGGATATATGTGATTGGTGTGGTATTGGTTGTGTATGTTGTTTGTTTAAAGATAGTTGTGTGTGGTGGTAGTTGGGGGGTAATATTAAGGAAAATGGTTTGAGATGGGGTTATGTGGGTGTAGAGGAGAGAGGATTTGATTTTTATTTGTTGGGGTGTGTTTTTGGTGATTTAGAGGGGATGTGGAGAGATTGATAAGAGTATGGAGGAAGAGTATAAGATGTTAGTATTGTGTAATGATGTTAAAATATAAGATTAAATGTGTGATTTTGTGTTGTTGGTATATAGAGGAAGTTAAGGTATAGGTTAAAGTAGGTTTGGAAAGGGGTGGGATTTTATTTGAGGGATGTTAAAGTATTGAGTGGGGGTGTGTTAGTGTTGGGGGTTATGGAAGTTTGTTAGGTGGATGTATGATGTGGGTATGGAGGAGGAAAAGAGGAGTGTTGGGATTAGATGGTAGTTTTTTTGGTGGGTTTTGGATGGGATATTTTTTTGGGAGATGTATAGGGGGGGTTTGGGTATATAATGGTATAAATTTTGGGAATTTGGTGGGGTTGGGATGGGAATTTGGAATTTTTTGGTGGGTGTGGATGTTGATGGGGGGGTTGAGTATTTTGTTATTATTATGTGTGGGGGTTTTTTGGTGTGTTATGGTTAAGAGGGGGTGATTGGGGGTGGGAATTGTTTTGAGTGTTGTTGATAGTTAGGTGTAGGGGGGATAAAATTAGAGGAGTTTTATTGTGAGGGGGGAGGGTGATGATGGAGGAATTTGAGGGGGGGTGTATGATTGTATATGTGTGTGTTATTTTTGTGTTTGAGAGAGTTTAGGAGGTTTGTGGTAAGGGAGTTGTTATAGATGGGAAGGAATTAAGTGGGGGGTGGAATGATTTTTATTTTTTAAGATGTAGGATGTAGTTGGAGGGTTGATGTGTTGGGGTGGTATGATTTTGATGTTATGGTTGAGGGGGTGAGAGAGATTTTATATGTGGGTGTGTTGGGGTTTTTTGTAATTAGATAGTATAGGGGATTGGGGGGTATTTGGTGTATGGGGTTTAATGGATTGGGATATGATAGATGGGTATGGGGGTTGGGTTGTATTGTTGTAGTAATTTGGAGTTGTTGTTGTGTGAATTTGTGGAATTGGGTGTGTGGGTTGGGGTTTTAGTGTGTGGGGGTAGTGTGTTGAAATTTTAATGTGGAGGTTGGGTGTTGGATTATATTTTGTGGGGGGATAGGGAGGTTATTGAAATGTTTTATAGGATATGTTATTGGGTAGGTTTGATAATTTGTGATTTTTTTATATATTGTTGATGAGTTTGGGGGGTATGTTGGTATTTGAGAGGATTAAGAAGTTGGTTTTTTTGTAGATTATTGAAAATTGTATGTGGTGTTTGGTATAGTTATGTTTTGTTTTTTAATTGGAAGTGTGAGAGTGATATATTATGGTTTATTATAGGATGTTTGAAAATAGGGGTGATGGTTGTGTTAGGAGAGTAAAGAATGATGAGTGAGATTTGGAAGGTGGTTTATATTGGATTTTTGTATATTGGATGGATGTGGTTAATATGTTGATTGAGATTTGGGGTTATTTGGGTGTTGATGAATTATATTAGTTGTTGGATATGATTTTTTAGGGAATTTAAGATATGTTGGGTATATGGTAGGTTAGAATGAGGGGTGTGTTGGGGGGATGTGATTTTAAGAATTGAAAGAGTGAGGAAAGGGGTGGAGTGTGAGGGTTTATTTAAATTTAGTGTTTTTGATAGTTTTTTAAAAGAAGAGTTGGGGTGTGTATTGATGGGGGGATTGATGAGGGTTAATTTAAGAGTTTTTTAGATGGGTTTATGTTGGATTGTTAAGGATAAATATTTTGGTTTTGATTGATTTTGGTTTGAGATTAAAGGAGAAGTAAAGAGGTAAATGTTTGTGTGTTGAATATGGGGTAAGGTATTGTGAGAGAGAATGTAGTTTGAGGTTAGAGATGGGTTTGGTATGATTAAGAAAGGAATGGATAGATGTAAGAATGAAGGAAGGGGAGGATTTTTGGGATATGGGGGTGATTGATTATTGGGTGGGGGTGATATTGGATAGTGTTTTTATGTTGGGATTGTTTTGAATGTTTGTTGGTTTTTTTTTGTTTTTGTTTTTGAAAGATGGGTGATTTAGTTTATGTTAGGGGGGAGGGGGTTTATGGGATTTTAAGGAAGATATTGGATTTGGGGGAATGGGTGATTATTGTTAGTTTTGATGTAGAAAATGGGGTGGAGTGAGATAGTATTTTGATTGAAAGGAGAAGATGGAATGGGGATTGTATGTTAGGATAGTTTGTGGATAAGGGTTTAGGTTATTTTTTAGGGTTAGAGTGGAGAGGTAATATTTTAAGGATTTATTGTAGAGTTGGGAGTATGGTTGGGGAGTGATAATGTGAGGATGGGGTGTTTATGAGGGGTATAGGGGGTATTAGTATAATGGTTGTTGAGGGATTGGGGGGGGTGAAGATTGGGGGTTTGGTTTTGAATGGGTAGGGTGGTGTGTTTTGTTGTTGAGTGGAAGGTGGAAATGTTGGAGTAGGTGGTGGGTTGTTGAGGTTATTGTATTGTGGGGAGTTTTTTTGAGGTGGGGATGGGGGGGAGGGGTAGTGTTGGGGGGGATTGAATTTGATAGGGAGGGGGTATGTTGGTGTGATTAGGAATGGATTGAGGATGTTTGGTTGAGTGTTGGGGGGTTGTGGGGGTATTATTGGTTGTTTTGTAAGGGTGTTTTTTGTTTTGTTAATTTGGGGGTAAATGGTGTATAGGGGATTATGTGGTAGTAGAGGTGGGTTATTTGGGGAAGGATGTAGTGATTGTGTTAGGTATAGTTAAGTGTGATATGGGTTTTTGTGAGTTTGATTGTTTAATGGGTGTGATGGAGTGGTATTTTTGGGGGGTGTTTTAAAAAATTTGGATTTTGAATTAGTGGGGGTGTTGATTGATGGTATAGATGTGAGTGTTATATGTATGGGAATATTGTATTTTGTATTGGTGGGTTTGTGGGTTTTATGAGAATTATTGGTATGTGGAATTGAAATTGTGGTGGTGTTTGAGGGGGTGGTTTGGGGGGGATAGATGTGGATATGATGGTGGAGGATAGATGTATATGGGAGTGTTGTGTTTTTTTTGTATTTTTTTGTGGGGGTAGGTAAGGGGGGGGGAAGGGTGATGTATTTAGAATATAGAGAAGAAAAGATATTGTTAATAGAATGAATGAGTGTGTATATGAAAGAATTATGGGGAAGGGAGGGAAGGGAGAAATAATTTTGGTTGGGGGAGTGGGAGTTGGATTAATAAAGTATGGTGATGATAGGGGGTTATATATAAGGTGATATTATTTATAATGTAATAGGGGATTTGGTGGTTGGGGGGGGGGGGGTTTTTTGATTTGGGATAAATGGTTTTTGATGGATGTTTGGGGGGGTAGATTGATGGTTAATGAAATTAAATTTATGTGTTGATGTTAGAGGGTTTGTTAAAGAATGTGTTTGGGTTGTGTTATAGTTGTTATGGAAATATTATATGGGAAAAATATTAAAGTATTAAAGATATGTGTTTAGAATTTATTGTATTTGTATGTTTTTAAAATAGTGTATATTGAAAATTAAATTAATAGATTATGTTTTTAATTGTAAGTTTTAAAGGGTATTAAGATGAAGAAATAAAATGGTGAAAAGGGATGAAAGTTGGGGTAGGAGAAGAAAAAGATAGAGGGGAGAGGGATTAAAGGAAGTATATTTTATTGTTATTTAGGGAAGATATATATATGGATAATAAATTATAAAGTATTGGTTTGATAAGGAATGATTTTTATAGTTTTAGGGAATAGGAGGTTTATAGGGGAATATTAAATTGGGAGGTTGTATGGGAAGAAATTAAATAAATAAATTAGATAATATAGAAATAGGTATTAATATTAAAGATTTTATGGAGTATGGTGAATGTGGGATGGGAGGGTGGTGATTAGTAATGGATTTGATGGGGTGTAGTTAAAGGGGGGTATATAGTGAGGGTGGGATGGTAGTATTTGTTTATGGGTTGAAGAGAGGGGATATGTAATAGGGTGGTGGGTGTTGGGGAGGGTGATGTATTGTATTGGTATTTGGAGGAATTAATAGAAGTTATTATTGAAGGGTGAGTGTTGAATAAGTAGGATAAGAAGTGTGATTTGGGAGATAGGGGATGGGGGTGGGGAAGTTGGGATGATGGGAGGGGGGTAGTGTTAAAGAATGTAAATTTTAAGTTATAGAGGAGAGAGAAGATGAAAGGTGATAGATGGTTGGGTTTTGGGGGTGTGGGGGGGAGATGATATAGAGGAAGGAGGGGTTGATTTGTGAATGGGGGTGGTTGTTTGGGGGTTGGGGTTTGGATTGATGATTGATATGTTTGGTTTTTTATGATGTGATGTGTAGGTGTGTGTTTTGGATATGATGTTTTGATTGTTGAGGATTGAGTGGTGATTGGAATATTATAAATTTTGTTGTGTTTTTAGTAGGGTGTGTGGGGGGGTTGAGGGTTATGGTTGTATGGTAGGTGTTGGTTGGGTTGTTTTGTGGGTGTTATTTTGGGTATGTGTGATGAGGGGGATGTAGGAGGTAGTGGGGAGGGGTGGTAGTAGGTTCGTGGGGGAGTATGGGTTGTTATGGTGGTGGTTGGGGGTGGGTGTGGGGGGTGGGTGTTGTATTGGATTTTGGGGTGGGGAGTGGTTTGTTTGGGGGTGTAGGGTTGATGTTTGGGTGTTATTGATTGGGAGGATGGGGTTGTTTTTGTGTGTTGTTTATTTGTTTTTGTTGGGTGGTTGTATTTGAGGTTATTTGTTGGGTGTGTGTGATGGTTTAAATAGAATTTAAGGGGTTTTTAGTTATTTTTATTTGAGTGATGTGAGGTTTGTAGATTAGTTTTGATGTTTGGAATAATTTTATGAGGTGGGGGGTGGGGGATTAGTTGTTTGGTTTTATGGTGTGTGGTGGGGGATTTGATTGGTGTGTGTGTTGGGGGTAGATTTTGTTGATTTAAGGTTGGGGGTGGAGGTTAAGGTGGTGTATAGTAGAATTAGTTGGTATGATTTTTTGTGGGGGGGGGGTAGAAGATGGTGGGAGGGTATTTGTGTGATAAAGATGTTGAGAGTGATTATGTGTAATTTTGGTAAAATTTAATGGGGGGAGAGTATATTTTTTGGTGTTTGGGTATTGTGGTATAAGATAGAGAAGTTGTATTGGGGTTTATTTGGGATTTTTTTGTGTGTATATGAGGTTTATTGAGGTGTGGTTGGTGGTAGGGGGAGGGGGATTGGGTAAGTGATTGGGTGTTTTTATGTATTGTTTGTTGGTGTGATGTGTGTATTTGGTTTTTTTTGATGGTGTGAAGGTATATTTGTTTTGGAGTTTTTTATGGTGTTTTTGGTTTGTTTTTTGTGTATGTTTGAGGTTAGTTGTGTTTGTGGTTGGGTGGTTTTATGTGTGGTTGGTGGGTTTTTTGGGGATTGTATGTTGTTATTATAGTTTTTGGGTTTTGTATTTGGGATTTATTTTTTGGTGGTGGTTTGTTTGTTTAAGGTTTTGATTTTTTTAGTTTTTGTTGTTAGAGTGGTTTTTGTTGTTTGGGTTTTTTGGGTTTTGGTTGTGTTGAGGGTGATTGTGTTGTTTTTTATGGTGTGGGTGGGGTGGTGGTGGGTTGTTTTGGGGGTTGGTTGGTTATGTGTTTTGGTGGGTGGGGGGTTGTGGTTTGGTGTTGTTGTGGGTTGGTTGTGGTTGTATTGGGTTTGGGGTTTGTGTGAGGTTTTTGATATAGAGTTAGGGGGGTTTATTTTTGGTTTGGGGATGTGGGGAGTGTGGATATAAGGTTGTTGGATGTTGATTTATTTTTTGGTAGATTGGTTGGTTTTTTGAGTATTTTTATTTTAGAAGTGTTTTTTGGGTAGTGGTATTGTATAGTATGTGATTTTTTGTGTAGTTAAGTTAAGTATTTTTTAATGAAGAGGGTAGGTTGTGATTAATAGGGATATTGGGGGTATTGATATGATTTGGGGTTTGGGGGGAGTTTGTGTTTGGGTTTATTTAGGTTTTTGTGGGTTGGGGTTTTGGATTTGGGAGGTTTAGGTTGGTGTTTGGGGGAGTTGAGTTTGTGTGGGAGTGGTGTTGTGTTTGTTGTTTTTGGGTTGGGGGTTGTTTGGGTGTAGTGAATTTGGTTATGTTTGTGTGGTAGTTGTAAGGTTTAGGGGATGTAGTGGAGGTAGTAATGGGGTAAATTGATTTTTAATGGTAATGTAGGGTAGTTAGTGATGTATTAGGGGGGTGGAGGTTTAGTTTTGGTATAGTTTGAGTGTTTTGGGGAGTATTGGAATTAGTGTTGGGTTTTTGTTGATTTTGTTGGGATGGTAGGGAGTATTTTTTGGGTGGTGGTTTAATTGAGTTGTGGTGGTGTGGATTGTATATGGTGTTATTAAATATATGGGGGTTTGGGGGTGTATAGGTGTTGTTGGTATGTAGGTTGTGGTAGTTTGTTTTTGGGGGGTTGTGGGGGATGGTTTGGAAGTGTAGTGTATTGGAGTATATGATAATTATTTATATAGATTTTTTGAGGATATATTTTATGGAGGGGGTATTTTGATATTTATTTGGAGTTTTTGTAGTGATAAGTAGGGTGTGTTAGTTGGTTTGTTAGGTATTGTTATTGGATGTTTGAGGAGTAGTGGTTTGGGTTATAATTAATATAGGATTGTGTTTAAAAAATTTGGTAGAGGAATAAAGGCGTTAGAAAGAAGATAGATGATAGTAGGGTTTAAGGTGGGAATAGTTATTAGGGATGTAGAAAGAGGGGTGAATAGGGTTAGGGGGGGATTTAGGTGTGGAGGGGGAAGGGATGGTATTGATGAGGAAGGAAGGGGAATAGAATGGTAGGGGGGGGGGAGATGTAGTGGTTAGGTGGTTTATGGATGGATGGGTGGGGGGGTTGTTTGGGTGGGTAGGGGAGATAGTATTGTGGTGTTTGTTGTTTTGTATGTGTTTGAATTTAGAGAGATATGGATTGAAGGAGATGATGTGGGTGGGTATGATTGGAGGATATTTGAGGTGGGAAGGTTGTGGGTTGGGATGGGGGTTGGTGGGGTTTTTAATGGGTATATTTGTTGATGGGGTGGGATAGTGTGGTGAGTGGTGTGGTTGTGTGGGGAGGATTGAGTGAGGGGGGTAGAGTGTGGAGGTGTGGGGTGGTGTGTGAGTGGGGAGTGTAGGTGGTGTTGGGGGTGTGTTGGTGTTTGTTGTTTGGGTTTGTGGGTGTTGTGGGTGTTGTGGTTGTGGTGGGTTGTGTTGGTGTGTGAGTGGGATGTGTGTGTGTGTGGTTGTGTGTGGGGTGTGTTGGGTGGGGTTGTTTGTTGTGTGTGTTTGTGTGGTGGGGGGTGGGTTTTTTTTGTAGGGTGTTTTTGGTGGGGGGTTGTGTGGTGGGGGTTTTGGTGTGGTGGGGTTGTGGGTGGTGGGTGGGGGGGGTTTGGTGTTTGTGGTGTTTGGGTGTGTTGTTTTGTGTGTATGGGTGTGGTTTGGGTTGTGGAGGTTTTGTTGGGGGTGGTGGGGGGGGGGGGTTTGGGTTTTTGGTGGGGGTTGGGTTGGGGGTTTGTGTGGTGTGGTGTGGTTTTTGGTGGGGTTTGGTGTTGTTTGGGTTTTTGGGGGGTGGGTATTGGGTAGTGTTTGGGTGTTTGGATTTTTGGTTGTGGTTGGTTGGGTGGGGGTGTGTTTGAGGTTTGGTTTGTGTTGGTTTGTTGTGTGGGTGTTTGGGGGTTGTGGGGTTTGTGTGTTGGGTTTTGAGTGGGTTATGTTTTTTTGTTATGGGGGGTTATGGGGTGGTGTTGGGGTATTTTTTGGGGTGTGTTTTTTGGGTTGGGGGTGGGGTGGGGGGGGTTTGTAGGTTTGGATGATGAGGTGTGTGGATAGTGGGGGTGGTATTTTTTGGTGGGTGTGTGGTGTGGGGGTGGTTGGGTGGGTGGGTGGGTTTTGTGTGGTGGGGTTTATTTTGGTTGGGTTTTGGTTGTTTGTTTGGGGGTTGTGGGGGTTTTGTTGTGGTGGTTGGGGTGGGGTATTGGGGGTGTGTTTTTTTTGGGTGGTGGAGTGGGTGTGTTGGAGTGGGTTGTTGGTTGGGTTGTTTGGTTAGTGTTTATGTGTTTGGTTTGGGGGTTGGTGGTTGTTGTGTTGGTTTTGTGTTGGGGTTGGTAGTGTGGGGGGTTGTTGGTGGTGTTTGGGTTGTTGGTGTGGTTGGTGGGTGGGGGGGGGGGGGTGGGGGTTTGTTGGGGTTTTAGTGGGGGGTTGTGGGGGGGGGGGTTTGGTGGTGGGGTTGGTGGGGGGGGGGTTGGGGGGGGGGGTGGGGGTGGGGTGGTGGTTGGGGGGTGGTGGGGGGGGGGGGGGGTGTGGTTGTGTTTGGGGGGGGGGGGTGGTGGGTGGGGTTGTGTTGTGTGTTTTTTGGGGTTGGGTTGTTGGGTTGTTGTGGTGTGGGTGTTGGGGGGTGTGGGGGGGTATTGTGTGTTGGGTGTGTTGGTGGGGGGTTGTGGGGGGGGGGGGGGTGGGGGGGGGTGGGGGTGGGGTGGTTGGAGTTGGGGTGGTATTTTTGGTTTGGGTTTGGTTTGTTTGTGGTTTTTGTTTTGGGGGTGTGGTTGGGGGGGTGTGGTGGTGTGGTGGTGTTGTGTGTTTGGGGGGGGTGGGTGTGTGTGTGTTTGGGTTTTTGGGTGTTGGTGTTGGTGGTGGTGTTGGGTTGTGTTTGGTTTGGGGGGTTTTGGGTTGGGGGGGGTGGGGGGGGGGGGTTGGGTGGGGGGGTTGTTTTTGTGTTGGTGGGGTGGTTTTGTTGGGTGGTAGTGGGTTGGGGGTGTTTTTGTTTGTGTGGGGTTGGTGTTTGGTTGTTTAGTGTTTGGTGTTTGTGTTTGGTTTTTTTTGGGGGTGGGGGGGGTGGGGTGGGGTGGGATTTGGTTTGTTGGGGTTGGGTTGGGGGGGTGGGGGGGGGGGGTGGTGGTTGGTGTTGTTTTTTGGGGGGGTTGTGTGTGGGGTTGTGGTTGTTTGTTGGGGGTGGGGTTGGTGGGGGGGTGGGTGGTGGTTTGGGTTGGGTAGTTGTTTTGGGGTTGGTGGGTGTTGTGTGGTGTTTTTGTTGTTTTGTGTTTTGTTGTTTTTTGTGTTTGTATTTGTTTGTTTGTTTATGTTTTTGGTTTGGGTTTGTTTTTGTTTTTGGTTTGGGATTGGTTGTGGTGTTTTGGTTTGATGGTTTGGTGTTGTTATAGGTATAGTGTTTGTTTTGTTTGTTTGTTATTTGGTTTTGGGATTTTTTTGGTTTTGTTTGTATTTTGTGTAGGTTTTGTTGTGGTTGGGTTTTGGTTTTGGTTGGTGTTTTTGTGTGTGGGGGTTAGTTGGGGGTGTGTTGTGTGTGGGGGGGGTTGTGTGTGGGTGGTTGGGTGGGGGGGGTGGGGGGGGGGGGGTGTTGGGTTTGTGGTTTGTGGGTGTGGTGTTGGGGGTGGTTTGTTGAGGTGTTTGGGGTTGGGTGGTGGTTTTTTTTTGGTGTTGGTGGGTGTTTGTTTTTGTGTGTGGTTTGTGTGTGGTTTTGGTGTTGTGTTGTGTTTTTTGGTTTTGAGGTTGGTTGTGGTTGGGGGTGGGGTTGGGGTTGTGTGTGGGTGGGGTAGTTTGTGGTGTTGGGTAGGGTGTTTGATGGGGTGGGTTGGGGTTAGGTGGCGGGTGTGGGGGTGGTTTGTATAAGTTTATGATTTGTTGGATGTGGGGTGGTGGGAGTTTGTATGGTGGGTTTGGGGTGAAATGGTTTTGTGGTTGGGGTGGTTTAGTGTTTGGTGTGTGGGGATGGGGGGTTGTAGGGGTGGGTGGGGGTTGTTGTTGGGGTTTTTGGGTGTTGTGGTTTGGTTGGTTATGTTGTTTATGAGGTTTGTTGTTTGTTGTTTTGGGGTGGGAGGTTTTTTTTTGGGTTTTGTTGGGTGTGTTGGGTAGTTTTTTGTGTTGGTTGGAAGATGTAAATAATGTGTTGGGGGGGTTTTGTTTGGTGGGTGGGGTGATGTGTGGGTATTTGGTAATGTTGTTGATGAGGTTTTTGGATGTTTGTAGTGGATTTAGGGGTTGGGTTTGTTGTTTTTTTTGGGGAAGGGTGTGGTATGTTTTTGTGGTTGTGAGTTTTTGGAGGGTATGAGAGTGAGTTAAGTTTGATTGTTGTGTTTTATGGGTGTGTGTGGGTTGTGAGTGAGGTGGGGGGTTTGGGGTAGGTTTTATTTGGGGTGTTGTGGGTGGGGTTTGGGGGTAGGTGGTTTTGGGGTGTGGGGTGGGGGTTTGTTGTGGTGGGGGTTTGTTTTTTGGTGGTTGGGGGTGGGGTTTGTTGATTGTTGGTGGTGGTGTTGGGGGTTTTGAGTATGGTTATTGTGTTTATTGATGGTGTTGGTGGGGTGGTTGGTTTTGGATGGGTTATTGGGGATGTAGGGAGTTGGTAGGATATAATGAGAGAGATTTTTTATAGGTGGGTGTGGTTTGTTGAATGTATTGTAAGGGGATAGGTTTGTAGATGTTGGTAGGAGTTGTATGTGTGGGTAAGTATAATAAGTGATGTATGAGTTAAGAATATAAGTTGTTGGGGTATGGTTTTATGTGTGTTATGGGGTGTTGGGGTGGGTGGTAGGGTTAGATTGTGATTATGGATGTTGTGTGGGTGTTGTTTTTTGGATTGAATGGGTTGGTTTTTGTTGTATGTGGTATTTGTTTGTTGGGTTTTGGAGGTGGGGGGGGGGTGATGGTGTGGTGGTGGGTGGGTTGGGATTGGTATGTATTTAGTGAGATAGTTTGAGTTTTTGTATGGAGTGTAGATGATAGATTGTTAAGGTGGGATTATGGGTAGGGGTGAGAGTTTGGGTTGGGGGTGGGAGAGAGTAGGGTAATGAGGATGGTGGGAGGGAGGGGGGTAGGTGGGGAGGGGTGAGTGGAGAAGGTAGGGAGGGGGGTTGATGTTGGTGGGTGGGGGTGTGAGGTTGGTTTTGAGGTTTAGGAGATTGAGAGGGTTGTTATGAAATATGAAGTATGTTATTGGGAGTGTTTTGGGAGTTTAGGTGAGGGTGATGAGTGTGGTGTGTGTGGTTTTAGAAAGTGGAGGTGTTAGGGGTTGAGGTTGAGTTTTATGGTGGGTATGGTAAGTGGGTTGTGGGTGTGTGGGTTTGATGGTTGGGGTGGTTGGAGAGGTTGTTTTTTTAGGAGTGAGATTTTAGGTTGTTAGTTATGTTAGGTGGTGGTGGTTGTGGGTTTGGTATAGGTATGAGTGATAAGAGATGTTGTTGTAGGTGTTATGGATTATGGGATGGTTTGTTTGTGGTATATAGGATGTTGATGGATTTTAGTTTTGATTGTGGTTGATTGTAAATGAAGGTGAAAGGTGAAGGTGAATAGGGTGTAGTTATGGGTGTGTGTTTATAGTATGGTTTATATTAGATGATGAGTGGGGTTTGTTGTGTTTTTTTTTGTTTGTTTGGGTGGGGATGAGGTGAGGTAAGGGGTATTGGTGGGTTGTTTGGTAGATAGATTGGTTTTGTGTTTTTGTTAGTATGTTGTTTTGTTATGTGGTGTGGGGTGTGTTGGGTTTTTTTTTTTTGGTGGGGTGGGGGGGAGTTAGTTGTATTGTGTTGATGGTTTGGGGGTTATTGATTTATGTTGTTGTTGGGGATTTGATGTGAGATTATGATATATTATGTTAGGTTGGTAGTGTGGATTAGGGGGGTGGTGGAGGTGGTGGGAGGTGTGTGGGGGGTTTGGTTGTGGGTGTGTGTGGGGGTGGTTAGATGTTGTTTGTTTTTATAGTGGGTGGGGGGTGGGGAGGGTGTGTTTGGGGAGTTTGTGGTGGGTTTTGTTTGTGAGGTTGGGTGTTGTGGTTAGGGTGTTATTGGTAGTTTTGTTTGGTTTTTGTGGTTAGGTGTTTTGGATTTTGGTGGTTTGTTGTTGTTATGTTATATGGTATGTTGTGAGGTTTTTGTATGTATGGATTATGGGGGGGGGTGTGTGGTTAGGGGTGTTTTTGGTTGTGGTTGGGTGGTTTTGGGTTGGGTTTTGTGTTTTTTGTGTTTTGTGAAGGGGGGGGTTGTTTTTGTTGGGAGTTTTGTTTTGGGGTGTTGTTGGTTTATGTGTTGTTTGGGGGGTAGGGGGTTGGTTGGTGGTGGGGGGGTGTTGGGGGGGTGGTTTGGGGGTTGGGGGTGGGTGGTTGGGATTTTGTTTTTTGGGGGGTTGTGGGGTGGGGGTTTTGGTGTTTTGTTTTGTTTGTTATTGAGGATTGTTTTTTATTGTGGGTGTTTGTGTGTTTTGTTGGGGTGGTGGGGTGGTGGTGAGTGGGGGTTTGGTGTTGGGGGGGGTGTGGGGTGTTGGGTGTTGGGTTTTTGTGGTTGTTTTTTGTTGGGGGGTTGTATGTGGTGGGGTTGTTGTTGGTGGTTGTGGAGTGTGTGGGTTGTGTGGGGTTTGTGGTTGTGGTAGGTTTGTGGTGTGGTTTTGTGTTTTGTGGTTATTGGTTTGGTTTTTTGTATAGGGTTAGGGGGTGGTGGGTGGGGGGTGGGTGTTGTTTGGTTTTTGTTTTTGTGGGGTTGGGTTTTTTTGTTTAGGGGTTTTGTGGTGTTTGTGTTGTGGTAGGTGTTGGTGGTTTGGTGTTGGGTTGTGTGGGATTGGTTTGGGGAGGTTTGGTGTTTTGATATTTTGTGGGTTTGGGTTGGTTGGTTGGTGTTGGGGGTTGGGGGGGGGAGGTGGTGGTGGTAGGTGTTGGGGGTTTTGGGGGGTTTGGAGTGGGGTTGTTGGGGTGGTTTGGTTTTTTGTTATAAATGTTGTTTTGGTTAGTTATTTAGTTGTTTGAGTTGGGGTAAGGGGGAGGTGGGGGGGGGGGTGGGTGGGGGGGGTTGGTGGGGTGGGGGGGGGGGTGGGTGGGGGGGGGGTGTGGGGGTGGGGTGTTGTGGGTGGGGGGGGGGGTTGTGGGGGGGGGGGGGTGTTTGGTGTGAGTTAGTGGTGTGTGGTGGTTTGGGGGTGGTTGTTTGGATTGGGGGGGTGGTTTGGGGGTGTGTGGGGGTGGGGGGGTGTTTTTGTGTTGGGTGTGTTGGGGGGGTTTGTTTTGGGGGTTTGTTGTTTTTTTGTTGTTTGGGTGGTTTTTGGGGTTGTTGGGTTTTGTGTTGGTTTTGGTGGTGAGGTGGGGGGTTTGTGTTGGGTTGGTGTGGGGAGTTGGTGATGAGGGTTTTTTGGATGTTGTTTTGGGGGGGGTGTGTTTTTTTTGGTTTTGTTGTTTGGGGTTTGGGTGGGGGTGTGGGTGGATTTGGGGATGTGTTTTTGTGTTAGGGTTGGTTGGGTGTTTAGGGTGTTGTTTGTTGATTGGTTGTGGGGTGGTTGGGTGTGGTTGGGGGTTAGTGGGGTTTTGTGGGGGTGGGGGTGGGGGTGGGGGTGGTTTTTGTGGTTGGGGGGTTGGGGGGGTGGTGGGGGGGGGGGTGGGTGTTGGTTGGGGGTGTGGGTTGGGAGTGGGTGGGGTTGAGTTGGGTGTGTTGGGGTGTGTTGTTGTGTTGGTTGGGGTTTTGGGGGGTGGTTGGGTGTGGTTGGTTGGTTGTTTGGGTTGGGTGTGGTGTTGGGGGGGGTGGGGGGGGTGTTTTTGGTGGGTTGGGGTGGGGTATAGTTATTTTGGGGTGTGGTGGTGTTTTGTGTGGGTTGATTTTGGTTTTGAGTATTGTAGTTTGTTGTATTGGTGATTTTTGTTTGGGGTTTTTTTGTGGTTGGTTTTTTTTTGTTTTGGGTGTGGGGTTTTTGTTTGGTTGTTTTGGTTTTTGTTTGTGTGTTTTGTTGTTGGTTTGAGTGTGTTTGTGGTGTTGGTGTGGTGGTGGGGTTGGATTGGATGTGTGGGTTTGTTTTTGGGGGTTTGGGGTGGTGGGTTTGGTTTTGGTTTTAGGTTGTGGGGTGTTAGGGTAGTGTTTTGTTTATGGTTGTGGTTTTAGTTGGTAGGGTGTTTGTGAGTGTTGTTTTGTTGTAGTTGGGGGGTTGTTTATGGTTTATATTGTTGTTGGTGTGGTTTGTGGATTGGTGTGGTGTGTGGGTGGTTGTGTAGTGGGGTGGGTTGTTGTTGTAGATTTTTGTGTGGGGTATGGGGTGATTTGGGTTTATAATTTGGGTATTTGGTGTTAGGGGGTGAATGAGGATTTTGTTTTTGGTAGTGGGATGTGGATGTGGTGTTGGTTTGTATATATTGTGGGGTAGTTGATAAGAGTATTGGGGGTTTTGTATGGTGGGTGTATGGAGGGGTTGGGGATTGTTTTTTTGGGGGGGGGGTGTGGGTGGGGGGTGATGTGGGTGGGGTTGTGGGTAGGGGTTGGGTTGGGGGTGGTGTGGGTGGTGGTATTTTGGTTGGTTGTAGTGTGGGTTTTTATGGGTTATAGGTATTTATTTTGTGAGTTTTTTGGTATTTGAGTTGATGTTGGGTTTAGGTTAGTTTATAGAGGTTATGGTTTTTTTTTTTTGATATTTAGGGGAAATGGTTAATTGGTTGTGGGGTAGTAGGATTGTTATAGTGTTTTGTGTAAGAAGGAGAGTTGGGTTGTGGGTGTTGGGGGAAATTTTGAGTGAAATGGGTTTGATGGGGTTATTGGGGGAGTGTGTAGTGAGTGTTTGAGGATATTTATAGTAGGGTTGTGTTTTGGTTATTGTGATATGGGGGGTAATGTGAGAGTTGTTGATGTGTTTGTTGTTAGAGGATATAGTTGGTAGATTTTATTTTGATTATATTAAGAGTTAATTTGATGGGTGTTGGTTTGTTTGGTTATATTGTGGTAGGTAAAGGGGTTAAAGGGAGGGGGTGTGGAAAGGGGTGTAGTGTATATTTGGAGGGTAGTATGTATGTTTTTTTGTGTGGGGGAGGGTGAGAGGTGTTGGGGGGTTTAGGTGTGAGGGGGGTAGGTGGTTTAGGATTTGGTTGGTGGTGGTAAGGGAGGTGTGATTGGATTGATATGATTGTTGTTGTTTGGGTTTGGTTGGGGGTGTTATGATTGGGGAATGTTGTGGGGGTATGGGGGTTTGGTTAGGGTGTTTGTGGGGGTGGGGGTGGTAATGTGGTATGTGTTTGTTGGGGGGTGGTTGGGGTTGGGGGGTGGTGTTTTGAGTGAAAATGGGTGGTTAGGGGTTTGGTTGTGGGGGTTTTGGGGGGGGGTTGGGGGTGGTGTGGTTGTTTGTGTGTGTTTGGGGGTGGGTTTTTTTTTTGTGTTTGTTTTTGGGTGGGGGTGGGGTTGTTTGTTGGGAGGGTGTGGTGGGTGGGTTGGATGGTGATTTGGGTGGGGATGGGGGTGTGGGTTTTGTTGTGTGGTGTTTGGGTGTTGGGTGGGGGTTTTTGTGGTTGTTTTTTAGTGGGTGTTGTTGGGTTGGGTTTTTTTTGAGTTGTGGGGAGGGGGTGGGTTGGGTTTGGGTTGGTGTGTGTTTGGGTGTGGTTGTGGGGGTGTGTGTTTTTGTTGGTTGTAGGGGTGTGGTTGTGTGTTTTGGAAGTATTGTTGGTGGGAGTGGTGGGTTGGTGGTGGGGGGTGTTTGGTATTGTTTTTTGTGGTGTTAGGGTGGGGGGGTGTTGTGTTGTGGGTTGGTTGGGGGTGTGGTGTTTTTGGTGATTTGTGTTTGTGGGTTGTGGTGTTGGGGATGTGGTGGGTGTGGGGGTTGTTTGTGTTGGTTAAGGGTGGTTGGGGTAGGTGGTGGTGTGTTTTGTGGGGGGGTTGTGGGGTGTGTTTGTTTATTTGATTTTGTTGTGGTTGTAGGGGTTAGGTATTATTTTTATGTTTTATTTTTTGGGGTTGAGTGTGGGTTTTGTTGGGTTTTGAGGAGAGTATAAGAAGTGTTGTTTTTGGGAGTGTATTTGTTGATAATGTTGTGTTGTGTTGTAGGTGTTATGTTGTTGTTTTTATGGGTAGGGTGAGAGTGGGGATATATTAGGTTATTTTGTGTGGTTTGGTAGTTTAGGGGTTTGTTGATTTGGAGAGGTGAAATGGATGTGTATATGTGTTTGGTGTTTTTAGTGAATTAGGTAGTTGGTTGGATAGTTTGAAATGAATGATTTATGAGTGGTGTGTGGTGTGGGATGTTGGAGTGTTGTTTGGGGATTTTAGTTTTAGTGGGGATGTATAGTGATTGGGTATATGTAGTGATATTTGGTTGTGGGTGGGGGGGGTTGGGGTTTGTTGTTTTGGAATGGAGGTGGGGAAAGGTGTGTGGTTGGGTTGTTTGTTTTTATGTGGGTTTGGTTTGTTTTTAGGAGAGATATTGTTTGGGGGGTGTGGGGAGGGGGATTGGTTGTTGTATTGTATTGTTTTGTGTTGGTTTGTGGGGGTGGGTATTGTTTGTTTATATTTGGGGGGGTGGATAAGTTTGGTTTAGAGTGAAAAGTAAGTAGTATTGTATTGTTGGGTATGTGTTTGTGAATATGGGGGGTAATGTTATGGGGGGGGGTGAGTGATTGTTGAGTTGAGGTTAAGGTTGGTTGGTTTATTATGTTTGGGTAATGGTTTGTTTAAGAATGGGTATGTATTGGAGGTGTTTGTGGGGGTTTGGGGGGGGTATGTTTTTTGGGTGGGTGGTTATTGTTATGTGTTGTTTTGGTTTGGTTGTTTGTTGAATGTTTGGTTTTTTTTGTTGTTTGTGTTGTGTTTTTGTTGGGTGTTTTGGTATTTGGTTTGGGGGTGTTGGGGTTTTTTAGGTTGATATTGGTGTTGGGGGTTGGGGGGTTTAGGGTTGTGTGTTTGTTTTGTTTATGGGGTGGGAGTAGAGATAGTTATTGACTGAAAGGGAAAGATTGAAGGAGGGATGTGTAGTTATGGATAGTTGTTGGGATGAATTATTAGGTATTAGTAGGGGTTTGGAAGTGAGAGGTAATATTTAATGGATTTTAATATAGTTGGATGGAAGGGAGTGATGGAGAGTAGGAGGGATGGGTTGGTGGTAGATAGGGGTATAAGGGGGTTATTATAGGGATAATGATTGAGGTTTGGGGGTGAAAGGGTTTTTTTTTTTTTTTTATTGGGGGGTTAGGTTTAGAGGGTGGGTTGTGGGTGAGGGTATTGTGTGGTAGTGGATTGTGGATAAGTTGGGTGGGTATGGGGGGTTGGGTGGTTTGTGTTTGGGTTAGAGAGGGGGGTTTTTTTGTATGTTGGTTGGGGGGGATGTTTGGGTGTTTTGTGAGGGTGGTGTTGTTTGGGTTGTTTCCATGTGTTGTGCTGCAGGTAAAAAAAAGCTGAACCTGGTGATGGTGACGGTTCCGGAGACGGCTGGAACTTGTGAGGAGCAGCTGAAAATGGGAGAGGTGACTGTCTCTAATTATCAACATTCTTAGAGATTTTATAGAAAACATAACCGATTACAGCCCCATTCCCCATTGTCACAGGACACTACTGTGTTAGAGCGACCGTCAACCACCAACGAGTCTTTTTGCCGAGGCTTGTTTAGTAGAACTGATTTTTTGATATGGTAAAACATAGTATTGCAATAGTTAAAGAAATAGTTATCTGTTTCTGAGCTTCCTCTGGTCATTTCCATCTAAGGTTGAGGTTTATGTTTATGATGTGCTGGGAGCTCACCGTTCATGTGAGAGTCGTCTATTCAGAGAATGATGATGTCTTGTCTGTGATAAGGTCCTTTGTCCTGAATGTTCAAGGATAATGTTTTGTTATGAAGTCATATTTTCCTCCATTTCTGTAAAGCCTTTGAATATATGAGGGACATGAATGACATTATATCACAGAATCGAATCACAATACTTAGTGTATTGCAATATGTTAAGAATCGCAATAACATTTTTGCCAATTCCCACCCCTAGTGTTCTGTGTGAGATCTCACATGTGCAGTTCATGCAAGGTGGCCCAGGAATATACAGGAACAGGAGGCTTTGTCAGAGGAGAAAGAACAAATGTAAAATGTAAATGTTTTTATCTCAGATTCAAAAATAGACACATAATAGTGATAAAGCGTTAAAGCGTTCTCTTTCATCATCTCCAGAACATTCCAACAGTTCTGCCTGGGTGTACCCCTTTAAGCTGTTCATGCACATAATGTACTTTTCTGAGTTGATAAATATTGCGTTTTGTGTCCTGCAGCTCATATGTCGCGGCCGCTACACCAGTGTGTACCGCGGCGCCCTGAGCGAGCGCAGTGTCGCGGTAAAGGTCTACCCTGCTGCACACAAACACAAATACGACAACGAGCGCTACAACTACAGCCTCCTGCTGCCACGGCAACAGCTCAACATCGCACGCTTCTTGTGTGGGGATGAGAGGGTTGACGCTGGCGGCGGTGCTCACTTCCTGTTGGTCCTGGAACACTACCCTCAGGTAGGCTGCACTGTCACTGTTGTGCCTGTTCCAATTCTAATACTGTCTTTAGTAGGAAGATAGCTATATACTTTATTGATCCCTGTAGGAGAAATTCAAGTGTCCAGTAGCAGCAGAAACCCATCCATTTATACAAAAAAACCCAAATAAATATATATATTTTTAAAAATAGCTAACAATAGTATTCAAATTAAATCTAGTGCTGTTTCATATATTTATGAATATGTCTCCTCTTGTTTTCAGGGCAGCCTGTCTCACTTCCTGTCCCGCTGGTCGGTGGACTGGCCGTCCTGCTGCAGGATGATGCATGGAGTCAGCAGAGGATTGTCTTTCCTGCACTCGGAAGTCCTCACTGGAGGTAGAGCTGTGTGTGTGTTGATGTGTGTGTATGTGTGTGTATGCATGTTAAAATGTTTCTATTTCATATACTTGTGCAGTGCATCTCCATCGCCTGCACTGAGATAAAACAAAAAAAATGATATTGTGCAGCCCATGCGACCTATAGGATAGATAGATATACTGTAGATACAGTATAATGGGTCTCCCTCCCTGTGGGTTTCCCTAGTTCTCCCCAAGGTTTTTCCTTGTCGATGCAGGAGGGTCTTGTTGGACAGTTAGTGTCCAACAGAAAGGATTGGTGATGATCAGGACACTTTAGCATTCTACAACATGTATGGACATTTTCTTCTGTGTGAACTTTATATTTTTCATGTGTTTTAACTGTTGATTCTCTGACCTGTGTTGGTGATTTCAATGGTTTTGTTAAGTCCTCTGAGATGACTTCGGTTGTGACCTAGGGCTATACAAGAATAATTTGTATTGTATTGTATAGCTGTTGGATGGTTGGCTGCTGTTACTGATATGCTAATTTCACATCACATTATTAGCAGCATGTTTGTTAGCGTCGCTCAAGTTTATGTCATTAGCCAAGGCCAGGCTTCGCGATCCAAGATGTCTGCCTATTGTAAGCAATTGCCTCTAACCAATTCAGCTTCAGCATGCATTGAACCCCCTTGTCCTCTAAAGCCTTGTTCCTGTGATATGACCCTGGGAGCTTGAGGGTCGTCGCCAGTTGTTTTATAGATTATAGTTTGGCACATAGACCCTGGCAGAGATCATTGCTGTGTGAGATGATTTCTGATCCGCGGGGCCTAGGCACTGGTGGTGGCAAGAGGACGCAATGAGATAAGGGTGTATGCTGGAACGGGAGCCAGAAGAGGAGCCAGAGGAGGATGCAGAGGAGGAGGCGGGGTGGCAGTGGGTTGCTGCTTTTAAGCTGCCCACTTAATTGGTGTAGGATGGCAGGAGGCTGGCAGAGCTGTGTGATTGGCTGGGGGTGAAGGCTGACCCTGAATGGGATGGAACTGCGGCAGGTGTCTTCCAGTCTGAGTTTACGCTTCAGCTTCCTTTCACTGGTCGTGGGCCCTTCTTTGTGTTGTGATTGGAACAGTCCTGCACAAGGAGATGCCTGACGTTTACAGAACCAGTTTAAGGGGAACTTAAATTCAAACAGGATTTAGTTGTGAAACCCATTTGAATGGCTATGTCTGGAGATGTACAGCTGTGTGGTCTGCGGTACTCTTTAACTCAGAAACATGATGTTCTTCTTTCAGATGAATGGAAGCCTGCGATGGTCCACAGAGACGTGAGCAGCTCCAACGTCCTGCTGCGCTCGGACCTGTCCTGTGTCCTGGCCGACTTCAGCCTGTCCAAGAGGCTGACGAGGGAGCCCTGCCCCCAGCATGGCGGCCCCAAGACCCAGCACGGAGAACCCAGGACCCAGCACGGAGACAGCGTGTCAGAGGTTAGTCACAAGAATATCTAGTGGAGTGGGTCGCAGACTTGGGATTAGGCAAGGGAAGGCATACAACTGAGAGATTCTCAGTTATTTGCACAGTTAAACAGAACTGTTTTTAAACTGGTTTTGAACAACGAGCCTGCCTCTCTGGAAGACTGTTCCAGATTTTAGCTACATGAATCTGAAATGCTGCCTCCCCATGTTTAGTTCTAATTCTGGGCACAAGCAGGAGGCCAGTCCCTGTGCTCCTCAGAGTCCCAGCAGGAGGCACTAACATGTCAGATGTACTTTGGTGCGAGGCCATGGAGAGACTTGTAACAAGCTTAGATGATCTAATGTCTATTCTCTGAGCCACAGAAGGATTGGTGGGTCACGAGCCGTTTCTGTGCAAAATTTTTAGAATATCCATCTGCTCCACTGCAAAAACGTTTTGTAGAAAAAAATTACCTTGAAGATCAGACGCAAACCATACCCCATGTGACAAATAAAAAACGTCTCATTAATTTATTTGTGTGTGTGTGTGTGTGTGTGCAGGTGGGGGCCCTCCGGTACCTGGCCCCTGAGCTGGTGGCTGGGCCCCTGTGTGAGTGTGGGGCAGCGCTGAAGCAGGCGGACGTCTACGCTCTGGGACTGCTGTTCTGGGAGTGCTCCAGGAGGTGCCACGACCTGTTCCCTGGTACAACACAGCACCAACCTGCACCTAACCAAACTGCACTGTACCAAACCACACTGACCCACACTGTAGCACACTGTACTATAGCGTTGTGGTTGGGATAAATCGATTCGGTTCAGTATTGCGACATTTTGTGCATGCAATTAAATCGATGGTGAGCAAGGTATTGTGATATTTAATTAAATAATGATCTGTTTTCCCTTTGGTCATTTCCATCTGAGGTTTATGTTCCTCTATGACAGAGGTCAGGAATCTTTTTAGCTGAGAAAGCCAAAAAAGTTTCATACTTAAAAATCAAGATCAGGAATTTGATTTGAGATTTTAGTCTCAAAAGGTAATATTTTCTTTAATAAGATGTTTATATAGAAGAAATTCAACGTATAAAACATTCTCACTATTAATGCCTAGTAGGTCTTAGAGCCACACATCAAACACCACACTAACAAACTCATATGTCTCCTTTAAGTTGATCTAGTGCCAAGTAACCTCCTCTGTAACCAGCGGCAAACTCCTCTCTATACTCCTCCTTGCTTCTCTCTTTGGGAATATTAGATAATTATTAACCAAAAGTATAAATAATGCAGTCCATTCTCTGATGATCTAGAAATGCATCACACTTCACTACCCCAAATGTATCTATTCATTTATTGTGTCTTGAGATGATCCATCTGTATTTGAGGGGGTATCTACTTGGTTCACTTTGTTCTGATGTTGTTGCATTCATACCGAGTGTAAAGCATGTGTTGATTCCCTGTGTCTTTTGTCCTGCAGGGGGGACCAGCCCACCCTTCCAGCTCGCCTTTGAAGCAGAGCTCGGTCGGGAGCCCACGCTGCAGGACATGCACAGGCTGGTGGTCCGGGACAGGTGCCGACCACGCCCCCCCCTGCAGTGGAGAGACAGCAGCTCGGTAACTACAACCTCCATCTCTGTGTCTCCTCACACTGCCAACATGTACAGATGTACTATATTTTTCTTGCTTATGCTAAAATTGGATGTTTTTGATTTGCTTCCTCATTATACTAAAGCAAGAGATCTTTTCTTGCTTCTTCATAATGTTAAAGTTAGAGATATTATACTTGCTTCTTCATTATGTTAAAGTTAGAGATGTTATACTTGCTTTCTTCGTTATGCTAATGCTGTAGATATAATTTCATTTTTCCCACCTGTGGGACGAACAAAGGATCTCTTCATCTTTATCCAGATTACTGTAGCTGAGAGACATCTGTTGGTGCCACATTCTTTGTATTCGGACATCATGGTTGTATCTTTGGTTTCAGGTTTTGCAGCAGCTGAAGGAGACCATGGAGGAGTGCTGGGACCAGGATGCAGAGGCCCGACTCAGTGCCCAGTGTGTGGAGGAGCGACTGGACCAGATGTCCCGGCTGCATGTTCCTGCCACGTTCACACACAGGTAACTTATGCCCCCCACCATCCACCACTGCTCATTGGGTCCACTCAGATAATTGTGTCAATTTTTTGTCAAATTACACACATGAAATAATAATGATAATAATAATAATAATAATATCAATACTTAGAATAATAATAATGCATCAGTTTTACACAGTGCTTTTTGGACGCTCAAAGTCACTTCACATGTCATAATTTGTTCACTCCAGACACAATGGTGACAAACCACTACTGTAGCCACAGCTGCCCTGGGGCAAACTGACAGAAGCGATGCAACCAATCTGTGCCATTGGCCCCTCCCACCACCACCAACCATTCACACACACACCAGACACATTCTATTGTGGGGGAAGTGTCTTGCCTAAGGACACAACCACAGTTTGGCACTTTACAGCCGCAGCCACCCCACTGTAGCACTGGTGTTCCCAGAGGTCTCCCATCACAGTACTAACCAAGCCTTTCCCTGCTTAGCTTCAGAGGTCTGATGGAATTTGGCTTGGTAAAAGTAATACATTTTCTCATTTTCCTATCCATAGAATCCTTAAAGTTATTAATAATTATGATAGTTAATTTGATGTAATGTGCCTTTTGAGACACCCAAGGACGCCACAATAGAACACAAAACGATCAATACAAACAAAAGCATATATCCGGCATAACACCTAAACCTCTGGGAAAAGGCAACCAGGCGACGTGGCTGGCGTAAGTGTCCTACATACAAACTTCTATTTTATCTCAACTGTTCAGAGTGTGTTTCCTCTGCAGTGATGGGGCTGGTGGGCGCTGGCCTGCGGAGCCGTCGTCCTGCTCGGTGGATGTGAGCGAGGAGCTGCTGTCTCAGGTCAGAACTGATGTGGTTCTCTGTCCAAATGTGGCATGGAACGTGCACGTCTCTGTCATGGTTTAGGTTTATTTCCTGTTTTGTAGCTTGTTTTCCCGTTGTCCTCAGATCTACTTCCTGTTGTGTCATCGGCATTCCACGTCTGCTTTAATTCTTGTCGTCAGTCCCTGTTTGGTTCCTTTTTGTGTTGTTTTGTCTGGATTTTCTAAACAACACATTATATTAAAATACAAACATTTTTCCTTTTGTCCACATGACAGATTCAGTCCATCTGTCAGAGAGCAGACTCAAGTTGATCCAGGGCCGGATCTAAGAAATATTGCTGTATCTCCCAGGGGTCGAGTTTATGAGTGTCTGAAGCTCATCTTTGCGTCTGTGGATATTCTTATTCAATTTTTATTTACATTACGATATTTTGACAAAAAGATTACTTTAATTTAATTTGAGTTTGGAGATTATTTTCTGGTAAATTATTCTGAACAAATCCAGTTCAGTGACTGTTTGTCTGGATTTAATCAAAACAAAGTTAAAGCATTGGATTAGGTTAACATTTTAGAATAAACAAAATTATCTGTTAGTTTCTTGAGAAATGTTTCTTTAAAATGAGGTATAACACGCCACAGTATCTTATATTGACCTTACTGTAACAGTAATTAAAATAATATAGTGTTAGGAATAGCTATTGCAATGGTGGAAACATGACTGACAGAAAAACCTAGATTCGGTACGAGAGCTTGTGGGAATGAAGACACGGAAAGAACTGTATAAATAATAATTTGTATTGACAAACATTGTATAGACAGACAAAAAAATAAATAGACCTTTGGACATAAACAACACAGGAAATAAAACAGACCAATAAAAGGGAAAAAAGTTGACACAAACCAAAAAACCCTTTTTTTGTTTAAACGTTTATGGTTTGAGTTCAAGTCCACTTTTGCTTCGAAAGCAGAGTTCAGTTTAGTTTTTAGTACTTAGGTTGAAGTACTCGTTCAGTTCAAAAAAAGTTCAAAGAAATTTTAATCCGTATGGAAGAAAAATAATAATCCAAATAAAGGTGTCCTCTGGTACGGGTAAACGTTGGGGAAAAAAATATAAAGAGGTCCTACCAGTTTGTCGGTTCGGTTAGGGCTCAGCTCGCCACCTCTTACGAGGAATAATGTTCAGGATTCAGGGTAGGGAAAAAAACCTGACCTAAAACAGAGGTCAAAGGAAAAAAGACCCCATAACTAAATAGTTCAATTCATTCTGTACTAAATAAAATTATTCTAAGCAGTACTTCAGTTACTAGTAACATTTAAATCAATAATATCATTAATGCATTAAATTTGATTAGTTTCAATATATTAAATCACACGTTGCGCAACATCCAATCAGGCTACTGCAGCCGTAGCTTATTTACTAGTGATGTGCTGAGCGTGCCGGGTCTTCGAAGCGTGTACCGAGTAAAAAAGGGGCGTATTTTTTGAAGCGTGGTTCGAGGCGTGTGTTGGTGACGTATGTGGTGACGTTCGAAGCCTCGCGTAGCGGCCGCACCACGTGACGGTTCATATAGTGCTTCATATCGTTCGGAGAGTGCATTGCTTTGACAGGTGCTTTGTGATCCGCGGCTGTACCATAGACTGTATTGGCTGTCCCCGTCTGCCTCTGTGTGCGTACGTGTGTGTGCGTGATGTGGAGCAGTCCTGTACTAAGTATAGAGAAACTACTTCATATGAAATACAATTAAAAACGTTTCACTTTAGTAAAACTTCATATATCAAGGCTTCAAGTTATTAGTAATAATATGCTGGATGATACATTTCACAACAGCTGTGTGGCGCAGTCGGTATATGACGGACTCCGAAGTAGAAGATATAGCGTTCGAATCCTGGCCTACCCATAATAAATTTTGTGTTGCAAAGTAAATGTATTTTTTTATTGGGAAAAAATGGTTGTTTGTGTTTAATTAATCCACCTCTTGGTAGTTTTTCCTCCATTAATCACTTTCTGTAGAACTGTATTACTTTGGATGTGTTTGTTGTATCAACACAATTGACTGAAAGACTCAAATAGTTCATAGTTCATGAAGCATCATTTCAAACACAACACTTTAGACCATAGATTGTAAATATACATTTTAACATTAGATCTCACCATTCATTGTAAGCACTTAAGAGTGTTATGTATTTTTTTGTCCACATGATGGCGTAGTGGAGCATGATTCACCTCGAGCCTTCGACTCATGGGCCGAAGTAATAGGCTGCGATCCCTCAAGGCTTCATGGGGCTTCATATGCCATCACTTCCTAACAAATGAAGGTTAGGCACACACTACTATGGTCAGTGTATGGTACAGCCCTTGATGTCTGCACCTGCTCTGGACACACAAAATGTACATACAACATAGTAATTTAGGCTGTTCAACAGTGAAAGCCCTTAATTTGACCTCTGGGAGTTCTCTTGTCTTGAGATGTTTGAAAAAAAAGGTCTTTTCAAAGGCGCTCTGCTAAAAATCTGCTGATATCTTTACAACGATTTCAGTGGTTTTAAAACTTAAGCCTAGTGTATACCTTGAAGCGGCGTGCGTTACGTTAGCGGGTGCGGTGGACCTTCGTAAGCACAATTGATGTTATACTGGCGCGTTCCCCTTACGGACGTTTTGCAGGAGGAATGTTGTACATCCCACAACCAAACCACATGAGGGGCGATAACACAAAGCGGTCCCATTACGAGTATAAAAGAAACATATCTGTGTACATTGTGTATATTTATGTGTATAGATACGTTATGTGTGCGCTGCATATGTGAATGTGTGTTTGCAGGTACAGGTACAGGTGTATGTATGTATGTGTGTGTATGTATATATGTATATGTATATATATGAATGTGTGTGTGTGTATATGTATCTATAGATATACCAGTGGACTCGCTCCTTCACTGTATCCAACAGATCAGTGATTGGATGCAAAATAACTTTCTCCAGCTAAACACAGAAAAAACTGAAATTATTGTTTTCGGACCTCAGAAACAAAGAGAGAGCGTTATCTGCCACCTCCAGTCTCTCTCCCTGAAACCCTCAACTCAGGTCAGAAATCTAGGAGTAATAATGGACTCAGACTTGAATTTCAATAGCCACATATCATCTGTGACATCATCAGCTTACTTCCACCTAAGAAACATTGCTAAAATTAAAAACATTGTGTCTAAAGCAGACTTGGAGATTCTTATCCACGCATTTGTCTCCAGTCGATTGGAACTGCAATGGCTTGTTCACAGGTCTCTCTAAACAAGCGGTAAAACAGCTGCAGTACATCCAAAATGCTGCAGCTCGAGTCCTGACTAGAACCAGGAAGTACGACCACATTAGTCCGGTCCTCAGGTCTCTGCACTGGCTTCCTGTGGCTCAGAGAATAGATTTTAAAGTAGCTTTACTTGTGTACAAGTCTCTCCATGGCCTCGCACCAGGGTACATCCGCGACATGTTGGTGCCATATGAACCAACTCGGGCTCTGAGGAGCACAGGGACTGGACTTCTGTTAGTGCCAAGAGTCGGAACTAGACATGGGGAGGCTGCGTTTCAGATTCATGCAGCTAGAGTCTGGAACCGTCTTCCCGAGAGTGTGAGACAGGCGTCTACTCTAGCAGTTTTTAAAACTGAACTGAAAACAGTTCTTTTTAGCTGTGCATACAAGTGAATGATTTTACATTTGTTTTTATCTTTAATCTTTTTAATGCGCTATGATTATTTATGATTATTTATGATTGTAATCCCTTGTGTGATTTTAATTTTTTACGGTTTTTAACTACTTGTGTAATTTTATATATCTTGTGCTCTTAATCTGTCTTTTTATGTTTACTTAAATTCTAATGTTTGATGATTTATGCATGATGTTATATGGGTTGTGAGGCGCTTTGCGTTGCCTTGTGTAGGAAAGGCGCTCTATAAATAAACGTTGATTGATTGATTGATTGATATAAAAGTTAGGGGGAAAAAAGGTCATATTCTGTGTTTATGTGTATAATGTAATTACAAGGAATATTTGTTTGATTAAATTAGAACTAAATATTTTCTTACAATGAAAATTGTATTTGGAAATACTGAAAGCTGTAAACTGTGGATCTGCTACAGTGTATATAATGTTGTTACATTGGTTATAAGTAAGACATTTTGTTATTTGTTAATAGGGTTAGGCAAAATAAGTGTTAAACTTCAGCCTAAACCTTTCGGTCTGTATATAATTTATAATTTATGAATGTCAATGTTTTCTTATTTTCTGCTGATGGCTGAAGAATAAAAAAGAAAAGAAAATACTTCATGATCTTATTAACAAAAAAAAGTCTGAGCAGTGAGATTTTAATGCTTCTTTGAAGTTTTTTTTTTATTTTTATTCCAGACAACTTTTCTTGTTGTTTAGATAAAATAAGTATGTTAGTAAGTAAATAATACTTAAAATGTATGTTTTTATTCTAGAATCAAGTCATTTGGGGCTAGTATTATTTTCTTATTTTCAGGAATCTTGTCAAGTCATATTTTCTTGTTCTATTGACAAATCACTTTTCTTATTTTAAGAAAATCATTTGTCTGATTAGCATTATTTTTTTTTTTTTTTTTTTATTCCAAGGGATTTTTCCTAGTGTTGACGGCGGCAGGCAGACTTACTTGGGCCTCTGCAGGACGTATGTGAGGAGGAAAGTGCGCAGAGACTCGATGTTGCTCTTCTCCAGCAGGATCCACTCTCGCACCACCGCCTCCATGACGGCTGTCGCTGCCTGGAACAGCACGTAGTCCACCTTACTGCTCTCTGCCACAGGGAAAACACGTTTACAACACAAACAATCCAAGACAGAACAGTATCATTGTGGTAGCAGTAGTATTTGCAATAGTTTGGGTCTGCAGGAGTATTTGGGAAGATAGAACTATTATTGACTGCACAGATAGACTATTGCTGTTATATGCTATTTATGTAGACAGCCAATCATTTATTAGTCTTTTAATAAATAAGTAAAATAATTTTTTCATTGGAACATAACGTGCAGTGTGCCCAATGCATAAAGTGAACATTTCTACAAACATTTCAATGTTTTTCTTGTGACAGTTCTAAATAATAAGTGCCTGTAACATGAGAAACATGAGGTGAGGATGCAGAGATGAACCACAGGGGGCGATGAAGAGCACATGGCCACACACATGGGCCCTCAGAGTAATGTGATTGTTGTGGTCGTACCTAGGATCTGCTTGCACACGCCGAAGGGGGACTTGGACTTCCTGAAGGCCAGAAACACGTGCTCAGCCTGCTGCCGCTGCTCAGAGTTCACCATGGAGGGAGGAGCCTGCAAAGGAACCAATGACTGTTTATAGACAGACAACGCTTTATTTGGTCGCTATAGAGACGGTATAGAGTTCCCAGAGTTTGATTTACAGGTGGGAACTCTATACCTTCTCCCTCACATATTTAAATATTCATTTTTACACTTCATTTCATAAACTCCGAGCTCAGCAGGAAATGGGTTAGACAACACAGGAGGCCCCTCAGGTGCATGGGCTTAGGGGAAGTGCAATAACATACTGCTGGATCAGTTTACTGAAGTGAAAGTATGGAATGATCTCTGCTCTCTGTTTTGATGCCCTGTTATCACCTTTTTTTTCTCTGCTCCTAGAAGCCTCTGACCTGTGTCTATTTTAGTCTGGTTAATGTGGGGTCTGTGTAAAGCAAGCGAACCGCTGTCTCAGAAAGGTTCCCCATCTTATCCTGAGTATGATGACACATGATCCTCTGTTCTCTCCTACTTTATCCATCATCATTATGACTGCAGCTGAAGCTTGTTCATTGAATTCAACTCAATAAAATTGTAATGAAATGGTTCAAACAAATAAAATGGAATAACAATCACAGAGCCATTGGTCCAGGAGCGAGATGACCAGTAAGTAAATAATCTTTATTTATACAACACCTTTCACCAACCAGTCACAAAGTGCTTTACAATTGTGAGCACCTGAAGGAAACTTACACATCACACATGCAAACTCCTCAGAAAGGTCCCATTCTGACCAGGATTGGAATCCTGGACCCTCATCCTCTATCAGGGCACAGTGTTTTCTGTTCAAGCATGGTTTTGCCTGAACAAATTACAGTTGAACAAGGCCTGATTAACTGCCTTACAGTGTTGTTTTTTTCCTCACGTGCAAAAGAAACCGTTCTATGTTGAAAAATTGTCATATGAAGCAAAACTGTTTAAAATTGTGGTCTGCATTATACCATCAAACACACTAGATAATAGCCTTTATTCTTCTTCCATTGACAGACATTTCAGTGTCAGACTCAGGATCGCAAAATTTAAGATAATAGATAATACAATGACAATAAGCCATAATTGCACTTGGGTCAAAAGGATAAACTTGTGAGAGTATATTCTGTAGTTAGCAGTCACATGGTTTCACATTTACATATGGTTAATATTGACAATTGTCTAGCACAAGTACAATCAGGACGGTAAACCTGTGATTAATATCACTGTGGCTACAATCATAGCTAATTAAGATCCATACAAGTCCTGGGGGAGTAGGGACCAGTCTGCTACTGGGAGGCAGTGTAGTGCATGGAGACTTTTGCTCTGCACTGGTTCTGTTTGCACTCAATTCAACTCAGTTTACTCTTGTATAGCCCTATAATCACAACAGTAGCTATCTCAGAGGACTTAACAAAACCATTGAAACTGCCAAAACAGATCAGAGAATCAAACAGTTCAAACGCAAATAATAAAGAACATAAAGGTATTGGTCCATAGGGGGAGTCGACCAATGTCCACAAGTGTTGATAGAGGTCCATGAATGTTAATAAATGTCTATACATGTTGCAGCATGTTATTTCCCAGGATCATCACCACAGTCCTTTTTATTTTATTTTTAGACCACTAATTACTAACACTAACACTGCGCTCATCAGGGATATAAGGGGAGCCCCAGGACCGAGGTAGAGGACCGAGGCAGAGGACCGAGGCTCTCTCCACCATCACACGCCCCCGGACCCCGACCCTCAGACTGGGTCCAACTCAGAGCCTCAGAGATAGCGAGTGATGCAGCCGCTCAGTGCACTGCGCCATGCTGCAGCTGCCTCACACTGCTCGGGAGCCAGGCGGAAAGTGGGGCTCATTCCGCTGATGGAGGCCGCAGACTCCCACGGCGCCAGGGCCCTGCAGCAGACCCCCACGGCCTCCCTCTCAGCCACTTTCACACTCTCACACTCACCATGAGAACTTTGGCAGCGCTCTCCAGTTGGGCGATCACTTCTGATGCACCGACCGCCGCCATCATGGTCCCTTTTCAATGACGCGCACTCGCTCTGCATTTTGGGATAGCTGCGCATGCCCAGTCAGTGCGTGCTGCGAAAGAGTGACCAGCATGCACTGAGTCAGAGTGGGGTCTCCAGCCATCACTCAGCTCAAGTACTCAAAATGGTGTCAATCAACTTTGCTTGTCTCCATCATAGACTGTATCCATGCGCAGTCACTTTCCTGGAGGAGTTTGGTTACAGAACTCTCCTCTTCTGCTTCATCTGTCATCATTGTAGCAGCTGTAGTGTGTTCATTGCTATTCACCCGCTGTCCAATTGTCTGTTTCATGGTGTGATGATAAGCTCGGCCTCTTTCATCAGCACCGGCCCAGACTTGAGGGCTGCACCCCCTCCCCAACTGGGAACCGCCTCAGTCTTGGATCTACAGCCTCAGTCCTAGATCTACAGCCTCAGTCCTGGATCTACAGCCTCAGTCCTGGATCTACCGCCTCAGTCCTGGATCTACCGCCTCAGTCCTGGCTCTACAGCCTCAGTCTTGGATCTACAGCCTTAGTCCTGGATCTACAGCCTCAGTCCTGGATCTACAGCCTCAGTCCTGGATCTATAGCCTCAGTCCTTGATCTACAGCCTCAGTCCTGGATCTACAGCCTCAGTCCTGGATCTACAGCCTCAGTCCTTGATCTACAGCCTCAGTCCTGGATCTACAGCCTCAGTCCTGGATCTACAGCCCGTCCCTCTGAGGGAGCGGATCCCTCCCTAAATGTGAGCCTCCCTGAGGTTTCTGAGGTTTCTCATTTTCTCTCACTGTGTTTTTAGAGTTGTTCCTCTGATGCAGGAGGCTCTATGGACAGTGATGAACATGACACTCCACATTCAACAACATTTATGGAAATTATTAACAAATGGCTCTATGTGTTTTTATCATTGCATTTCCTGTGTTTGAAATGTTTGATTCTCTGATCTGTGTTGTTGAATCGACCGCTTTGTGAAGTCCTCTGAGATAACTAGTGTGATTTGGGGCTAAACACAAATACATTGGCTTGAAAAGGGAAAAGCAGGTGCCACTGTGGGGCAACTGTAATGGCACTCCACAAACATAGCTGCCGTTGTGTCTTTAGGCAAGACACATTAGAATGTGTGTGTGTGTATATACAGTGCCTTACGAAAGTATTCGGCCCCCTTGAACCTTTCAACATTTCGCCACATTTCAGGCTTCAAACATAAAGATATAAAAATATTTTTTTTTGTCAAGAATCAACAACAAGTGGGACACAATTGTGAAGTGGAACGAAATGTATTGGATAATTTAAACTTTTTTAACAAATAAAAAACTGAAAAGTGGGGCGTGCAATATTATTCGGCCCCCTTGCGCTAATACTTTGTAGCGCCACCTCTTGCTGCAAGTCGCTTGGGGTATGTCTCTATCAGTTTTGCACATCGAGAGACTGGAATTCTTGCCCATTCTTCCTTGCAAAACAGCTCGAGCTCAGTGAGGTTGGATGAAGAGCGTTTGTGAACAGCAGTCTTCAGCTCTTTCCACAGATTCTCGATTGGATTCAGGTCTGGACTTTGACTTGGCCATTCTAACACCTGGATACGTCTATTTGTGAACCATTCCATTGTAGATTTGGCTTTATGTTTTGGATCATTGTCCTGTTGGAAGATAAATCTCCGTCCCAGTCTCAGGTCTTTTGCAGACTCCAACAGGTTTTCTTCCAGAATGGTCCTGTATTTGGCTCCATCCATCTTCCCATCGATTTTAGCCATCTTCCCTGTCCCTGCTGAAGAAAAGCAGGCCCAAAGCATGATGCTGCCACCACCATGTTTGACAGTGGGGATGGTGTGTTCAGCTGTGTGAGCTGAACACACCATGAGCTGTGTTGCTTTTACGCCAAACATATCGTTTTGCATTGTGGCCAAAAAGTTCAATTTTGGTTTCATCTGACCAGAGCACCTTCTTCCACATGTTTGGTGTGTCTCCCAGGTGGCTTGTGGCAAACTTTAAACGAGACTTTTTATGGATATCTTTGAGAAATGGCTTTCTTCTTGCCACTCTTCCATAAAGGCCAGATTTGTGCAGTGCACGACTGATTGTTGTCCTATGGACAGACTCTCCCACCTCAGCTGTAGTTATCTGCAGTTCATCCAGAGTGATCATGGGCCTCTTGACTGCATCTCTGATCAGTCTTCTCCTTGTTTGAGATGAAAGTTTGGAGGGACGGCCGGGTCTTGGTAGATTTGCAGTGGTCTGATACTCCTTCCATTTCAATATAATTGCTTGCACAGAGCTCCTTCAGATGTTTAAAGCTTGGGAAATCTTTTTGTAAGTAAGTAAGTAAGCTTTATTTATATACCGCCTTTCACAGACCAGAGTCACAAAGCGGTTTACAATAGTTATTTTTTTTTTTTTTAAATTGTATATTTTTTTTAAATCCTAATCCGGCTTTAAACTTCTCCACAACAGTATCTCGGACCTGCCTGGTGTGTTCCTTTGTCTTCATGGGTTTCTCTGCGCTTTAAACAGAACCCTGAGACTATCAAAGAGCAGGTGCATTTATACGGAGACTTGATTACACACAGATGCATTCTATTTATCATCATCAGTCATTTAGGACAACATTGGATCATTCAAAGATCCTCACTGAACTTCTGGACTGAGTTTGCTGCACTGAAAGTAAAGGGGCCGAATAATATTGCACGCCCCACTTTTCAGTTTTTTATTTGTTAAAAAAGTTTAAATTATTCAATAAATTTCGTTCCACTTCACGATTGTGTCCCACTTGTTGTTGATTCATGACAAAAAATTAAAATGTTATATCTTTATGTTTGAAGCCTGAAATTTGGCAAAATGTTGAAAGGTTCAAGGGGGCCGAATACCTTCGCAAGGCACTGTATGTTGTGTTGCTTCAGTCAGCTGTGGCTACAGTATACTAGTAGTTTACCAACACTGTGTTTGGAGTGAATGAATAATGTTCTGTGGTCTCTGGAGAGAAGCCATGCTCTTCTGAAGGGCGTCCCGAGTCATCAGTAATCTATCTTTAACTTTTTAACCAATCATGTATCTATCCATCCATCTTCTTCCCCTTAATCAATTTCTGGGTCAGGGGAGTGGCAGTCAGAGCTGCACCCAGTACACTTAGCACCTGCCCCTCACTGATCCTCACTGATCCTCCTGCAGGTGGTGAGTCCACAGGAGCTGAGATCTTTCAGTTCGGGCAAAGTGGGGTTAAGTGTCTTGCCCAAAGACACAACGACAGTCGGTGGAGAAGGTGTCGAGGTGGGATATGAACCCACAACCTTCAGGCCTAAAGGCCAATGCTCTACCAACTAAGCTACTGTCGCCCCTAATCATGTAATCATCATGAATTCATTAACCTGTTTATGTTCTTCTTACGGTTAAAAAACACAATAAAACAAACCATCACTCAGCACTTTAAAGTTGCACAGAAGGAGAGCTCATGTTCTCGGAGACAGTGACAGTTAGACCCAAGGTAGAAAGGAAAAAAGGTGAAACTGGGGCCTACTATTAGTAACCAGCTCAGCAAGTCACTTTACTGCCCATCATACGTCACTTTACCTCACTGTACCGCTGTCACCGTACATTGTGTGCACCATGTGCACTGTATATTGTATATAATAACTGTAACTCTATTTTAAATATAAATTTATTCCTTAGAAGTGTTTTTTATTCATTATTTTGTATTATCTCTTTCTGACTGTTGCACTGAGCCAAAGCAATTTCCAAGTCTGTGACTTCCTGTTACTTATAAATAAAAATGATTCTGATTCTGATTCTGAGCATTAGAGATGAGACATGAAATTATTTTGTTTACAGGTCCTGCAAAGTCCAGAAGAGGGCGCTATCTCCTCAGGTACCTGGGTTTAATTCTGGGTTATTATTATAGATCCATGGTTTAACTGCACTCATTAACTTTGTCACACACACAACCTCAGAACAGTTGCTTCTATCTTTAGTTTCCACAATATGTTTGGCCACTGCCACATTTACAGCTTTTTCAGATGCTTTTTTAAATTTTAATAGTTACTTTATTGATCCCTGATGGAGAAATGCAGGTGTCCAGAAGTAGAAACACACCCATCAACACAAACACATTTTCTAAAAGTGACTAACATCAGTGACAAAGTGCAACAGCACAGTTTGGAGATAACTGCAGCGAGAAAGTTTGGAGAGAAATGCAGCAGCTCGAGTCCTGACTAGAACCAGGAAGTACGACCATATTAGTCCAGTCCTCAGGTCTCTGCACTGGCTTCCTGTGGCTCAGAGAATTGACTTTAAAACAGCTCTACTTGTGTACAAGTCTCTCCATGGCCTCGCACGAAAGTACATTAGTGACATGTTAGTCCCATCTGAACCATCATGAACTCTGAGGAGCACAGGGACTGGACTCCTGCTGGTCCCAGAGCCAGAACTAAACATGGAGAGGCAACATTTCAGATTCAAGCAGCAAAAATCTGGAACAATCTTCCTGAGAATGTGAGACAGACAGCTCTGTGTAGCTGTGCATACAACTGAATGATATATGACGAATTTGATAAATTTAAGGTTTTTCATTTCTTGTGTGATTTTTATTTTTTAAACTTTTTAATATTTCTTGTGATCTTATTGTGTGTTTTTAATGCCCTGTAGGTTTTAGTTTTAGATGTTAAAGTTTGTGATTTGTGCTTGATGGGATATGGGTTGTGAGGCGTGTTGTGTTGCCTTGTGTAAGGAAGGCGCTCTACAAATAAAAAGTAATTAATTAATAACTGTGAGCTCCTCCTTTCCACAGCTCTGTAACTAGTGATGCAACACTGACATTTCCCCACAGTACCACCAATAAAGGAGAGGGTCTGAAGGTGAAGAAGACAGTAGTGAGAGAGGAGAGGGTCTGAAGGTAGAGGAGACAGTAGTGAGAGAGGAGAGGGTCTGAAGGTAGAGGAGACAGTAGTGAGAGAGGAGAGGGTCTGAAGGTGAAGGAGACAGTAGTGAGAGAGGAGAGGGTCTGAAGGTAGAGGAGACAGTAGTGAGAGAGGAGAGGGTCTGAAGGTAGAGGAGACAGAAGTGAGAGAGGAGAGGGTCTGAAGGTAGAGGAGACAGTAGTGAGAGAGGAGAGGGTCTGAAGGAAGAGAAGACAGTAGTGAGAGAGGAGAGGGTCTGAAGGTAGAGGAGACAGAAGTGAGAGAGGAGAGGGTCTGAAGGTAGAGGAGACAGAAGTGAGAGAGGAGAGGGTCTGAAGGTAAAGGAGACAGTAGTGAGAGAGGAGAGGTCTGAAGGTAGAGGAGACAGTAGTGAGAGAGGAGAGGGTCTGAAGGTGAAGGAGACAGTAGAGAGAGAGAGGAGAGGGTCTGAAGGTAAAGAAGACAGTAGTGAGAGAGGAGAGGGTCTGAAGGTGAAGGAGACAGTAGAGAGAGAGAGGAGAGGGTCTGAAGGTAAAGAAGACAGTAGTGAGAGAGGAGAGGGTCTGAAGGTAAAGAAGACAGTAGTGAGAGAGGAGAGGGTCTGAAGGTAAAGGAGACAGTAGTGAGAGAGGAGAGGGTCTGAAGGTAAAGGAGACAGTAGTGAGAGAGGAGAGGATCTGAAGGTAAAGGAGACAGTAGTGAGAGAGGAGAGGGTCTGAAGGTGAAGGAGACAGTAGTGAGAGAGGAGAGGGTCTGAAGGTAGAGGAGACAGTAGTGAGAGAGGAGAGGGTCTGAAGGTAGAGGAGACAGTAGTGAGAGGAGAGGGTCTGAAGGTAGAGGAGACAGTAGTGAGAGAGGAGAGGGTCTGAAGGTAGAGGAGACAGTGGTGAGAGAGGAGAGGGTCTGAAGGTAGAGGAGACAGTAGTGAGAGGAGAGGGTCTGAAGGTAGAGGAGACAGTAGTGAGAGAGGAGAGGGTCTGAAGGTAGAGGAGACAGTAGTGAGAGAGGAGAGGGTCTGAAGGTAGAGGAGACAGTAGTGAGAGGAGAGGGTCTGAAGGTAGAGGAGACAGTAGTGAGAGAGGAGAGGGTCTGAAGATGAACGAGACAGTAGTGAGAGAGGAGAGGGTCTGAAGGTGAAGGAGACAGTAGTGAGAGAGGAGAGGGTCTGAAGGTAGAGGAGACAGTAGTGAGAGAGGAGAGGGTCTGAAGGTAGAGGAGACAGAAGTGAGAGAGGAGAGGGTCTGAAGGTAGAGGAGACAGTAGTGAGAGAGGAGAGGGTCTGAAGGTAGAGGAGACAGAAGTGAGAGAGGAGAGGGTCTGAAGGTAGAGGAGACAGTAGTGAGAGAGGAGAGGATCTGAAGGAAGAGAAGACAGTAGTGAGAGAGGAGAGGGTCTGAAGGTAGAGGAGACAGAAGTGAGAGAGGAGAGGGTCTGAAGGTAGAGGAGACAGAAGTGAGAGAGAAGAGGGTCTGAAGGTAAAGGAGACAGTAGTGAGAGGAGAGGATCTGAAGGTAGAGGAGACAGTAGTGAGAGAGGAGAGGGTCTGAAGGTAGAGGAGACAGTAGTGAGAGGAGAGGGTCTGAAGGTGAACGAGACAGTAGTGAGAGAGGAGAGGGTCTGAAGGTGAAGGAGACAGTAGAGAGAGAGAGGAGAGGGTCTGAAGGTAAAGAAGACAGTAGTGAGAGAGGAGAGGGTCTGAAGGTGAAGGAGACAGTAGAGAGAGAGAGGAGAGGGTCTGAATGTAAAGAAGACAGTAGTGAGAGAGGAGAGGGTCTGAAGGTAAAGAAGACAGTAGTGAGAGAGGAGAGGGTCTGAAGGTAAAGGAGACAGTAGTGAGAGAGGAGAGGGTCTGAAGGTAAAGGAGACAGTAGTGAGAGAGGAGAGGATCTGAAGGTAAAGGAGACAGTAGTGAGAGAGGAGAGGGTCTGAAGGTGAAGGAGACAGTAGTGAGAGAGGAGAGGGTCTGAAGGTAGAGGAGACATGTAGTGAGAGAGGAGAGGGTCTGAAGGTAGAGGAGACAGTAGTGAGAGGAGAGGGTCTGAAGGTAGAGGAGACAGTAGTGAGAGAGGAGAGGATCTGAAGGTAAAGGAGACAGTAGTGAGAGAGGAGAGGCTCTGAAGGTGAAGGAGACAGTAGTGAGAGAGGAGAGGGTCTGAAGGTGAAGGAGACAGTAGTGAGAGAGGAGAGGGTCTGAAGGTAGAGGAGACAGTAGTGAGAGAGGAGAGGGTCTAAGGTAAAGGAGACAGTAGTGAGAGAGGAGAGGGTCTGAAGGTAGAGGAGACAGTAGTGAGAGAGGAGAGGGTCTGAAGGTAGTAGAGGAGACAGTAGTGAGAGGAGAGGGTCTGAAGGTAGAGGAGACAGTAGTGAGAGAGGAGAGGGTCTGAAGGTGAACGAGACAGTAGTGAGAGAGGAGAGGGTCTGAAGGTGAAGGAGACAGTAGAGAGAGAGAGGAGAGGGTCTGAAGGTAAAGAAGACAGTAGTGAGAGGAGAGGGTCTGAAGGTAAAGAAGACAGTAGTGAGAGAGGAGAGGGTCTGAAGGTGAAGGAGACAGTAGAGAGAGAGAGGAGAGGGTCTGAAGGTAAAGAAGACAGTAGAGAGAGAGAGGAGAGGGTCTGAAGGTAAAGAAGACAGTAGTGAGAGGAGAGGGTCTGAAGGTAAAGGAGACAGTAGTGAGAGAGGAGAGGGTCTGAAGGTAGAGGAGACAGTAGTGAGAGAGGAGAGGGTCTGAAGGTAGAGGAGACAGTAGTGAGAGAGGAGAGGGTCTGAAGGTAAAGGAGACAGTAGTGAGAGAGGAGAGGGTCTGAAGGTAGAGGAGACAGTAGTGAGAGAGGAGAGGGTCTGAAGGTAAAGGAGACAGTAGTGAGAGAGGAGAGGATCTGAAGGTAGAGGAGACAGTAGTGAGAGAGGAGAGGATCTGAAGGTAGAGGAGACAGTAGTGAGAGAGGAGAGGGTCTGAAGGTGAACGAGACAGTAGTGAGAGAGGAGAGGGTCTGAAGGTGAAGGAGACAGTAGAGAGAGAGAGGAGAGGGTCTGAAGGTAAAGAAGACAGTAGTGAGAGGAGAGGGTCTGAAGGTAAAGAAGACAGTAGTGAGAGAGGAGAGGGTCTGAAGGTGAAGGAGACAGTAGAGAGAGAGAGGAGAGGGTCTGAAGGTAAAGAAGACAGTAGAGAGAGAGAGGAGAGGGTCTGAAGGTAGAGGAGACAGTAGTGAGAGAGGAGAGGATCTGAAGGTAGAGAAGACAGTAGTGAGAGAGGAGAGGGTCTGAAGGTAGAGGAGACAGAAGTGAGAGAGGAGAGGGTCTGAAGGTAAAGGAGACAGTAGTGAGAGGAGAGGGTCTGAAGGTGAACGAGACAGTAGTGAGAGAGGAGAGGGTCTGAAGGTGAAGGAGACAGTAGAGAGAGAGAGGAGAGGGTCTGAAGGTAAAGAAGACAGTAGAGAGAGAGAGGAGAGGGTCTGAAGGTAAAGAAGACAGTAGTGAGAGGAGAGGGTCTGAAGGTAGAGGAGACAGTAGTGAGAGAGGAGAGGGTCTGAAGGTAGAGGAGAAAGTAGTGAGAGGAGAGGGTCTGAAGGTAGAGAAGACAGTAGTGAGAGAGGAGAGGGTCTGAAGGTAAAGGAGACAGTAGTGAGAGAGGAGAGGGTCTGAAGGTAGAGGAGACAGTAGTGAGAGAGGAGAGGGTCTGAAGGTAGAGGAGAAAGTAGTGAGAGGAGAGGGTCTGAAGGTAGAAGAGACAGTAGTGAGAGAGGAGAGGGTCTGAAGGTAAAGGAGACAGTAGTGAGAGAGGAGAGGGTCTGAAGGTGAAGGTGATGGGGCACTCAGAGCAGTGACCCTGAAGCTGGAGGAGTGGTTGTGGCAGATCCTTGGAACAACCCGGTGTGTTTTTAGCTACATCCCCAGTGGTGTTGTAGTTTTTTTAACATTACCCGTTGTTGCAATGGCATGTGAAAAAACTACAAAGGCCAAAAAGAACATTAATTGTGCCATAATAAAATTGACGCTACCATCAATTAATATTGACGTAATGAACAATAACATGAGCAAATAACAATTTTACTTTCTGTAAAAATAAGTGACAGAGAAAGAGTCACTCAGTCGTCACTAACAGCTGTGTGTGGAGCTGTCAGCTCTCTCTCACTGTTATCTCTGAGCTGACATCACACAGCCCCCCAACACATTCCACTGCCACACACCTCTAAATATAGGTGTGGGTGGGACGTCCCGGACCGGGGGCGGAGGACGGGCCACAACAGTCCATCACAACCACTGCTGTTGTTCACACTGATAGCAAATGCGGGAAATATCAAAGATGAAAGATTATCACACAACAATGGGAATAGATCATGAGAGTGAGAGTTCCTCATCTCAAACATTTTATTGAAAGAAATGTCGACAACAGTCTTGAAACAACAGAGGATAAACCACAACAGAATGAATTGCCTCAAGAACTCATCAGACCTACAGAGCAGAGATTCACATCACTAATATTAGGTTATGGCCTGAACATAATGGCATGAAAATCATATGTCCACGATGAGCTCTCTAGCGCCACCTGTCTCAAAGTAATAGGGGACTAGTGCTCCGATCGGCCTGAAAGTTGCTGAGTGTAATCTCTGAACCAGGTGTGGGACTTACAACATGAAACTTGTAAGTCCCGCACCTGACCACTGGAGGATCTTGAAATGTTTGAATGAGCTTTTTGGGGCAAAATATTTGTCCGCTGAAGCTAGAAAGGAATTCACAAATACATATGACCCTGAACACAACAATATGCAACACACAACTGTGAGTGCAACAGCGCCACCTACAGGTAGTTCAAGGTGTTGTTGTTTTTTTATTTGTACTCGTCCTTGGTTTTTCATCACAGACTTCTAGGCAAGGCAAGGCAAGTTTATTTGTATAGCACAATTCATACACAAGGCAACTCAAAGTGCAAAATCATAAATAATCACAGTACATTAAAAAGAAAGATTATTAAAAATGTATAATATATAATCCCTCAGTTGTATGCACAGCTAAACAGAACTGTTTTTAACCTGGTTTTAAACATTGTCAGAGAAGAGGCCTGTCTCACATCTTCAGGAAGATTGTCATACATTTTAGCAGCATGAATCTGAAAAGCTGCCTCCCCATGTTTAGTTCTGACTCTGGGCACTAACAGGAGTCCAGTCCCTGTGCTCCTCAGAGTCCGGGCTGGTTCATATGGGACTAACATGTCACTAATATATTTTGGTGCGAGGCCATGGAGAGACTTGTACACAAGCAGAGCTGTTTTAAAGTCTATTCTCTGAGCCACAGGAAGCCAATGCAGAGACCTGAGGACTGGACTAATATGGTCGTACTTCCTGGTTCTAGTCAGGACTCGAGCTGCTGCATTTTGAATGTACTGCAGCTGTTTTACAGCCTGTTTGGACAGACCTGTGAGCAGGCCAGTGCAGTAGTCTAACCTACTGGAGACAAATGCATGGATAAGAATCTCCAGGTCTGCTTTAGACACTATGTTTTTCATCCTGGCAATGTTTTTTAGATGGTAAAAAGCTGCTGATGTTACTGATTTGATGTGGCTATTAAAATTTAAGTCTGAGTCCAGTATTACCCCTAGATTTCTGACCTTGTTTGAAGGTTTTAGGGAGAGATACTGTAGGTGACAGATGACGCTCTCTCTTTGTTTCTGGGGACCAAAGACAATAATTTCAGTTTTGTCTGTGTTTAGCTGAAGGAAGTTGTTTTGCATCCACTCACTGATCTGTTGGATACAGTGAAGGAGTGAGTCCACTGGTCCATGTTCTCCTGCAGTCAGTGAGACATAGATCTGAGTGTCGTCTGCATAGTTGTGATAGGACACTTTGTTTGACCCAACGGCAGCATGTAGAAATTGAACAGAAGAGGTCCCAGGATCGACCCCTGTGGTACTCCACAGGTCAGGGCCAAATGATCTGAGACACAGTTTCCAATCTCCACAAAGTACTTCCTGTCTTCAAGGTAAGACCTAAACCAACTTAGGGCGGTGCCAGTGACACCAACCCAGTCCTCTAATCTCTGTAAGAGGATCTCATGGTCGACAGTGTCAAAAGTTGCACTCAGATCTAACAGGATTAGGATTGAGACTTTGCCTGCGTCAGTGTTCAGCCGGATATCGTTTGTAATGTCAAATGAGTTGTTGATTATAAGAAATCTAGTAAGCTGTAGGTAGACAACTTTCTCAAGGACTTTCACCATAAATGGCAGATTTGAGATGGGACGATAGTTGTTAAGTACCGTAGCATCCAGACATGCTCGTTTTTAGCAGGGGCCTGATGACTGCAGGTTTCAGGGCCTTTGGGAATATTCTAGAATGAAGGGACATGTTTACTATCTGTGTGAGTGAAGGTAACAGACTGCTCAGAACAGACTTCAGAAATCTAGTGGGCAGTACATCCAAGCTGCATGTGGAGGAGCTCAGACTTGTGATTATCTCTTGGACAGTTTTATCATCCACAGGTGCAAAGTGAGTTAGCTCAGAGAGCCTTTCTGGCTGTTGGATTGTTTTCTGTGGATTGGAGACAATAGCGTTTTTTATGCCTTGAACCATGCCATTGAAAAAAATTGCAAAATCATTACATTTACATTTGGACTTCTATCATGGAATTTCTCCATTGAGGGATTTAAGTTATATTATCCTTCGAAAAAGTTAGAATTTCCTCACCGTTTTCATGCGAGGCAGCTGTGAATTTCACTTTGTTTTATGACCTTAGGCCAGCAATACCCAACATGACCACCAGGGGCGTACTCGTTGCTGAACAAAAGACATTCTGAAATTACTGACTTGCAGATAGTGGATAAATTCCGCATTCACTGTAAACAAAAAAGTTAATTGCACTCAAATGCTTTTAGCTATAACCACTGATGGTAAATGAGTTTCTTTGCAAATCTCAAATCATATAACTGTGGCAGAGAGAACAATAGAGTTTTGCATGTGATGCACCAGTATAGCCTCCAGGCTTTGACCTGTGGCCCTATCGGTATTGTAGGATGTGCCAAATGCAGAGGACATATTTCCCTAAGGGGATGATAAAGTTTAACTTAACTTCATTAATATCAAATATAGACTGTGCAGAATCAGGAACCACAGGAAAACAGGAGAGCACATCCTCTATACGCCACATCAGCAACTCATGACTGTTGTAACTCACACATTGTTCCTGGCCCTCATTTCACCTCAATGTGCTCTGGGACCCAGCACCTGATGCAGACCTTATTTGCATCAGATGAATGAAGGGTCTTGCTCAATGGCCCACACCTGTTACATTTCTTACGTTAATCACTGTACACACCTGGGGCAGACTGAGAGAAGCACGGCTGACCATCAAACCAGACAACACCCTATAACCAGGATCTGCACTGCTGAGCTTGAGTACGGCTAGGCAAGTAACAGTGTCAAACGGCCAGGTCAGGGCGTGCTCTCCCACTGCTGCCCCTGCTGGCTCGGCTGAGGCGGCGCGGGTCAATGTCCTGGGCCTCCTCTTGCCTCTGGGGGGGGGGCACACAGGGGGACTGGCTCTGCAGGTCCTGGGCCTCCTCTGGCCTCTGGCGGGGGGCCCCACAGGAGGACTGGGACTGGCTCTGCAGATCCCGGGTCTGCTCGGTTGCCAGGTTGGCCCAGTTTTGGCGAGCCGCCAGTGTATGGTTATTGTTGTTGCTGATGTAGAAGTGTGTTGAGGGGGGAGGCTGCTCCACCAGGGGCGGCAGAAAGGCAGGGCTGGTGCTGGCCACCACAGTGTAGTCTGGGGGGAGGGTTAAGCTCTGGGTAGGTGCTCTGGAGTCCAGCTTCTGGGTCTGTGGAGGGTCTTGGTCCTGGGCCAGACCACTGGTCACTCCCTGCTTCAGCTTCTTCCAGCCCAGGTGGTAGATCTCCAGGAGGTTGAGCAGCAGGGACACACAGGCCACCACCAGCATGAAGACGATGAAGATGGTCTTCTCCGTGGGCCTGGAGATGAAGCAGTCCACGGTGTTGGGGCAGGGCCAGCGGGCGCACTTGTAGAGGGGTCTCAGCCTGAAGCCGTACAGAAAGTACTGTCCCAGGAGGAAGCCCACCTCAAACAGAGTCTTGAAGATGATGTTGAAAACATAAGTCCGCAGTAAGGCCCCACGGATGCGGATCTTCCCGTGTTCGTCCCTGACCGGCGCCACGTCCTTTCTGCAGAGGAGGAGTGTTGTTACATCTGCAGATTTACTACAATCACTTTTCCATTAAATGACTCAGACTCAGTTCCCTATTAAAACCCCTTACTGACAGTGTAGCAGTACTCTTCCAACAGTCTGACATTGTAACAGTACTCTTACTACAGTCTGACTTTGTAACAGTACTCTTACTACAGTCTGACTTTGTAACAGTACTCTTACTACAGTCTGACTTTGTAACAGTACTCTTACTACAGTCTGACTTTGTAACAGTACTCTTACTACAGTCTGACTTTGTAACAGTACTCTTACTACAGTCTGACTTTGTAACAGTACTCTTACTACAGTCTGACTTTGTAACAGTACTCTTACTACAGTCTGACTGTGTAAGAGTACTCTTACTACAGTCTGTCTGTGTAACAGTACTCTTACTACAGTCTGACTGTGTAACAGTACTCTTACTACAGTCTGTCTGTGTAACAGTACTCTTATTACAGTCCGACAGTAACAGCACTCTTAGCAGTAACAGTGTAACAGTACTCTTACTACAGTCTGACTGTGTAACAGTACTAGAGCTGTATATTTGATATATTGTTATAATAACTTAGAATTTGTTCTTACATACCTAAGGATTGTATTGTTTTATCAATACTGAAACATGTTTGGATAATTTCTCCACTGTCTCTCGAGACATGTGAAGATGATGGGGTACTCTTGCACAGTTATTCCAATGTGGTTTTACAGCAAATGGCAAAATAAACAGAATCTGTGGGCTGTAGCAGTGCTAACTTGTGTCTGTGTCTTATATCTGTCGATTGTACCTGTGCTTGCTGGCCTCTGTGTCCTGGTGGTTGCTGTAGAAGCCCTGGGTGTCCCGACTGAAGGGAGGCGGGTGCAGCAGCTGGCCCCCCCTCTCGGCTCTCTTCTCCTGCAGCCGGACCAAGTGCAGCACGTGGCCCAGGTAGATGAGCGTGGGCGTGGACACAAACACGATCTGCAGCACCCAGAAGCGAAGGTGGGAGATAGGGAAGGCCTGGTCGTAGCACACGTTCTCGCACCCCGGCTGCTGCGTGTTGCAGATGAAGTCCGACTGCTCGTCCCCCCACACGTCCTCTGCCGCCGCGCCCAGCACCAGGATGCGGAAGATGAAGAGCACCGTGAGCCACACTTTCCCGATCACCGTGGAGTGTTCCTGGGCGTTCTCCAGCAGCCGGCCCAGGAAGCTCCAGTCCCCCATGGCCCCGGACATGGGCTTAGCCTGTGGACAGAGGCTCGTCAAGGAAGTAGTCTATACATTCAAGGCCAGGCTTAAAACAGTCGTCTATAGTTCAGCATAAGGTTAGGTATGTAAGACTCAGGTAAGACTCAGAAATACAACCGTTAGTGCTGCTTATGAAGCCCACTGCTGGAGAAGTCTGGTAACAGCACTATCCTCTATCTGTCATCATTATGACTTCAGCTGTAGTCTGTTCATTGCTATTCACCCACTGTCCCACTGTCTGTTTCATGGCGTGATGGTGGGACCCCTGAACCCGGCCTCCTCCATCAACTGTCCTCACCGGTCCGCACTCATGGGCTGCACCTTCTCTCCGCCTGGGAGCCGCCTCAGTGCTGCATCGCATGGCCTCAGCCTACATCCTGGTCCTCATTCTACAGTCTGAATCCTGGATTTACAGCCCGTCCTTCTGTGGGAGCAGATCCCTTCCTCAATTTGGGCCTCTTTGAGGTTCTCACTTCCTTCCCACTGGGTTTTTAGAGTTGTTCCTCTCTGATTCAAGAGGGTCTAAAGAACAGTGATGATCCAGGACACTCCACATTCAACAACATTTATGGACTATGCCCCTTATGGACCAATGGCTCTGTGTTTGTTATCATTGCATTTCCTGGGTGTCAACAGTTTGATTCTTTGATCTGTGTCGGCGAATCAACAGCTTTGTGAAGTCCTCTCAGATACACTGTTGTGATTCAGGGCGATACAAGAATAACAATGTCAGGGCAGTGAGTGTTGCAGCTGACACACATCAGTGCTTATTAAAAGCGTCATGGGAACACCTCGTGACCACACAATAATTATAAAATACATAAAAATGAAAGTAAACGAGAGCAAAGACATGAGTGAGAAGCGTATGTATGTGACAATATACCCACCTAACTAGCAACAAGAATACATTGAATTGGATGTTGTCAGGGACGGGTACCGGTCGCAGAGTTGGAGATTATGAACTTATGAACAAACTATGTTTTCCAGAAAGTCAAGGCACATACTGTACACTCGGATTGAAAAGCGAGCTGCAGATCAGCCGTTGAATAAAAAGTTAAAGGTACACTGTAATTTTTAGTGCCATCTTGCGTTGAGATCTTATATCGCAGTCCAAGGTACTAAGGAAGCCTTTAGACATTCATCAGACTACCAAGGAAAGAAAACTTTAGTTTGATAAATGACCGGATCTCTCCAAACGTCTCGGGCACTTGACAGTCGTGTGGAGGTGATCTGCATCACGGTAAGAAAACAGAACATTCACTCACGCTGCTGATGAAATATTCTGGTGATTGTTTTGTAGGGATTCTGTGTGTGTTTTATTTGAGGCTTGTCCCTGAATAAGTTTAGTTGAAACTTGTGACAGTAGTTGGACTGTGCTCGGATCGGGTCAGAACATCCTGAGACTGTTGCAGATTCTGCCTCGTTCTCATTATTGTCAGTGTGAAAAAGTGACGTATTGTTCACGTGTGAGTCTGTTGTGTACGAACTATACAAAGTGCCTCCTCCTTTGTCTTTCGGTGCGTGTGGTTTGCGATTTTGACACTTTGCTGCTACGACGCCGGACTTTTGCATAATTATTTTCTTACAGATTGTTGTTTGGGTTGTTCTTTTACATAACTGTGGTCCTCCATGGTTCTTTTATATAACTGTGGTCCTCCATGGTTCTTTTACATAACTGTGGTCCTCCATGGTTCTTTTACATAACTGTGGTCCTCCATGGTTCTTTTACATAACTGTGGTCCTCCATGGTTCTTTTATATAACTGTGGTCCTCCATGGTTCTTTTATATAACTGTGGTCCTCCATGGTTCTTTTATATAACTGTGGTCCTCCATGGTTCTTTTACATAACTGTGGTCCTCCATGGTTCTTTTATATAACTGGTCCTCCATGGTTCTTTTATATAACTGTGGTCCTCCATGGTTCTTTTACATAACTGTGGTCCTCCATGGTTCTTTTATATAACTGTGGTCCTCCATGGTTCTTTTATATAACTGTGGTCCTCCATGGTTCTTTTATATAACTGTGGTCCTCCATGGTTCTTTTATATAACTGTGGTCCTCCATGGTTCTTTTATATAACTGTGGTCCTCCATGGTTCTTTTATATAACTGTGGTCCTCCATGGTTCTTTTATATAACTGTGGTCCTCCATGGTTCTTTTATATAACTGTGGTCCTCCGTGGTTCTTTTACATAACTATGGTCCTCCATGGTTCCTTCTTCCAACTTGTGAAGTCACGGTGAAAGCAACGATATCAGTAGCTCATGTGAAACGAAAAAGCAATTCTCGCATCCTTTTTGTCCCTTATCCACCACCGGTTTTTAAGATGGTGCATTTACACGGATAGTCCTCCTCTCTCATGGACACTTATAAGTTAAACTCTAAGCCTATGAATACAATTCAAAAAACATGGTGGAGGTAAATATTCCTATAAAGGTCGCATTTGTCATTAGTTAACATGTTTTTTCATATGGAGCAGCTGTAAAAATTACACAGGGTGTGTCATGGTTTAAGTTTATTTCCTGTTTTATTTTGAAATGTGTTATTCCTGTGTCTTCTTTGGTTGTACTTCCTGTTGTCTGATTACCTGCACTGCCCTCATCTGTCTCACCTGTGTCTCGTTAGTCTTGTATTTAGCCCTGTGTGTGTTCCTTCACTCCCTGTTCCGTCATTGTCATTCCTTGTCTGTTTTAGTTTGGTCCTCGTTCCCGGTGTTTTTGGATTTGTTTCATCTTTTTATTAAATCCATTACTTTTTGCAGTTTTGCATTTTGGGTCTCATTTAATTTCACCCACGTGACAGGGTGGCTTTAAAGTTGTTTGTAGATGTTTGTGGCAAATTCTGTCTATTCTAGTCCTCAGGCTGCACGTCAAGAGGAGAACCATGCTGTGGAGAAACACTTGATGTCCTTCATAACCTCCAGCCGTGTTCCGGGAAAAAGGAACTGCAATATGTGTTTGCAACTTAAACGAAGCACTCAAAAACAGAGATTGATTGGCAATAAATATTTATGTTAAGAATCCGATCACAGCAAGAACATCATACTTTTCTAGTCTTTTTTAGTCTTTAGTCTTGAAACATTGTTTATGTTTGAAGAACTTAAGACTGTTTTAGTTATTGGATTGTTACCCAAACACTGTTATAATTCTAGAGACTAAACAAAGAATCTTACTAAGATATGGTTTCAGTCAACAATAAATGTAAAATTAATAAATATCACTTGTATTCCTATCACTTAAGAGATTTACTCAAAACTCATTGCATATTGTAAATGTTATCACTTTTTCTCAAATAGGATGTAATCATTAGTTTTACTTAAACTATCTAAAGCATCTTGACTTCATGTATGAATGTAAAAACTAGACAGCGTGTACGTTTTGACAAGTAGAGACAAACCAGGTATGTCCACAGAAGAACATTAAAACTCAGGTGCTGGACCTGAGTTTTTGGAAGCTTTGACTTTTGAACAGATATTCTGTAAAAACCATCGGATAGATAAACTTGATTTCTTTGACTGCTGTCTGACTATCAGAAAGTGTTGTCCCCGGAAGTGCTGGCCTGGTCATGTTGCATCCCAATGTAATAAAGACAAGTATGTGTGTCTGTGTGTGTCTGTGTGTGTGTAAGGGGGAAACTTACCTCTAAAGCCAGGTATTGTAAAATCCCAGAGCCACAGGGGGTGATGCTCCTCTCCACATTTCAAATCAAATGGATCGATAGAGTACATTTGAAACAGCTGAACACAAAACAAGTCTTGAGGAAGACACCAGAAGGTAAGAACCAGAAGTTCTGAAGAAGACTCCAGAGACACCAGACGGTAAAAGCAGACGTGAAACCATGTGAAATATCTCTAGCACCAAATTCTGTCCTGTGGTCCTGGGTCCTGCTGCTGCTGTGGACGACTGGGGCGGCGACACATATCTGTGTGCGAGTGTGTATGTGTGTGTGCGAATATATGCCAGTGTGTGTCTGAGTGTGTGTGTGTGCTTCATATCTGGGCTGCAACCAGAGCCGGTGACCTGTCCTTATTAGATGCTCAGAACATTGTTCTTTTATTAAACCATTTTTGGACGAATTCAGCCTGGGACCAGCCTGGATCAGAGTTTCTTTGGGTTTGGGGTCAGGGTTTAGAGTTATGATTAAGGTTAGGTTCACTTTGGTTGGGGTAAAAAGCAAGGCTAGGGTTATGGTTGAGAATAGGGTAAAGGTTATGGTTATGATTACAGATTGTGGACAGAGGACAGCTGAGCGGTCTCTCTTGTTAAGATCTAGATTAGAGCTGAGCTAAAATAAGGCTGCACTTCTGCCTCATCCCCTCTGCTGCAGAGGACACAAGGGCGCAGCAGCAGTAGTAGTAGTAGCAGTAGCAGCAGCAGCAGCAGCAGCAGTAGTAGTAGTAGTAGTAGTAGCAGCAGTGGCAGCAGCAGCAGCAGCAATAGTAGTAGTAGTAGTAGTAGTAGCAGCAGTAGCAGCAGCAGCAGCAGCAGCAGCAGTAGTAGTAGTAGTAGTAGCAGCAGTAGCAGCAGCAGCAGCAGCAGTAGTTGTAGTAGTAGTAGTAGTAGCAGCAGTGGCAGCAGCAGCAGCAGCAATAGTAGTAGTAGCAGCAGCAGTAGCAGCAGCAGTGGCAGCAGCAGCAGCAGCAGCAGCAGCAGTAGTAGTAGTAGTAGTAGCAGCAGCAGTAGCAGCAGCAGTGGCAGCAGCAGCAGCAGTAGTAGCAGCAGTTGTGGCAGCAGCAGCAGCAGTAGTAGTAGTAGTAGCAGCAGCAGCAGCAGGTCTGAGAGTGTGAGAGTAAAGATCCTTGTTTACCTCATGGAGACCTGTCCATTGGTGAAGTACGGAATATGAAGTTTTAAAGGTTTAGATTGAGTGTTGGTGATGGGTGATTCTATTTCATTGTTTTCATTATTTTCAATATTAATATTTTTTCTTACTGGGACTTCTCTACAGAAGAAATATCATTTTACACAGTAATCCCATAACAGCAGCCTT